GTTAAGAACGACTTTATCTAGTCCTTTATTAGATCTAATTATAGCTAGGATCCGATTCTTAGTTCTTATTATTAGACTCGTTCTAGTTCGTCCTTCTATATCGAGATTCTTTATGTTAAGCACTATATCTGCCTCTAGGGATTTCTTTGTCTTTTTTATTACACTCCTAATCGAGGTTCCTATAGATATGGGAGGCGACTATAGTAGACTTAACTAATCTAACAAATCGAACGATACTAATAACCTAGTTAATCTAGTTAGTATTACGTCTGCTCCTTATGCTAGCGTTATACTTGTCTCCTAGGTTAGTAGCTATACCCCCCGGACTACGACGCTTACGAAGGAGTCTGTCGTTCCTATCTGTATAGACGATAACTAAATGGAACCCTAATTTAGGGCTACTTCTTATAGACTCTTAATGTCTAAGACTAGAGTTGTCACTATTGTCTATAGTTGTCTAATCTCTTCCCTATATCTGTCCTTCTCTTCTTTAGCCATTCTTTACGCTTCGAGTAGCTGCTACATAATGTCGTTCATTATGACTTCTCTAGGTGCGTCGCTATTTCTGTTGCTGTTAGGTGTAGGGCTACCCTCGGTCTGGTGGTTGATGTCGCTACCATCCTTCTCTGCACTTCTAGTCACCCTTCTTATGGCCGTGGGCGAGGTTTTCTTTCTAGGCGTGGCCTCTGCCGATGCAGAGTCGGAGTCGTTAGTGAATCGACTGTCGCGTCTTAGAGTGCTTCCCTTAGCTCCACCCTGTCTCCCGTCTCTTTTTCTCTTTTCTGCATGTTCTCTGTCTCTTATAAACTGATCCTCCACCTCTTGACCCTCTACGCTGCCCTGCGACAACACCTCGAACCTCCCTTCACCTGCTATACCTCCACCTCTCGCTCCTCCTCGGCCTTTCGGAGCTGGCATCTCGACCCCGCACCGTGGCGCTTCGCTGGAAATTCGAGGGAATCACCAGGATACACTGCTCCAGCTCGTAGTACAATAATAATTGGGTATTTCAATCAAAATTCAATATGGGAGTTCAAGTTTTTTTGAGATCATACAGCTACGTGCATCGATTGTGTGTCGATTCATATGCCCGTAACAGGGTCGCCCGGACAGCCAGTCTGTCCTGGGCGTCACTGCAAGGTCGAATCATGCGAAGATCAACACAGCAGAAGAAGATGATAATGATGACGGTGGTCGAAACGAGTTGTAATACGAGCAAGTGGTATCGGATAAAGTAAGCTAGAAACCACGAACAGCAGATGTAGACCCTCCCAAGACGCCATTCCACTGTAAAATAAACGCCGCGACCCTTAGTCGTCCATTACTCTCTCATCGATTAGAAGTCCGGAAGCGATGCAAAGAAACGTATAGAAACCCATAGTAGAGTGACCTGATGTCTGGTGAAGAAAAGAATAAAAGAAAAGCCCTGAGTTGCACGAGTCGAAAGGGTGTATAGCTTGGACAAAACAGCCCCGCTGACCGAAACCAGATGGTGTCATGGTTTCCCTATTCCTCAGTCGTGGTCGACCGTGATGATGTATTCTCGTGAAGCCGAACCTGGGCGTAGATTGTCGCTTGCCATTGCATACTAAGCATCGTCATCGCGGTTGTCAGCAGCGTTTGCGCGGTCTTCTTCCGAAGGCTCCAGCCCAGCACGTTGAGCGCATCTTTTCCAGGCATCTTGTTCTTTGTAGACTTGATGCAACTCGGCCTTGAGTCTATCACAGGATCCGCTCAGTTCAGCAATAGCTTGCTCGGTCAGGAGCTTCTCCAGCGTCCACTTCTCGATGTTTTGTGATTCATTTTCCTTGAGCTGAGTGATGAATTGAACCGCACGCTGGAGAATGCTTCCCTTGTTCTTTTCGCAACCGGGTACGATCTTAGCGAGCTCGTTGATGCCCTCATTGATCGTTTCACGGCGACGACGTTCGACTGTGTTCAATATCAGAGAACGGCCGACAAGGAAGGTGACATGATGATCTGGAGCGATGACTTACCTTCTTTGTGGTTGTCGCGGCGCACTTTGTGCCATTCATCGGTGCCCACGGCTGGTCTAAGGCCCGAAGGGGTTGCTGATGGTGAGCCCTCGGTGGGACCCAGGACTGAAGTCTGTGGGGGAGCTTGTTGCTGCTGTTGTTGAGGTTGTGCGTTTTCTTTCAACTGCTCGAGACTAGAAAACTCGCCATACGACTCGGGATTTGATTGACCAGCACCGGCCTCGAGGGAGAAGCCAGCGCTTGACTCGCCGTGGCCGTCGTTGTGTGTGAGGAAAGACTCGTCATGGTTCTGTGGTACGCCCATGGAGTAATGTAAAGCGGCATTCGCCGTCTCGCTAGCGCTCTGTCCGTTGGCAGGACTTTGTGGGTGGACGTTGTGATCGTGTAGAGAGTGGTCATGTACACCGTGGTCGCCGGCATTGTGTTGAACCAAGGCATCGGCGAAATGTGGTGGCATGTCGTTCTCGTGGTTCAAGAAGGGCGTTTCGTACTCGACCTGGGGGTTCGGCGAGCCTCTGAACTCCTTGAAGTCATTGGGCGCAGGAGCATGACCCACATCGTGGTCCAGCGAGTCACGCTTACGCTTGTGAGCCAGGGAGGCCATGTTGGGCGGGTGTGTCTATGTTATTTTCGATCACGTTCTTTCGTAGAGATCACTAGCGCCTGCTGCTTGGCTTTGCGATTTGGGTTGGCTTAGGATATTGGCGATCACGTTCGAGTACGAAGGTAGGAAGACTATGCTGACAAGCTCAGTCAGTAACGCGTAAATCACAAAACGATCACGAATGGCCTCGAGCAACCGGCAGGCTGGCGGTATATGCTATGGCCACGGCTTCTAGCGACGACGCGCGCTGGCATCGGTTCCGCCATGACGAGGTCGAGGTCGCGACGCGTGCGCAGGCGAGAAGTCGCGCAGGCGCATCGACGACGAGCAAGCGACACCGCTCAAGAACCATGCCGTGTTGGCTGTGAAGAGCACGTCTGTATAGATGTGCGATTGCCGGGACGACAAGGCGGATATGGCACTCACCAAATTCGAGAGTCGACGTCGTTTGAAGATCCCGTGACAAGTCACGAGTTCGCAAGCCGGGCGCTTTAGTCTTGCAAGAACGCGACAGACAACACCAGCAAGTTGGGTATCAAAAAGTAGATGTGGAGAAACAAATCCTTCAGCTCTGCGCGGCGCAGTCAGGCCTGGACAATTTGTGATATTAATCGTCGCGATAGCCAAAGCCTAGGAGAGGGAGTATTCGAGGTCACGTTGAAAGATCACATGGGATGGGGAGGAGGAAGGTGGGCCAAGATCCCCCAACTTTGGCAGTCGCGCTCCGGCAGACTCGACGCTGCTTCCGTGCCCCGACGCGACAAGACGCTCATCCTTCGTTCTACCACCCGTCGACCTGCATTCGAGCACCAGCTTCTCTCTGTTTATTTTTAACTCTGCACTGTGCCCAATTCTGCGGTGTTCAAAATGATCATATTTGATGCCTCTCGTCTCTGTCACTGAGCACCTGCAACAGTGTCTTATCTAGCATGCTGCTGCCACACGCGCACCTCTGCTGCAATTCATTGGTCACGTCTACAACAGCCTAACGCGGTTGAAATGCTCCAAACTCCCCCGATTCTTTTCATGCATCCACCCTGTTTATCTTCGACGCCCGCTCAAGCCAGCATACTCTTGGTCATGTGCGCTTGTTACAATGATCTCGACCATCTCTTTGTTCGAGCTCGGAACAGGCAGGGTCGTGTCACTTTTCACGTCTGCTTTCCGTTCTCGACACCTGAAACAACCGTCTCGATTTTCTCTACCTCGATGGCATGCATGATTGGATGCTTACCCCGGTTCTTGAATCACACATTGCAGATGTCTTGATTGTCTCTCCTCCACGCTTGTCACGACCGCAAGATGAGGGGATGTGATCTACAAAACATCGTCTTGGGAGCTGCAGCGCCTTGAGCCGGATAAGAGCCAGACATCTTCATTAACCCATGCCAGACGTCGCTCTGCACCACAGCGTTTGTTTGATCAAACATTAGCGTGTCACTGTTACTGTCACGAAGAGAGAAGACTCGAGTGTATGTGTGAGCCTGTCTTAGCATGCAACTTGTCCAGGGCAGATGACTAAAAACACCCATCTTCAGTAGCACAAGTTGGGATAGAAGCAAACATGTGATTAGCAGAAGCGGCAAAAGCGAGGCCTTTGGGCATATGGATAAATAAAGTCTGCCTAGGAAAGATTGGAGGACCGGAGAAGTCGATCGCTGCTGTCTCACATGCCAGGAATATGACAGGATCAGACTCTAGATCCAGATGAGTCCTTGAATGCAAGGTTGCTCAACGACAGTGTTGCGTGTACACATTCGGTAGATCGATTCAACAATCGTGGCAGTAGAGGCCTAGACGAAAAACTCAGTGACATGTAGTCAATCGCGAACTTGTCAGATGCCATGTTCCGCCCCCTTACCATACGCCTTGACCAGCTCACTGCCACAAATCGTACAGATCATGGCGCCATGGCCATGAAGAACGCGCCACCCACCAAGTCGATCAAGCTCAAAGGTGTCGAACTGCTCCATGCGTTGCCCTGTATCCGCAGCCGCGACATCCACATGCGAGTGAGTACAAAAGTGATCAGTCAAAGCCGTCGTAGGCGCCCAAACCTGTTCTTTTGCGGAAAAGTTCGTGTCGCTTTAGAGTATCTGCAATGTCAAGGAGCATCTGGCTTGTGGGGACAAGCGCCTTTGGACGACGCGATTCTCCTAGTCGCGACCTCACAGACCAATAGAAACAGCAGATGCATGCCAACCTGAACGGTCCGAGTGAGCGGTGGAGACAGCAAGAGCTGGCAGTGTTCTCCAGCACTGTTCTTCAGCACTGACCAAGTTTCAACTATCACTCTGAAACTTCCTCTTCCTCTTTCCGCCGATGTCCAACACATAGTCAGCCATGTCGATGGATCCACTGATAATACCTTTTTGAGATGATCAGGCAAAGCTTGAGCGTAAGGCTCTGCTCCCGTGAATTATACGGAGCTGTCGAATGTGACCTGGACGTGCAGACGCGGCTAACGGCATTCCTTACTGGTCAGCCAGGCGGCAACCACGGTTTCAAACGGTCTTTAACAGTTGTCTGAGTCGGTAAGTGCTCTATCAGGGGAACCATCTACACAGGGGTCGTGTATACGGCCACGATAAGTGCGACCAGAATCTCCTGTGGCTCTCTATTCTTTCTTCCAACATTCTGTTCGAGTTCTCCTCCGGCCTAGTGCTGTCATTCTTTACTTGTGCTCTCTGTGAGACGCCTTTACGCTACTCACGTCCTCTCTTTCGAGTCTATCACTCTCCACGATCACTACCGGCGAAACTCAACGGTCTTTTCCAACTCTGCTACGTCTCCCAGGATACAATCTGCTCAATAGCTTGCCAATAGCCACAGCCGCAGCCACGTCACACAATCGACGACCTATATCAAGACATACTCCTCACACTCTTTTTTGAAAAAGTAGATCCGTAGCAGAAATGTTCGGTTCTTTTGCGTTTGCTTGTTTTGCGTTCTCTTCTCTCGTTGTGGAAGCTTTGCCTGCACCTGTCCCTTCTGCACCATCGTTTTCACTTCAACCTTACTACCACGGACCGGCTTCCTGGAACCCATCGGCTACCGACGAATCGACTTCGACCTTCCCGACCCTTGCTATTGGAAACAAACATATCGTACCTACTGGAATTGTCCCCTCTGGATATCACGCCTCTGGATTTTACCCAACCGTATCTGGATATGCTTGGCCTACTGGAACTGGATTCCCTTCTGGAGTAACTGGATACCCTCAACCTACTGGAACTGGACAAACCAACAACACTGCCGTTTCTTCGTGGTGGACATCTTACCGTCAATCCTCCTCATCATCTCTCTACTCTACTGCTTCATACAACAGCACCGCCACAGCTACTGCCAACATCACTTCGTCCGCTGCTTCTAGCACTGCCGCTGCCTCCACCGTATCCACCGTCCTCCCTGACGTTCTTCGTGGAGTCAACATCGGTGGCTGGCTAATCCTTGAGTCATGGATGAACGGCGATGTCTTTGACAATACTGACGCCAAGGACCAATACTCTTTCGACAGCTGTGATGGCGCGCAAGCCAAGCTGGAGCAACACTGGTCAAGTTACTTCACCGAGTCTGACGTCGTGGGACTAGCAGCCGCCGGGATCAACGCTGTGCGTATCCCTATCGGTTTCTGGTCCTACGTCGAGACTGCTCCATACCTCATGGGTGCTGACGCTTACCTCGAGAAGGCCATTGGCTGGTGCCGCAACCACGGTATCAAGGTTCTCGTCGACTGCCACGGCTCGCCTGGCTCGCAGAACGGTTTCGACAACTCTGGTCGCTCGGGCAATGTAGCATGGCAGCAAGACGACAACATGGCACAGAGCATCAGCATTCTCGAGACCATTGCCAAGAAGTACGGTGCTCAAGAATACGCTGATGTCGTCTTTGGTATCCAGCTCGTCAACGAACCCATCTCGTGGGACCAGAACAACATCGACACCACCAAGGAGTGGGCTCAGAAGGCTTACACCGCTGTCAAGTCCGCCTCGACCAACCAGAACCTCGCTGTCATCATGCACGACAGTTTCGTAGGACCTTCTGACTGGGAAGAGGTTGGCTCTGCCGTCAACGGCGATGCCTCCCTTGCCGATGCCAAGTTCTGGATCGATACCCATCTCTACCAGAACATGGTTGCCGACGACTCCAAGCTGACTCAGGCTGGACACATTGAGAAGGCTTGCAACTGGCAATCAACCGAACTGTTGCCCTCATCTTCCAACTTGCCTGTCATTGTCGGCGAGTTCAGCGCTGCCACCAACATCTGCGCCAACCCCGACGGCTCAACAGTTGCCGGCAACGTCTGCTGGATCGAGGGCTGCCAATGCTCTGCCAACGTCCCCATCGAGTACTGGAATCAACCTCTGATCCAAGCCACACGCAAGTTCCTCGAAGCCGAGCTCGATACCTTCGAGGCACACGCTCGTGGTTACTTTATGTGGAACTTCAAGGGTCCCGGCGCTTGGGGCTACCAAAATGCTATCAAGTATGGCTTGATTGGAGACAAGATCACAGACAGAAAGTACCCTGGTCAGTGCAGCTCATGAGTTTTTGGAGAGAGGAGACTGAAAATGGCGCTGGACGCCTATGAAGAAAAGGTTTAGAACGTTGCGATATATACCCCCTTTCCATGATTCAATGGACCATATAGATTTCGATTCGATTTTTGTCGATGTTTTGTAGATAGATTTTTAGAAGTGCCACATGCACTGAAACGAACACTTTTCCAACATGAAGCTTCTTTCCATCTTCCCATGTGCAAAAGTGTATAACGTGTATATAGCTATTAAACTTCACAATACATTCGAGGGACCGGATTGCCTCCATCGAGATGCGATACTCCAGGCTCTCTTTGGATACAAGTCTAGTCTGGACATCGTTGTGTCTTTCTATGGTGAGACGCTGCTTGAGACCTTTGTAGTAAGAGCGTGAAAGTTGCAGACAGGATGCTGTATCAATTCCGTGTCTTGTCCATGACCATGTTCTTTCCTAAGTGAGAGCTGGACATGTAGAACTGTACGCTGCTTCTCTAGACGTTACTTCTCGTTTAAGATCACTTGCTCCTTCCATAAGCAACTCAGACACACCATAGATACCGTTGAAAGGATCTTCTGCTCCAACCCACGCACTTTTCATATACACACCACGCCTAACAATGTACGCCTTCAAGAATGTCTACCAAGCGCAGGACGCATCTGGAAAGCACCTACGTATGCACCAGTACCCGGCAAGAGCGAGATCTACAACGCTGCGGAATTGCAGCTTGGCGGTCAGTCTTCATATATGAGAGTGCTTGCATATATCTTGAATATGATCGAAGTATCTAGAACAGGACCCTCGAAACGCGGGTTTTGGCAAGCTTGCGCACGGACTTCCCTCAATCAACCCACAAGCACGCGACTTTGATTCTTTGCGCATCCTCAGTTCGGAATAAACAATCCACCATTCAGAATGTCCGCCGACACCATCAGTAACCCTCAGCCCGCCAGCGAGTCCAAGAGCGCTCGCAAGAAGCGTGAGAAGGCCGAACTCGCCGCCGCCCAAGCACCCGCCCAGACCCAGCAAGACAGTGATGGCCAGAAGACTCCGACTCCTGATGTCGCAGACACCAACGGCGATGCCTTCGAGAGTTCCTATGTCAAGGAACTTCAGAAGTATGTCTTGTGTTCGTCCGTTCCATAGATCGTCAACGCTAACCCTCTCCCAGGAACATCCGCAATGTGAACAAGAAGCTTGTCGGTCACCCACTTGTCTACCACAACCACATCATGTTGACCATTCACAGAACGCCATGACTAAGTTGGACTCGATCCTCGCCGAGAACCCTGGCAAGTCTCTGGACGAACTTCTTGCTTCGCGCAAGATCAACGCCGACCAAAAGGCCCAAGCCTCGAAGAAGCCCGCCCTCCAAGCCTCGCTCGCCCAGCTCGAAGAACAGATCGCCCAGTACAAGAAGGTCGATGCCGACTACCAGTCGCGCATGTCCGCTCAGCACTCGCACCTGACTTCGTCTCACCAGGCCGAGATCGAGAAGCTGAAGGCTGATCTCAAGGACCAGCTCGAGGAACAACTCAACTCTGCCCTGCGCCAGAAGCTACTCACCTTCAGCCAGTTCCTCAGAGCTGCCGCTGCCAAGCGTGTCATTGAAGAGGAGGCTGACTCTGATGAGTCCAAGGCATTCGAGGGTGCTCTTTTGCTAGTCTACGGAGGTGACGACAAGGCCGTCGATGCCGTTATGAACCTGATCCAGGGTTCTGACGAGCAGGTCCCTTCGGTTGAGGGCGAACTCTTGCCCGTCAAGTGTAAGAGGACTTGACCCTCGCCTGACATTCATGGTACTGACATTACTCCAGACTCGCAGGTCAAGCAAGCCGCTGTCGGATTTGGCGCCTTCCCTGGCGAGGAGTCTGCACAAGAGGAGACCCCTGCCGAGTCCACTGACGCTCCCGCTGTCCAGCCCGAGGATACTATCCCTTCCAGCGATCCCACCATCGCCCACGCCGGTCTCACCGAGCTCGGTCTGAACCAGCCCGCAGAGGAGGAAAAGCCCGTTGTCGCTGCCGAAGACCTGCCCATCGCCGAGGCATCCATTGACGACGGTTCCGCCAACAAGTCAGCCGAGACACAGTGGGACAACGCCGCTGCCACCGCCGGTAACGACGAACAGCTTGACGACTCTTTCGAGATGGTCCCCCGTCCCGCCGACGAGACCGAGGCTGTCCACGAGCCCGCCCAGCCGCAGTCGACCAGCTCCTGGGCCGATCAGACCTCCGCAAACGCCACCGCTACCGAGGCCGCTGCTGAGAACAACAACACTACCAACGGTCTTGCTTCGACCGATGCCGAGGGCTACCAATCTGTCGAGAGACGCGGAGGAAGAGGCGGACAAGGCCGTGGAGGTCGTGGACGCGGTCGTGGTGGACCTAGAGGAGGTGCTCGCGGCAACTTCAGAGGCCGTGGCGAGGGTCAAGGTCGCGGCCGTGGCGGCCGCGGCGGTGCCCCTCAGCCCCAGGCATAGGAGTTCCCAGTCGCTTTGAGGTACAGCGCTAGGGACCTTCTAGCAGCGCAAACACTGAGCATTTTGCAAAAAGGAACCAACGAATTAAAGAAAACAGATACGGACAGGGAAGGGGGCGCTATCAATGGAGGAATGACTGACATTTGATCACGACGGCGTTTGTCTTGTTTCTGCATACCACACACACTTCTTTTTTCTTTACACACCTCTTTTACTTCTACGTTGTTCTTTTCGGAAATGCCCTTTTCTTGTCATGTACACTGGAGCGCGCGCTGGAGTGTCTTCATTTTCTATCTTTCGCGTCCTATTTGTTTTCTCGTTTGCTGCATAGCTTTCGGAGCTTCTGGGGCGTGTGTACCTTTTTCGGGACACTGGCATGTGGGTTTTGCTTTTACTCTTCTGGTTCTCTGATAGTTGGAAACTGGGAAAAGAGAAAGAAAGAAGAATGCATAAAATGCGTTTGAGCGCCGTGAGAAGTTGAAACGACGAAAAAATTGATGACTATTCATATCCTTCTTTTTCCTCGATCACATCCTGCAACACCATCTCACATTTCTCCGAATGTTGCCTTCTGATGTGCTAATGTCCGAGACTCCCACCCATTTCTAGAGGTGGCATAGGACGACTTAATGCACGATAGTTCCGAGATCAGACACGCAGCTAAAAGAGCGGACATCAAGTTGTGTTTCGATGGCTATGGCTCTGTTCTTCGAGTACCTGGTGCATTTCTATAGGTAGCTACACGCAGTACACTCTTTTACACATGTGAAGGCCCCTTCACTCGCACTTCTGCAAGAGGCATCGATGGCCGTGTCCTACCCTTGTGGTGGCTGCATATGCATGTCGACGACAGCAGCGCCTCCTCGACTGCGCCAAACCATGGTTCGCCAAGGAGGTGTGGAGTTCAGGTGGCATGGTAGGAGAATTCGGAGGAGGGTTCTTGGGTCAAGGTGGAGGACCAGTCACTTGTGAACATCTGAAGTGGTTGCTTCCTTTGGCTGATGTGTATACGAGGATCAACAGGTCCGCAAAGCTTGGGCAGTGTCAGCCCTGTCAGATAGATGAGTCCTGGGAGCCGGAAGTGATCAGGAGACAGGGGCCTTGTCCATCTCCGGCGGATCTTATCTGGAAGGAAGTGGCTCCGTGGTTGGACGTGCAGAAGATTTGCGTGTTGACCAAACCATGCAGCAAGCAACGATTCTCTGTACATCTCAATAGCATAGTATTCTACTTCCTGTTCGCTCTATCTTCTTCCAGTCCACAACAGTAACTATTTGCATGGATTCTCGCAGGCCGCGAAGTGAGGCTCTGAGGCAACAAACGCGTCCGTGCACGACGGAGTCAAGCGGATTGCCAAGAGAGGCACCTGATCTATGGGGTGAGGGACGGCAGCGACGACTCTTTGGTTTTGCGGTTCTGATCGCATTCCACGCTCAACGACATCGACGACAGCAAGAGCAAAGCCTTCTCGACAGTGACTGCCTTGCGCATGCGACAACTATTCTCCGCTCTGCCGCGACACCCGTGAGCAGTCGACCCAGGACTGTCACCTCTCTCTGCCGCCATCTGCTGTCGCTTGCCGCACTGCCCACCCGGGTCAAAGCAAGCCACCAGCACAAGCAACCACCTTGCTCCTCCCCCTTCGAGTTTTGTCGCTTTCGAAAATTAGCCACGCCCTTTGTGGCAGTGTTTGATTGTACCCACTACCACCATGGACACGTCGATGGCATTGCCGGTCGTTGCGACCGAGCCCACGAACGTCTCCTCCGACGCTGCCCTGCCCGAAGCTTCCAACTTGTCCAAGCACCCCGAACCCGCACATGCCTTGACTCCACCCACTTCCGAGGACAACAACGCTAGAGTCGACGATGACGCTTCTTCTGACCTGTCTGAACTGGACCTCGACTTGGACGACGAGGAAGAGGTCGAGCCAGACCACTACTGGGGTGATGGCAAAGTCCCCGTCTTCAAACCAGTACGTCACATGCTCACTATCACAAGCTACTCGTATCTCTAACTCATTTGCGACAGACAATGGCACAATTCCGCGACTTCAAAAAGTACATTGACAAGATCGACAAGTACGGCATGAAATCTGGTATCGTAAAGGTTATCCCGCCCCAGGAATGGAGAGATGACCAGCCCGCCCTCGACGAACTCGTCAAGACCATCAAGATCAAGAACCCCATCTCGCAAGAGTTTATGGGCACACACGGAATCTACACCCAGGCCAACATCGAGAAGCAACGCTCCTACAACCTGCCTGAATGGAAGGCGCTCACTGAAGAAACTCAGTACCAGCCTCCTGCCAGAAGAGGACAGCGTCGCAGAAACCAAGGACAGGCCGCTAGGGGTGCTGCAGCCAAGACTCGCACTTCGGCCAGGACATCGGCCCCGAAAGATGCTACTACCAAGAGGAAACCTGGCAGACCTCGCAAGAACCCTTTGAAGAACGAGGTCGAAGACGACGAGGACCAGAACTCGTCCAGAACCAGCCAAGTTCCGCCAACGCCCACATCACCCGTACTCAAGTCTACCGAGCCTTCTGAACATACAACTCCAAGCAAGCCGAAACCCAAACCAAGAGGACGTCAACCCAAGGCAGGCCAACAGAAGTCTGTTTCGTCTCGCAGAATGAACAACACTACCGAGACCAACGACGATTATGACGAAGCTGCCTTCAAGGATTTCGACTACCACATGGACGATCTGGATGAGTTCACTGCCGAGCGATGTGCTGAATTAGAGACTGCATACTGGAAGAGTTTAACATTCGCCCAACCAATGTACGCTGCTGATATGCCTGGTTCATTATTCAAGGACGAGTGTGATGTCTGGAATGTTGCAAAACTGCCCAACTTGCTTGATGTGCTTGGAACCAAGGTCCCCGGTGTCAATACTGCTTATTTGTACATGGGAATGTGGAAAGCTACTTTTGCCTGGCATCTGGAAGATGTTGATCTTTACAGCATCAATTACATTCATTTCGGAGCACCCAAGCAGTGGTACAGTATCTCGCAAGAGGACGCCAGAAAGTTTGAGAAAGCGATGCGAAGCATTTGGCCTAACGATTCAAAAGCTTGCGATCAGTTCTTGCGCCACAAGACTTATCTCATCTCTCCAGAAATCTTGCAGAAGCAATTTGGCATCAAGGTCAACAAGCTCGTCCATTACGAAGGTGAATTCGTCATTACATACCCCTACGGATATCACTCAGGATACAACATTGGCTACAACTGTGCCGAATCTGTCAACTTCGCGACCGAATCCTGGCTCGACTATGGACGTATTGCTAAGAAGTGCGAGTGCGAGGCTGACAGTGTCTGGGTTGATGTCGGTGAAATCGAGCGTAAGCTTAGAGGTGAACCTACTCCTGAGTATTACGAAGAAACCGACGATGACGACGAAGATGAAATGGATCTGGATATTGCGACTGATCTTCCCAGTCCTCCTGCGAGTGTTGCAGGCAAGCCGCAATCGCAAGCTCGCAAGCGCAAGCGGGACCCCAAGGAGAAGGACGCAGGCAAAAAGAAGAAGCGCATCAGAATCCTTATCAAGGGTCCTCACCGCGAACCTTGTGTCCTCTGTCCGAACGATCCTCCCAACGAGCCTCTATTGCCTACAGACAACGGCCAACAAGCGCATCGCTGTTGTGCTCTCTACACCCCTGAAACCTGGATTAATAGCGAGGATGGAGTTGAGAAGGTCATTGGTGTTGCTGGTATCAACAAGGCACGCCTCGACCTCAAGTGCAATTTCTGTCGATCTAAGCGGGGTGCTTGCTTCCAGTGTCAAGCAAAGAAGTGCACTAGAGCATATCACGCAACTTGCGCGCTTGCTGCTGGTGTACAAATCGACGTCGGCCCTGTACCAACCTTTGGCGAGGACGGAACTGAGTACTTTGAAGAGGGCATTGACTTGAGATGCCGCTTCCATCGTCCCAAGCGTGCAAAGAATGTGGATATCGATGCTTTGGAAAACAGCAAGCTCATCAACACGTTTGCTAGATCTCTCAAGCAAGGCGATGCTATTCAGGCTCAGTACCCAGGCGGCGATATTTTCGCAGGCGTCGTCGAGGAAAATCGCTCAGGTGAAGCATCGGTTCTTATCAACATGCTTCCTTCTGGCGATCAAGTTGAGGTCGAATGGAAGTGGATCCTGGTCTTGGACCCTATTGATTCTGAGCGTCCTAAGCCCTCACCAACTGCTATTCCTATGCCGGAGGGTATGAGCAAACAGTCTGTGTCGATCGAGAACCGCCAGGATGGTGTCCCCATGATGGATACTCCCTTCCACGAAGACGCAGCCTGGAAGTGGGCCGACTTCCGTAACCTACAGAATCCTCCTCAAGGCTATAGCACAGCCGTCATCAAGAACTCTGATCAGGTCAAGATCGACTTGAAGAAGCCTGATCAACTGTATTACTACCTGCCAAAGAAGTCGACAGAAGCCAAAGGCAGGTTCACTGACGACCCTAAGGGTCAAAATCACGTCTTCATGGGCGACTTCATGGAGCGCGTCAAGCCTGCTAAGCCTTTCAGACCTGTTGCACCATCATACACTGGCGGATACACTGGTGGTTACACCATGCCGCAAGTTTCGCGACCTGTGCAAGTGCAGAACAGTGAGCGGCCATATATGTACAAGCCCAAAACTCCCGCTTATCCTGCAGGGAGCTACAATCTGGATGCACGAGCGCTGGCCTCTCAGCAACAATTCATCCAACAAGCTGATCCTCGAAGAGCCTCGTACGCGACTGGGCTCTACTCTACTCAGCCCACTCCTTCGCTTCGTCAGCAACACAGTGAGCCAACGGGCTCATCCGCAGCTCCACTTCGTCCCTTCTCGGAAGGCTACTACTCGTCAAGAACTTTGCCCGCTGCTATTCCTGGTGAATACTCGCAATTTCATCAACAGGTGCGCCGTACATCAGGCGGTCCTTTGACAACTCAACCTTACCAGACACCACAGCCTTACGGAACTACTTCACACATCTCTCAGCCAAGTGCGGGTAGCCCCCAGACAGGCGCCGAATATGTTCAGCCGCAGGCTACGAGTCGTGCTATCTTACCACATTACGGTAGCCCAGCTAACGACTTGTTGACCAAGAACGGACCTGCAGCGCAGCCTTCAGTTCATGATAGGCAAGATTCTGGTGGTAGACCTGCAGCTCAGTCACCAACAACACCTGGCGCCCGTCTTGCCAACGGACAATGGACTCCACCTTCGCAGATCTACCATGCATATGATCGCGCGCATTCACAGTTCCCTCCTCACAACTCATATCGTCCACAGCCAACATACCAGACCCCACAAGAGTTCCAGCAGCAGATTGGCATTCAAGCCCGCCTGCCAAGTATCTCAAACCGTTATGGAGCATACGATCGCATGTTGAGAGATGCTGCCAGCGCACAATCAACACTACCGCATCCATCCAACCCTTATGGCATGTCGACGACAACAGCTGGCGGTGCGCCAAATGGGTTCTCCATCCCTGCGACATATCCTAGTCCAAAGGCGCCCACGGCGAGCCCGCTGAGTGATACCCAGACACCTCGTGCGCCTAGCCCTGGCACGAACTACCGTGGTCCGGGATGGAGCGGTCCACCACAGTACCCCTCTTCGCAGAACGGCATGCCGGGCCCAAACAACACTTTGCCGTCGCTGCAGTCAATGACACAGGGAGGTCCATTTGCTGCAGCCCCTCATCCACCACCTTCTCAGCTGTAGTATTGGCGAGGGGTGTGAAGGATGACATGGCATGATCACGATGGAAAGAGGGGATGAAGCCATGAAGTTTTTCTTTTTCCTTTTTCTTCTTACTAGTACAAGGAGGGTCTACACAGAGTGTGCAAGGGCGTCGATCAAATCAGGAGGAATCAAGGGAAAACTTGGGGATCAAAGGATTGACCTTTGGGGGACGGCGTTTTTCTACTATTTCTTCGTTTTTTCTAGTCTGGGTCCTTCGTGACCTTGTGTTTTCACTATTATGGCTTTGAGTGAAAAGCCTTTACCTACAAACCTTTTATTGCTTCTTTCTTGAAATTCATGATTCGTGCTGTTCACCTCGTGAAGTCGTACTTTCAAGTTGAGCAACGACTTTGTTCATTGGCTTCTCAAATCCGAGTATTGAATTCTGCCGATCTAATTACCCCCATGAAACATCAATTGATCCTGGCAACTTTGACGAGCTGCCCAACTACTCGTCCGACCTCTGTGATGGAGGGTGAATTCGAGGAGCCTCGGCACGCGAAAAGGTCTGGTGATGTAGCTGTGAGGGAGAGCTAGGAAGTCCATCAGGTTCACGAAGCATTGTTTCGTGTTGACAGTTTCTTGAACACTCAGAGGTGAGTTACTGCGTAATCTTGCACTTGGCGGAAGTGGGGGTGGGTTTAAGGGGGGAAGAAAGAGGGCGAAGCTTGAAGAAGTCATTGACCTGATTTCCATCTCCTTGACCTTTTTCCCTCTTGCAAGAAGACTCTTTGCATCCAGAAATCGGAATCTCTTGACCATAAAGGCCACTTCTGTGATCTCTGTGCCATTTGTCGTAGAGGCTCATGTTGCCCGAAGAGATTAGATGATTGGTTTTGTCCATGATTTCTTTGTTGTAGAATTGCTATCTTAAGAAGGACAGTCAAGATAGAGGGAATTCTTGTACGGGGTTTGGGGGTACGCGGTCGATGGTTCAAGAGTGTTGCATAGGCTGTTGATGGACAAGATATGAGATAGTTATGTATCTAGCGATAGGTACGTATCTCTTGATCCTCATCGAACTCAGAATCAAAGGCGTGCTTTCTGATAATACACAGTTCTTTGGTATAAAGAGTCCATGCGAAATGTATATGGAGGTCTTTGCTTGTAGCGAGGGCTGCCGATAGTGGTGGCGCTGATTCAGGGGAGAATCTGCAGAAGTCTGGTGGGGGTGTTGAGTGGGAATGCTTTGTAAGGAGGCAAAGGTAAGAAAGAGAGGGAACCGGGTCTGTGGTCCTGTATGCGGTATTGGAGCTCTCGAATACAGATTCAATCACGATGTTATGGAGCTAGGACGGGAGGAAGATCGAGGGTCATTGACCTAGTTCTTCTATCTCCTGCTCTCTTGCAATGGACTTAGAAGATTGATGTAGGTTCGACTGAACAATCGGTCTGGGTGGATGTGCTGGCTCTCGTCCCGGCGAGAGGGAATACAACGATGATCAGATGGCGAGCGTGAAGACAAGTGTGGGCACTGGTTCTTATACTGTTGAGTGATCAAACCTCCACAGAATTGGGCTCTCAGTTGAGATAGGTAGCGCTTGTTTTCGATGGAAAAGATGCGGGTTATCGGTGATTTTGCAAGATTCGCAACATGCTACCTTAGTGTTCTGCTGATACTCCTTGATAGTGTAGCTGACAGCTAGAAACTAGACACGCGTTTGGCTTATTTTTTCGCTCTGCTTCCGATGTGAGGCGCATATCAGAGTTCTAAGGAGCCATCAGAGCTTTGGGATGGGCTCTTAAAAAGGCAGCTTCGTCCATATGACATCTTCATGGCTCATGGTGAGAAATGGTCTCGAGTGATGGATGTGGTTCTCATGATGGAGCTTCGCTTCTTGGGTAGATCTGCATACACAATAGGAGAGGAGTGAGAAGGAGGTAAACCAGGTTTGTGGATCCAGTTTTTCCTTTGTGTATTACTCATTGAACCAATTCTCACAAATGATGATCAGGAGGTTCTCTACTCCCATAAAATGTGGATCTGGGCAAGAGGAAGAATCGCTGACCTGATTGTTGCACCTCGGTAATGTGATATCCACATGTCAATCTCTCCAGACTACTGAACAACGCTGCGCTGAATGTGTGGGCAGTCTCTGCTGAGTGACGCTTGCCCACGCACTCGTGGACCCAGCGTGATTTGTATCGGAGCGAAAGATGTTCGGCTTCTTAAGTCTCGCTCTAAACCCCTCATTCATCTACCATACTTGACTGACAGTATTCTGTCTGTTGTTGTACAGACTTTTTCACTATCGTGAAGTTGCCATCTCCGTCCACTTTGGTTCCAACCCCCAACGCTGCTTCCGAGTCATCTGGTAGCATGAAAGCGTAGCCACGCTTTCAAGATGTCGAGATGCACAAGCCGATAGATGCTCTGAATATCTTCTCCTAGATCTCATATCATCAACCACCATCGTCGAATAGCTCTGCAACCAGCAAGTTTAGTCTGCCCCAGCTCAAGCTAAAGTAACCCTAGTCATATGATGCATGCTGCTTTGATATCGAGGAGAAGGGTAGAGCACTCTTGGACCACCAGTGTATCTAGCACAACAAACCCACCACCCTTTCACCTATTCCCCCCTCAACCCTCACACTCCCACCAACTCAAAAACACCCTCTCCAAGCCAAAGCTCTACCCTCAAACAGCGAGCAACCCAAACAAAAGATACGTCCTCTTGTAATAATCGCCCGTACTCTTTCTCAAACGCTCTATAGCTGCATCTTCCAACTCAGCCTTTGATTTGAGATTTGAGATTGCAGTATCAAAGCTAGCGGTGTTGGGGTTGGACACGGCGAGGATTTTGTCGAGGTAGAGGATGTCGAAGGTTGCTTGGATGAGTTTGGGGGATGGAATCGATTGGGTCGAAAAAGTGGTGTTGGCGTTGGTGTTGGTGGATTGTTCTTGAGCTTTGTCATCCACTGATACACCATCTTCGGTGAAATCCGGTTTGGATTCTCCGTTGATTGAAGTATCGCCAATCACACTTGAGGGTGCTGCTGTTGTAGTGGAGCCGTTGGTGTGGGTTGTGCTCAGTAGAGTATCATTGAGTGAGTCAAAAATGGTGCTTCGCAGTCTGTTCTTGAGAATTGACAGAGCGGAAGGCGACCACAGATCACTCCCAATATCCGTCATTGTCTTGCAGGTATCATGCAGATATCTGAAGCAAGCCGGTGAAGGTTGCACGGGAAGTGGTGGCGAACCTTCCCATAATGCTGTTGCAGGAGCACGAACGAAAAGTTTAGGCGATTTTGTCGTAGATCTCTTGAGCTCGACAGACTTTTCTAGCACTTGCTCAGCCAGCATCTCATGCAGGGTCTGGAATAGTGATGGTGGTGGTTGGGTGATGGAGGTCTGAGTCTCGCCAAGGGCTGCCTGATGTCTGAGTCCTCTCAGGAGTCGCAACGATCGTACTGTGCGGCCCTTCTTGTCCACATAGGATTGTATCTGCTCGTATGCATCCTTCAGCGACTTTGCTTTTTCCGATGCGAGCAGTTTCTGCAGCTCATCAGGGTCTTCTCTAGCTAGCAGATCTTGAGGAGAGTCGATCTCAAAGTCATCTTCAATGCCGAGATCGAGATCGTCGTTCCATCTGTCATCGCGCATCGACTTGATTGTGGTGGACCATGTGGCCAAGTCGGAAGACCATGAGTTTAAAGATAGTACGAGACCCTGTAGAGAAGCATCTTTACCTTGAGAGGCATTATGAATCAAATTTCTGAAAGTGATGGAGCCCTTTCCAGGCTCAATCTCCAGATTTGCAGGATCCCAGAGGTTCGCAGCGGGTCCGGGATTGACGATGGACTGGATGTATTCGCCCCTCAGGTAGGGACCGACAATATACTCACCAACGTTGGCAGATTCGACGACCAAGTCACGGAGACGACGGTTGAAGGAAGCACGCAATTCCTCAAAGAAAGTAGCCGGATCAAGACCTGGCAGCTTCCGATCGGCAGACAGAGAACGAGATATGAAGTCTTTGCGTAGCGAAACAACGACAGAGACTTCGTGCGTGTCATCGAGCAGGGAGTTGAGTCCTTGCATGAGTGTCGATCTTGCTTGAGCGACCCACTTCTTCAGTACCACTGTGGCGGCCGACCCTTGCAATTGATCATGCCTGAGCCAAGGAGTGAACTTGCGTACATCGTCCGAGATCCAGCTTTCGTAGATCTCGAGGCTGAGTTCAGGCATATCCTGAATAGCTGAACCCTGCAGTAGGGGTTCGTCCTGTATTCTGCCCAGAAGAGCAGAGAGCTGTTTCGGGAATACGATCTGCACCTCCTTGATTGTTGTGATGAGCAGACCCAAGGCATCGTGTAGCTGAGCCTGAGTGGGAGATTTGACAAGATCACCAAGGCTAGAAGCTCGCACATGTAGGAAGTGGTTCAACACATCTGTTGGTGTGGATGTGGTTGCAAGCGAGAAGGCAGCCAATGTGTCGACCAGGGCCGACTTCTCAAGGGTAGCGGACACCAGATACTTGTCAACATGACTCAACAACTTACGACGAAGTGAAGTCAACTTCGTCTTTAGATGGTCAAGCAGGGCAGGCGGGTCCGGAGATTTGGAAGCACTGGTGTACAGCAATCTAGAGATAACAAGAAGCTTTGCAGCACGCAATGAATGATTTCCGCGTCTGATTAGTTGGAGGGCGTGCGCCATACAGCGTTGGAGAAGAGCAATGTTGGAAGCAAGAGCATTGCGAACATGGTTTCGATTCCTCTGAGCATTGGCAGTCTTTCGTTGATTGGCGGCAATGCGCTCGATAGCACGAGCATTGCATTTTGAGCCAATATTCCCGAGGCAAGTATCGATTGAATGTATCTGTTGGTCCATTTCCACAATGCGTTCGGCAGTGCTTAGCAGATCGCGGTAACTGTTGCCGACCAAGGAGCGCAACTTGTCGCTGTTCTCATTGATATTGGTGCGAAGTTGTTGCTCGAGCCGGCGCACAACCGGGACTGGATATTGGAAAGCATCTTCCCACGACTTGAATTCCCTAGGATTGGGAGCCTGATTTGTGGTCATGTCTTTGCGAATTGTTGTATGCAATGGACGCGATGCCAAGGATGGAAGTGGTTGTTGTCCAAATGGAGCGTTTGCGATGCCGATATTTCTCCGTCCCTTCGATCATCAAGGTTGAACAAACTCCTTCCTGTCGCATGTCACAGGAGCAGCTGCCAAAGACGTAGGTTATTGCTGAGTCTATGGATCGGGTTCCGACATATCCTATCTGTCACACTACCAGCCACATTGATAGCTCCGTCTTCTGTCAATCCCCATATAATCGGTACGAGCCAGTACAATCATGAATACCAGCAACTCGCAGCAGCCCTCGCATGACGCTGAACGGCCATTTGCCGGACTCGAAATCGATGACTACGAGGAAGTGATGAACACCAAGGCGCGACTCGACAAAGCACGTCAAGAGGTGGACAAAAGATACGAGGCTTTGTCAAAGTGTCATCTCGATAATATGACCTACGCAAAGGCACAGCTCGATCACGCACGCCAGAAAGAGAAGGATTGCTTCGAGGATTTGGAGTGGGAACACAATCAGCTTGTCAAAGTCGTGTCGCTGTTCGTTCGACCTGAGGCTGGCGCTAGCACTCGTGGCACTGAAGAGCTTGGGGACGACACCGACACATCATCGCTTGGTCTGCTTCCGGGACCAAGGCGGAAAATACGGCCACCCACCAGGGCTCGTACTACTCGTCCAGTATCGCAAGTTGGCCGGCGAACCCAAGCGGCTGGTAAACATGCAGCAGCACGAGGCTCGTCGAGATCTCTTGGTTACCCATCGTTTCTGCCAGGTCCGACTCTTGGCTTGCGCGCAAGAAACGATGCTCGACTCAAAGCCCTCATTGAGACCGTAGCTACGGGCAAAGCATCTCAGGACCAGAAAAATGTCTTTCAGACAATCGTAGACGGTATAAATGTCAAAAACTTCCGGAACGGGTTCATTCGCAATGAGGCTCTTCACAGTGGACATGGTTCTGACCCAGCTTTTCTCGCTGTCATCTGCCTTCAATTCTGTCAAACGGATTCCGATTAATCAAACGTCAGCATTTAGACGCTCTTCTCATGCTACTTCTCGTTGGTCTTTCAGGTGTAGAGCTTTGCACCGTGCATCTTGATATTATATATTCAGCATATTCAAATCGTATCTACAAATCTATCCTGTACTTATCCGGAATAAACCCTTATGAGCCTGTGGGTGCCCTCTGTGGAAATATGTTCCCAGGGCGTGTTACTCTCTCAAGCAAGATCAACATATGAAACTTGGAGCTCGTCTTGAACGGACAAGGTGATTGATCTGTCACTTTCTTAGACCAGTGACACCAGCGAGTGTCGCAGTCCGGGCTTCAGCTTGCCACGACAAACAACATCTCAAGCGGATTTTACGTGACAAGACGACAATAAAGCGTCATTTGCCGCGCAACTGATGCCACTGCGACGTCCATGCGAGCGAAAGTCACATCGCCTCCATCCTTTGAAAGACAGCTGGATCGTTGCCAATAGGCGAAGGACGAGTGAAGTGGATGCCAACAGCATTACTCCGATGGCAGGACAACAAGATGACAAACAGGAACGCAAGGCAGCAGTCTTTGTGAAGCACAACGACGCAAAAATTTCACCATCACGTTGCGCATCATCAACACCATTCGTTCCTCATAACATTTCTTCTTCAAGACCCAGTCGTCAGACCGAGCACTCAACGAAAAAAAAGATGATTCGCGTCAGCTCGAGGTAGTGCGAATACGAGCGACACTGTGCCACAGAACGTGAGCAAGCCCAGAGGTTCTGCAGCTGGTTCCAAAAATAAGAATAATCATTATTGACGGTCCGTAGACCGGTCACAGCGATTAAACTATGAAGAACAGATACTACACTTGATCTAAGCCAAAAGGCAAGAGACTTGAGAGGAGAAAGAGGAGGGCGAGGGGGAGGAGGCTTATATAGTGCTGAGTGGGTGGACGATATTATGTAAGCAGTGTTTGAGATACTGGCAAACTGGAATAGGCAGTGAAGGATGAGATGGGGGTGGTGGTGTAGTGAGGGTTTCCGGACTGTATTGCGAGGGATGGGAGGACTGATAGCGTGGCATCTGTCACCTCCTGGAGGCCAGTTGATATAATTTGACTTTTCTCTTGATATCCTGAGGCGTTATGTACTCTCCGTCAGATCCAGACATACTAAGGGTAGTCAAGATACCGGAGTGTTGGCATAAGTGGTAAGCTGGAGGAGAGTCCAATGTGCCAGGTGTGTCGTTACCAGCTCTCGCGCAACGAACGCGAAGAGCGTCATTGCCTGTATATATGCTTACCAAGCTACATTGCCGGATAGCAGTAAGTCCTCTACACTGTGCTTGGGTGGAAGGTCTTCTCTGCTTCAATGAATTCTGCCCCGGGCGCAAAGAAGTGCAGTCAATATCAGTGCAAGCGCCCGAAGCTCGCGTCTCCAACAGACCCACCACATGACGTCCCAGGGTCCATCTGCACTGTGCAGCAACAGAAACACCTTTTCGAATTCACATTTTCCAAAACCACACAAACGCGATCATCAGAAAACTCGCAAACAGAATGCCAGATCCATTACAAGTCCTCCCTGCAGAGGTCATCCTCCGCTGCATCGAATTCACAACTCTATCCGGTATCGCAGCTCTCAACTCGACCACAAAAGCCTGGCATGGGTTTCTAGACGCCACGCATCAAGACACGATTTACTCAACCCAAGCGCATGATCTCTACTCTTTACACCCCCGCAGCGATCGTGAGACTCTCTCTCTCAATCGCGATTTTAAAGTCTTTGGGACACCACAAAATGATAGAAGTTTTGTAAAGTATTTCCATGGTGTGCAGAGTTGGAAGGATTTTTGTAAGAGATTGATATTGTTGGAGAGGAATTGGAATGCCAAAAGGCCGGTGGTAAGAGAGAGTGTGGTGCAGGTGGGTTACGATCCGGTGTGGCGCTTCAAGCCTGATTTCAAGAGGAGGTTTATTGTTTCGACTTCGCAGGCTGGTGGGGTATGTGTGACTGATATGGATGACGGAAGGATGTTGTGGAGGTTGAGGAGGGAGGATGTACGCATGTGTGAGTCGAGCTTGAGATGTGGACATCACGGGCGATGTTGGCGTTTCTTACAGTCTATACAGCGACGGTATCTCACGGGACTGAGCGCATTCGTCCAGCAAAGCCCTGGTGTTCACGTCATCCAAATTCGTGACAATCTGCTAATGTCGGGTCAGGTGCACATCTCGAATATGATCAAGAGAGCGGGACAGCATGTTGGGATCGATTCGGCAACGCAATCGAAGTCTGGAAAGCCGACGAAGTAGAAAGAGGAACCTTCCATCGTACAGGAATCCTCGAGCACGACTGCGAGACTAGAGGATTCCAACTCTCGCGCTTCAACGACAAGGAGACCCTATGTGTGGTTTCCTCCGAAGGCAAAGGATTTGTCTGGGATCTTTCCGTACATCCGCCACAACGACAAAAGGTTCTGGAGATCGAGAATGAGGCCGTGGGACACCTGGACCAAGGACAAGATACCGTGTGCTATAGTATGGGTACACGCGGTTACCACGTCTGCAGCAAAACCACCGGCGAAATGCTGGGTAAACTTGATCCTAAGGACTGTCAGAATATCTACCACATCGCACATCCTCCTCCCCAACTAACTCTGAGCATGGGCGCCCCAAATCATGGCCCCACAGCACAAGTGTGTCCTCCACAGTCGCCTCGCAAAGATCGCCTTACACCACTGAAACTCTACAATGGACCGCATCCAGTACCGCGCTCGCCTCTAGCAATCGAGAACGACGAATGGGGCTCTGGAATCATCTCAGGAAACTACATGTGTGGAGTATCTCGCGGCGGCCGCGTCTTCATCTGTACGGATTTCTTGGGTGCACTAGCAGATCCAGCACGCTTTGCCTCTACTACAGCAATACTGCATACCGAAGGCGATGGCTCAACCTTTGAGCTTGGCGGCTGGCTGACGCTCAAAAACGGACGCGCTGCTTTCGAGATCATCGATAACGTTTACATCTTTACTCTACCTGATTCTGGGACACTTCCTGAGGTTGGAGAGATACAGAGGCCTATTTGGGCTACACCGATTAGTTCGGCACAGCAACTCGCTGTACCGGTCAGCTTTATGGGAATTTACGATGATTGTATCATGTATACTTATACAACACTTGGCTTCCGCAGCTCCTCGCCGCGACAACGACGGAATGGACAGAATACTCGATCTGAACGCACGCGAGCATTCCCCACAAAGGCGATCAGGATATTGAGTCTAGCGCCCGATTTATCTCAACCAGGTGAAGAGTTGTCCTATATCGAAGGCTTGGAAGTCAACGACAACAATCCCCGCGGTAATGACACCTCTAGCATCAGAAGCGGAAGCGCACCACGCGCCCGAGGCGCAGCCATGCAAGCCGGCCTCCTCCAACTGATGGCCCTCCTCACCAATGACCAAGAGGACGAAACCTCTAACTCAGACTCTGACAACTCCCACCCTAACGATCGCGAACCAGCAGTCCTCGACGAGGCAGCAAGAGCCGAACTCTACGCCTCCATCACCGAACAAGAACAGGCAGAGTGGGCTGAAGACGACGCTTATGAGCAGATGCTGGAGATGGAAGATCGACAGCAGATAGCTGAGATGATGGGGTTCGGTGATGGGGAGGAAGAGGCGATGGAGATGTTGAGGAGTGATGATGAGGATGAAGTTGCTGTTAGAGGCCCTTATGCACCGAGTCTGGATGATGATGAGGATGACGAGTGGGAAGATGAGGGAGATGTGGTTTGAGAGGTAAGAGGTCAAGTTGTTGATGTCTCACTTTGATGTGTAGCCACATGGCAGAGCAATGATAATGCACAGAGAATCACGTAATATCAGACCATGGCCAGAGAAGCATGTCTCGAGGACGTGCTCTCAACGAGACAGCACTGTGTTGCAACATATCTCTATGCAGTATGATAGCTATATGCATCGAACCCAATTTTCTCCACGCTGCGATGACCTCTGTTAGCAAACCATGAAATTGCACAAAGGTTTCCAGAATAGGAGATTTTTTTGCAGGAATACATCCGGAAATGCCACCCCCAACAGACCACCACACCTCTCCCCATAAACCCCATCTGCATTTCTATAGCCACACGAATCACTTGAGTTGCAACTACGAGATCAAGATCAGAGCCTCGTGCGTCAACGCAACATTCTCATACTACTAACCTCCACACGAACTTTGTGCGGAAAGCAAGTTCGACGTCGACCCGAGTCTCGATCGTGGGTGCCTGTTTCAAGTGACATGGGTAGGGACAGATGCGTGCGACCGCAATGGGACCCGAGGAGAACTCGGGAGGATGAAGACGGAGCATTTCTGGTGGTGGAAAAAGAAGGGGAGGTTGAAGTTGCTGAGGAGGGGTTTTATACTGGAACTCTTGAATAGACATCAGGTAAAAGTGATGAAGCAAATCCTGGTGCAGAGAGATGGGTATGATATGTTTGTGATGGCAAAAACGTGTTTGAGGAGAGAGAGATGAAAGCCTGAAGTGTCAGCAAAAACACAACAGAGTCAAACGAGAGAAACGATTCGTGATTCGTCTATGAGATTTCAACACTACTCGGCCTTGTAGTACTGACGCCAATTATGCTGTTCCTTGAAACCCAAAACCTCTCTGATCTTCCTATTGCTCAACGGTGCCTCAAACTCACCCATCTTGCGAGTAATGGGTGTGTTCGGAGCTACCTTCTTCAGGTACTCCTCAGTAGGTGTCGTGGTCGTAATAGTATCATTAGTAGCATTGAAAATCTCAAAGCCCAAACCATCCTTTTTGATGCACAAATCGCAGATTTGACCCAAGTCACGGGCGTCAATGTAGGACCATGCATTTCGCTTTCTGCCCTCGGGCTTGCCGACGATGTTGGGGAAGTCTCTCTCGTACTCGTGAGGTTCGATTACGTTGCCGATGCGGAGCACGTAGATGTCGCGGTCGTTGAAGCGGCGGGAGAAGGACCTTGCGGTTTTCTCACCGCAGATCTTGGATAGTGCGTATGTGTCCATGGGATCGACGTCGTAGTCCTCCTCGAGTGGGAAAGAGTGGTAGTCAGTGTCGCCCTGGGAGAAGCAAACGCCATAGGTGGTTTCGGAGCTGGCGATGATGATCTTGGGGACGCCGAGTTTGCAGGCTGCTTCGATTACGTTGTAGGTTGCGAGTACGTTGCCTCTGAAGCATTCGTTGTCTGGGACGAGCATGTTGCGTGCGTAGGCAGCAAAGTGGATGACTACATCTGGAGGTTGGGGGACCTGGTCCTCGTCGTACCCAGCGAAGTTGTAATGAGATGTGAGGGCATTGAAGACTTGGCCGCTGTCTGTGAGGTCGGCCTTGAGGGTGAATATGTTGTGGTCGGTGCCAGGGAAGTCGATGAGGTCGACATTGAGGACTTGGTGGCCTTGCTTGAGGAGCTCTGGGATGCAATGGCGTCCAGCCTTGCCGCTGCCACCAGTGAATACGATTCGTTTTCCAGTTGACATGATACTTATGATTGATTGGGGTTGGGAGAAGGTGATAGCCGTGGGATTGGGAAGATGGACGCTGGAAGAAGAGAGAAAGAGTGAGACCTACCGCAGGCTATCTATATACTGAGTTTCCTATATCCATTCAGGCTATACTGCAGATGCAAGCAAGGTGAAAGAGGATGGTCCAGCAGACGTCATTTCGGCATTGGAAGCTTCTTTTTGGGGGGTGACAGATGCGGGGACCAACGAGGATTGTCTGCCGTCTCGCTCTCTGGGTCCAAAAGCACAATTCTCCTCAACTATTCTGCTGCAATCAACTCATGTTGGAGGCTCTTGGAAATACATGACAGTCTGGCCAATGCGCCCGTCGCTAGCAACTCGTCTTGTGCGCACTCCCACTCGCAATGTCGCCGCCTGCGCCGCCCCCGCCGTGACAGCAGCCCCTCCACCGGCTGCTCTCTGTCACAGCAAGCTCGATGCCCATCCTGGCGCCGCTACACCCACACCGTCTAGGTCTGTCCTGAGCCATGTCTGGTTCAGTAGCTCGGCTCCATACTCGCTACCCGACAGCGGTCTCGAGGGCGACCATAAGCCGCCGGACGAGCGCACTGTAAAGCTAGGCAAAAGTAGGTGATGTGCGAATACTCGAGAGTCAACAGACATTTACTGACAGATACTGCAATAGCTATTCGCATCTTACACGAACGTCTCCCTACTCTGCTCGCGTCACCGCTGCCACAAGACATACTCTCACCACAAATCTCACTCCATCTGTTCCCCTCGACACATCCACATTTACCGACGGTATCCGGACGAATCGCTTACCTCGCTGCACTATGGACAGCACCTGTAGCCTGGGGACGAGTACCTGTAGTGGGCAATGTCAAGCTCACAGTCATCTCGGAACGCATGATCCGCCATGGTGGAAACAATACCAGCTCGGCTTTCCGCGATGAGAAGCTCATAGTCAAATGGAAAACTTGTGGAAAAGCTAGAAAGAAGAACTCGGCAGGCATCTACCGTGGTATCGGAGCCAACGAGCAAGTAGAAAGAATCACAGATGTCCTCGGCGGCAAGGCAAGGGACGACGAAGAGTTCTGCGGTCTCTTCATCTTTGAGTTTGATGACCAAGGACGGATTCTCAAACATACGATTGAACACGCCGATGACGCATCTGGCTCGGAACGTACCAACAGAGTCGTTAGCGTGACTGACTGGCTGCTCGGCAAGGTCAATGGGCATCGAGATGAACATGTGCCCAGTCTCGCGTGGTGCAAGAACAGCCAGGTCAGAAGGGTGTTCCAAGGTCGTCGCAGGAGAGACTAGGAAGGCAAAGCATATTTTGGACATGGACATGTCGGCGTATTGGCAACAGGCAACGGCGTTCCGGTGACTGGGCTGGGGCTGGCAGGACTGGACTGGACTGGACTTCTCAACTCGATGCATTACTTTTACGTAAATACTTTCCTACTCTAGTGAGCTGTGTTACGACAATCTTTCGATATCGAACAGCTCCTGAGATGGTAGAATAGTTTTATACAAGTCGAGGGTGATAGATTGGTCGGATGAAGATCAAGCCGGGCGAGGACGATGGAAGTGGCCCCAGCTTGGATGATGCAGCGCCATGCAGCCGCCTACTGTACTCCGCTACCATCCGTCGCTGTCCTCTCTACCAACTATACTGAGTCCTTCCTTGTTTCTTGACCATCTTCGCGTTCCGTAATACTGGTCGCGCACATCTCACGACCTATAATACTGTCCCTCAACCTCAGTTCGCAGCTCTCGTGGCCCACGTCATACCCCTTAGCATAACCGCATGAGGCTCGCGATATAAACGACGGCATAATGGCTGACCACTTCAGTCAGTAGCTGTGCAAGAGCTTCGCAGAGACTGTCACTGACGCGTCGCTAGACCAAAACAACCTCAATCTTTCGGCCGACGAGAAACGCTACTATGGCCAGCTGTTCCAGCAGGCCGACACGGATCGTTTGGGTGTTGTAACCGGCGAGATTGCTGTGCGCTTCTTCGAGAAGACAAAGGTCGCTCCCAATGTTCTGGGTGAAGTACGTCGAGAGATACATACCTGACACGCCCAACTTCTCTGACACGCTGCGCCAGATCTGGCAAATTGCCGACCATGAGAACCGTGGCCTTCTCACCAAGCCTGGCTTCAGCGTAGCTCTCCGTCTTATCGGTCACTACCAGGCTGGTCGCGATCCTACTGCTGAGCTGGCCTTCCGACGTATGTCTCGAAACACTTAATCCTCACCTTTCAATCGCTAAACTTCGCTCGCAGCTGGTCCGTTGCCCAAGTTCGACGGCATGCCCCCACCTCCTCCTGCGCCCATCGCATCCGCTCCCTCTACCCCTGCCGCTCCCATCCAAGCTCAAGGTACTGGTATCAGGATACCTCCGCTCAATCCTGAGAAATTGACACAGTATGCCAATCTGTACGATCAGTCGGCTGGCGGTGGCTACCTGTCAGGTAAGTCTGATGCACAATACCCCGCAACCTACAACTATTGACATTCGTCAGGCGAGCAAGCAAAAGCCATCTTCGAGAGAGCGGGTCTGCCCAACGAGACTTTGGGACGTATCTGGCAATTGGCCGATCGCGAAGGAAAGGGTTCTCTCGACAAGACCGAGTTCTGCATTGCCATGCACCTGATCACCTGTTACAAGAGTCGCGCGTTGGCTGGTTTCCCTAATGTCCTACCTCCTGCTCTTTTCGAAGCCGCCGCTCGTCGTCCCAATCCTCCCGCTGCTCGTTCGCCCGTTGCTCCTACCGGTCCATCTGCCATCCCTCGTCAGTTCACTGGTCCTCAAGCTCGCGCCCAAAGCCCCCTTGCAAGAGCTGCCTTCGGAGCGCCGCCTGCCGTGGCTCCACAAATCACTGGTCCTACTTGGTTGATCGCTCCTCAAGAAAAGGCAAAGTACGACCAATTCTTCTCGAGCATCGATACGGCAAACAACGGTCATCTGAGCGGTGAACAGGCCGTCAAGTTCTTCAGCGACTCTGGTCTGCCTGAGGACACTCTTGCTTCTATCTGGGATCTAGCCGACATCAACTCGGAGGGACAGCTCAATCGTGATGAATTTGCAGTCGCCATGTACCTCATTCGCCAGCAGCGAAGCGGCGCTCCTCTGCCTGCTTTCCTTCCTCCCGCTCTCGTTCCTCCGGGCATGCGTAACCAACAACATCCTACTCCTCAGACAACTGCACCGGCATTCGACAATGCGAACAACTCATCGCAACTTCCTAAATCGGCCACTGAGGACTTGTTTGGACTGGACGAGCCCATGCCTTCGATCGCTAATCAGCAGCCTGCTCTTGCGCCTGTTTCGGCACAAAACACTGGAAGCGTTTTTGGTGCCGATCCTTTTGCTGGAAGTAAGCCGTCTTCTCCTCCACCCACCTCTCCTACCAGGAACTTTACTCCTCAGCAGACTGGTGGTGGTCCCGCATCTTTGTTCAAGCCCTTCATTCCTACTTCTGCATTCGGCGCCACCTTGGCAGCACAAAACACTGGAGGCAGCAATGCTCCCAGCAGCGCCCCCAGCAATAATTCCAGAAGCGTCCAGCCTCCCTCAGCAATGGATGATCTGCTCGGAGCTGCCAACGAGGATGAAACCAAGAACATTACTGAGGATACAACTGAGCTTGCAAACATGTCTAACCAACTCGGCAACCTCAGAAACCAGATGCAAGAGGTTCAGACTAAGAAGACTACGAACGAGCGTGATCTGGCTGCTTCGAGCGCGCAGAAGCGTGAGCTTGAGCAGCGTCTGGCCCATTTCCGTGCTCAATACGAGCAGGAAGTGCGAAGCGTCAAGTCTCTGGAGGAACAACTTGCTAACTCACGAACTGAAACCAAGAAGCTGCAACAAGAATTTGCCATGATCGAGGGTACCTACCAAGATTTGCAAAACCAGCACCAGCAAGTCGCCCAGGCCCTTTCTGCAGACCAGCAGGAGAATGCCAGTCTCAAGCAGCGCATCTCGCAGATGAACACTGAGATTGCTCAGCTCAAACCAACACTCGACAAGATGAGATCCGATGCCCGCCAACAGAAGGGTATGGTCGCGATCAACAAGAAGCAGCTGGCAACCAACGAGGGTGAACATGAAAAGATTCAGACTGAAATGGGTGACTTGAAGAAGGCTGCCGAAGAACATGAGCAGCAGATGCGAGAGCAAGCAGCACAAGAGGAGCGTTCTAGACAAGCAGCGCAGGAAGAGCGTCCGAGAGCTGTCGTCTCACCTCCTACCACTGTTGTTAGCCCTGCACCGTCAAACACTAATCCCTTCTTCAGGAAGTCTACTGTCCCTAGAGAGGAAGGCACTCTTTCGCCTGGAGGCGGTTTCTTGTCGAGTGCACCCAGCCCTAGTGCTTTCGATGCGTTGTTCGGTCCTTCGGCTGCTCAGCAGCAGGCCGGTCCACACACACCGCCTGTCACATCTTTCAGATCTGAGCCATCTGGTAATTCGGTTTCGTCTGACGGTCGCATGACTCCCGCATCTCCGACTCTGTCCGCCACCACTCACGATGAACCTCCTCCACCTCCTCCGGAGTCCAGACAATTCACTCCCAACATCTTGCCAATGCGTCAACCTTTGACTAGAGATCAGTCTGTTGCTTCATCCAACCGCGCAGCACCTCCTGCTAGTAGACTGGGTGAGCAAGATGTTGCTAGTGTCAACTCTCCTTGGGACGCTGCCCCTACCAGCTCCTACAGCGCCAACCCCTGGGGTGGTGAGAGCGTCGCTACTCCTCCTGCCCAAACTTCTGGCCCGGCTATCCAATCCCAGAACCACGAGAGCAACCATGAGACTACATCCAGAGATCTGCCTGAGCAGTTGGAAGAAGAGATTCCTGGAGCCTTCCCCGAAACTCCTATGGAAGTTCAAAGCACTGGTCAGTCCGCACAGGCTCCAGCACATGACTTTGACTCTGCATTTGCTGGATTCGGAGAGGGCCATCAGCAGAATGGTACCCACACGGCTACTCATGATCCTTTCGCTCCCGCACCAGTCTCTAGAGAGGTCGAACATGCACCCCCAAGCTACGGAAATTCCGAGTTCCCTCCTATTCAGACTTTGGAACACGAGGATTCAAGCAGTGATGATGACAGTGATAGCGAGCGTGGTTTCGGTGATGACTTTGGTTCTTCTGAGCCTCACACAACTGCTGCTGCTACTGAGACACACTCGTCTGAACATCACGTAGTTGCTCCTGTCGATGTCGCCGCTCGTCGTCCCAGTGCTGTCGGTACACAGTCGGCAGTCAACTTGTCGGAGCTTCCACCCATCACGGCTCAAACATCGCCACCTTCATATGAGGCAGCTCAGGAAGGACAACACCGCAGTGGCTCGAACAACTTCCCTCCTGAATACACCGGCCTCTTGCCTGCCCGCGAGGACCCTATACAGTCTCCCGTGCCACACTCGATCCCTCATGAGCAGCAACCTCAGACTCCCTTGACTAGCACCGCTGGATCAGATCACTTCCACGATGCTCACTCTCGTCCCATGAGCAACATTACTGACGCGGGTGCCACGTCTTTTGCCAATGTGGAAGAAGTGACCCACCACGTTACTCCTAGCGCACCTCAAGAGACTACCAAGGACGCATTCGACGATGACTTTGACGACTTTGACGATCTTGCCGAGGCAAAGGAAGCCGGTGGTGAAGGATTCGACTTTGACTTCCCTCGTCACCAGAACACTGACGAGTTCGATGCAAACTTTGATTCGCCTGCGCAGTCGACTATGCACACCGTGTCATCGGCACAGGAGACGCCGGTATCGAGAGCTGCGCCTGGCGGGTTCTCGGATTTTGAAAGCAACACGGGCTCGGCGCACCAGCCCATTCCGATCGCGATTCCCTTTGGCTCAACACACGAACCTCAAGCACAGCAGCCTCACGACTGGGATGCAATTTTCTCGGGTCTTGATACACCGGCACCTCAGGTTGAGCCCACGCCCAACTTCGGCAGCAACAGCAGATCCAACGATGGTGCAGCAACACCCAAGGCGTCATCGTCTGCGCAGTTGAATACCATGCCTCAATTGGGGCGTGCCATCAGTACGGGGACCGAGCACGACGATCCTATTCTCAAGAGGCTTACGGGCATGGGATACCAGCGTGAGAAGGCTCTGGACGCGCTGGAGAAATACGACTATGACATTGATAGGGTAAGTTGTATGCATGTGCTACAAGAGGGAAACAAATTCTAACTGTAAGCTGCAGGCTATCGATCACTTGTCAAAGTAGAAAGTTGACAGACTCAAGTGGAATTTAGCGAGGTGGATGGCGGGAGACTGACTATGGGCGTGTGCATGTACAGTAGAATAGCGCAGCCGTCGATTGATTAATGAAGAGCAGATAATGTGTGCACAGACTGAGTGTTTCGTTGCTTCCAGTACCTGCATTTGAGCAGCTGGACGGGTTCAACGGAGATTGGCTAGCGTGCTCATGAAACCGCAGAGACGGGCCCCACCATAAACAAACGCTGGCGGCTTGTGACAGCGCAGCAACCAGCACGCAAGCGCAGCTTACACGTTGAATGTCGAAGCCTCTCACTCCTTGATCACACAACCACCGACCTCGTCGCCGTCGCCGTCGCCGCCGCCCAACAATGTCAACGCCGCGCCTCACATTCCTTTACCCGTTTCTGTTCGCCCCGGTGACCAAGACACCTTTCTCGCGTGACGTGTCGAGAACAGGGCGACAGGTCTTCCGCACCGCCTCCAAGCGCAGTCAGACTGCCACCAAACCCATCCGCTATGGCAAAGCAAACGAGCCCCCGCCGTACTTGGCTGGTGCAAAGGGTATTGCTGCCGTGCTGCCTGGCCAGCAAGCCCCCACCGATGCCAAAGCCTTGCCGCAACCCACCAAGAAAGATATCGATACTGCTACGCCCAAGGATCCCGACCCGCCTTTGCGTGCGTCAACGTTGCCCGAGTCGCCAGTACTAGATGCGTCCGAGTCACAACCGCTTGCTCCTCCCTCGCCTGCCCCGCGCCTGCCTCACAGCAACCCCTTGGAGACGGTGTTGAATATGCCCTCAAGCGACTCCACACGCCCTGCCTCTGCCTCTTCCTCAACGCCAAAGGACCAACAACAGCAACAACAAGAACCCCTCACCGACCTCCAGAGGATCCGCAAGCAACTCGAAGAAGAAGCCGCACAAAGACCGCGACCGCCACACATCGACGCTCCAGACTACGTGCATCACTTCGATACCTACGGCCTTGTCAAACGCCTTGAAGATGGCGGATGGTCGCAAGCCCAGGCCATCACAATCATGAAAGCCACCCGCACCACTTTATCCGAAAACATTGATCTGGCTCGTAACGCGCTTGTCAGCAGGTCCAACGTCGAAAACGAAGCCTATCTTTTTCGCGCCGCTTGCTCAGAACTGCATACCGAAATCATGACCAAGCGACGCGCAGAAGCCGAACGAGCACGCACCGAACGCACCCGCCTCGAACACGAAGTCGACATCCTATCACAACGCATGTCCCAAGACGCAGGCAACATGAAAGACGAACTCAAAGGCATGTTTGACGACCGCAAGATGGGCGTGCAGAACGAACAACGCGACATTGAGCGCAAAATCCAAGAACTCAATTATCGCATCACCGTGCTGCTCAACTCGGACTCGAGATCTGATGTCGAAGGCGTACGATGGATCATCACCAAACGCGCTGGAGTGGCATTGCTCACTTGCGTCCTCATGATTTTGGGATCGATCAAGTTTGCGAGTACGGCTGCTACTTGGGCTGAAGAGGAAAAGAAGCGGATTGCGGCTGTTAATGCTGCGTCTGCAAATAACAATAATTCTTTCGGAGGTACTGCTTTTGGTGGCATGGCCTTTGGTGGTGGAGGGGCTATGATGAGCAACGAGTCGCCGAGGAATAACAACAGCAACAATGAGTTTATGAATGCGGGGACCATGAATGATAGAGCGAGGGAAGAGTTGGGTCAAGGGGAGATTTTGGTGCGGCAGGGTGACAATCCCGCGTTTGTTTCTTTGGGTTGAGCGAAGTATTTCGTTCCAATTTTTTCTTTTGTCTTTTTTTTTTCCCTTCCTCTTTGGCAGGAGCCTTTTTTCTGCTTCTTGCACAGCTTTTGCTGCTTCTCTTTTTCTTCTCTGCAGGAATTTTGTACTTCTCTGGTCATGAAGAACCAGTAGGACTTTTTTCCTGAGAGGTTTCATCTTTCTTTTCCTTTTGTCTTACACATCTTGGGAACAAAGTTCTCATGATTTTTTCTTTTGTTCAAGTTTGTTTCTTGACAAGATGATCTCTGGATCTCAGAGATGGTGATCACATGCAAAGTCGGTGCTTCTCAACCAGGGAGATGGATAGAAAGGAAAGATACCCACTCATACTCCACTTTGAATTGGATGTTTTCTTTTTTTTTCCCTCTTACTGGTTTCACGTTTTGCTTGAAACAAGAGCTACTCTGTACTTATTTCTTTCCTCTCATGGCCCTATTCTTCTTCTTTGTCTGACCGCTTCCTAGAATCTTCCTGGCCGTCGTCCTTCACTTCTGCCTCTGATTCTCCCTACTCACAAGTTTTGCTGCTGCCATTTCGATTCTTCCTGTCGACGGAGTCAATCTTTCGTGGAAACACAATTCCTCTTCCATCTTTTTGTTCTTATCTTCGTCTTTTGAAACACCTCACAAAGCACTGGTTCGGCGTATTTGGAAGATTTCGAAGTCTCAGGGATATGGATGCCCTTTAGGCATACTGCATACATTGAAGGTTGACCCATGGCATGCTTTTGTAATGACAGTGAGGAAGAAAGAAAGAAACCGAAACCAAGCAATGCAGGGAGGTATGCATGCATCCTTTATTCTCGAATCAATCAAAATCCCTCTTTTGATTAGTTTCAAACAAAGAAAAAACCTTTTACACGCATCACGAATTTTGCAACTGCATGGCACCAAAAAAAAAACAACAACAACAAAAGATTCAATAAAAAAAAACCCAGTGCTGGCGGTTTACGCCAGCACGCCCCTCACTCCGACCCCGGCTAACAACAAAAAAATCAATGAACCTGACCCGATTTGAGCGGGTGACCTTGGGGGTGCATGTGGATCTGTACGCAGCGGTCGAGATCGACCACCACATATGGACCTGTGGCGCAGCGGTAGCGCGTGTGATTCCAGTGCTTTCGATACATCTAGGATGTCATCCGTTAGTTTATAGGACATCCACAAGGTCATCCGTTCAAATCGGGTCAGGTTCATTGATTTTTTTCTTGTTGGCCGAGGTCGGAGTGAGGGGCGTGCTGGCGTCAACCGCTAGCACTTGTCTTTTTTTTTTTCCAACAGAATCAAGTCTGTGTGATAGGAGGTTATAGTAGTGAGCAGATTGCATAAATAGGAGTATTCTAGGAATTTCGGAAAGCAAAGGGATTATTGACGGTGCAACGTCAAGAGCCAGACCGTCTGGGCGTGTGCAATCTGCACTACAGACTGCGGCCACATACCGACGGTTTGGTGTGTGGGCTTTGAGCACTGCTAGCTTAGTAAGCATTTATCATTGGTCAAGATACCCTTGTTATGCAAGAAAGTGAACTCCTACGCTACACCACGCTAAAACTATCGGACGTGGCTACAGTCTTGTAAGCTTAGGTGATTCGCTCTGGGAACCCCCATTGAACCATACGAATTCAAAGGAAAAGCATCCATATGTCAATGGATATTCGTTCACACACATACAACTGTAGAGTCTGGGCAGAATGTGTTTGGGTAAAAAAGGAATGAGATTCGTAATTACATGCAAATATTAGACATCGGGGTCACCCGCCCCCTTATATACAGACAGATTTCAAGGCTTCAAGAGGCTTCAGAATTTACAAAGTGTATCTGAAACCGTGAAGGCCCTCGATGACCTTGCCACCAGCAGCTGCTCTCTTGTTTGCGCGGTAGAACTTGAGGTCCAACAGCAAGGAGATGACGATGATCAGTCCACTGGCGATGAGACAGGCGTAGATACCAGGACGGTAGCCAGGTTGGTCTTGTTTGCGGAACACAGTCGAACCAATAATGCCACCAATACCTCCAGCGCCGACGAGGGTAGCAGAGGTGAGTGCGCGCTTCCACTGTCCACGGATGTTGTTGGCTTGCCAGGTGAGAACGGCAGGGACGTTGGCGTTGCAGCCGGCGGTGGCGAGGAAAACACCAAAGTAGCGAGCACCAACAGCCTTTGTAAAGCCAAGGCAGCCAAGGCCAATCAACATGAGGCAGGCGTTGGCGATGATGAACGGAGAGCGAATGCGGTGCTTGTCGGCGAAATAGGCGAACAAGAATGTCACGATTGCCGCGAGCACGTAAGGAGGTGCAATCAAGCACTGCGCGTCTCTCTTGTTGAAACCCATGCCTACCTCAAGGATTATAGGGAGGAAATAGGCGATAGCGTAAGAGACCGTTGTAGAGAGGCCGAACAGGGCTGCAAAGGCCCATACCTTGAGGTCAGCGGCAGACTTGAGATATTGGCCAATCTTGAACTCCTCGAGGGTAGCATCATGACGATCCTTTTCGATGGTTGCGACAACAAAGTCGACTTCCTTCTGGTTCAGGAACTTGGGACCGAAGCTGACGTGTGCTGCCTTTTCGGGGAAGTTGACAATGGTGAAGTATGCACCGATGGCGAGGACACAGGTGATGAGGCCTCTGGAGCCTTGTTAGTGACGATAGTAACACAAGTGCACGGTTGTGCAACCCGATAGTACTTACTGCATGATGAAGATCCAGCGCCAGCCTGCGAGACCAGGAGCGATACCCTTTGGTGCAGTAGGATTGGCCTTGGTGGGTCCGTAGTGAGCACCAAGTCCATCGCCAACACCCAGTCCGGCCATCTGGCTGAAGCCGTAGGCGAGAATACCAGAGAAGGCAGAGGAAAGAGAGCCAATCAAGTAGAAGACAGCGTTACGCTTCTGGAGCATGTATCTGGGGTACCATGTCGACAAAAGGTATGCACAGCCAGGGAAGAAGCCAGCTTCGAAAATACCCAGAAGGATTCTCATAGGGATCAACTGCGTCCAGTTTTTGACGAAAGCCATGCCAATCATGACAATGCCCCAAAGCAGAGTAATCGTGGGCAAGAAAGCACGAGGACCGACTTTACGAAGAATGACGGTTGCCGGAGGTTGGAAGAAGATGTAAGGAATGAAGAAAACGAGGACGATGATTGAGTAACGGTCCTTGATGAGAAGAAGGTCGACACCCATGCCTGCTACGACGGCGATACCAGTGTTGGTTCGGTCCATCAAACTGACACAGTAAAGAAAGCCGAGAGTCAAGACCAAGCGACGGTCGATTCTGCGGATGATCTTCCTTTGCTCCTCTGGTGTAAATGCGGCAATGCGTGCATCGTTGATCTTGTCAGATTCTGCATCTCCAGCAGTGTCTGTTTGTTCCAGGTAGTTGATTTCGAGCTCCTTCTCGTCACTGCGGTTTGCCATGGTGGGCTGATATGATGATCCAAGTGTGTATAAGGTACTGATAAGAAGATGCGAGGTTAATTACTGGAGAATGAACCAGTGCTTATATAGCCCCTAGCCAAGCCTGGTATCGTTTTACCCCGCAAGAAGGCGGCCTGCAGGTAAACTTTCATGCCCAAGATGGTCCAGGAGGGCGACGAGCGCCACGTGTGGTCTGTCGCCCACTCCGACGTTAGTCCAAGAGATTAGACTGTCCTAGACCATCCTTTCGGAGAGTACATCGACGACGCCTTGACCTGCCAAACACACTACTGCCAGCCCTCGAAACAACGATCATTGACCAGTCTGCGTCTCAGAGATCGAGCATTCCCTCTCTCTCTCCGCGGTGCTCCGAATCCAGTGGCACAAAACGCATGATCAAGCGTTAAGGATGTGGGTGGAAAGAGTCCGCCCAGGAAGCACAGTCCTCTCAGAACAGCTGGGGGCTGTGGAGAAGCGGGGTAGGCCGGTGTGGAGAGAATCTTGGCTTTACCGTTTGGCTGAGAAAGACACGGCTGGAGTTGTCTTTTTGCTTTGTGACCGTCGAACCATTGATACCAAGAGCCTTGGCCTTGGGAGGTGTGCCTTGGCGACTCGTTAATGTACGAAGGCGAAGATAGTTGCCTCGGTCGCGGTTTGTTGACTTTCTGATATCGAGATTGAGAATTCAGGAATGAATCTAGGTTTTCGATGAGAGGCTGTGTGATTGTCCTTCGGACGCTCTGACTTGAACAAGAATGTTGTCTAGACTTGCAAGACTCCCTATGAATCAGAGTATCAGCCATATCAGCCCACTACAGCTGCTGGCTGCAGCTTTCGGAAACACTCTTCCGAGTTCTGTTGCCTTCTGCCTTACAACAGTCATTAGAAACCGCGATGAGACGTCTTGCGAGACGCGTCAAAAGCCGTGACTTGGCGTGCTCTCGATCCAGCTCTTCGTATACTTCCTTGATATTAGCGTCTCTTGCCCTCTCAAATTCCTACCGAGGCTTCTTGACACAAATAGTTGGTTTTTCGTTCAGAAACAGTTGCACAGTCGCGTGATGCAGGGATGTTGATGAAGACATGTCCGAAAAAGCCACGGTTTGGCGCCGCCCAGCAATGAGGCAAGCTTCAGGTGCAGATGGGACGGACGCCTCTCGAACTCAGCTAGCCAGCCTCGGTATATTACTCGAACTTGAGGTGTTTGTACTGATGTATGCACTCGCAACACCGAGGTTGAGATGGAGGACGGAGATGGGCGGATTGTCTTTGACAATTGCTAAGTCGCCAAGGGTTGCGGTGACATGTTAAGTTTCAGACGAGCCCAGCCAAGGGGATCGACAGTACGGACTTCCTAGGGACGGTCTCGATGGAAAGTCCAGTCGATCAACGAATGGCAGTGCTGGTTTCGCGAGATGCTGCGACGCGGACTTCCTACCGCGACGAAGACGTGGGGGTCAGCAACTGCTACAAGCTGGATGTCTCTTTCCGTGAGGCGTGCTCCTTAAGAGCCTCTCTCTTTGACACCTTGCTTGAGTTTGTATCTTACAGCAAGTATATTCAAGATCTGGTGAGGAACAGGCGCTTTGACGCGAGACGTCAGATAATACTCTGAGTACCCAGTGTTCGTCTGGTTATAACCGAGCACTCTTGATCAGACGCCAGACATTTGCATCGACAGCGGGATCTACGATTGTCCGGCGATCATTTCTTGCAAAGACATGAGCTTTTGTTGTTGATATTTGGTGGTGACCAGAGGCAAGCAAGCACGAACAAGAGAGATGCACCTTCGGATTCCCGCCAGGACTTGACCTGGAAAGTGCACAAGTCTAGGCGCCAAGCCGTCGTGCACAACGTATGAAGGCTTCATTTGCACAAATCTCCAAGTTTCCGTCTCCTGAACAATCGCTGCCGCAAGTGCTTAGAAGAAGATGTTGCTTTCTGATAGAATAGAACGTGCTGGAGCTATACTCTGTCAACTGCGTTCAACGAGCTTGGAGTATCCTGTCATATCGGTACGCGATATATTTGTTGCATTCCTCCTTCATACAGACAACTATGAAGCATTATAACATGGGGATTATCAGTCCTACTAAGACCGTCCCCGTACAATCTAACCAAGCGTTATTCATGTCCAACGATCCGTGAAGCCTAGAAGATAGCAGTACCGTTGACATGTGTGCTTACACCACCTAACGATTAGATCTTAGCGAAGGATCAAGCGATGCATTATGCGCGATATGGGACTTACCTTGGACATTCGCTGGTGCAGCAGTGAAGAAGAAGGTCCATCTGTTCTTCTCGCGACATGTTTGCGACAGCTTCTCTAGATCGAGCATCTCGCCTAGCGGCATGCCCCAAAGTGCGAGAATGTATTCGTGAAGGTGGTACTCTGTCGTGACTATGAGATCCCTGTACGGACTGGAACGGTATTTCATGACTCACCTTCATGTGTTGGCCACGCTTCGAATGCCGGAGCATCACCAGCTACAGCAGAGAAGTAAGAGTCGTGTAGCCAGTCCAGCATACGTTCTTCTTGGCTCAACCCCGCGAATCTTTGACCGTCATCCTTGCCTAGAGCGTGTGGTCTTACAGCCAGCTCATTACGTTCGGCTGGCGATTTACTGTGATAAGCTTCCACCCAACCGGTCCTGACAAACAGAATGTCGCCAATCTTGATGTCACCGCCCTGAGCAGCCGGACGGATATCGACACCCTGATCTGCGGCACAGTGCTTGAGCTCCTCGAAAGAGATGGGGTAATATTCGTAAGGATCATAGTTGATGCCCTTTTTGTGGGCATAACCGCGATAATCGAGGAGTATACCACGACCGGCGATACCGTGTACAGCCCAATGGTGAATTGAGCATTTGTGGTTTGCATTTGGACCCACAATATCAGAACCCTTTGTGTTGTTGTAGAAAGTGCCAGACGGTATGTGTGCAAAGTGACGGAAGCCATCAAATTGAGTGCCTGATTGTGTGTTCAGATGGTAGACATCGTCGTAGGCAACGTCCTCTGCAAGAGTTTTTATCTCGTGCTTGAAGACTTCACGGTTGAATGCTGGAACCTCTGGGGTGTTGAGTGGAAGATTAACAGGCACAATCTCTCCGGATCTGATTTCCTTTCCAGCAGCAGCGACTCGAGTTGGCGTCAAGAGGTTGAGACGGCCGATGTTGTCGTTGTCCCCCCAAACCCATGCGGCACCTTCTGGAGCCCCAGGAATACTAGGCAATTCTTTGCGGGTCGGAAAAATGGTCGAGTCAGGATCAAACGGCATGGACAGGGTGGCAGTCTTGTTCATGGTCAGGAAGTCCTTGATCTGAGTCAAGCGAGTGCTTGTTGTGCTTTTGGGAGCGGCCATGATGACGGATACAGATTGGATGGCAAGAAGCGGACCCACCTTTCAGGAGCAGACACGGCATGATTTATACTGCAGCAGTCGAGCTGGACAGCAGGCTGACCCATGTTCCTCGGTCTCTGCCCCTCTTCGTTCGCATGTGGATGGTTTCCCCGCATCGGACGTCATTGATATACTTTGGATGCACAAGCGTTGCGTATAGCAGCGGCAGTCGGATGAGGCTCTTATGATCAAGATCCTGTTTATTGAGCGCTGTTCATGTTGGCCTATCAGGACTTGAGGTGATGATAGACGGGCACGCCAGCAGCTACAGAAGAGCTCATGGTATGCCGTTCTCAGGTAGTGGTGGCAGGTCAATACATGTTTCGAAAAGCTTTTAGAGTAGAGAAACGAACAGACGGTGAGCTGTCAAAGATGATGATCATATCTGATGGTTATTTTGACGCGACGGAATGATGGGGAGTTGATGCAGATAAGGGCGGAGTTGGGTAGAAACGCGTTTCGGCTTATCGATAAGCCATGTGGTCATGACGAAAGCTCAAAGCAAACGGACGAGGGAAAGTCTCTGGTCCAACTCAAAGACATAGACAAACATGTTCAAGAAGAAGCCAACAGTCAAGCCTTTGGCTCCCCTGCGATCTTCGGACCGTCGTAAGACAGCCGACAGTATCATCGCCGAGTATGGCCTCCAACCCAAAGCACAGGACGACAGCAACATCGACGACAAAGCAGCCGCCACCGCAGAGACAACCGCCTTGAGAAACGCTCTGCTGCCCGACGGTGTGCAGACTGCGAGATTCACAACCACCCATGGACCCGACCTGAAACAAGTCTCTGGCACAGTCTATGTCGGAGCATACCCTGGAGATGACGCTCGAGTCCTGTGGTTTAAGATTGAGGATCGCATGTATCCTACAGTATACACCCTCTGGAAACAGCCCGGCATTGTGCCTCTACTACACACTCCTGGCTTTGTCGTCCAGAAGCTGCAAGGTGGTGCAGACCTCATGACTCCAGGCCTGGCCAATGGTCCCCCCTTTCACCCCAAAGCCACCAAAGGTGCTGTTGTCGCCATCGCAAGCCTCGAACAGCCTTCGGTACCCGTCGCCGTTGGCGCCTGTCTGATCGATGTCAGCTCGCTTGGTGCCGTTCAAGGCTCTCGTGGCCATGCTGTCCAGACCATGCACTGGGCTGGTGATGAAATCTGGTCCTACAGCAATTCCAACAAGCCTGGTCTCAGCCCTCCAGAGTCTATACAAGGCTGGCTGTCGAGCAAAGACGATGAGGAAAAGTTGGTCGAGCAGGCTGCTGATCTTGACATTGAAGATGATGAGGAAGAGCAAGGAGGTGTCATCTTGGACAAGCCTCCCTCTGGTCAGCCAGACCCCTTAGAAGGCCTGGGAGAGGATCCCTCAGAAGACGAGGGTCTTGTCGAGAAGGTCGACATCAAAGAGATGACTACCAAAGGTATGCTCGCCTTCTTGAATCCCAGCCGGACACACGCTGACAACAAGCAGAAATCGATGACGCCTTCCGCAAAGCCTTCCTCTACGGTGTCTACCACCACAAGGAGACCAACGCCAACCAACCTAACTTTGGTCTCGAGTACCCTTTAACCCAATCATTCGTCATGTCAAACCTCGTCCAGCCCTTCCTTCCCGTCTACACGCCACAACAAGCAAACTCGCTACAGATCAAAAAGTCGAGCTACAAGAACATCAAAAAGTTCATCAAGTCGCTGGACAAGGCAAAAATTGTCAAGACGAAAGAGAGGGACCAACACGAGACTGTCATTCTTGACATTGACTTCAACGATGCTTCCATTGTCGACTTCATCCCTTACCGTCTGCCCAAGAAGGAGACTGCAAACGGCACAAGTCTTGGTCGCGGCGCCAAAGCAACCGCCGAGATCGACACAACTGACAGCTCGATTGGTCAAAAACTCGAAAAGCAACAATACTACAAGCTAAAAGACAGACTACTGCCACTCTTCGAATCTGCAGACGCATCTTCTCAATCCCTCTTCACAGCCGCAGAAATCAAACCCATCATCACCGCCTACATCGAATCCGAAAATCTCGTCAATCCAAAGAACAAACGCCTCATTACTCTCAACCCAACACTTGCAAACGCTGTATTTGATGGCTCAACGCCGCTGGACAAGGAAGTTTTGGCCAAGGGCTCTGTTCCCAGAGATGCACTCACCGAACGCATTCTCCAAGCCTGCACAACTCACTACGCCATCCTTCGCAATGGCACTCCCCTCTCTTCCTCGAAACCAAAATCTGGCGCCGCTCCAAAGATCAAGGTCACTCTCGAGACACGCTCGGGCAACAAGACAGTCACCAAAGTTTCGGGCGTTGAAGCTTACTTCATTCCTCCTCAGCCACTGGCAGACGAGTTGAGAAAGATGTGTGCGGGTAGCTCTAGTGTTGAGCAGTTGCATGGAAGTAGTCCCAAGGCGCCCGTCATGGAGATCATGATCCAAGGGCCGCAGAAGGATGCTGTCTTGAAAGCTTTGGACAAGAGGGGTGTAAGGCCTGCGTGGGTCGAGTTTCTGGACAAGACCAAGGGCAAGAAGAAGTAAGAAGAACTAATCACGCTTGCTCTGTCTCCATCCATAGAATAAATACAGAGATAAGCTAGACGACTGGTTGTCACCCACGCTAGATGCCACATATTTACCACGAAATTATGATGCTGGATCATAGAGTCCACGGTACTTTGAGTTTTCACGGTCCATCCAAGAAAGTCGGGACGACACATCGAATATTTGAGGGGGAGACGCATACACTTGACCGTACTTTCCGGCTGGCCCTGTCTTCTAAGAAAGCTTCTCGTCGCTATGGTGCATAGATCGGGATATAGCCAGGGTCGTACCATGAGCATGTGAAATCTTGGCATGTTTGTCTTGTCTGCGCGGATCAACACATCCGACTTCACTCAACAACAACAACTGACACTAACAAATCACCAACACGATAGCAACATTGCCATGCCATCCTTCTGAAGTTACATTGTCTCCGTTCTGACTTCGAGATCACTCGGCTCCAGTATTCATCATCTCGAGCGGACCTCGAGGATTCGTTGCACCATTCCTTGACGCGTCTCGCTTGGTCTCAACACATTGCCAAATCTACCAGCTGACTCGGCAATCAACAAGGAATACTAGATCTGATACTTCCTAGAGACCTTCTTGATAGCTACTTGGTTTGAGAGATCGGTCTGACAAGCGGAGACCCGTTAAAGTGCTCAACTTACACAAAGGAGACGCCTCGACGACAACAATCTCCAACGAGGATCAAAATATCCTTCTTGTGCCAACTCAATACCGCTCCCCATCCTACGTCGGGAGAAAACTCACAGGTTTTGACATAACTAGCAAAGGACAAGTTCAAGAGTCAAAACTCAACAATGCCTCCCATACCCTCCCTAGTATCTTCCCAATACACCCCCATCCCGCAAACCGGCACCACACCCATGGTAATCTGCTCGCATTGCCAAACCTTCAAACTGCCTCGAAATTCTCTCGCCAGAAAAGAAGAACATCTCCGCAATTGTGCTGCTTTTGCCCTCTCTCCTCTAGCCACTCAACGAGACGTCAATGGCAGAACAATGCTAGAGGACAGTATAGCAAAAAGGGCTGGACGCACCAAACCGGGCAACTCAAACAAGAGCGAGGAAGAAAGGGAGATGCTGAGGTTGAGGAGGTTAGGTGCTGTGTTGGCTTATGGCAATGTGGGGCCGGAACTTCAGGAGGGGATTCAAGATCGTGTTGAACGTATCCTCAGAGGGGAGAGTTCGATGATGAGTGCGAGAAGTGTTTCTGGTGCTGAGAGGGTGTACCCACCTATTGATGATGGCGCTGATGGTAACGGAGTAGCCGACTTTGGTTCGCCGCCAGGACTCGATACTCCCAGCGCCGCCACTGCAGGAGCCAGCAATCAGAGTATGGCTGCACTTCTCGAGTCGGCGACAAGAGCTACTCCCGCTACCTTGGACAATTCACGCAAACGACCACTGCCAAACGACTTTCAAGATACCGTTTCGAGCCGCTATTCCATGCCTCCACCTAGCAGAATCGGCAATACCACATCAGAACCAAAGCGGTACAAACATGCAGAACTGTACCTTGATGAGGACGATTTGGCTTTTATGACTTCAGCTCAGACAGCTAGAGAGGAGAGATTTGCTGCCTTGGTGGAAAGGTTAGCCAGGCTGGTCCGTCTAAGAGATATGCGATGAGAACGATGCATGACTTCGATACCAGTTCAGGTGGGGTACATGGGGACAGGGCAGGAGAACTTGCTTGTATTTGCTAAACGTTCAAAGAAGGAGCGCTTGCACAGGGATAGAAGGGCAATGCTGCGAGCCACGTGGAAAGAACTATGATCGGTACTGTTCCGTCTTTGCATGACACTGGATTTCCGCACAGAAATGAAAACACAATGCATATCAGAACAATTGCGGCCTGCCAGACGTGATGAAGGTATTGGCGTGTTGTATTGTAGCAAGATCAAACAGGAATAGAGCCATAAATTGTCTAGCCCATTGAAGGCCAGGAACAGCGATCTGTCAGCGCATCTCACTGGAGAAGGAGCGATTGTGACAAGGAGATGAGCCTTTGAGGGTCAACAAACAATTCCATCAACCTGAACTCCGTTACACATTACACGGTCCTGGATCAGCGCTTCAACCTTGTCAGAGATCAAGCATACTGCGCAGAAGCCTTCTCACACCACTCCCACAGCTTTTCGTCGCCTCCATTCTCCATTGCATCAGCGACATCCCCACGCACAGGACCAAAACGACCCCACGGAATGATGAACTTGCCCCCGTTCTCAGGACGCCCGGCTTCCTCACCCCAACCAGCAAAAAGCTCTGTATAAGCGCCGTTCTGGACTGGGTAAACGATCATGTTGACAAACATGGCTTGTACACTGGGCATATGTCTTTGCAACTCAGACTTGAGATTGCCAGGATTCCATGCATTGGAGATGACGCCGGAGTCTTTACAGCGGCGGCGCAGAGCGCTGGCGAGAAGAGCATTTCCGGCTTTGGACTGGCCATAGTTGGCCTCTTGCGACAAATGAACTGTGGGTTTGCCGTCTGTCCAAGATACACCACCCTTTGGAGACATAAGATCGACAGCGAGAGAGCCAGCAAAAGTGACTCGTGTTGATCCTGCAGGCGAAGACTTCGCTGTCTTCTCGATGATGGGAAGCAAGAGTCTGGTAAGCAAGAAGGATCCAAGCACGTTGGTTCCCATCTGAAGCTCATAGTCTTGAGCGGTCTTCGATCCCTTCGGTGGGGTCATGACCTGTGCTCTCCATCAGCATTTTGAAGCGCGACAACCAGACATGACTACACATACACCAGCATTGTTTGTCAAAACATCCAGTCTTGACTCTCGAGACAAAAACTTCTCAACGCCAGGCTTGATGGTGGTCAAATCAGCCAAGTCAATGTGCATAAACTCGAGCTTGCCCTTTGAGTTGGGTACAGCCTCACGGATCGACGAAATCGCTTTGTTTCCTTTCTCTTGCGAGCGGCCAGCGATATACACGGTACCATCATGCTGGTAGAGAATCTTGCTCAGTTCGTAGCCGATACCCGCATAGCCGCCAGTGACGATGAACACGCGACCAGCTTGGTTAGGTAGATTCTTCTCGGTCAGTTCAGGATAGGGGATCCAGGTTGATTGTCTGAAGAAGGAGGAGATGGCTGCTGCCATTTCCGCAAAAGTCGCAGTATCGCTTAAATTGGTGAAATGGAACTTGATCAAGTTGTCGAGCAAGCAAAGTCCAGAGGGCAGCTTATCAAGAGGGGTATTATTCAAGCTCCGGAGATTGACGCAACGGTATATCCGGCTGCCACTCTTCGAAATGCCGCATCTCCAGGCAACGGTACCATCAACGAGCATGCCTAGAGAGTTTGATCCTGATAGCAAAGCTTTCCGCAATGCGCAAACTCAAGTCTGGAAAAGGAGCAAGCTCTCGTATACGGTTACGAGAGCGAAGGGTACTGACTGCAAGTTTGCAGGATCCTGGAGGAGCCAGGAGTCGTGTGCACACAATCTGCAGAAACCGTGGGGTGTACAGAGGGTACCCGAATCTGCAGATGGGCGACGGGGAAAACAATCGCTCTCTCGATGACTTAACAACACATGCATAGTATACCTACGATACGTTGAGCGCCTTCCATCAACTGTAGAATCCGGAAGGAATTCGACAAGTTGCGTTATTGCAACATCTCCTAGACTTCCACACGAAACGGTTGACGGACACCTCACAATACTCATCCTCGATGAACCAATCGCTGGTCCTAGGTCATCAATCTTGACAGATCAGATTCGAGACGCGACAATCTACTTTTGGGACTAGTTCGGGGATTATGCTTAACTGTTCGCGATCGCGGGAGAGCTTCTGGTGTGCCGTTTCCTTATACTGAGTAAGGCCACATGAGGCTGATGTTGTGGTGTTTGTCAGGCACCCGCACAAAAATCTGCAACCATACTGGCCTTGTAGCTGTTGACGACCCAATCGACCAAAAGACTGATCGTTAACCCTAGACAAATGACGACGTTTTTGCTCGGTGTCGTCAAAAAGAAACAAATCCACGATTCTGATTTGCATTGCACAGGCAACTCACCATAAACTGACGTACAGGATGACTCGATTCCATCGAGTGGCTATGTTCCGGAGAGCGAAGACTATGGCCGCAAAGCTCGCTGCGATTAGGTATCTGGTTGGTGTGGATGATGGTTCTACACTTTCACGTTCATCGCCTGCGACTTTCTTAGTATGCTCCTGCAAGCTGTTGGACGTGCTCTGGCTGCCACGGACAGCAAGACTGACCCTACCGATGTCGGAGTGAATGTTATGATTGCCGGTCTTGCCTTCCAAGTTGTCAGCCTCGCCCTCTTCATGTTCCTCAGCCTGGAGTTCGCCTACAGAGCATTCAAGGCCAGAGAGGCCGATCTCGACTTTGACTTCTTCAATTTGAGACAGCGCAAGATGTTTCGTCTGTTGCCATATGCTCTTGCTCTCGCGGCCGTCACAATCTTTATCCGCTGTGCCTTCAGTGTTGCCGAACTCCAGGATGGCTTCAGCGGAGATCTCGCTAGCGATGAACCAATGTTTATGGGGTCCGAAGGACCAATAATCATTGTTGCCGTTGTTGCAATGACTCTTGTTCACCCTGGTATCGCGTTTGGTACTGCTGCCAACTGGCAAGTCGCGAGAAAGGCAAAGAGGGCTGCGGAGGCTGAGGCTAAGCTCCCTAGCATGACCCACGCTTCTTCGGATGACACTATTGTCGGAGAGGACGAGCCAAAAGAGCAGATCTAGTGTATGTATATGATTCGAGATTGTAACGAGCTACAGAGAGGGTCAAACGGATTAGGGAATGGATTTGAGGCTAAGCAGCGAGTGGGTTTGAATACAGAAGGATGTTAATCTAGAGCTACATAGTCGTAAAGCAGTAGGGAAGGTAGTAGTAGTTAGGTTATAGCTATTTCGCATAAGCGGCGTATAGGATCGGATAATGGAATTGGTCTGCAAATTGATCAATCGACCATACTGTCGAACACCTTCCAAGCACCAGACCTTTGGGCATCAGGAAGCTGAGACAAGATATATTTACTCTGAGCCAGAGTCACCACCCGCCTTCACAGCTTCCGAGACAGCTCCGCCGCCTACAGTGAACAGTCCATCCACTGCCTGGCCAATAGAAGGAATAAGACCCTCTCCAGCATCATTGTTGAAAGGAGCAACGAGCTCACGCTTGCTAACATCTTCAGAGTCATCGCCTGCCTTGACTGCTCCGGAGATGGTTTCGCCACCTGCGGTGAAAAGCCCATCAACCGCTTGACCAACAGAAGGAATCAGGCCTTCACCAGCATCATTGTTGAAAGGAGCAACTAGCTCTCTTTTGGTGTTCTCAGAGTCGTCGTCGTCGCCGCCTGCTTTCACAAATCCCGAAACTAATTCGCCGCCGGCGGTGAACAGTCCATCGACTGTTTGGCCAATGGAAGGAATTAGACCTTCGCCTGCGTCGTTGTTGAAGGGGGCTACTAGCTCGCGTTTGGTCGGTAGTGCCACAGCGAGGGAGATGAAAGTTGCGGCGATAGCGAGGGAGAAACGCATGATTGGTGATGCTTCGAGGGCGGAGTCTTGGAGATTTGGGATAAGGCTTCTTCAATGGTGGTTGGTAGTATAGGAATAGCCTTTTCTGGGGTCGATTACCCAAAGTGTATGCGTTGTTGCTTAGAGCGGAAGAGGAAGAGGAAGCGGAAAATATTCATGTCCCTCACGTCCGCTTATACTTATACTCTCCTCTCCTCTGCTGACCAAAGGGTGATCTCGAAGATCAAGCATATCCTGAGGTCAGTACTTTGCACGCAAAACCTCAAATAGGACTCTGCATGCTGGGTTGCCTAACTCAATTCGCACTGTTGACTGTCCAAGAACGTCGATAGCACTGTGCTCGAATCTGGTAATTGTAGATCGTATGGAGCCTCACCGAGCCGCATGAACATCAGGTACCACATTTGGCAAATGAACTGACAAGATCGAGAGAGATCTTCTAAACGCCGTGCCGGAGTCTAACAAGCGGAGATGCGTCCGCGGGAATGCAACTCGAAGTGCAGAGATCATGGTAAGAATATCTCGTCCACATGCGTAGAACAAAGGTTTCCAGTGTCACCATGGCTATTCTGATACATTTGAGACTGGGGATTGACTTGTTTACCTAGCAGTGCTGTTTGAAACGGATGTTCTCATGCTGCAAAAGTGGTTGGAAAGAAGAAGTCTGATGACATCATGGTGATGCATTTTAGTGCACTGACAGCCCGCTTGGGCAGAGGGATCTACAGGAGACTCGGACTCCGACACAGTTACCAACCAAACGAGCATCTTCAAAGAGTATAAGGTTGAAAAGGCACCATATCTTCCTGAATGAACAACGAGCTGCAAGCATTATCGTGCCTCTTGTGAAAGGCGCCTTGCCAACATGACAGCCAGCAAACATCAAAGCATCTTCCCGCCTGCTGAAATCGCTTTCCTCCGTCTCCACTCTCAGCAACGACTGTCCTGGCTAATCTGCCCCAATGAATAACACCAGCGCATATTTGAGAAGACCTCGTACCTCATGCCTCTCTGACCAGACATTTGTCAGCAGCTAATCCTGCCTGTTCAATATCTCTCATCAACACCACTACTTATGGCATCATCCTCTTGCGCCTGCTCAACCCGAGGCATCCGGAGACCACTTGGAAGAGATGATCGAACATCATCTGCGAACACATCTCCATCATAGCCTGCTCTGTGTAGCAGCTCGAGGTAGTTCTCGCAGAGGTCGCGTGCTTCATACTGCATCTCCCGATATAACTCTGTAGCGTCCGTCATGCGTTGTTTGCACTCTCTGACATCCATGCTTCTAGTTTCTTCCTCCGTCATGCTGAATCGTCCCACGTAGTCGCGAGTGGTGAGGAGGTGATGGGTGTGTGCTCTCGCGATACTTCCTGGCGTGGTCAGCTCGTCATCGATTCCGAACCTTCTGGGTTCTGGAAGCAGGTTAGAGACATCTCGCAGCAGCACGGCAACAGCACCCTACGTGGAACTCCTTGTGATCCGTCTTCAACTTCCGTAAGTGTGTCAATCATAGCACTCAGCGCATCGGCACAAATTCCGAAGATCTCGCTAGCTTCGTGGTCGCCTTTGGCATATCCTGGAAACTTGTTCTCGAGCTCCCTGTCGATTGCCTGAGATTGATATACCTCAGCGAGCATCAGTAAGTGGTCGCACATATCATCGCAGAGGCCTCGGATGTATGGATTGGTGGATGCGGCATCGTTCTCAATTGCCTCTGTGAGCGTCTCGTTGGACATGTCGCTATGGTTGATGGCGTTGGGTCTGGCACTTTTGGGTATACGGCTCGCTTGATATAGCAGCTATGTTTGCTGCTCGTCTGGTACTAAGTGCGTCGCCTTGTTTGATGCATTAAGATGGCAGAGCTTGCTCTTCCATACTCTTTCATATTGCAGTCAAGCGGCAAACTCGATGCCGAACAGAGACGATAGTCTTTCTATGTTGCATGATCGTGGTTGATCTGGATAGAATGGATACATCTAGCTCGCATCCCGTCCTTGACTTTCCACTCCCTTCTGACTGGCCGTTCGAGCAAGATGCCGGAGGTTTCTCAAATCAGACCTGACGATTCAATCAGAAGACTATTCGCCGTCTAGCGAGAATTTTACAATGACTGAAGCGGTCCCATGCACATAGTGATGTTCTTCGCATTGCCAAGCTCTACCTATACGATTGATCGCGAAGTATTTGCATTCACGTCGGGTTTGTTGACTATTCTCTTGTCACGCGCAGCCCCTCTGCGAAAACAAACCCTCGCTAACGAGTCACCTAGCAGCGAAATATAGATATTACGAGAGTCGAAGGATTGTAACGACGTCAAGTGGCACCTAACCTTCAAGATTTCTCCACCAAGATGCATGCCAAGCACTAATTTCTTCCTTTCCGTGTCCAAGAATAACAACATCTTGCATCTCTTTACATTTTCGAAAAAGTGTTGCCTGACGATTGATCTCGCTCGCCTAATGATCTGTTGGGATCCTGATTTTTAAGAGGTATAAGACAGTACTTCGAAACATGCTGGGACTTTCGATCGATATCAACTCGAGTTTCTCATACAAATACTCTTGACGATCACCTATACCACATTCACTTCTCTTATACGCCAATCTCTATCATGAAGACAGCATCCATTGCCGCAGCAGCTGCTGCTATGTTCACCACCATGGTCGAGGCTCAAGCTTTCACCCTCAAGATGCGTTCTAGTGACGATCGTTACAACGATGTTCCCGTGGTCGCCTGGAACGGCATGTTCATTGCAGAACTCAATGGCAACAGCACCACTGCAACCTGCCCTCCTTGGGACACCAACTGCGCCGGAAGAGACACAACCATCTTCTCGGGGCCCACTGTTGGCGGCCAGGCGACCCAGATGTGGATGGGAATTCTCCAGGAGCACGGCCAGAGAGTCTACACACACCCACCTCCCAAGGGTCTTTTCGAGTCAACAGGGTACGGCGACCTGATCAGCTACACAGCAGCAGGCAATGATGAGTCCGCCAACGTACCCAAGGTTGATGACTTCAATGATCTCTGGAACATCGTTACAATTGACAACGACAATGGCCTTTATGGCTCCGTCAGAGGTGACCAAGCCCTCGCTCATGGCCCTGACAACCGCTATGTTTTCGATCTGTGCACTGCGAGCAACAACCCCTGGGGTGGAGAGACTCACATCATCTCCACTGTGTCAAAGTACTGCTACCCTGTCATGATTGTCGTTGAGCCTACAGATGCGGCTGCTCCTCAATTCTACAACTGTGATGGTTGTGAGTTGAGAGGAAAGGACCTTGCCAAGGATGGACCTGCTTGTGCCCCTCCGTTCTGTGGCAGTAACAACAGATGGTGGTGGATTTAAGCATTTAGGCAATGTACATAGTTTGCGGATTGCGTCTTGGTTCTATTACGATTAACAAGCTTTCATTTTGCTGAATAGCAGTCCCGAACCACTATATACTATTCTATATCTGATTTTTCTGATCACTATTTTGCCTCCTGCTCTGCGTGGATAGCGACACTGTGTTGACAAGTCGCATGGATTGATCTAGTGATATCAATATCGTACAAGCACGTGTTGTGTTTTCGGATGTACCGTGATGAGGCTACCTCGGCAATTGCGAGGAAGACTCAAAGCTGGATGAACACTTACGATCAGGCTCTAGTGAAGACTCATTCTACCCTGCCAGACACAAGTCGAGTTCATGTTGTGGCATAGAAGACAGAATAATGCTCTTTCAAGTGTGGTTATTGGAATGACCCTGGTAGTCACGACTTCTGGCCGCTCGGGGAAGTCGATCTGTCACTCCGGAGTGCGAAGCTTCCTTTCCTCCGCGGGCCGATTAACAGAGTTGCCGAACAAAAGTAAATGAGCTTGCCGTTCGGGACGTGTTATGTACTCGATACTCGAGAAATGTCCGAGTTCTTTACCAATGACACAGCGACTCGTGGGCAGTTGCCAACGTCATACGTGAATCGCATGTCTCTACAAAACATTTTGCCGTGCCGGCCGGGGATGCATCATAATTCGGGCAATCGTCTCTCCTTCCATACATCCGCTTCTCGATAACCGAAGCTTTCCTGAAGCTCGATCTTTTGGAGTGTCTTCTTTATCTTTCTTATCATACATATCCTAATCATCCTCCTCGAGCAACACAATGGCCTCCCTCTCCCGCTCGGTCTCGTCACTGGCGGTCAGCTCGCGCATCAATGTCGTGCTTAGAGTCGGTTCGCGAGTGCCTCGTGCTGCACTTGTCAACAGAGTCAGTGGAACCAACACCACAATTGGATGGCGATTCGGAAGCAGTGCTGCCGCAATTCCCAAGAAGGATCCTATCGCTAGCGATGCGCATGCCCCAACCAAGATTGTTGGTAACTCAAAGGTGTACAAGAGCGCAGAGGATGCAGTAGCAGACATCAAGTCCGGCTCCACCATCCTGAGTTCCGGTTTCGGTCTTTGCGGTGTTGCAGGTGGGTCTTTCTCATGGCCAGGAAAGGCATAAGCACAGCCTAACAGTTTTTGGCAGAAACAATCATCCAAGCAATTGCGAAAAGAGGACCCGGCGAGGTCACCAACTTGACGGCAGTCTCCAACAACGCTGGTGTGGGAGATGGCGGTCTTGCTTCTCTGGTCAAGTCTGGTCAGGTCACCAAGCTGATCATCTCGTACCTGGGTGGTAACAAGGTGCTCGAGAAGAAGTATCTCTCCGGAGATATCGGCATTGAGTTGTGCCCACAAGGTACTCTCGCAGAGAGAATCAGAGCTGGAGGTGCAGGCATCCCGGCTTTCTTCACACCCACCGGTGTCAACACCGCTATCATGACTGGTGACATTCCTGTCAGATTTGGTCCTCCCGCCGAGGGCTCCTCAGAGCTGTCTGTACTCGAGGCCGGTACTCCTCGCGAGACTCGCGTTTTCGACGGCAAGACCTACAACATGGAGCGCGCAATCAAGGGTGACGTTGGTGTTTTGAGAGCATGGAAGGTTGACGAGGCTGGTAACTGTCGCTTCCGGTAAGTTTGAGACATCACAAATGGGTGACTCAAGATCTGACATTTGTATCAGCTACACCACTCAAGCATTTGGTGTTCTCGTCGCAAAGGCCGCCAAAATGTCCATCGTCGAAGCCGAAGAAATCGTTCCCGTAGGCTCAATCCACCCTGACGATGTCCACCTCCCCGGTATCTACGTCGATCGTATCATCAAGGCCACAGCCGAGAAGGGCATTGAGGCCAGAATGACCCGTCCTTCAGAGGAGATCACGACCGAGTCTGTTCCTGCTAAGGAGAAGTCACCCGCCCTGGTCAGAAGAGAGAGAATCGCCAAGCGCGCCTCAAAGGAATTGCACAACGGCATGTACGTCAACCTTGGAGTTGGTATGCCAACTTTGGCTCCATCATTCCTCAACCCTGATGTCAAGGTCTGGATTCAGTCTGAGAACGGTCTTCTCGGTCTTGGTCCTTACCCTCTTGAGGAGGAGGTCGACGCCGATCTCATCAACGCTGGAAAGGAGACAGTCACCATGGTTCCTGGTGGTGCCACTTTCGACTCAGCCGAGTCTTTCGCTATGATCCGTGGTGGACACGTCGATGTCTCTATCCTTGGAGCCCTGCAAGTCAGCGCCAACGGAGATTTGGCCAACTACATGATTCCCGGTAAGGTCGTCAAGGGTATGGGAGGTGCCATGGACCTGGTGTCCAACCCTGAGCAGACCAAGATTGTTTGCTTGACCGACCACGTCGACAAGTACGGCAAGCCCAAGGTCGTTCAAGAATGCTCGCTGCCTCTTACTGGAGCCCGTGTCGTCAGCACCATTATTACCGACATGTGTGTCTTCCAGGTTGATCGCAAGGACGGCGGCCTTACCCTTACCGAGCTGGCTGAGGGTGTCACCGTCGAGGACATCAAGGCCAACACCGATGCATCATTCACAGTCGCAAAGGATATCAAGTCAATGGAGTAAATCATGGACCTCGCAAGGACCTAACGACCCCAATCTCTTGCAACCTTTCCAATTCTGACTCTCGATCTACATTGCTGCCAATCTTGGGCAGCTGGTTGAACGGCACCCTGATAAGTTGGGAGATTTTTACGTAGCATCTTGATCATCTCATCCGGGCTCAGCCGTTAATTGAGCTCTCACGAGTAATGCCGGAGATAGTCGAACGCGTGGTCACAAGGACAAAGCATTTCGATAGGTGGAATAATAGAATGTATGTAGCGTTGTTGTGTTTGGCGAACAGGTATGAATATGGGTAAAAGCATAGCAATGAAGTTTCTTAACTACTACACCGTTTGTTTCACAGTCGTCGTGCAAGGAACGGCCAGGAGAAGCATAAAAGAGGATGTGCGTGTATGACGGATCTGTGTGAGAGGAGCAGCTTCCGATGGCATGATTGATATGCTAATCCATGAGACGGATCGTCGGAAGTGCTTCTCATACGAGCCACTATAGTTGACACTCTTGACATGTTGTCCCTTGTTCATCTTGCCAGAATAAGCAAGTAGTTGCTATATTGCGTTGAAGAATATATTGCTCCCTCGATGTTGCGTAGTGAAAATTTGATTGACAGAGATATCTACCTAGGTAACGGAGAACCCAAATCTGTTGTTGACTACAGTTTTCCATGATGGACCATTACTGCGAGACCGGTCTCGAGCTCAAAGCGTGCTCTGTGACAATGACTCGAGCTTCTTAGAGCACAGAGATCCTTTGATCCGCTGTAGTCCATTGGCTGCTTGCATGTCCAAGAGCAGAGCGTTTGATAACAAGAACATCCAGATCAAGCTATGTCCGCCTACGATCTCTGACCCTGTGTCACTGTGCAACTCTGGGGTTGTCGATCAACACTCTATTAGAGCTCGTGGTATGCACCAGCCATCTTCGCACCGCAAGCGGCAGAGTAGGTACTCTTGCTTGTTGACCATACCAAACTACAACGACTCAAGAGACTTTTGTCTACTGCAATGCTTGAATCACAAGACAGCTCTTGATGGGGCCGCGGTGCACTTCTCCCTAGTATTTCCTCTTGGTGTGACAATCCGACAAAAGGATGGTCTGACCCTGATTCAATAGACATATCTTCTAGAGTCGGATCTGCCCAGAGATCTGCATTGTCCGGAGATGAATGCGCTGCACCCCCAGATTGGCACACCTCTTTGAGCTCTTCAACCCTTTCTGGCTTCTTTACGACCGTAGGCAAGAGTCAAGTCTCTTTCGTTCGGCCTGCTTTGTTTCAGTTTGATTGTCAGTGTCAATTGCATCACGAAGCCAAGCGCGTGGTGCGATGTCGTGAAGATGGAAGGTGCTAAGTCAAAGTCGGACTCCTTGCCGATTGATCACACTCGCCGTCTGTGCACGAGTGTGCCCAGCTTTGTCGGTTTGCCATCTATTTGACATTCAATCTATCAAGCAGACATCATCAAACAAGAGACCTTGCAACTGACATCCATTGATTTGCAGTCGCGGACATATCGGTGATCCTCCCGTCACTGCTCTCTCTCTCTCTCTCTCTCTCTCTCTCTCGCTCTTCCAACGTCACCCACGCTGCCATACAGATGAACATTGCATCTGACTCGTCTCTCTCAATGTTTCACGGTCGACCGGTACTTGCTCACGTGGAAATACCAAGCTTTTACTGATCGACAACAAGCATCCACCTATATTTTAAATGGGGATCAGCGGTCAGTACTCACATCTATTTGACTCGATTGTCCTCCACGACACCTACAGCCAATGGGCAACTTCAACAGCCGCAGCCTTCTACACACCTTCCCCAGACAATGACTCGCCAGGTAGTCCCTTGATTGTAGCTGGCCTCGAGCAGCATCTGTCACGGACCAGTCACTTGGGACCATCCCAATCAAGTCGAAATAGGGACTCAGGAGGTCTTGAGCAAACACTAGTGATCGCCATGTCGAGATGAATATATAATATACGAGGGCGTCGACCATTCATCAACCCATCTCAGCATCAACTCCTTCACACTCTCTCATCAAGCATCACTTTCTTCTCCAAGGCTTCCACTCTTTACGGGCCTCTTCTTCAAATCTCTATCCCCAAACCCCAGATCTTTACGAATCAACAATCATGCGTTTCACTCAGGCTATTGCTACTGCCATTCTCTCGGCCACCATGGTCTCGGCCATGCCCATTGGCTCCTCTGGAAGCGTTCTCGGAGGCGTTGGCTCCGGAGTCCATCCTACTGTCCAGTCGGCTGGCACTACAGTCGACGGCGTTGGTACTGTTGTCGACGGTGTCGGTGGCATCGTGGGTGGTGTCTCGACCACTCTCACTGGTACTGGTCACGTCGCCAACGGTGCTGGCAAGAACATCGAGAACTCCAAGCGTCAGGTCCTCGGAGGTGTCCACCCCATTGTGAACTCGGCTGGTACTACAGTGAATGGTGTTGGCACAGTGGTTGACGGTGTCGGTGGCATTGTCGGAGGTGTCTCTACAACCTTGACTGGCACCGGCGGTGTCGTTAACGGTCTCGGCCAGCACGTTGAGAACGCAAAGCGTCAGGTTCTCGGAGGAGTCCACCCTATTGTTAACAACGCCGGCACATCAGTGGATGGAGTTGGATCGGTTGTTGACGGCGTCGGCGGCATTGTCGGTGGCGTTGGCATCACCCTTGGTGGTGTTGGTGGTACAGTCAACGGTGTCGGCCAGAATGCCGCTGGGGAGAACGTCCTCAAGCGTCAGGTTCTTGGAGGTGTTCATCCTACTGTCAACAGCGCTGGTACTACAGTTGACGGCGTTGGATCAGTCGTCGACGGTATTGGTGGCATTGTCGGAGGTGTCTCTACAACCCTGACTGGCACCGGTGGTGTCGCAAACGGTCTCGGCCAGCACGTTGAGAACTCCAAGCGTTCTCCTCTCCTCGACGCTGTCGTCGGCAACCCTCTTGTTGGTGGTGTTACCCACACTGTTGGTGAGCTCGTCGGTGGTGTTGCTCAGGGCGGCATTCCCGCAGCCGTCAGCGACCTTGTTGGCGGTGTTGTCAAGCGCTCGCCTATCCTCGACAGCGAGATCGGCTCTGGACTTGGTGGTGTTGGTGAAACCGTTGATGGACTTACCTCTGGCGGCCTTGTCGGAGGCGTCAGCGACCTCCTCACCGGCGTTACCAACCCCCTCATCGGCAAGATCGAGCGTGACCTCTCCACCGGCGTCAACACTGTCGTCAAGAACGTTGATGGCATCGTTGCTCCCATTATTGGCGATGTTCTCTAAATCACATCACGGATCAGATCACGAAACACCATCACGTCCTCAGCCGGGCGGAACAGACCACGATCATAAGGTGATCGTCAACGACGAGGTTTTTCTTATGTCCAGCTTCTCTGTACTATACCAGATTTAGTCTTCTACTTTGATTCATATACTTGCATACTTCATGAACCTCCCAGATCTCTTTGCATAATCTTATGCACCAATACATAAAACCGACGTATGACGTCTAAAGTGGACCGATCGTTCGACACCCTCTTTAGATTGATAAGAGGATCTTTCCATATACATCCTCTTCCAACCTCCTCTCTTCTTCCTCGCCTTATCAGCCGTTCCTACTTCATTCTACAGACAGATCCCATTATCATGTCCTCCTGGCAAGACATCTGCCACTTCAAGCGCGAGCTTCAAGCCGGCAACATCCCGTTCACCTGGCGTCTGAACCCACTACCTACAGATTACAAATCATCCATTCCAATTGTCGAATCTTGTGGTATTCTGAGTGGTCAAGAACTGGAAATCACCAACACCGATGCATCAATTTTGATCCCGAAGCTTCAGTCCGGAGAGCTTACAGCTGTCAAAGTGGTCACTGCATTTTGCAAACGAGCTGCCGTGTTACAGCAATTAACCAAATGTTGCACTGAACTCATGTTTGGAGATGCTCTGGAGACGGCAGAAAGACTAGATGAGGAGTTTGCGAAGACTGGAAAGACAGCTGGTCCACTCCACGGTCTGCCGATCTCGCTCAAGGATTGCTGCGAGGTTGAGGGTTATGATGCTTGTGTTGGCTGGGCAGGCTTGTGCTTTAAGCCTGTTGAGCAGCACAGTGTTTCCACTATTGCGCAGGCTGTGAGGCTTGGAGCTGTGTTGTATGTCAAGACCAACGTTCCGCAGAGTATGATGATGTCGGATAGTTATAACCATGTCTTTGGACAGAGCGTCAACTCTTTGCACTCTGGACTTGTATCCGGTGGCTCGTCAGGTGGTGAGGGCGCTTTGGTGGGTGGGAAAGGTTCAGTCATTGGCATCGGTACTGATATCGGTGGTTCAATCCGCATTCCAGCTGTTCTGCAAGGCATCTATGGTCTTTGCCCTTCGGCTTACAGAGTTTCATGGCGCAGAGCAGCTAACCACCAGGAGTATCTGATTCCTTCTGTCGCCGGACCTTTGACCTGGTCTCTAGAGTCACTCAAGACATACATGGAAGCCTACTGCTCGAGCGACCCGTGGCAAATCGACCCCAGCATCCCCCCAATCCCCTGGCGGACAGAGCTTACCAGACTTCCTGCTGGCAAAAAGCTCAGACTCGGCTTCATCCATGACGATGGCTATGTGCTTCCTCAACCCCCTATCCAGCGCGCAATGCAACGAGTCCGCCAACTCTTCGCCGATGCAGGCCACGAGTGTATCGACTGGGACGCTGCTTCACAGTCAACATCCTACTACGATCTCTGGGAACCCGCTATACTGGCTGATGGAGGCGAAGGCTGCGCAGCCGCCGGAAACCTCTCAGATCCTCCACAACCGCTCATCGAAGGTATGCTAGTAGGAAAACCCGAAGATAAACTCGATATTCCACAAAGACAAGCGCTGGCTCGCAATATACTAGAGTACAAACAAATGTATGCTGAAAAAATGCTCGAGTCAGGTGTCGACGCTATCATTGCACCTGTGTTGCCTTGGGTGGGCTATAAGCCTAAGCAGTGGGTCGTCAGCAATCAGTATGTGGGCTACAGTGCTCATTGGAATCTGCTCGACTATTCTGCATTGGCAGTGCCGACTGGAGTGGTTGCAGACAGGGAGTTGGATAGTGTTGAAGCTTGTGCTGGATGGCAGGACTACACGCCAAAGAACAAAAGCGATGAATTCAATCACGCGCAATATGATATTGACTTGGTGGAAGGCATGCCAGTGGGTGTTCAACTAGTCACTGGACACTATGGCGAGGAGAAAGCAATCATGATCGCGGGAGTTTTGGACAAGTTGCGCAAGAGTTCTTCGAATTGATGCGCATATCGGTAGCAGACCATTCACATGAATCTACCTCCTTGGATCTGCACGATACAGCCATTTGTATCAAGAGATGCAAGCACTCGTTCGCTCGGCAATAAAGTTTCGGAAGACAAGAGAGATGGTTGGCTCACATCACGAACTGACTTTGTGCTGACAGGGGAAATTGCGTTCATGCAAAGGCAGCAGACGCTGGTTCCGAGATGGCGGGAAAGCTCATCAGCCTCGACGTATGCAGGAACAAGGACATGCATGCAAAGAGAAAAACAGAGTTACACGGAAGGAGGGGATAGTGTTGGTTGAGTAGAAGCAGAAATAAGGCGGGAGCGATCAAGGACGGAAAAGCAGGTGGTTGGGAAAGCATGTGTTTTATTGATTCGTGTCTGTGCCGTGGATGCGGTGTTTGTATGGGGTTATGGAGATTTTGATCGAAAGCTGAGATGACTGTGGTTTATTGTCTTTGAATGGATGCATACGGAGTACAGCAGAGACATTGTCTGCAAGAAGGATGTAGAGAGAGGGATGAGTTGCAAGGGGGTTGATGAGGTTCATCTCAAGCTGCGTCGAGCGGTTAAAAGTCTAGAGCTCTGTGATTGGCGTGTGACTCGGTGGTGGAGTCTGTATGCAAGCGGGAGGGCGGGATGAAGAAGCTTGGCCTTCCCCGTTGTTAGCTGACCAGCCACCCAGGTCACAGCAAGTCACAAAAGATACAAGAGCAAAAGACGTTTGAGATGGGCCGTCGCGACTGACGTACAAGTCAGATGGTTGCTTGGGGTATGTTCGCGGGAGCAACAGGAAACGGCCTTGTACCGCAGATTTGGATGTCGATAAAGACAGATGAACAGCGAGATGGCAGGAGAGATGAGGCTTCAGAGGCTTCACTTTGGCGGGTTGCGGGAGATGTGAGTGCTAGTGGTGCAGCTAGCTGCGGGTTGCTCGGGGTGCTAAGCATGGCGAAACCAGTTCATGCCATCACTTTGACCACTTTGGTGAGAGCAAAAGCCTGTTTGGAGCGCCCTGTTTAGCTCGGGCTTGGCGCGTGTACCGTAGTTGCAGCCAAAGGAGACGAAAGTGTCAGTGCCAGACGGTCCAGTGTGCCAGTGCCAGCCCTGCCAGCAACGAGCCGCGAGAAGTCTTTGACCGTCGACCGCGCGCAACCTCGACGACGACTCGTCCTGTCTCTTGTCGGTGAAGACGTCTCATCGTCTTCTCTCTCGCTCGCTCTGCCCTGCCCTCGACAGCGACCCTCGCTCTCTACCTCACTCACACGTAATAAACACGACCCACGACGAGTCGCCCAACACTTGATTCCCACCAGACATGACCCAATACGGCAAATTTCACGTACGCCCGTCCACCTCCACGGTGTCTAGAGTCCTCGAGTCTAACATGGTGTCTATAGGACTTTTGTCGCGACACAGGCAGCTTGCGATCGACACTGCCAGTGTGTAATGTACGACCACCTCTCCATCCTCACCACCTTCACTCCCAATTGACTCTTTGCGACAGCTCTTCAATGAATCCCCATCACGCGGCGGCGCTGGCTTTGGCGGATGCGACCTGCAAGGCATCTCGCTGGGAGGAGGAAGATATCTCGCCAACTTGGGCTCCATATTGATCGACGGTCTCGCCATCCTCATCGCCCTCTTCCTGATCTGGAGGTCGAATAGAAAGCGCGCTGCTGTTGGAAGAAGGTATGTTGGCCTGTAGCCGTATTGCTGTCAACACAAGCTGACTGTTCTTCCAGGGAAATGCAACTGTTCCTCCTCGGCTTCATCATCATCTCAATCTGCGAAATCTTCACCATCGGCTGGTTCCCCCTTGATGGCGCCGTGCGACGGGTGAGTCTATACTGATACGAAACCTGTCTGTCTTGCGGACTAACAAATCTAGGCCTTCTCTGCTGTTCACATTGCTGCCATCATTGCGACCACATGGATCCTCCTTATGAACGCTGCCGTCGGCTATCAATTCTTGGACGACGGAACCTTTGTCTCTCTCGCTCTGATTTTCGGTTCTGCCGCTATCCTCTTTGTCGGTACTGGCTATATTGCGCTCGACACTGGTTTCAGCTGGACTGGATACTGGGATGACACGCTGGTAGCTCCCAACCGTGCATACGCCCTCTACACATTGTATCAGCTCGTCCCTCTGGTCTTCCTTAGCATCTTCTTCGTTCTTGAAGCCTTCATTGTCGTCAGGGTTCTCGGCGAGGTCAGGCCCATGCGTAAGTTGTATTATCAAATAATGTGCAATAACATGACTCACATGTCTCTCTAGTCTATCTCGTTGCAGCAATGCTCCTCTTCGCCATCGGTCAGGTCTTCCAATACGTTATCAGCGTACACCTCTGCAATGCGACTAATGGAGCCATCAACGGAGGACTCTTTGAATCACTCTTTACCCTCTTATCCATCATCATGATCTGGGTCTTTTGGTCAAGCATCACCGAAGACGACTGGCCTCTTCCCTCGTCGACCGAGACATCGACCTACAACTAACCCCACCAAACCACAACCGCACACTAATTGACAAATTATACCCGCGAGCACGACTAGTAGCAACCCTTCTCTGGATTTTTTCTTTCACATTGTTATTCTTTCACTGTCATATCATGAAGCAGCACGGCGTTGGATTGATTGATGGCTGGGATTGTTCTCTTCCCTTACCCTAATGACTTTTGTTTCCTTTTTCTTTCGTTGTCAATGTTTTCTTTTATCCAATGTCTTGTTTTTCTCTCAATACCCAGGCAGAAGAAGAAGGAGGACGAGAAGATGGCAGTTTTTGAATGTCTCACGTTGATTGAGACTCTTTTCAAACGTAATGTATTGCAGACTGTGCGTGTATCAATTTCTTGTATAATCGGTCATTGTTGATTTATCTTGCTGAGTGTGATAAGCGTTTATCCAAGTGAAGCCTTTCTGTATGATGACGCGCAAAAAGTGAAAGTGTGGAGAAAGTTACATCTATTCATCAGCGTAAACATGTGCCATCACCAAACACACCGACAAATCGCATCGACCACATCCGACCAGCAAGACTATCTCCACCTGCGTGCACCATCACAACACATCTGCCTTCTACTTCTACACCCATCGAACGACCCAACAGATCCACACACACAACACAGACAGCTCCACGCAAGCATGGCGCATCACGACATAGACTACGACATGGACATGTCCGACGACGCGAATGAAGACCTCAACACCCGCAACTCGCGCACCACAAACCCCTCCCGCCTCTCAGACCCGGGTAAAGCAAAAGCCACCCCAAAAGACAGCTCTTCCTCGGGCAACCGCGCACGCTGGGAAGCCGGCGCACAAAAGAACTGGGACTTGCACGAGGGCGACGATGGAAACTTGACTTCGGTGCTGGGAGGCATGGAAGAAGCCACAAAGAGATTGAGGTTGCAAAAGGATACGACACCACTGCAACGAGGTATCATACGGCATTGTTTGCTGGTGTTGGATTTGTCGCTGGCCATGACGGAGAAGGATTTGAGGCCGACCAGGTTTTTGCTCACGCTTACCTACACCATGGCGTTTATCCGCGAGTTCTTTGAGCAGAATCCGATTTCGCAGTTGGGCATCTTGGGCATGAGAGATGGGCTGGCAATCCGCATCTCCGAACTCAGTGGAAACCCCAACGACCACATCTCCGCCTTGAAAGAGCTGAGGAATACAGAACCAAAGGGAGCTGCAAGTTTACAAAATGCGCTGGACATGAGCAGAGCAGCATTATACCACACACCCTCTCACGGCACCAGGGAAGTAGTGATTATACTCGGCGCACTCAGTTCTGCAGATCCAGGCGACATACACCAAACCATCAATGCATGCGTCAGAGACAAGCTTCGAGTCACAGTCATTGGTCTAGCGGCCCAAATGCACATCTGCGCCGACCTCTGCGCGCGCACAAACGCAGGAGATACGTCCAGCTACAATGTCGCGCTCGACGAACCACACTACCGCGAGTTACTCATGGCGATCACCACGCCCCCCGTCATGCGTACTTCTTCTTCCTCTGCCTCTGCCTCCGCCACCTCCAAATCCGCGCTCCTGCAAATGGGCTTTCCGTCCCGCTACACGGAGCCACAAGCAACGCTTTGTGCATGTCATGGCGTGCTTACCAACGGCGGATACAATTGCAGCCGCTGCTCGGCAAAAGTCTGCAGTCTGCCGCAAACGTGTCCAGCGTGCGATTTGACGCTGATTCTATCCACGCATTTGGCGAGGAGTTACCATCATTTGTTCCCGCTGTTGCTGTGGAATGAAGTTTCTTGGCAACGAGCAGTGCAGAAGAAGAGTCAGAGGTGTTTTGGTTGCCTGAGTGCGTTTCCGCAGCCACCGAAGGGCGTGGAGGCGGGAGGGAATGCAGCAGGGGCGGAACAGCAAAAAAGGGCAGAGGGTGCGAGTGAGAGTAGTAGGTATGAGTGTCCTTCTTGCGAGAGACACTTTTGCGTGGACTGCGATGTCTTTTGCCACGAGGTGGTGCATAATTGTCCTGGATGCACTAGTGGCGGAGGCGCAGCGGTTGCTGCTAATGGAGATGGCGATGTGGTGATGAATGGCAACGGACACGAGCATGGAAGCATGAACGGCAATGGTATTGCTGTGGCATAGACACAAGCACGGGGAAAAAAATGAACATCATCCAAGATGCTAAGGACAAGGGAACTTTACACAACACCTCCGCCTTTGGAGAAACACAACGAGTAAAGAATTGACGATCCACACTCCTTCGACCCCCTTGTCTGCTTCCAGATACTGTAATGGTAGCTGAGTACAAAAGCATGCAGACTCATCATCGAATCTATGCCTTGCAACAGAAAAAAACAAGCTAAAAGCAAAGTACGTAGGAGAGCCATGGTTTGCGGAGGTTTGCTTGATGATGTACTTGTTTCAGACGCAAGTAAGTGGAATGGAAAGGCAGCTAAGTGATCAGGTCGATAATCCCCACTCTCTCTTCCTACCATACCCCTGAGAGTTCGCAGTACAGAACATCGAATTCGATCAGGAAAGCAACTAGCGAATGGCGATGTGAGATGAATGGGAGGGATATCGAGTTTATGGACCTGGTCGTCCTGCGTGTCATTACTTACGCGTTGTTTTCTAGATACCGATTCTTGTGTGCCAACGATGGTGGATGGCTTGTTTCTCGAGTGCCCCTGCCATGGGTGGATGTGTAAAGATGATATAGGTCCGGATAAGTGAAAAGCGGCTTATATACCCACGATATGATGCTACATGGAATTTCTTTCTTAGAACGAACGAGTGGAGAGATGCTATGCTCACACAGGTGTGATCGCTCAATCACTGCGAGATTTACTGATTGTGATGCAAATATAAAATCAGCCCCCCGCTACCATCACTCTTACGCTCACAATCAACCATGACCTCATGCTGGATGACTACGGTGTGGGAAAGAAGAAAAAAAAGATGCGTGAGAACGGCTGGCTTAGTAGTCAAACTTGGAAGTCATGGGGGAGGAATCGAAGGGAAGTGATCAGATTGGTGATCCTCTCTCGTCTCTCCCTTTTCTCCCTCAACTGATGTTGTATCTTTTGAGATGACCCGCATCAATCAGTAGAGATGGAGGTGGAAAGGGTATAATAGGGTTTGTGGACCTGATTGTTTTTGCATGCCTGTATATCAACAGCTCTAGATGTATGTGACACAACTGTGGATGCCGATGGGTCTCCGAACATGTTGCATGCTCATCTTGACAGATCAACCTGGCTTAGGTTTTGAACTCTGGTGTGAGCAAGTCATGCTCCTTGAAATTTGTTGGGTTTATGATGTTGACGAGGCAAATTGATGCTTCGTTCACAGATAAGGAGGATGCAAAGAAAGTGTAGGTAAGGTGAGAGATCAGGTCGGAAATCCAGACGCCCCGAAGCATAGAAGGTCAGGATCCTTTATAGGGACCCAATGTGAGTTCGAGAAAAGTCTAAACGGATCTACGGATGCTTGGAAAGTAACGAGGGGCTTTCAACCGAGATGTGGAGCGTCAAAGTCGTGGAGTATTCTCCAGACAGACACTACACAACCGTTGCTCAGATCAGCCCCTCACGGACACATACCCATTGGAAAACCATAGTACTAAATATTGGACCGCGACTGGGACGTAACAGATATTGCACCAAATCCGTCTTTGCCACTGGCAAACATGCCTGCACCCAACAACAACTCCAGACAAAACGCACGACTGCGTGCGAAGAGCGGCTGTTGGACGTGTAAGAACTGATTCTTCAGAACCGCGAACCGGGGCTAATCAATCGCTACGTATGCTAGGTCGAGCTCGTCGTAAGAAGTGTGACGAGACCCGACCTAACTGTCACAGGTGTTCGCAGAGTCGTCGGCTTTGTACCTGGCCCAGGCATGACCAAATGACTGACCGGCGTTGGCTACCCCGATCAAAGTCTTCTCAGATCACGGATAGAAGTTTTACTAATATAGCGATTGATGTGCTACAATCTACCGATTACGGAATCCTCGAGCCTATCTTGATAGATCATTTTATGGACAAGTTGCTGCCACTGCTTTGGAATCCGGAAAGCTCTAGTGAGTTTCACGAGCAAGTCACTCTCGAAGTACAGCAAGATGTCCTTCATTGCGAACAACTACGATATACCGTTCTGGCCAACGCAGCGTCCCATCTGTATCTGATTGGCCAATCGCCCCGGATGCAAGACCTCGCCTTGAACTATTATTCAAAATCTTTGCGAGAAATGTCCAGGGAGATAGCCAAGCCAACCTGTATGGTTGATGCTACATCAGGTGCTATGCTCATTGCTATCATCCTGCTTTACTTGCACGGGGTTGGTGATATTGCTACTTAAGCTGATGGGATAATTGCTGACAAACTTCTCAAGGTCATCGGTTTGGGAACCACTCAGGACTCTTTGGTGCATGTTGATGCTGCAGCCATACTACTACAACACGAATACCACTCTCCGAGCATGGTCATTATGTGCAGCCGCATCGGAAGGATGTTGATCGAGAGCGTGGCTTTTCAGGTCTTTCTTCTTACAATGGGACAATGGTCAAAGCCCGAGCAAATCACACGGCAACACTCGCCCCAGTTTTGGATTGTCTGTGACGGTCTCCTCCGAAGATTGACTAATGCCTTTGGTGACTCGGTTTCGATGCAGAATCCAGTCCTGGGCATGGATATGGGCATTCTCAAATTGATGACAACAATCAAACAATGCTTCTCAGTGGAAATTACCTCCAAAGAACGACAAAGACTTCTAGCCGAAGCGGTGGAGGAAACTCCTCTGTGGTTGGCATGGCTAGAGCTCTTGCATGGCCTTCGAACAATGACTGGCCAAGGGCTCTATGGCAACTGCATAGCTAGCGATGCAGCACGACTCACGATCCTTGCTGCTTCAATATTTGTAGAACATCTGTCGCAACGTCCTAATTCGTACTTGACATTGCCTCACCCGAGCGTTTCGGATTGGCAGATGGAGCAAATTCTCGCCATCCTGAGGAGAAGGCGCAACGATGCAGCCTGGTCGAGCTCTTATCTCGGAAGCTGGCCCGTATACACTGTGGGAATTTTTATGTGCTCACGCGAGCACATTGAACTTGTGCGAAATGATGTGAGGGAGCGATGGAACGCACTACGCATGTCGAGCATCAAGCGATACTGGGATGACTTGGAGAAGATCTGGAAAAATGTTCCTTTACCGGGCATTAGCGAAGAGAACCATGTCACATACTCATGAGCCTGTAGGCTGACCATCCGCCGGATACGCCAAGCACAGAGACGATTGCGTAATTGCGATCGTTTTATCAGCTCTTGAACGATCAAGACCGCCAGAGGTTCAACGTTGGTGGGATCTTATCGCTACTGTCTCGGTATCACGAGCGCTCGAACTTGAAGTCGAGATTGACTCTTTCCTGACCAATGGGCATCATTTGCGCACCGCACCATCACTCAGCCCCTGGAGCGTACTTACCCCGCCTCCATACTGACTACGATAGTGAGCCTCGGTTGCGGACCCCAGATACTGCTCAAACTCTATCTCCACAGGAGCATGGAAGTACGATTCGAGGCATACGCACGACCAATGGAAATGAATTGCGCCTCAGCAACTGCATATCAGGAAGAGCCTCATTGCGCTGATAGCTTGTCGTCCAATGATCTACAATTGCGCGCTATAGGTGTGGAACACTTGCATTTGGACGAATCTTCTGGATTTGTGACGAGAGATCCCTCGTTTACTCTATAAAGGTAGATTGATCCCAGGGAGTCATGATCCGATGCAACCATGACAAGCAAAGCTGACTCCAAGCCTGGCAAGACGTCCTCCAAAATCCACGCTACAGCGTTGGGCGGACTGGAATCAATCATAACACAACTTCCGATCATTCAAACGCTACCCGTTCCTGCAGGCAGTGCAGACTTCGAACAAAAGCGAGCCTTAGCTCTCGAAGAATTCGCCTCAAAAGTCCCTGTGGAGTATCGCATCCCGCGCCATTACATCGAAAGTCCGCCGAAGGACGTCACACCCATACCACGTGAATGTGGTATACTCGATGACATAGAACTGGATATCACCGAGCAGTACGATGCCACCGCCCTGGCCCATGCCATTGCTGCTGGAAAGTTGACGGCCGTCTCTGTCGCTAAGGCGTTTATCAAGAGATCCATTATATGTCACCAGATCAGCAACTGCCTGACGCAGTGGATGCCAGAGTTAGCCCTCAAGCGGGCTCAAGAGCTCGACAACTATTTCTCTCGTACCGGCAAGACAATGGGTCCTCTGCACGGTGTGCCAATAAGTGTCAAACAGCACATTCCTCTAGCCGACACAGACTCAGACATGGGGTTTCTGGCCACAAAGGCCCATAATCCCCAAGACTCGCTCTTGGTCGCGATCCTGCGTAGCCTCGGTGCTGTATTCTATTGCAAGACCGCTCGTAAGCTTTCTTCCAGCCTGATCATGACATCGTGTGTTTCTGCGCTGAGAGCCCTTCTACAGAACCACAAGGCATCATGCATATCGAGACTGATGGCTATCACGGTCGTACCCTCAACCCCCACAACATCAACTTGTCTCCAGGTGGTTCATCAGGAGGAGAAGCAGCCTTGATAGCCCTTCGTGGTTCTATTCTTGGTGTCGGCACAGACATTGGAGGCAGCATCAGAGTTCCCGCTGGATTCGTCGGCATCTACGGCTTCAAACCGACAGCCTACACCCTTCCCATGCGCGAATTTGTGAACGGCGCGTTTCCTGCGGAATTGAACATTCTACCTTCAACTGGACCCATGTGCACGTCGTTGAGAGACGTTGATCTCTTCATGCACGGCATCCTCAGTCAACAGCCCTATATCCAAGATCCTCGAGTGGTACCCCTCCCATGGAAGGGTCTTGGAACTGACCTCCAGGTCTCCAAAACCAATCGTCTCAAGGTCGGAATCATGTTCAATGATGGCGTTGTCCAACTCCAGCCTCCGGTGCTTCGCGCCTTGCTGGAAGCGCAAAAATTTTTACAGGTTTCACCGCTTGTCGAGATCAAGCCTTACAAAGTCCCTAGCATACACGAAATACTCGGCATGACCTCAAAGATGTACGTCCCTGATGGTGGACATTCAGTCCGCCAAGTCTGTGAGATATCAGGAGAACCACTGCACCACCTGACCGAATTCAACTTGGAGGGTCTCGAGCCAGTAGACGCGTACGGTATAGCCAAGCTCCGTGTCTCGCGCGACGCATTCAGAATTGCTTTTTCGGAAGACTGGGCGGCCCAGGATGTGGATGTAATCCTCAGCCCTTTACACGTTGGGCCCGCGGCGGCTCACGACACGGCAAAGTACTTGGCATACTCGGCCCTTTGGAATATACTCGATTGCCCTGCCATTGCGTTTCCCACCTCTACAAAAGTGGGTAAGAAGGGTACAGAGCACTATGCTGCTGGCGACGAGAAGCCTTGGAACGAGTTGGATGCACATGTGCGTGCATTGTGGGAGGAGCATGATTACGAGGGTGCGCCTATCTCTTTGCAGCTTTCGGCTAGGAAACATCATGATGGCATGTTGATTGCTGCTCTGGATATGATGAGAGATGTTCTTGAGCTTGAGCAGTAGTCTTGGGCTGTAACTTGTGTCATACTCTTGTACGTTTGACTTTGAAGAAATCTCACAGTGCGATTTGGTACACGCTGTCGGATATGTATTGGAGAAGATCAATGTCTGTGATATGGAATGACCTGTGCTTGTGCTGGTCATGGGCAGTATATAAGGAGATCCGTCTGTATAGGGTTGAACACCATCGAATGTGTGAAATATCACATCAGAAGATTCAAAAAGACCTTGGCAGGACTTGCCACCCGAAAGAGAAGAATCGTGGCATCATAGTCAGATGTGTCGGGAGCAGTGCAGAGTAAGTAAGTGCAGGGAGACAAGTAGACAAGGTCCGTATTCCTCTGAACTTCCACACAAGACAAGCACGCTCCAGTGATTGGGATCAGAGGAGAGACACTTTAAGATATCAAGGGGTTGTAGACCCGATGGGTTCTCCCCTCTGGCTTACTCGGGACGTTTTCATAGATGAAATTGATGCCCACTGGTATTCCTTCCGCAATTTTGTACGTACTCCGTATGAACTGGCGTTGGTCGACTGCGCTGGGAGATATGATCAGGTAGAGGGTGCATTAGAGATTGCTGTCGAAGAGAGAGATCATAGTCTAGTACTGTCATAGTGGAGCAGACATGAAATGGTTTAGTAAATTCTCGCGATAGGCCGAGAGGTATGGTGATAACACCGGGCTTGTTTCACCAAGCACATTTTGATGCAGCGTCTTAACCACTAGACCATCACCACTGTTTGTTGGACGAAATCCGGATTTGGGAATATATGTATGTTGCATGACGTGAAGGGGTATCAGGCAAGTGAGTGGATGGAGTAATGGATGAATCTTTACTACACCCATCACTCGTCGCGCTCGTGGATTGTCTTGTATAGTCTGTTCGTGATGTTTAAATCGAGTCTTATGGCACCTTTCCTGGTTTACTCGTTCATCGAGTTTAGATGCGCAGAGCAGGGGTTATTAGATATGATGCCCCTGGACTTGTATCCTCTTCCACAGCACACTAGACTTTCGCTCATACTTTTGACCCAGATGCGAGAAGCCAATTCTCTTAGTGGTGACACAGACATTAGAGCACCGAGACCCGTCGAACTATGTACTTGGTTCCAACGACTACAGACTGCATTGAGCAAAGTCCATCAAATGCAACTTTCGACATCGATGACGAGGAGACAGATTACTCTGAGAGCCTGGCAGTCTGACTCAACGAGGATGCAGATGACATTCGAGTGCAAGATTGAAAGGATAAGCACGGAAACCAGACAACCGGGTCAGTGATCCAGTATACTCGACCGCTCTCCCAGTGTCTATAGAGTCAGAAAATGTACAAGACAGTTTTCAAGCAATCGAGGGAAGGAGTCAAGGATATAAGAGGGTCACAGACCTGACTAGCGGCTCCCTTTGCCTTGTTTCCTCCTCGTCTTTTCTTATATCTTGTTTGCCATACGATATACTCGGTTCGCGGGCTAGCATGTACAACAGGTCAGACACCGGCGATGTCCAATTTGTTTCCCAGACAGAGTGCTTTTTCTTTTCTTTCTCGAAGATGAAAATCAATATTCGAGCTTAGTCTAGTCATTCCTGTTGATGGTCTTCTGAAGTCAGCACAAATATGGTGAGAAAGGGATTCAAAGGCAAGACGTCATGTAAGTTACAATTCTCTGCAGTGCTTGCTCATTTGCAACCTGTACATAACGACTATCGCTCACGATCAACCCAAGACAAAAACGCCATGAGATCTCAATTTTTACACTTGACTCACTGCTCTAGATCTTGCTGGCAGCAGCCAACTCCTTACCAACCCACTTCTCCAATCCTCCTCTAGCAATGATATCCTGTACATTCGGCGGCAGTTCTCCAACCTTCTGGCTCCAAGTCTTGCCCTTAGGTCCCTCTTGCACAACAACTTGACTGCGTCTGACGTCCCACGTAAACGTCCAGCCTGTCCTCCTTGTCAACTTCTTTTCTTGACTGGGAGTGGAGGTAGGTGCCGGTGGCGGTGTGTCCAGCGATTGCTTGTTCTGTGCGGGCTCGGTGATGGCTTCTGTGCCTTGAGCAGAAGCAGTGGGCGTGTCAAAAGTTTCCCTCAGGCGTTGGATCAATCTGGGTACTTCGACACCCATCAACGCGTTGTTGATTGAGTTTCTGCTGAAAATGTTGCCAAAGCTTCCTGCCACCACCATGGGGATCTTCTTTGCGAGAATGGCGGTAGCGGCCTGTTCGCGAGAACTACCGCAGCCGAAGTTGAATCCTGCGACGAGGATATCGCCTTCCTTTGCGATGGAGGCGAATTCAGTGTCGTAGTTTTCCATGACGACGGTGGCCATGCGGTCGGGAGAGGAGGAAAAGGCATCGTCGTAGGTGTATTTGCCGGGGTAGATGCCGTCGGTGTTGATGTTGTCACCGTTGCACCATACGATTTCTCCAGTAACCTTTTCGGGAAAGCCGGGGAGGATGTCGGTGAGTTTGCCTTCGTCGGAGGAAGAGGTCTCTGCGCTGGCGCCCAATACTTCCTTCTCGCCTGAGGCGACGGCTTCTTCGGCTTGACGGACGAGCATGTCCAGGGCATCTTCGATGCTGATCATGCGTTGATCTTCGGGTACGCCATCGCCTTCACCACGAATGACGCCGTTCCAGCCTTCGGGCTTCTGGTAGGTCCCTGGGCCAGCGATCTTGCCTTGGAGAGCCGAGGCAGCTACGACTTCAGGACTGGCGAGGTAGGCTTTTGCATCTGTACTGCCCATTCGACCTTTGAAGTTACGGTTGGAGGCACTAATGCCGACTTCGCCGGGTTCGAGAAGACCCGTTCCGAGACCGATGCAGGGACCGCAACCAGAGGGGAGAGCCTGGGCACCAGCATCGAGCAGAACTTGCCAATCGCCCTGTTCCTCAGCAGCGCGTTGCTCAGGAAGAGAAGCAGCGGCAATGTAGAAGTTTACGTGAGAAGGGATCTTAGGGATGACACCGTCAGCCTTCTCTGCTGCATCCTTGAAAACCTTTGCGGCAGCGGCGATATCAGAACGACGACTGTTGGTGCAGGAAACGAGATATGCCTTGTTGACCTTGATGTCTTGTGCGTTGAGCTCGTTCAAAGGAGTGGCAACCTTGACACTGTTGGGGCCTGAGACGTAAGGGCAGAGAGACTCGAGATCGAGGAAGAGTTCCTTTGCGTACTTGGCGTTCTTGTCAGCAGTCAGAGGCTTCTCGAACAGAGTGTCAAGCCTCTGGTGGTTGAAGCGAGTGGCAGTCTGGGATGAAGTCAGGGCGGCGTCCTCGTAGAGAGCAGCCTCGGTGGCTTTTGCGCGCAGCCAGCCTTGGAGAACACCGTCGATGGGGAAGAGACCAGAAAGAGCACCCCACTCGGTGGTCATGTTTGCAATGGCAAGACGGTCGTCGATAGGGAGAGAGTGCATGGTTTCAGGAGAGCCAGTGAATTCGATAGCATGGTTGAGGACTTCGTCGTTGTTGAAGAGGCCAGCCAGAGCAACGATGACATCCTTTCCAGTGACACCGGCAGGAAGGACACCCTTGAGAGTGACCTTTGCGACAGGGGGAATCTGCCACCAGGTACGACCAGTAGCCCAGATGGAAGCAGCATCGGTACGGACAACGGGCGTTCCGAGACAGCCAATGCCACCGTACATGTTTGTGTGAGAGTCTGAAGCGACGCAGAGGGTGCCAGGCCAGGCGTATCCCTCTTCAACCATGATCTGATGACCAATACCACGACCAGCAGGGTAGAAGTCGACGCCCTGCTCTTTTGCAAAGTTCTCAATCTGGCGGTACTTTTGTAGGTTCTTTTCCGTCTTGTTCTGAACATCGTGATCAAGGGTCATGACGATCTGCTTGGGATCGTGGATCTTTGTGGCACCAATTGACATGAATTTTGTTGCGACAGGCCATGAGTTGTCGTGGGTCATGCATTGCTGGGGGGAGAGGGTGACATAGTCGCCAGACTGGACGAACTTGTCTTGGGCGAGACCGAGACTGTGACGCTGGACAATCTTCTCTGTCAAGGTTTGGGGGGCAGCGACGGGTTGCTCAGCATTCAGGTAGTCGGAGATACCAGGCTGGTCGAGCAGCGAAGGAAAGACATCGGGAGACGAGGCATTTCGTAGCGGTGTTGATGTTGTGTATAGGCGAGGACGAAGGATGTGTCGAGAGGCAACAACGGTGGCTCGGATAGCAGGACGACGAGTGCTGAGTCTGGCTGTGGCCTGGTATAGCGTTAGTCATTGGTATAGGCACAAAGCTTCGTCCAACTGACCAGACGCAGTCTCGCGCCGGATGCCGCATTCAAACGGAGGATGGGCATTCTTGAGAAAGTATAACAAGAACACAAAGGACTCTTCTACAACAGCAGTTCAATCAACACAGTCTACTCCACAAGACAGATGAATTGACAGGTTGGAGAGGCGACATAAAATCCCCAAGCCAATCATCAATCACTCATTGGTACAGATTTTATGCCGTCGCCGACATCGCTTTACACGGATTTGTGTACTTATACATGCTTCGGACTTGTTGACGGAGATAATGTGCTCCAAAAGCTCGCCCCGCAAAAAGGTGAAGCCATGACGATCAGGGACACAGCGAAACGTGTTGCTTCGCCAGACTTTCTTCTGCAATCAACAATTCAACATCATGGCTCCGTGGTTACTATCGGCCGCTGTGGCATTGTTGCAGCTCTTGCCCGAGACTGCAGTTGCCCAGGATGTTGCTTCGCCATTCACAAAGGCTTCCAATGATTCGCTTCTCTGGGGTCCCTATCGTCCTAACTTGTACTTTGGTGTGAGACCAAGATTGCCAAAGAGCGTGCTTACTGGCTTGCTGTGGGCAAAGGTCGAGGACTTTGCTTCTGTCCAAAACAACTTCAGATACACATGCGAGCAACACGAGGGTATGGCCGGCTACGGCTGGGATGCATACGATCCCAGGACTGGTGGTTCTCAGACCATTCACGATGCTGGCAACCAGATTGACATCACCACCGACTTTGTCAAGTTCCCCGAGCATGGCTCTAATGGAGGCTCCTGGGGTGCAAGAATCAGAGGTGTGCCGAGAGAGGATGCTGCAGAGGACCTCAAGTCAACCATCGTCTTCAACATTGGCGTCGAGGGTCTCGGAAGCTTGGTCGTCGACAACGCCGAAGACGAGGACAACGAGAACGGCTTTGATGGCCAAGTTGTCATTGCTGGAGAGACTCCTGAGTTGGGCACGTTCACTGTCACGATTGTGGACCGTAAGGGAGAGAAGCCTACTCACATTCATCCCTCGTTCCAGGAGAAGCCCATCGACAAGACTCTGGTCCACAGTGTGCAGATCCCTGAGGCTGCTCTATGGCAGGCTAAGCGTAAGCTCTACATTTCCGACTCCTCCTACTCGAGACTGACTTCTAAACAGCCGTCCTGTTCTCCTCGATGAAGACGACTCTCGACAAGTACATCGAGGTCTACACGGCCGAAGCCATGCCTCCCCCGATGCAAGCTTTCACCATTTCCAATGCTCCCGGTGCTGGTAACATGCACTTTGTGCAAAAGGTCTTCGAGGGCGCATTCGAATTCGATGTCATCTTCTCGTCGGGTTCCGGCTCTACGCCCATCAAGTCGGCAGATCTGTCAGAGAAGATCGAGACAACCATCAAATCCTTCTCCGAGCGCTTCATCCAGTCATTCAAGCCCCAGCAACCCTTCAGCGACAAAAAGTACACCGGCCTAGCCAAGTCACTCTTCTCCAACTTGATCGGAGGTATTGGTTACTTCCACGGAGATTCCGTCGTCGACCGCTCGTATGCACCCGAGTATGAGGAAGAGAACGAAGGGTTCTGGCAGGAAACGGCAGAAGCAAGAGCAAGGAACCAACAAAAGCTCGAAGGACCTTATGAGCTCTTTACCGGCACACCATCCAGACCCTTCTTCCCTCGTGGTTTCCTCTGGGATGAGGGTTTCCATTTGCTTCCCATCATCGACTGGGATGTAGATCTTACTCTACAGATCATCAAGAGTTGGTTCAACCTGATGGACGACGATGGCTGGATCGGTCGCGAACAAATTCTCGGTCCCGAGGCTCGCAGCAAGGTGCCTCAAGAGTTCCAGACTCAGTACCCTCACTACGCCAACCCTCCCACTCTCTTCTTCGTCATTCACTCGTTCCTCGACAAGATTGCTGCTGCAAAGTCTGGCCAAAAAGTTCTGGGTTCCGATAATGCTAACGGCGTTCTCGCCAATCCTGAGGCTGCTTTGCAATACCTCCGCGATCTGTACCCCCTCCTGAAGAAGCACTACGAATGGTTCCGTAGAACTCAAGCTGGTGATCTCAAATCCTATGACCGTCCCGCCTTCTCAAAGAAGGAAGGCTACCGCTGGAGAGGAAGCACCAAGACTCATCTCTTGACTTCCGGTCTTGATGACTACCCTCGTCCTCAGCCTCCTCACCCCGGCGAGCTTCACGTCGATCTGATGTCCTGGATGGGCATGATGACCCGCGCTATGAAGCGCATTGCAACCACTCTCACCGAGGAAGACGATGCATCAACCTACTCGAAGATTGAAAATGCCATCATCCGCAACCTCGACGACCTTCACTGGTCCGCTGATGATCAAGCATACTGCGATGCCACTGTCGACGAGTACGAAGAGCATGCCCTCGTCTGTCACAAGGGTTACATCTCACTCTCGCCTTTCTTCGCTGGTCTCATGGCGCCAGACCACCCTCACCTCGGCGAAGTCCTCAACCTCATCAGCTCACCCGAGCACCTTTGGTCTCCTCACGGCATTCGCTCCCTCTCTCCTCAGGATGAGCTCTACGGCACCGAAGAGAACTACTGGCGTTCCCCTGTGTGGCTTCCAATCAATTACCTCGTTGTCAAGGAGCTCTTCAACACTGCTTCGGCTGCTGGGCCTCACCAAAAGCGTGCAGCCAAGATCTACACCGATCTCCGCAAAAATCTCGTTGACACGGTTTTCAAGTCTTGGGAAAAGACTGGCTTTGCTTGGGAGCAATACAACCCTGAGACTGGTGATGGACAACGTACACAGCATTTCACTGGCTGGACTAGTCTGGTTGTCAAGATCATGGCTATGCCTGAGGTGCCTGTTGTTGGCGGTACCGGTGGACATGACGAGCTGTAGATAGCTTTGGACTTTGGCCAGCGATAGAATTGTAAATACCTGACACAAAGTAAACCTGTTGCTCTAACCGCTGCTCGTGACTTGTCTCTGAGTTGAACACCCTGTAGGATTTAGGAGGTACCACGATCTGATGATGCTGCAGCCAATTGGTCGAATTGCTTCATTCTCGCAACGACGTCTCTGAGGCTTTTGATATCCTCGTAGCCCCCTGGAAGTGCCTCGTAACGACCAAGTTTAATATAGCAATGGTGACAGATGTTCGTCACTTTTGGATGCATCCTTGAGAGAATGTCGTGGTGGAATGTTGCGCGTCCTTCAGATTTAGCCAGATTATCCCGAGGTTCCAGGGACGAGGAGCAGATCAAAAGCTTGTTTGTGGTCAAGCTTCAAGCTTGTTCCGTCATCAGGGACGCGCAGCTCTGCAGACGCCATTGATGCAATTGACTGACATGACATTTCTCCCTTTACGTCTACATCATACAATCGCTTAATACCTGACATACTTTACTCTCCTCCCTGCTACACTTCCCGCCCTCCAATCTTATACCTTCACCCACCTAACCATCACCCATCATCCACCACAACCATGACAGACAAGCTCAGCGACGCCCACTTCGAAGCCACCGCAGCAGCTCTCGACACAATCACCGACCAAGCAGCCACCCCCGAAGACCCCAAGTCCACCCTCCACACCCCTTCAAACCACGAAAAGTCGCACAAATGGCTGAAACGCATCTTCCCCTACGATAGCCTCGAGGCAATGGAATCCGCCTGGCACATGGGCAACTACGTCATTGACCGCAAGACCGGCGAAAAGACCTTTGAACCCATGAGCATCTACGTGCGCGTGGGAATGCATGCTTTGTACTATGGGTCTCAGCAAGAAAAGGCTCTGCAGTGGAGACGCACCGTCAAGCTTTTGGAAGAGCAGAGTAGGAAGATGGGCAGGCAGTATGACGATCCCGCAAGTGTGGATCATATCGTGCCGTTTATCGAGAGCTTCAATCTGCAGGAGAGTATGTCCGAGATGAAGGAGCCGAATCCGACCAAGTACAGGAACTTCAACGACTTCTTCTCGAGAGAAATCAGAGAGGATGCAAGACCCATTGATGAGCCAGGAAACGTTAGCCTCCCCTCTGTTCTCCAGTTCGCAACACTCTACTGACTCACGTGTCGAGCAGGATCTCGTCGTCTCCTCCCCAGCAGACTGCCGCCTCACAGCCTTCCCAACCATCGATCTCGCAAGAAAGTACTGGATCAAAGGCTACGGCTTCACAGTCTCCAAACTCCTAAACTCCACTCCCCTCGCCTCCACCTTCGACAACGGCTCCATCGTCATCGCCCGCCTCGCGCCCCAAGACTACCACCGCTGGCACTCCCCCGTCTCCGGCACCATCGAATCCGTCACCGAAATACCCGGCGCATACTACACCGTCAACCCCCAAGCCATCAATGAATCAGGCACTCTAGATGTGTTCTGCGAAAACAGACGTAGTGTGATGATTGTCAAGCGCGCAGGCTCAAGCTCCCGAGTCGCGATCATTGCCGTTGGAGCAATGTTGGTGGGAAGTATCAAATACAACTCTGGCATTGACGTCGGCAGAGAAATCCGCAGAGGAGAATGTCTGGGTGCATTCCAGTATGGAGGTTCTACGGTCATCAACCTCTACCAAGAAGGCGATGTCAAACTTGACGAAGACTTGGTCAGAAACTCCACTGATGGTGTTTGTGAAACATTGGTCAAGGTAGGCTGGCGCGTCGGTGCTGGACCAAGTGCGGGCATTTCGGCTTAGAAGGTAGTGAGGAAGCTGAGTTTGCCAGAAATGAAGGAGCAGTTGAAAAGCAGAGGTGTCGCGGCCTTGCCTGTACAACATGGTTTTGCACCTCAGCGGGAGCAAGGATATTTGGCTCGACGCAGGGACCCCACGTTCGGATATGGTTACGAGAAGCCGATCAAGAAAAAAGAGAAGCAGCGGTTCTTCAGGAGGGGCTTGAGGTGTATTTTGTCATGATCGTGAATACCAAGTGTAGAATTACAAATTTTATTACTGTTGGATAAACAACTCCATTGACATCTTCAGCCCCTTTTATCGCATGCAAGAATTCAATCCTCCACGCCCAACCACTGCTTACCAACACCCCTATACACAACCACTGACCTCCCGTGCCCTTGTCCCACAACTTTGACTTTTCCATCTAGAGCCGTGTCTCCCACCGTCTCTGCTGCCACTTTTCCTGCCATCTCTGCAGAACTTTGTTGATGGTGATGGGAACTGGGATCATCTCTCCATATTTGTATGCCATCCCAGATGTTTTGGTGTATTGCCATTGCAGAAACGCGAATCGCTTGTTGTAGATCTGCGACTTCGAAGAGGACGATCTTTGCGGAGTGAGAGGCAGCGATGGAAAGGAGGTGGGGGTAGAAGAGGTCGCCTTGATTTGTATCTTTGTCTGATGCTGTGTCTGCGAGGGAGGCTCGAGAAGGAGAAGTGTAAGAGGAAGACGTGCGGGAAGGGGTAGTGGTGGAAGTAGGATTGTGAGAAGCCGGAGTAGTGGCGGAAAGAGCAGTGGTGGGAGATGGAGGTAAAGAAGAAGGAGATGAACAAGGAGGCACCAAAGCCAATCGTGGTTCATATCTCTTTACACTCCTCGTTGTTGTGCGAGCGAAGGCCTGAGGAGAGATGTAGGGTGGGTTTGAGATGATGATATCCCAACTGCTTTTCCCACTCCCTGCTAGGTCAGAAGTAAAATTGTAATGCTCCAAGGCAGACTTCAGCGACGGTATCGCTGCATCTCCGTGACCATCTGTCGAGGAGAGTACATCCGCTTGCAAAAACCGTAGATTCGGTTTCTTCTGGATCGTACCCTCGGCGATAAGATTTTGCAAATTCTTCTTTGCGAGTTTGAGGGCGAGGGGTGAGATGTCCACGCCCACTACTTCCAAATTCTCTGCTTTCCTCTTGTGGATGCTTGTGAAGAGGTAATGAGAGAGCAGAGGTATACAGCCCGTCCCCGTACATAAATCCAACAGCTTTAGATTATTTGGCAAAGGTGTTTTGGTCTTGTTGTTGCTGCTATGATGTAGGAGGATTATCAAGTGCGTTACCGATGTTGCTGTTTCTTGCCTACCCCTTTTTGCTCAGACGAAATGAAAAAGAAAGAAGTGACCTACTTTGGAGAGATGGAGGGATCAGACCTACCTTGGTATCAAAACACCCTTTTCGCACGAGATTTCCAGGTCGCCAAAGTATTCGCTGCCCATGATATATTGGAGCGGTTTCCCTCTAGCTCTATCGATGCAGACTTGGCGAAGCCTCTGATCCAAAACTTTCCGATCGTCATGTTTGGGATGTCGAGATTGTTGTTCAATGACGAATTCTTTCAACCATCTTAGTTCGTTTTTCGCAGAGGCTAGGTCGCGGGTTGCTTGCAACACAAGCGGCAACAACGGATCTATCTTGCGTGCATGGTGAAGCACACGAGGGAGCAAGCGTGGCATCGCAAAGCACGATTTTGGAAGGTTGATGTCGAGAATGGATTGGGAGAATGCTCGATCATGCAAGAATTGATGTCGGTATTATCACGGAGGACGAGACAGCCGCGTTCCGTCCGAGTTTGCCGTGAGGAAGCCAAGCAATTTTGGAGGTGGACAAGCATTGCCGAGTTTTGCGGGTGGAGTTTGAGCGATTACTTGAGTCGTTCGTTGACATCTTTGAACTACGATCTTGCTGTCGGATTCGTAACGACAGCTGTCATACTATTCGGCGGTTCTTCGTGAAGAGACAGGTCGCCGTTGTTACACGGATGCGTTCTTTGACCAAAGCACGCGGAGAAGTCTCGGGGTTCTACAACGAAGCTGCCGTTCGATGCGAGCAAAGTTGCGAGACGCGACAGAGCTGTTCTGTTGCACAGCCAGCGGTAGCTCATGACAGAGTTCGCGATGTGTGTTTCGCGTCAAGTCAGGCCCTATCCTACCTACGTAGTTGGCAAACCAACTAGAAAGATTGGCACTGCACGGCAGGGCCGGCCCGGACGACGTTACCCATCAATTTGCGACCTTCGGACGAACCTCCTCCCTGCAAGAGGAAGAAAGTGATGTTGCAGCTGCTACTGCGAACCGCTCCGCTGACGTGCCCTGGATTCATTCTCGAAGCCCGATAGTGTTCTGCAGCAACGCTCTCCTTTTTCTGTACTCCATACGATCAATCGTAATGCTTTGATCACAGAGGGCTGAGTATGGCGATCCTCAGGCAAATTTGAAGCAGTGATGCTTGTTGATTTCCAGGTGCTCCACAAATCGGCACGCATTTTCCGACGTCACTGATGCGTTCGCTTCCGATGCGAGCCAGTGTGAACGCTGCTTCGTGCTGATTGTTCCATCAAAGCTCTCGTGATACGATGACATGGGTCGCGCTTTGTTGCTGTCCGGATGTTTCGCCGCCGAGAAGATGTTTATGCCGCATCGCCGTGTGAATGACCGCGTGTCGGACAGGCATCCTAACATTCAAGTGGTAGGTTTCGAAATGTCGGATCCTCGATGCCGTTCGTGTACGCAGAGGTGTGGTATATAAGTATGTTCCTGCTTTCTTGACTCTAAACTCTTCTCCAAGACCTTCAGATCACATCTACAGCCGCTTTACTCAACATCACAGAGACGAATCAGACCAACCATACCAATACTTACCTGATCAATCCTCACTTCAAACATCATGGCATCAACCTACGACAACCTTCCCCTTCGCATAGTGCCTCACATTGTCGACGAGATTGCAAGAACCGCACCTGGCACAAAATGGGTCGAAGTACCGCGAAACAACGACAACCTCCAAGATGGTTACAAGTCTTTGACTTTTGGTCAGCTATCACAAGCAGTCAGCAGGATGGCCCGCTGGATGGAAAAGACCATCGGAACAAGCACATCAAGAGAGACTATCACCTACATGGACCGCCAAAACGACATCAGATATATCTTCGCCATCATTGCTTCTCAGAAGACTGGTTATAAAGTTCTTCTTGCTTCAACACGTAACAGCGAGGAAGGCCAACGTGCCATCTTGCAACGTACACAGAGCAAGAAGTTCTTGCATGGACAAGGTATGAGAGAAGAGGTCCTTGCACTAGAAGATGAGAAGACACCCATCGAAGCCTACGAGGTTCCTCCTCTGGATTACTTTCTTGAGGGAGAAGATGTTGAACACTACGAGGGTACTGTAAGCAGTGATCCGAACGAAATTGTCGCCATCATTCACACTTCTGGCTCTACCGGCATCCCCAAACCAATTTACCTTCGTAATGGCTATCTCGCTTGCCTCGATCGTATTCGTGTGCTCCCAATGACCAACGGTCGCGAATCGAGAGCACAAAAGTTTGTTGGAAACGACAGAGCTTTCTGCAGTCTGCCGTGGTTCCATGCTATGGGCTTCTTCATGGGACTGAGGTCTATCTATGCGCAAGGACCTTTGATTTTGCCTCCTGTGGGACGTTCGCCAAACGCCGATCTGACTCTCGAAATCCTTCAGGTAGCCAAGCCTGAAACTGGATTCTTCCCTCCTGCCATTCTCGAGGATATCGTTGATGCTCCTGGAGGCATGGACACGCTTGCCAAGCTTGACTTTATCTTTTTTGCTGGTGCTCCTCTGGCTCAGGAGGTTGGCGATCGTATCGCTGAAGCAACTCAGATCCAGACTATCATCGGTTCCACCGAGGGTACTTTCTGGGATAGTTACATCACTGAAGATCGTGCCGACTGGGGCTGGTTCGAGTGGTGCGAACACACTGGTGCTGTTATGGAGCCTTCTGGAGATCTCTACGAGATGGTGATCAAGCGTGTACCTGGTAATCCTGTTCAAGGCGCGTTTTGGAGTTTCCCAGAGCTCGACGAATACCGTACCAAGGATCTGTACGAAGAACATCCGACCAAGAAAGGTCTCTGGAAGTATAAAGGCCGCAACGACGACGTGATTGTCCTCAGCAACGGCGAGAAGTTCAACCCTGTCATGTTTGAAAAGGACATTGAAGGCCATCCTGCCGTCAAGGGTGCTTTGGTAGTCGGCCAGGGTCGCTTCCAAGCTGGTCTGATCCTGGAAACAAACACCAAAACTGACCCTGAAGCTTTCCTAGAGCAAATCTGGCCTGCTGTTGAGAAAGCCAATGAGAAAATGGCTGCTCACGGCAGAGTCTGGAAATCAAAGATTGCCATCGCTAGTCCTCAGAAGCCGTTCCAGAGAGCGCCCAAGGGCAGCATCATGCGTCGCAAGACCAACGAGCTCTACAAGTCAGAGATTGAGGCTTTGTACTCAAACGAGGGCTCTGCTGAGTCGCTTGGTCAAATCGATGCTAGTGCCGACGAGACCACTATCCGCGAGTTCGTCAAGGAAGCTATTCGTCTTGCTTTGCCCAAGATTCCTGAACAGTTGTTTGATGATGAAGGCTACGAGGCTGATCTCTTCTCCTTCGGGATCGACTCGCTGCAAGTACTTGCTCTGGCAAACACTATCGGTCATGCTCTTCCCAAGAGAGAAGGCTCGCGTGATGCAGCGTTCAAACCTCGCATGGTCTACAGCAATCCCACCATCGATGCTCTGACCAAGGCTGTCAGTAACATTCTGCATGGCGAGGCCGCCAATGGCACTCCCACCAAGACGCGCGAGCAGAACATGGATGACATGATCAAGAAGTACACACAAAACTTACCTTCTCCGGTCAGCTACAACCCTCGTCCTCAGAACCATGTAGTCGTCCTCACAGGCAGCACAGGCTCTCTAGGAAATTACCTCCTCGAGAACCTCATCGCCAACCCGTCTGTCGAGAAGATCTACTGCCTCAACCGCTCAGACGCCCGCGAACGTCAAAAGGCCGGTTTCATCGACCGCGGCGCCAACCCCGAGTTCTCCAAAGTCGTCTTCCTGCAAACCTCCTTCAACAAGGAGAATTTCGGCCTTGATGGGAAGATATACGCAGAATTGCAATCGTCAGTCGACATCTTCATCCACAATGCATGGGCAGTAGACTTCAACATGGGTCTTGAATCTTTCGAAGAAACACACATTGCAGGCACCCGCCGCGTGGTGGACTTCAGCGCTTCAGCAACCTATCACCCGCACATTGTCTTCATCTCCTCCATCGCGAGTACTGGAAACTGGCATGCTAGTGGCCACTCAGGGTTTGTGCCCGAGGTGTTCATGCAAGATCACTCGTTGCCTTTTGCACAGGGCTATGGCGAGTCCAAGCACGTGGCTTCCTGCATCCTTGCTTCTGCGGCTGAAAAGTGCACTATCGCATCCACCATCGTCCGTGTAGGCCAACTTGCCGGTCCTGCTGCTGAGAAGGGTCTTTGGAACCGTCAAGAATGGCTACCTTCTATTGTCGCAAGCTCAAAAGCCATTGGCAAGATCCCGAGAACACTGGGTAATGAAGATGTAGTGGACTGGGTTCCTACCGATGCGGCTGCAAAGGTGCTGTTGGATGTTTGCGAGACGAGATTGCGCACGCAGGAAGAGGATAAACTCGATTGTTTCCACCTCGTCAATCCTGAGATAAGTCACTGGAGGGATCTGGTGCCTGCTATTGTGGACTTCTACTCTTCACCTTCCTCATCCACCTCTGCCTCTTCTACAATGAAGATTGTCGAATTCTCGGATTGGCTAGCCGAGATGCAAAATCAAGACATCACAGAGGAAAACATGAAGAATATTCCTGGTATCAAGCTACTAGACTTTTACGCTGGATTGGCAGTCGAAGAGGGAAGTTTGCCGCGCTTGGATACAAAGAGGACTGTGGAGGCTAGTGGGACGCTTGGAGGCTTGGGTGCTGTGGATAGCAAGATGATGGTGAATTGGTGTCGGCAGTGGGGATTCTAGAGAGTGAGGAGATGAGAGAGAAGACGTGGATGAGGGAATGGTCAAGTGGGTGATGAGGAGTTGGCGTCTTGTGGCAGGGCATGGCGTTTGACTAGGGAATTAATTAGTGTGGTGAATGTCGTGATGCTCGATAGAATGCATTGAAAAACTTGGGAATTACGTTCTTGCATCCATCCCACGATTTGGACGATTCTTTCCGCAGCCCTTATTCTCCATCATCTCTCACCTTATACTCAACCCAACATTTGTCCCTTTCATCTGATTTTGTTGTTTGTTGTTGGACGCTGCGATTTTGCTTTCGTTACTGAACGACTTGGAACTCAGACCATGTCGAGCGCTCGTATCGTGTATTGCCCATGGTCTTTTGTTATGATCTATTGCTGATCTTTGATTATTTTTGTTGATTTCGTGGATTGAGTACCCGTATTTTGTCTTTATTTTTTTCCTGGCTTTTTCTCGCTGAATGCACCACCCTGTCTTTATCATTGCATTCTCTTTCCGTCGATCAAGAATGATTCTATCAACTTATCGTCATGTATGTTGCTTTTCTAGGCTCTGTTCATGCTTTGACAACGAGCTTGCTTGGTCACAGATAAGTTGTCAACTCACGCGAGATGTCGAGACCATAAATCAGCCAGATGACCATGAGATGACCGGCATGCAAACAAAATCGACAAGGGCAGAACACAATTTTCGAAGCAGCAGATTGCAACATGAGGGCCTTGTATTCTCAGAATATCAACAATACCATCGTTTGCCTCTCACTCTGTCTTATCTCAGCCCATACTCATTATTCATGATCAAATCATGCTGTTGCGATCATGCATGTCCAGCCGTACCACTGGTACCAGTACTAGATCCATGCTGACCGCTGGCATGGTGCTTGCCAGTATTCTTCTCCAAAGTCTTTTTGCCCAGGTAATCGTTAATCTGGTTGCTAGTCGCGATGAGCAGGTTTGCCAGGGCTTCTTGGATGCTATGCAGGCCAGGGCCGCCGGCGAGGAGGATGTCGTGGGATGAGCCGTCAACCTTTGGGGAATTGCGTTAGCATTGTACAGAGAGATATATGATTCGGCGGTGGATGATTGGAGGTGGGAAGTAGTCGCTTACGAGAACGGCTTCGTAGGTTTGCCTGCCCTCGGCCTTTGCTGCGCGGAGGACGATGCGGAAGGTATCGGGGAAGAGGACTGCTGCGTTTGCTGTTGTGCTCTGATTAGCAACGATTCCGCTTTCTGTGTGTTCTTTGGCAACTGCAATTATGATATTGGCGTTGAGGGAGCCATTGGAGGTAGCAAACGTACACAGGATCTGGTCACGGTAGAAGGTTTCCTCGGCCATTGTTGCGGTTTACTATCAGACTGTTAGAGCCAGCCACGAGGGACATTGATGCACCGAGATGCAGGAACACGTACTTTATGTATAGGTGGGCTGTGGTATAGGAATATATCGGATTGTGAGGGGGAAGAAGGAGAGATGCGTGGGGGAATTGGTGGAGGGGTTAATCTATCGATGAGGCTCTTTGGAGGAACACGAGTGACATGACGTGACTGCCGTTCTTCTGCTTACTTCTTTCTGGTGCTTCCTTCCCGAAACCCGAGGGAGTGAGGTCCATCGTGTCGTTGAAACTGTAGACGTCATCTGACGATAAGCGGGGATAAACGGTAGGTAAAGCCGCGTCCTGCTCATAGCGAACTCTAAAGAGATGCGCAGGCTCGCGCGGCATCAAGATCTGATAAGCACTGCCAACGCGGATCAATGCTTCAACATATAGCCTGTTACTCTCCCGGGTCTCCCTGGTCCTCATCTCCCCGTCTCTCCACGGTGGTATTGTTGTGTCGGTGTTGTGATTCAATCATGACGCCTGCGCTTGTCGCCATCCCTCTCTCTTCTGTCCCTCGGCGAGCGACTCCGATGTCTTCTGCGCTCCACGGATCTCGACCTTGAGCGCTCGCGACGGCTGTGATGTTTCCTAGGCTCTGCCTCGTCGAGTCTGCGGTCGCGATCGTCTCGTCTGTGTCTGTGTCGTCTGTCTTTGTCACCATCTCTTGAACGTGACCGTCTCTTGTGTCTTCTCTCACGACTCCTGCTGCGATCATGGTCGCGATGGCGTCTGTGTCTTCTTTCTCGGCTCCTACTCCTGCTTCTTTCTCGCCTGTCTGGCTCTGCAGCAGAATTGGCTTGCGCTCCGATACCTGGCCGCAGCGCCACGGGCTCGAGGTTTGCATTGTCTCTGTCCGGCACAGGCAGTCCCATGGCCTTCAACATCTCATCCTCCTCTTGTTGCTTGATCTTCCTCAATTCTTCTCGTCTTTGTGCAGCTTCGTCTAGTTCTTCGCCATTCTCGCCTTTTGCGTACCAGCTCAGGTCCTTTCCTTTTTGCCAGCGGCCGACGGGCGCCATGAGGGAGTGACCGAGGTAGTTTTGGCGGTGTGGATCGTTTTGAACATCTTGCCAGGAGAATTCGTTGCGGCCGCCTCGTGAGCCTTCTTTGCGCACTGTTTGCAGGAGATCCATGATGTGTGTTCTAGAGCCTGACAGCGGCTGATTTGCGATGTTGTTTTGTATAGAAAATAGAAGTGACGGATAAGTGAAAGATGGGCCTCTGGTGGAACAGGCGCAGAGCGGAGATGGCGCCTCGGGAATGTCCTTGGCAGCACTTTTAACCATCAACCTTCACTCGTTCATGTTCATCGTTCACCATAACACTTGCACGCCGGTAGACTATCATTCAAAGTTCTCCAGTGATTATGTTCGATCAGTACTCCAACGCCTATCCCCCAGCGGGATTTCAAACCCAGAAAATGACAACCCAGGCAACATGAACATACTCTCCCTCTCGGCCTCCCTCTTTGCATCCTCATCTCCTTCCACAGCCACACTCTTCTTCTTCAACAACACATGTCCCTGGTGTCTGGATTGTCATTTCCCAGCTCTCGCCATCTCCTGGGCTTTCTCTCTCAGCCCAGTCAATGCCAACAACAAACTATGAGACGCAGGTCCACTCAAGTGTCCTTGAAACACTTCACCACTTCTTTTTTCCTTCCAGAGAACTTTTGCAATGACTGAGGGATCCCCAGCTTTTGCTCCGTTGTGCTCGGCTTGGATGGTGAAGCTTTTGCCTTGGGGTATGGCGATTGGCATGTCCTCTGTGGCTCTCGTCAGCTTTTTGTGCTACCTTTTTGCTGGACCTCGGTGTGACTTGCTCAGTATCTTCTTCTGTAGCTCTTTGCAGGACTTTTTCTCATCGCGAAGGAAAATTGATACTTTCACGCCCGTCGCTTGACCGTTGTTGGACGACATGGTGGTCGGCATGTTGGGGACTGATGAGGTACTTGCTTGAGTGAGAATTGGGGAGCGGACTGGCAAGATATCTAGCACAGCATGGTAAGCACAGCGAAATCTTGTCGCAGTCGGAGAGCCGATGCTCCAACACCAAGGTCTCGTGACGTTGTTGTGCAACTGTTCGGTAGGTCGTTCTTTGTTGCATGTTGCGGGAACCTGCATTGCTTCATCTATAGCCTGACCTAGTAAGTCATTGAATCTTGGTCCTATCCGACGCAAACACAAAATCATGAAACAAAACTCTGGGAAACTCCTGTCAATGGCCGGCCAATTGCACAATACGTCCCGGGCTCCTTCTCACAGGCGTGGAAGATCGCTGTTGGGTTGATCTAGTCTATTCTACTGAAGCATTCTCGAAGGGTCTTTTTCTTCCTGCTTTGAATTCATTTGGACTCCTCCAACTCCCCCTCAAGACTGCTCAGTGACCTTCAAGATTCTTTGCTTTCGGTACAACCGTGTGACTGAAAATCCCACTGCTCACTGGCCAGCTCTTCTTTGTTCGGAGAACCATCTTTCGCACCGAATGAATCTTACCAGATGTTTCTCGCCTGACACTTACAATGAATTAAGAGGCATCGAATAGAAGGTCAAATAACGAGTTGGTTGTGACTGAAGTTTACTCTAATCACTTTGGAAGATCACGATAGTGAACATTGATTCGTCAGTTTCTTTTGTACTATGTAATACTACGCGGGAGTTGTCTTTTTCTAACTCATATCGCATCCTGTCCTCTTATCTTCCCTACCCACTCGCTATGGTTTTTCCTCCATATTCGAGCTCGTCAGTGCTTCAAATGTTCATCGAATGTGGTTGAGAGCATGTGTCCACATTGCTTCGAGTTCTGCTGAGGTCAATTCTGGTTTGTGCAAAGTGGTATCTGATATTTTGTCTGGAAACTTCATCGATACATCATGGCATATATACTCATCAAACTCATATACTCTATATACAAAACATCCGAAACCCATCAGCACTCAATACTTTTGCTTGAACATCAATCTCTTCTACTCTTTTCCCTCTAATGCGCAATAAAAGCTTTAGTGCGCAAATCTGAAGTCCAATCTCTTATTGCCCTGATCAGTGGTGTTTTGAATATAGTCGTCTCGTTGCTCCTGAGTCATAGCACCCCATTTCTTTTCTCTTTGCTTGTTTCTAAACACGTAGTATGCTTTGGCGAGCGCGTATAGTGCAATGGCTAGGCAGTTGACGGCGACTAGTTGCATGTTGCCGCGGTGGTATAGTGGTTTGTCGTCCTGAAGGGGAATGTTAGAGGGGCTGTTTTGAAACAAGAGAGGGTATAGGAACTTACCTGACGGTAGATGTTCGAGCCAATGACACCACCAGCTTGGACTGACATGTTGTAGACAGCAGCAGAGATTGTACGCGTACGGACCGAGCCGGCGTTACGTGATGTCCATGCGACGAGGATGGCGTGGCAGTAAGGGTAGCCAAGAAGAACGACCAGCAGAGCATATGTACCCCAGACATTGACTCCTGAACCAGACCACCAGCGCAATGCTATCAAGCAAGGCATCATCCACAAGTTTTGGATGCAAGCGATGAAAGAGCGTTCCTTCACCTTCTCACTTAGCCAGGTTATACCCAGCAAAGTTATGATGGTGACTGCGTTTGGCACAATGGTGAGAAGGTTAGTGTTAAAGGTGCTGAAGCCAAGATGTCTGAGTGTCAAACTCAGATAGTTGGTGACGGGAGTGGCAGGAATGAAGACGACCAAGCCAAGGGCGTAGATCTGTTTGTGTGTCAGTGGTGATCTATATCAGATTTTAGCAGAGCAACTCACCGGCCAGAGGTCATAATCAGTTAGGGACTGCCATAGACGACGGATCGTAATGGCTTGTCTGTTGTGCATGTCGCCCTTGGATGGATCATCTCTCAGGACACGGTTGACGACAATCTTGACCTCGCGATCCGTGAACCAGCCCTTGGGACGGAACCATGTCTTTGTCTGAACTGCCGAAGCAGGCATGAGGAAGACGGAAGCCACACCAATAGCGAAAGTCATAAGTCCCTGAAAACTTGGTCAGTAATCGTTCAGATGACAATAAAGCATAACTCTCACCTCAATCAGGAACAGCCACCTCCAGCCCTCAAGACCATGAGCATTGTCAAGATGGAAGATGCCAAAAGCCAGAAGCGAGGCAAGGATCGTGGTCAAGTTAAGCGCGGTCCAGAAGAAACTCAGACGGACAGGCAACTCGGTGCTGGTGTAGAAGTATGACAACCACAACACAAGGTCAGGGATGAAACCGCCTTCGAGGACGCCAATCAGGCAGCGACAGAGGTAGAAGCTTGAGCGACCACTAAGAGCGGCCTGTGCAGCAGCGACGATGGACCATAGCATCATCTGAATCGGAATCCATCGATCAGGTCCCAGCTTCTTGGAGACGAGTTGAGAAGGAACCTCAGCTGCCATGAACGACAACTTGAACAAAGTCTGGCCTGGTCTGGAATTAGCTTGGAAATGCTTGCAAAGATGGTGAGAGCTTACCATAGTTGTATTCGTTCGTAGTCAGGCCGAGGTCGTCGAGCATGTTGTCAGAAAGAGCTTGCGAGATATTCCCCCGGTCAAGTTGTAGCGCGAAAAACATGACACACGCCCAGAGACAGACATGCCAGTCCAGCCGGCGAACAAGGCTCTTCTCTTCTGCGGCTGTCCATTCGATTTCCGGGTCGAAGGCTTCGCGAGACTCGTACTGTGCTTCTTCGTACAAGGTACGATAATATTCGGCGACCTTTGGATCCTTGAAAGGGTTTCTAGCATCGATAGAACTTCTGTCGGATGCCTCGTCGATCTCAGATGGAGTTCTGGGATCGGTTGTGACCGAGAACACTTCCTTTGAAGTCATGATGGAGAGTTGGAAGATTGGTCTGATCGAACAATTTGCAAGAGCATTGCAGGCCTATTTCAATGCCCCAGAAACATTATTATAGAGATTTCGTGATTTCAAGAGCCCTGCTCGCCATTGTACTGTGGCGCATTTATCCTCGATAGATTGAGACCGTTGAGCCAGGATGCAAGATAATGTGCCCTCGAGTATGGCGACACTTCAGGCCAGAACAACGACAGTGAAATGGTGGAGATAGGAGATGAGGATGGATACGATGGTCCAATAGTGGACGCAGCCCAGCGTGGAGCTCGAAGACGCGAAATGGCGTGCTCACCCCGGGCTTGATTTTAACCATAGCAGACGCATAACTCTCTTTTTCGGAAACACAGCCAAGAGATATTTGACTCCCAGATCACAGCGATGTAGACTTACGTTAGCGATGGAGCCTCACTTGGCGTCTTGTCGTTGGGATATGTCGCATCTGCCGGCTCGTTCTTACTTTTACGTGATCTGTCTGTGGAGCACGCAGACCCGCCAGATAGCACCTTGCAACAAGCTATCGACGGCGCCCAGTCATGTATGGCGAGTGCTAGACTGTCCGGCAATGCCGCAGTGATATGCGCGAGGTTGTCTAGGCTCTCAGCCTGGTGCGCTGCTCAATATCCGTCTCTTCCTCTTCACTCGGTACGTCTCGTGGCAAGCATGTGGGCAGTCGATACGACCTCGGTCGAGATCATCCACGGTCTGAATCCGGTAGACGATGGGGACAAGATCCTGTAGGAGTCTTGATGTGCCGTCTGCATCCTCTCTTTGAGATGTTCGAGAAGCCTCTGGTGATGGGTGGCTGCATGGCGACTGCAACCAGAATGCCCTATGGTAAAGGTCCGATTCTGAAGCCTGGCTGGATATTGAGGTCTACAAAGTCCAACGTTGTGGATGCTGCACACGGTCATGGCTGCCAGTCAAGTTGCAGAGCAAAAGCAAGGAGCACAGCGCTCTTTCCCGGCAAACTGACACGGGTTTTGCATCACGCTTCGAACATCTGAGACCGACACGTCGTTCGTCCTCTCCTAAGGAAGTTCTCCTTCTGAAGTGCGATTTCATGCACAGAGCACATGAAGAATCAATCGACTCTAATTCTGAAAATGTGTGTGAATCATCCCACGCGGGCCTCTATACCTTTCGTCCTGCCTCGGTGCTTGATTGCCCAGGCGGCTCGCCAACGGCCGATTCCAGCTGAACAGGATCACCCCGCCGCAGCCCGCAGTTCTCGCCGGCCCTGCACTATAGGATGTCGCCATATAATGTTGTCCATCATAGCCCAGTACTCACCAATCAATCGTTATGACCAGTAACAATAAGCGTCCGCGTCTTGAGCATAGAGACAGTGTCTCTTCAAATAACGCTAACAAGCCACAGCTCACGCGAGCCTGTAAGCTTCCATTGCTTATTGTGCAGCTCTCTTCAGAAAGCTGATCCAGCAGCAGGTGCAGAATGTAAGAAGCACAAGATCAAATGCTTTGTCCAGCCAGGAGAGACGGCTTGTTTCCGAGCGAACTGTCGATTCGAACCTTCTGTATTGACGGTCAAGAAGACTTCGCTGTCTCCTGCTCATAATGTTAGGCATGGTGCGGAAGACAGGTGTATACACATTCGCGCGAGCCTAAGGGCCACAATCTGCGAGTTGCTTCTGACCCATTGGCTGGAGGGTATTGCTGCAAATGTCGTCGTGTATTTCAGCTGGCGCGAAGCACCTCACACGTTTCCCTGTCAATTGATCGCGGCATATATTGAGCCAGAGTTCGTGGTGAGCTTCAGGATCTCGTTGCTCGCCAAAGAGTCATTCCCATCCTGTTGCGTGAAGACAGGTTTGCACAGATCCATGTATCTACGTAACAAGTGGGACTGGCCAAGATTCGTGTGATCCTGCGTCGTCGTCGTCGATGCGCAAAAATGCACAAACATGTATATGTACAACACAGTCTGAAGCACAACCTTATGCAGGTTCGCTTGCTCGAATCAGATAAGACGACAAGTGAATCAAATGCTATATACGTGCTACTCCCTAGTCATACACTTGCTCCAAAATGCCATTGCCCAAGAAGGATCATAATCCCGCTTACCAAAGCTCACAAGTGGGTGCCTTAATAGGACAGCTGAAGGCTTCTCTGAACTCGCGTGAATTGGCGGTTGTACCCTGCTGCTCATTAGTATCGATGAATCGGTGATGAATTTGCTCGAACATACCTTAATTCTGAACATGTCAGGGCTGTGAGGGTCAGTGTAGATTCTCTGCACGATTTGCTCCTCCCTATACTTCGTCAGCGCTACTATAACGTTCAAAAATCAACGATTGACATACCTCATCTTGCCACACCACGTTTGACCATATGCGAGGAAGAAGACCTGCTCCTTTGTGAAGTGGTCCAGGCCAGGCAACTTGAGATCTGCCTTCTCGTCATCGCGACGCTTCCAGGACTGGTAAGCAGCGGTAAGACCACCAGCATCTGCAATGTTTTCACCCAATGTAAGCTTGCCATTGATTGGCAGACGACCACTCTTTGTGGGGACAGTGTAGTTATGATATTGCTCGACGAAGCAATCAGTCTTGGTCTTGAAGGCCTCGATCGTGGACTTGTCCCACCAATCAGTGTAGTTGCCGTTCTGATCGTAGTTTCTGCCGGATGAGTCGAAAGCGTGTGATAGCTCATGACCAGCAACAGCTCCGAAAGCCCCGTAAGACAGGTACTTAGGGATGGAAGGGTCGTAGAAGACTGGAGCTTGCATAATTCCTGCCGGAAACACGATCTCGTTCCCGGGAGGGTTATAATAGGCATTGACCGTTTGAGCGCTCATTCCCCACTCATCTTTATCGACTGGCTTGCCCACCTGTGACCAGCTTTCGCGGACGTCGTGAGTAACCACTGACAACTTGTTTGCGAAGTATGTGGTTGGGGAAATGCTGATGTTGCTGTAGTATTCTTGCAATTCTCCGGCATTGGTTATGTCAGGGCTTTGAGTGGGGTAACCGATCTTTTGGCGAATGAGATGCACCTTTTCGATTGCGAGCTGACGAACGCTTTCGGTCATCCATTCTGATTCGTTGAGCTTGATGGTGAACTCGTCCTTGATGTCGAGGATGATCTGATCACCCAAGTCCTTGGCCTCCTTGGAGAATGCACGTTCCACGAAGAAGCGGCTCATGATCCATTCTGTTTCATGTCAGTATGAGTTTTGAATGCGCAACACGATGTGTTTGGACTTACCAAGATCGCTGCCAACATTGCTCACGCACGTTCTCCAACGCTCTTGCTTGACATCAGGGGCTTTGCCTTGCAGCTTGTTTCTGAAGCGTAGAAGGGGTTGTACGGCTGGGTCCTCAACAGCTCCACCCCACGATTGCACGACCTTCCAGACCAAGTAGGTCTTGATAGTGTTTCTTGACGACGACTTGAGAATCTTGGAAAGCTTCTTGAGATAATCGGGCGAGCCAACGATGATCTTCGAAGGAGTGTAGTCACTGGCGAATGTATCCAAGATATGCTTGACAGAAATCTCAGAGTTGTAGCTCTCGGTCTCCTTCAACGTACGCGGGTTGTAGTACTTCGTGACATCGGCAGCATCCTCAGGGTCAGGAGCAGCATCAGCCATGGATTTCTCGAGTGCCACTAGGCTATCGACAAGATCTTTGCTCAGTGTTGATGGTTCGTTTTCTCCATCATACATGAAGGAGAAGGCTTTTGGGTTGGCTTCTTTGAGAAGAGCCTCCAAGACAGTTCCGATAGTTCCTTTGTATGACGCGACGATCTCTTCACGTTCATAGTACTGCTTACTGGGCAATCCAAATGAGTACGGAGCACCGACAGAGACGATATTGACATCAGGATCTTTGTCATCAGCACCAACGTCAACGGAAACCGGACCTGAGACGCCAATCTCCATAAGGTATTCGATGGCCTTGGTGAGTGATTCATCTTTCTTGCTCGACTTGGGATTTTCCGTAGCATAAATCTTGTCAAGCTTGAAGAGAACGTCCAACAAAGGCTTTGATCCGATATCAGCAAGCAGGGTCTCGTTCATGCAGGCGTTGTAGCCATCTTGCAACTTGCTGAAAATCTCCTTATCCGGGTTGGCTGCAGTCCAGAACAGTGAAGTATCCTCAGGAGCAGGAGACTCCAGAATGTGCTTCAAGATGAGCTGGTTGTTCTCGTTCATGATTTGGAGGTTGCCCACGCCAGCTTGATCCTCACGAATCTCGTGCGAAGCATCAAAGCCAGCGCAGACATATGTGCGGAAGTCATCACATGGATCCAGCTTCTCGTAGCTGATATTGTTTTAGCTTTGGTTTTCAAAGTGTGAATGGTTGGTCAGTCTTACTTTGGCGCAAGGCTGCGAATGATGTTGGCAGATGCGAGCACACATGCGGCAGATGTACAAAGCTCAGTATCGTTTGATGGAGGATCAGAAGGTGTTTCGTCATGATCATGAGAATCATGGTGACCAGTGCTGCTACGAATGGTCTGAATAATCAACGGAATGAGGACCAGCAGCAGCAGAAGTATAATGATGAGATAGACACCATTGCGTTGCAAGAAGCGCTTGAAACGAGTACTAATCGACTCGGTTGAGTCAGTACGATCGGCTTCGGGCGCATCGCCATCGAGCAAAGGTGTACGCTCAGTCCTATTATTGCCTGCCATCTTGTTGATTTGGCAGGTGTTGGAGTCAAGCTAGGTACCTAGGTTGTCTGCCTAGACACGAGATGGGGTTGGGGAAGCGGGATCGGCAACGGGAGCTTGGACCATGGCTAAGCTTCGGATCCTCTTGCAATCTCCTGGCTGCATCTCTTCTTCTTTGTCAGACTTCCGCCTCGATACCAATCTAATGCAAGACTCTCTACGATTGTGCTGCCTCTCAGCAGTCCAGATGGGTTGCCGGCAAACTCTGTTGGACTCTTTCTCAGAAGTGTGTGCCTGTCTATATGATCTTACAGCGCTACGCGTCTCGAAAGTATTCGGAACCGCTTCTCTGATTGCTCTGAGTACAGACGCTCATCGGCACAAAGAAGTCCCATAGATATAGTCGACCCGTGTCTTGTTCCAGCCCGAGGCAGCAACAATTGCTGATGCTGAGGTTTACGGCCGTTAGATACCACTCTTTCAAGGATTGTCAAGCATGGACCATCCAGCAACGCTGAGTTCTCAATATTCAGACTCCACTTTCAAGCCATACGATGTTTGGAGGCCTTCGCCCAGAAACCTCGAGATCGATACCGTATCGGGCCTCGAATGCGAGCCAGGTAAAAAATTGCAAGTACTTTCTTTAGCGTCTGCGCAACCTTCCCTCACCTCCAACGATACTCTGCTATCATATACCACAACGATGACTGCAAACATGCCACTGGACGAGCAAGCCGAAGCTCTACTTGCAAAGGGCCCAAAGCTCCACAACAGCACTCCCATCGTTGCTGAACTTGAATCATTTGGCCTTCGCGTTCAATACTTTTTCCTCGTGTGGGCTGTCAAGCTCTACATCGCGCTGCAACTAGCCTACCTGCGATTGTTCGGTCCGCCCACCAAGACACAGCCAACTCTTGTCAAGGCATATCCATGCCGACCAAAGCTCCCTGTCCGAATCTTCATGCCCAAAGCTCGACTTGAAGGAAACAAGACTGCCCTTCCACTTTACATCAACATTCACGGTGGAGGATTTGTATGCTGTGATGCATCAATCGACGACTCGTTCTGCAGATCATGGTGTGAGCGTACCGGAATGGTGGTTGTGAGCTTGAACTACAGTAAGGCGCCTGTTCATCGATTTCCGGTGCCTACTCTGGATATTGCTGCAGTCGCCCGCGCAGTCATTGACGATGAAACGCTGAACATCGACAAGTCTCGTGTAATCATGGGAGGTTTCAGTGCAGGAGGTTCTCTGGCACTTACCGCGTGTCAACTGTCTGAGCTGCAGGGTCGAATAAAAGCAGCAGTATCCTACTTTCCTGTCACCGACTGGAGCCATCCTCCGCCAGTCAAGTGGTCTGAACGTCTTTACAAGGAGAAGAAGTCCGAATCACTCAACACAGTCGGGCCAGCTCTGAATTGGGCATATGTGCCTGCGGGCCAGGATCGAACTCAGCAGCTGCTCAGTCCCTGCTATGCGAGCAAGCAGGAGTTGCCGAAGTGGGTTTGTTTGATCGGAGCTCAGCACGACATGTTGTGTCGTGAAGCTCGGAATATGATCTACTCACTTGCTGATGAAGACATTCCTAACTCTGGGTGGGACAAGGGTTGGGAGCGGGGCACTTATAAGTGGCTCCTTGCTATGGGTGTCAGACACGGTTTCACGGACGAGTTCGGCAGAAAGCCAGGCCGGAGTTCTGATGCACGAAGACAAGTCTGTGAGGACACGTACGCTGCCGTGCACAAGTGGTTGGAGACAAAAGTACTCAGAGATTAGATCAGGCTTCGGACCTGGGTGTTCGTTGAGCATATACCTAGGTTTCTGTGATGCCTTGAGGTTCACGACGACTGACAGATACGTTCGCCGAGAACTTGCATTGTAACACATCTCAGCGGATTACCCCTATAGCTTGGTTGCATGTCTTTACAAAGCAGATCTTGGAAATTATAACTGGTGCTCTATACTCTGAAAGTTGTCTTCAGACGGGGATGAGTCTGCCAATCTGAGGCCGGTGGTACGCTTATCTCCTAACTCCATGATGCTGCCTGTTTCTCCGTGCGATGATTATCGCTAGTGTTTGTTGTTTGCATACCAGTCGGCCCACAATTTGTCCGCTGCTTTATGATGGCGTGAATTGCCAAGCGTAGGATGCAACAGCGTGTGCTCTTTGACTCGGTCAGTTAGTGTTCCGACGGCAAAGCACATATATAAGCAGGAGTGGACTGGTCGTCTCACTTTCATCCTAGGCACTTCATCAGATCCTGAACTCAATTCGATAACGTATTTCATCATGGCTACCAGCGCAGACTCCACTTTGCCTGTCATTTACGGGAGCTACGAAGCCATTTCTCCAGCCCAGTATGCTGGCAAGCTTCAGGGAAAAGTGGTTCGTCAACGACTCTTATGAGCATCTCCAGGAGTAGAGACTGACTCGCAATCTAGGTCATTGTCACTGGCTCATCAGTCGGCCTCGGTCGGTCGATCTCAAAGGCCTTTGCTGCCGCTGGCGCATCTGTCGCTGCTGTCGCCCGGCGCGAGCAAGATCTCCTTACATTAGTTAATGAGATCAAATCGGCCAACGGCAAAGCGATTTCGATTGTAGCGGATGTTACTGCCAAAGGTGCTGCCCAAAAGATTGTGGCAGATGTTGAGAGAGAGCTAGGACCCGTCGACATTCTGGTCAATAATGCAGGCATTTCTCGCATCAGTCCCCTATCTGTCGAGGAGGAAGACATGGACATCTGGTGGCGTGTGTACGAAGTCAATGTACGTGCGCCAGTAGCATTGATCCGAGCAGTACTACCCTCTATGCTCAAGAGAAATACCGGTGTCCTCCTCACTACCAGTTCCGCCGTGGCCACTATGTCACTTCCCGTCATGACCGCCTACTCATCATCCAAGGCCGCCATCAGCAAATTCCACGAAAGCTTGAGCGTAGAGCTCGAAGGCACCGACATCTTATCTTTCGCTGTTCATCCAGGCATGGTGAAAACAGAGCTGGGCTCTGCCGAGAACGCCATCAACAAGGAACATATTCAGCATCCCGCAATGCAGGGCTTCTTGAAGATGGCTACGAGCAGCGAGATCAAACGTCAGGAACCCGAGCTGTGTGCGGACGCCATGGTCGCGCTTGCTGCTGATCCTCGTTACAAGGTACTCACGGGTCGCCATATCAACGCTACACAAGAGCTTCCACCCGTCGCTGAGGAGGCAGAGAAGGAAGGTAAAGGACGTCTCGGCTCGGAGAGGCTATATCTCATCACTGTTCCTACTCTGTAAAACTCACTAGACCCAGACGTTATCCCGAAGAGAGCAAGAATGGTGGCCTTTGAGACAGTAGATTAACATAATGCATACTCCAAACATCTTTTCGTGTTTGTGGTTGAATCGGGCAAAGGGTGGTGTCTCGGCCCGAGGAATCCGACCTTTGCACCTGCCCGCCTTCTCGGGCGCGTCATGCAACACTCTTCCCATCTCTTCTCATCATCCAAGAGCGTGGAGATCGTTGCGACAGTATTATATACGATTCGTCATTCCACCGCCGCCAATTTCCATGGTGTATTCTCGACGTCATTTCTGACCTCGTTTCCTTCGAAGGTCTTCGTCGCCGCAAGCTTACTCGAGACACCGACTGACTACAAATTCGTGAATTCCTTTCGCTATTGAACACATCAGTGCTGCTTGATCCGCTTCAGTTCTTCCCTTTTCAGTATTTCGGGGGCAATTGCTACTGCACATATGGCCACCTCAGTCTATCTACCCGTCGAGATTCTGAGCTGCATCATATGGTTCACGATACCTGATCACAACTATTTAGCGTATCCAGCATCACATATCACGACCAAATCATTGGTGGCTCTCCTCACAGTCTCCAGGGCTACCAGTCGCATTGCAAAGACCTTGCTTTACACACATTGCCTCTACATCGACACACCATGGCGACTGGACACTTTGCTCACGGCATCACTTGCCAATCCACGTCTGCCCGTTTTGCTGTCCAGCATACAGAATCTTTACCTCGCACCATTCCCTGGACGTATGATCCGAGACCGGAAGATCATCAACCAGATTACAGAGCTCTTTACTCTGCTTGGTCCCAGTCTCAAGCGTTTGATCATCAACATGCCACTGCGCTCTCATTATCCTTTTGAAGACGTGACTGAAAAGTTGCGCCCGATTCTCAGGCAAGGCTTCGAGCAGCTGGTTCACCTCGAGGAGTTCTGCAGCGTGAGAGATGAGCTCTATCTCGCATACTGGGACCCTGATTACTCTCACATCATTCCTGATCTCGAGGACTATGATTTTGAGTCAATCCACTATACGATCAATGATTACATGTTCGAAAGATGGCCCAAGCTACGCTTGCTTGCACTGTACAATGGTCTGTATGGTCGTGATCTTAAAAACGCACTAGGTCGTATGCCGAGGTTGGAGCAAATTGTTCTTTCTCGTCCAGACTTTGACGAAAGCTTTGTTCATGGCGCATGGTCAAGCTTCGCGCGCTGGCATAAAGACCGGTTTCGATTCACACTCATCGAGAGCACCGACGATGCCTCTGATGTTGGATTACAGAAATTGACTCTTGGTGATCAGCCACCGGAAAACCAACCTGATGTTTGGAAATACAAAGCATTCGTTGAAGAAGACAAGGATCCAATTTCATCTGTGCAGAAGTGGTCAATGCAACGCATGTTAGACGGAAGTTTATGGTCATTGGCCGACCACGCAAGACCATCTCCTGCAGAGCTGGAGATGACATTTTTATAACATCTGAATGTACAAGCAGCTGCCACATCCCACTATAAAAGTGCACAGTACTTTCAAAAGCAAGTCCAGGTCCATTGAAAGCAGTTGCCTCAAAGAATCTTTTTGGACAACACCTCCAAGCTGGATACGACTCTGCATGTTTTGGTGAAACTCCCAATCCCTAAGTTCAATTATACCACACCATAAAGATGCACAATACCTTCGAACAACAGACTAATATCCATTGAGATGGTCTACTCTTTCACATCTCTTTGGACACTCTCTTCCAGTTTATCACCACTATGCATGTTTATAGCATACATAACTATTGTTCGTCACCGTGAGAAAGGCCAAAGTAGGCGAATCTCTCAATGTACCAATTTCCATCACATATCAGCATAGAATTACACAAATCTCTGGAGAAATAGACCCTCATCCACTGAAACCATCTACTTCTCTTCATCTCTCTGGACAACCGCTTGTGATTCATCATCACTGTGCCTTTTCATACCATACAATACAACTTCATGTCGCTGTGAGAGAGTCCAAAGTAGCCAGTCAAGGCAAAAATAAAAGCGAAAGTATCGCTCACAACACGACGCAAAAAGGATTTGAACCGTGGCAATCTTGCCCTTCCTCGGAGAAGGAACAGGTAGGTTGCCGCTGGGCCGTTTGATCGATTGTAGGGTAGTAGGTGAGTTTGAGAAATACATAAGGGTAGGTAGTCTGGAAGTTGTGACAAGAATGAAAACATGGGTTTGGTTCAAAAAGATGAAATATCACAGATCTTGGACGAAACTCACGATGACACTTGTACTCGCACTACCCAGATCACCAAGGACACTCAAGAACAGCTCATGTACGGCTCTAAGCATGGACAAAGTCCTAATTTGCCGTTAAAGTCGGAAGGGGTATATCGGGTTTCAGCCAGGGTGGTACTCGCAACATCCGGAATCTTTCGAAAATTCCAAACACAGCTTTATGTCTTTTGATGAGACTCGGAAAGTGTACGGCCATTGCACGATATTGAAAGAGAAAGAGAGTGGTAGCATGTTGGTGCCGAAAAAGTCCGGATTCGTCTGCCTGGCCGCGGAAAGGCTGACTCGTTTGCCATAATCAAGCTATGCTCTCGGGCAGACTGCAGCATTTTCGACTTGACATTCCATGTCCCCATTCGAGTTTGTGCAACGCTCCGGGGTTTCTAAGGGTCTTCCTTATCTCCTGAATGCAAACGTCAAATCGTCCACCGCAATAGGGCTTCATGGTCATTGCTAGAGTGTCCTGCAGCTCGCCATTGCACACTGCGCGAATGCTCCTTCGGGCGGGTTCTGCCTTTGTTCTTTCCTAGCTCTTGATGCCACCCGATGTTATGAGGTAATCGTTGGTACGGGTCCGGGGCGATGGTGTTGAGGATATCTTCCAATGCCAGTGGGCTTCCTACTAGGTCAACTCTGGACATCAACGACGTCTGAGTTTTTGTTTGTAAAGACTCTGGTCCTTGTCAGTGTGTTCTCTCTGATTGCAGTCCCAAACCCGAAGTTCCATATCATCGTGAGCCACACCAGGAATGCTTGGGAAACACTTCAGCGATTCTCGAATGCTCTACCTCACCATTGCCTTTTCATATATCATGTGATCCCAATGAATGTAAGTGACAGGTTCAGCAACAATTCACGCTGCAGGAACCGGGTCACTGTTGCAGATGTTGCTGTTCGGAAACACTGCGGGGTGCTCATGCAGGGGTAGATACCATTAATGCACAGAGCCGAGTGTCGTTGAGAAGCCGAAAAGCGTAGGAAAACCCATTTGCTGTGCGGAAAAGATTGACGAGAGGATGTTGAGGCTTTGTATTGTACTACGTCCCATAGATGCGATCCGGCGGAAGTGATCCAAGCGTCCGGATCCGAAGTCACGGAGGTTTGGGCTCGAGCAGACATTGTGAAATCGTCGACTCGAGCTGCTGCTAGTACGAAATTACGATCGTATTGCCGTTGGACAGCCAATATAGACACGTGTAGCAATTGTTTGTGGTCGTCCGATAGCTGCAGCCCCCTCTCTGTTTAGCGGCACCCGAGTGGGCGCAGTTGGCGACGAGATGAAGTCAACCCCGCTAAAGCAGCTCGCCTTTGTTTGCACGACGACCTCAGATCAATGTGGAAGGCCAAAGACAAAAGCAGATTCATTAATTGCAAAAGGGCCTTCCATGGCGACCTTCTTGTGAATTCTGTCCTCTTGCCAAAACATCGTCGATGCAGCAACACGATCGTTGATGTCCAAGTTTGGTGGACTGTTTGTCGTCCGTGCAGCGCCGAGGGGTGGTGAAGATCGAGGATTTGGCGGGGCAATGACACCGGAGCTGTCGGCAGCTTTTCGATCAAGCAGACCGTGCCCTTGACATCACACGAGGCCATGTGGTTTTTGTGTCCCACCAGTGGATCATCAGTTGCTCCTGCCACGGAAAATGTTGCAGAAGTCGGTGCCACAAACAAGACAGAATTCGGCCCTTTCATTCTCTCTCCTCCTAAGCCGCAACTTTGCGTGTCAAAAAGGATGCCAGTGTCGGTTTGTTATCTGTTGAGGCTCGTTGACCGGGCCACCTTCAGCCCCACGACCCCGCCTATGAGGTCAGTGTAGAAGGATGTTGAAGCTGCACGACGACTTTTGGGCTGGGTCTCAGCAAAAATCATGACCTCAGCCCATCGAGCGGTAAGTGATGGATTGGATGAAGCTTCTTTTTTAAATAGCTATCTCCTCCCCTGCACATCTTTTCCTCTCTCCATCCTCTCTTCATACAAATCAATCCTCCCTTTTTTCTACCAACAAACCCCCCCCACATCACATCAACATGCCTATCGCTATTCCCAAGAGTGAGAAGCTTCTCGACCTCCTGTCCATGAAGGGCAAGGTCACCATCGTCACCGGTGCCTCGGGTCCCCGTGGTATGGGTATCGAGGCCGCTCGCGGTGTCGCCGAGATGGGCGGCAATGTTGCCATCACCTACGCTGGCCGTAAGGAGGGTGGTGAAAAGAACGCCGCCGCTCTCGAGAAGGAGTACGGCATCAAGGCCAAGGCCTACAAGCTCGACGTCGCCAACTACGAGTCGTGCCAGCAGCTCATCAAGGACGTCATTGCCGACTTTGGCCAGATTGACGCCTTTGTCGCCAACGCCGGCAAGACCGCCGACTCTGGTATCCTTGACGGCGAGATCTCCGCCTTCGAGGAGGTCATCCAGACCGATCTCCTCGGTGTCGCATACTGCGCCAAGGCCGTCGGCCACCACTTCAAGGAGCGCAAGACCGGCTCTTTCGTCATCACCGCCTCCATGTCCGGCCACATCGCCAACTTCCCTCAAGAGCAGACCTCTTACAACGTCGCCAAGGCCGGCTGCATCCACATGGCCCGCTCCCTCGCCAACGAGTGGCGCGACTTTGCCCGTGTCAACTCCATCTCCCCCGGATACATTGACACTGGTCTTTCGGACTTTGTCGACAAGGACACCCAGAAGCTGTGGCACTCCATGATCCCCATGGGCCGTGACGGTGAGGCCAAGGAGCTCAAGGCTGCCTACGTCTACTTCTGCTCCGACGCCTCCACCTACACCACCGGTTCCGACCTCGTCATTGACGGTGGTTACTGCGCCCGCTAAACAGATCGCTGGCTGATCTGTTTTGGTGTAAAGCCGCAACGACTCTCTTCTATATCACAAAAAATTAGTTAATCTTACTATATCTCATGACGGACATGAAATGAAAACATTATCCCCAGTCTATTTCGATCTCAAATCTCTCTTTCGTCGCTGTTGATCGTGCGTTCGGTATCATACACAACCATACCCTTCCAATCAGCCGTCCTACTATCACACTGGAAGCATAGCGGTGTGCAAGACCATATCGGCTCTGTGCTGTCAATCCCCAAACAAGCTGAAAGAGCGATCATACTGCGCATCAAGAAACTGACGACACTACAGACAACACAAAGAACGAATGCCTCCTCGACTCCCACCACATTAGCGAAAGCCTCCCCTTACGTCTTTGCCCCACGACACCAAGCACCCCTTCCAACAGCCACACTCCACCACGCCGCCCCCCGAACACAAAGGCCTCGCGCTCAGAACGCACCATACCCATCCCCATACCCATACCCAGAGATGCAAAGGCAGTAAAGCCAAATTTCAGTCCTCCTCCGCTGCAAGCCACAACACCTCGAAAACACAAGAAACAAGCAAGGAATTGGCAGTCAAGCTTCGACCAAGCACATCTCCAAATGCCCAAAGGAACACAAACTTTTCATACAAAAACAATCAAGCTAGCAAAAATTTGAGTAAGCATTGTTGAGCAGGAGCCGGAAAAAGGCGTAGCGGAAGATGGAGAACGACGGAGATGAGAACGGGCATTACTACAGCCCGTTGGGTCAATGCAACGCATTTCTGTCCTCTGGCAGCACGCAGCAAGGCAAGAAGTATACGATCCCCAGACAAATCATCTCCTCAGTAGATTTTTCCGAGGTTGCAATCTACAAACTCGCCTAACCCCCTTTCAAATCTCCTTTTCTACACCCAACCCCACTTCGGCAGCTTTGATCTGCAACGCAAGAAACTTGCTGTAAATTCTGCACAACGCGAGGTTCCCGCCCATGTACCAAAAGCCAGGATGGCCAGAAGGTCGCCACATACCGTTCAACTCACCCTCGTCGTCCAAATCCCAGACATCCGTCACGTTATCCGCAATCTCGTCTCCCAAGATTTTGCGGCAGGAAGTGCGCATGTTGTCGTAGCCTGTTGCGAGAACCACCACGTCGGCGTCTACAAAGGTGCCGTCTGCGAGACGCACGCCATTGGGTTCGAAAGCGGCGATGCCCTTTTCGCAACGCACGAGTTTGATCTTGCCGGATGTGATGAGAGAGCTGCAGCCTACGTCGATGTAGTAGCCGCCTCCTTTGGTCATGTACTTGCGAAACAGACCTGATCCATCGAGGCCAAAGTCTACTGCGAACCCTGCTTTACGCAGTCCCTCAAGATTTTCTTTTTCGGCTTCTGCGATAGAGGCGGTAAGATTCCTGCCGAAAGCGAACTGCACGGGTAGAGGTAGGGATTGGGAATAGAGATCTGCTGCTTCGGTTGGAGGACCTGTTTCGTCGTAGGTGCCTGCGTGGAGCATGTGTCCTCCTTTCTCGGCTTGCAAGACGTAAGTGCCTGAGCGTTGGAGCATGGTGACGGCAGCTGCACCGGCTTCGTGGTAGTTTTGGGCAATGTCGTGGCCGCTGTTGCCGGTGCCTACCACGAGGACTTTTTTGCCATTTGCAGATTCGGGGGTGGCGTCTTTGTGTGTGCTGCCGTGGTAGATCGTTCCGGTGAAAGTGTCTTGGCCTGGGAAAGAAGGGATACGGGGTTCGCCGCTGTGCCCAGTTGCGAGAATGAGCTGCGAAGGGTGGAGAGATCGTTTGCTTCCGTCTGCTTTTGTGATGTCGACCGTCCAGGACTTTGAGGATGAGGAGTATTTTGCCGAGGTCACAGAGCTGGAGAGCCAGATGTTGAGTTCCATCAGACTGGCATAGGCTTCGAACCAATCTCCGAGTTTGTCTTTTGGCGTGTACAAAGGCCAGTTGGATGGGAATGGGAGGTATGACATGTGTGCATAAGTTACGGGGTCGTGAGTTACCAGCGTGCGGTATCGAGAACGCCAATTATCTCCCACACGAGTCTGTCTGTCTACAATCAGGGTAGAAACGCCCAGCGCCTGCAACCGAGCAGCAAGATTTAGGCCAGCTTGTCCGGCTCCGATAATCAAAGCAGTAGGTTCAGATTCGGTGAAACCGTAGGTCCTTTGTCTTCTCTCAAACCAGTTTCCGCCCAGAGAAGAGTTTTGACCGCCATGGGAGCGTCGAGTGCCAGTGGTCTCCTCGTGGCCTTTCAGTTCATCGAGTGCTGTATACAGCATATGAGCCTTCCAAACCCCCGTTTCGTCCTGAGCCAGACGGAGGAAACCACGGCCTCTGCCTGTGCTTGTCTCGAATGTGAAGATAGACTGTATCCACTCGAGGTCTGGGAGTTTCACGATGGAGGGCGCGTATGCTTGGCCTTCTGCAGCCAGGCTCAATGGTCGTAAGTTCACAGAGGAGAGGATGGGCGACAGGAAGGATGTGATTGCAGGTAGGCCGTGTAGAGTACGGAGATCAAAGGAAAGGGCTACATGGTCTCTCCACCAGCTGTCTTCATGCAGGACGGCGTTTAGACGTGAAGCATCTCCGGAAGAAAGGACTGCTGTGAATCGATCGAGCCAGGATTGTGCGATCTCGCGTGGAGAGGGTTGAGAAGATGTGTCCTTTGTGAGTTGCACTGGTGGAAAACGAGGCAAGGTGATATCATGTGGTTGGAGTGGAGCAGCAAGCATTTTGATCGTGATGGAGATTCAAGGATGCAATTGAGAAACAGAGAGAGGAGAAGGGTCGATCGGGACCTACATGGCATATGTATACTCTTGAGTGAGGGGAACTACGGCAGCGGGGTAGCATGTGAGTACTACTTTTGATGTAATAACAGGAAAGACTGGCGAGAACGAGTGCAGAGAGAGGTCAAGTTGACCCTCGGATGACCTTTTTGGGCCGCCAAGGCTCGGACAAGCTGCCTCGAGTCGGCTCACCTTCCTCGCTCGTGCTGATCTCGCACAACATCAACCCGAGGACGACATCACACCTGAACCAAGAAACAACAACTGCTGGCAGTTCCACACCTAATACCCTCTCATCCGTCACCATGTCGTCGTATCTGTCCAACATTCTCACAAACACCACGTCCAAATACAACACACTTCGACGCAATCTCCTTTCGGACGAAGTCGACGGCGACACCGAAGACGACTCTCACCTGTGTCGAGCACTGCGCGCATACTACACTGAGCAAAACAAAGCCTTTCCGCCATGGCTGCCCAATGATCCCAAGCGCTCGGCGTCAGTGCAGTCGACGACGTCCTTCACATCCAGTCTGCGACAGCAATCATCACAACAAGCACCGACAATCAACGCACCCCAAGGAGGAGGCGGTAGAGGCGGTCTGAGCGACCTCTGGGATACACCTGGGCAAAGACAAGCATCGCCACAACCGCAGTCACTGCGAGTGAGACCACAAGAGCGCAGTGGGTCGTATCAGGGACGGGCTCAGGGAGGAGACAGTCTGGCGGCACCTCGACCATTGCCGAGTCAGCGAGCAGGGAGCTATCAGAGTACGGCGTCTCAACAGCAACAAGGAAGTGATGGTCAAGCTGCAGCGAGCAGCGGAGGCACAGCGCAGGACAGACTCAAGGCGAGGCTGTGGGGAGCTGCAAGAGCTGGAGCTGCAGCGAATGCCATGTCGGGGTCAGGAACAGGGGCAGCATCGCCAGCAGGATCTGGTCGTTTTGCGAGAAATTGATGTTGGTGGTGTAGCACGGAGTTGTGGAGTTCTTCAAGCCTTGTGCATATCTACTCTGAATCAGACGCCTACTTGATTGTTTTGAAGCGAGCCATACGTGTACACTCTATTGACATATCTGCTTTAGCCTGGAACTGCAGTATCTTTGTGACTTGAGTATGTTGTAGCAATTGTCACAGCAATCTTGAAGATGGTCCAAAGAGGGGTATGAGCCATCTTCTGGTTACCCCACACACGTCACCAGCCTCGCCAGTCACAAGCACCAAGGCAGCAGGATGAGGGAGCCGTCAAATAACTCTCCACAGCAACATGGCACCATCGCAGGATAGCAGTCCACCTGCATCGGTATACGACATGAGTGACGACGAAGAGACCGACTACAGCAGCGTGCGCCGCCGCTCCGAGGGCTCGCGCGGCGTCAAGCTGCTCTACGCCAAGAGCAAGGTCTTTGTCCACCCCTCGCCCTCCAGCAAGGACAACATCGACGGCTTCATCGCCTTGTACGAGCAAAAGTCTCCCTCGGCATCGTCCACCGCTTCCTCGTCCACCGCTTCCTCGTCCACTCAGATCCCCTCCTCGTCACTCGTCCTAGGATGGCATCCCGTCGCCTCCCTCAAGTCCCAGGGCCAGTTCGATACGTACAACAAGGTCGACCTTGACGACAAAGACCAGCCTCAACGAAATCTCGTCCCCCCTCCGCCTATCACCTCCGCACACTCGTCCTCTCCAGGTCCATACCCTTTTGCTGTCCAAGCAAGCGAAATCTACTCGATCCAGATCCGCCCGCCCAGTGCCGGTTGGTGGTTTGGCAGTCTTGTCATCAACACCAGATCAGGCGACAGCTTCCCTGTCCTCTTCTTCCACGACAGCGAGTGCCAGTCCACTATCAACCACCGCAAGAAGCTCGCCCGCGAGAACTTTGATCCCTTTGGAGAGTCTGGCAACCTGTTCTGGGGTGGTGACCAGGTCCTGGAATGGATCAAGAGACACCTCAATGTCGAACGCTCGCCTGAGCCCAACATCTTCCTGATCGAGCCCTCGGATGCCGATCGTACTGGCTTCGGTACAGACAAGTCTGCTAAGCCCACACCCGACAAGGTTCAACAAGCACTCGAGGGCCCCAATGCTCAACCGCAGAAGAAGAAAAAGGAGGATCCTGTTGCAAAGTTCCTCAAGGACTCTCGCTGGGCTGTTCTGGAGAAGCTCAGTCAAGTCACAACCTTTACCCGTCGCACTGCTCAGGCTGCTGCTGATAACCCCAAACTGCCGCCTCAGCTGCGTCGCATCATGCAGAATCCTCAAGTTCAGACTGTCCAAGAAGAGTTCGACAGTGCCCGCCTGTATCTCGCAAGATGGGCCATGACTATTGCTGAACAGAGCGAGCGTGACAGAAGTCAACGCATCTACACTGCAAAGGACTTGCTTGAGAATGAAGACACCGAACTGGGCGAATTCGAAATTCTCGATGTTGACATGAGGAATCTCGAGCTCAACGAGAAGAGAGATCCCGTGACCAAGAAGGAATGGGATGCTTTTTTCGATTCCCATGGAAGGCTACAAGTCACACCTGATGAAGTCAAAGAGCGTGTTTTCCACGGCGGCCTGGATCCAGATGACGGTGTCAGAAAAGAAGCTTGGCTGTTCCTCTTGGGTGTCCATGACTGGAAGAGCACCAGAGACGAACGTAAAGCCAGGATGAACAGCCTCAATGACGAATACATCCGTCTCAAGGGTGCCTGGTGGGACCGCATGATGGACGAAGACGGCACACTCGAAGAACGCGAGTGGTGGAAAGAGCAAAAGATGCGCATAGGTAATTCCTCCCCCCAAATCGTCTCTCTCCCTCCGACATCAAGTAACTGACATCTTCCCACATTTCGTGGGGTCCGTGCTGTAGAAAAGGATGTGCACCGAACTGATCGCAATATTCCTCTGTTCGCTGGCGAGGATATCCCCCACCCAGATCCGACCTCGCCTTTTGCCGAAGTTGGCACCAATGTCCATCTTGAGCAGATGAAGGATATGCTACTGACCTACAACGAGTACAACAAAGATCTGGGCTATGTGCAGGGCATGAGTGATTTGCTTGCTCCCATCTATGCAGTCATGCAAGACGATGCCGTGGCCTTTTGGGGCTTTGTAAATTTTATGAATCGCATGGTGAGCTGCTTTGGCCAAACACTTCAACTAATCAATACTGACGCCCCATCTCCCACAGGAACGCAACTTCCTCCGCGACCAAAGTGGCATGCGCCTCCAACTAACCACCCTCGACCACCTCGTCCAACTCCTCGACCCTAAACTCTACCTCCACCTCCAAAGCGTCGACTCCACAAACTTCTTCTTCTTCTTCCGCATGCTGCTCGTCTGGTACAAGCGCGAATTCCCCTGGCTGGACGTCCTGCGTCTCTGGGAAACCCTCTGGACTGACTATGCATCTGCCAACTTCCACCTCTTCATTGCAGTAGCGATATTAGAGAAACACAGGGAAGTCATCATGGAGCACTTGCGCGGCTTTGACGAAGTGCTCAAGTACGTCAATGAGTTGAGCAATACGATTGACTTGCAGTCGACGTTGATTAGGGCGGAAGCGCTGTTCAGACGCTTTCAAAGGACTGTCGAGGCTATTGATCGGAAAGACCATTTCCCTACTCCGACGCTGAGGCAGAGGAAACAGATTGAAGGTGGTAGTCTTGATCAAGGGTCCAAAGCGGTCGGGCATGATGGGAAGGCTGCTGCTGCTGCTGCGAGTAGTAGTTCAGATGCAAAGGGTGGTGCTCAGCAGCAGCAGCAGCAGCAGGGTACTACGACAACGCAGCAGAAGGAGAGGATTGTGAGTCCTGAGCTTCGGGCGCTGTTGAGTCGGGAGTTTACTACGGTTGACAAGACCCCTAAGTGAAAGAAGACGAGAGGGTGAGATGAAGACTTGAAGGCATGGCGCATGACATGTCTCGCTGGGCTGGGATGAAGGAACTGGGTCGGCTTATGGCGTTTTTATTGGACGCGAGCGGGAGTTTTGGTTTTTGAGGCCTATTGTTCATCTTCTCCCTTTTTCCACGACAGGTTTTGCTTATGCATGAGACAAATGACTAAATCCTATTCCTATTGCTTTACTGCTGTGTTGTGTCTTGCTCTTTCTCAATGCTTCCTTTGACGGTTTCAATCCTCGCAGTTTGGTGCTTTTAGCGTTCTCTTTCTCTTTCTCTTTACTTGTTGATGAGAAATGTGATTACAAATGGATCATTTAGGGATAGATCTGCTTATTCCCATCTCTGCTTTATCTTACCGATCTTGCCGCTTTATAACTAAATGTGATCTAATCCCTAGGAAATCAGGATAAGGCGGAAGGAGGGGAGTACAGAAAAGAGACGGATGGTCAAAATAAGCCAGGGTTGTATCAGAAGCAATGCTTTGATTCAGTTTGTCGGTTCAACTATTCTAGCCCTCAATAGCAATTAGGAATGGACTGGAAAACCAAGCATGCAAATGCGTTATGCTACCACTGACATATATACAGTAGTCAAAGGTCTGATGGCTTGGTTTGAGGCCTCGGGTGGTCTATGGTTCGAGTCTGGTGTGCGACGCTCGACCGCACCAGCAGCTCACCACACTTGGCACGAGTATATGCGGCACAAGGCACAAGCCAAGTAGAAAACCATCAGAAATCCATCCAGGTGAGCAGAAACTGTATGGGAGGTAATAGGTTTCATAAAGAACAAGGAGAGAACTATACAAGCTAATGATAAAAGAAAAACAGGGTATTCATCCATCGTGATAGAAAAAAAGCAAGGAATTGCGTCTTCGCATGTCGGCGAGCAATCGGCTACCCAGCATCACCAACATCCAGGAGGTACAACCCTCAACAAGATGCCAGCACCGGGCACGGCTTCAGCAACAACATGGGCATCCTTCTCAGCAGCAGCAGAGACACTCTACTTGCTCTGTCTGGCCTGCTTACGCTCACCGTAAGCCTTGGTGGCATAATCTCCCTTCTCGACGATCAAATCCTCAGGGCGGTAATCGTGGCGGCCGCTGAAGTATGAGTCGAGGATGGCCTTGGTGCCAGCAGCGTAGCGCTTCTGGGCATCGATCGAGGTACCGGACATGTGGGGGACCATGGCGTTGCCGCCGCCCCAGTGAGTGTATTGGGCGGTGCGGAGAGGGTGGTCGGCGGGGGCGGGCTGGGGGAACCAGACGTCACCTCCGTAGCCGCGGAGTTGGCCTGACTTGAGGGCTGCGGCGACGTCTTCCTTGACGACGATGGCACCGCGGGCGGTGTTGACGAGCCATGAGCCTGTGAGGTGATGTTAGTGGGTTGGGTATGAGAGAGGAAAGAGGACAGAAACACATACCCTTCTTCATCTTGGAGATCAACTCCTTGTTGAACAGACCGCGGGTCTTTTCGTGGAGGGGAGCGTTGATGGTGACGACATCACACTGGGCGAGCATCTCCTCGAGGTTATCGACACGACGGCAGCCGATCTCTGCCTCCTTCTCGGCAGACAGAGGCTGGTAATCGTAGTAGAGGAGCTCCTTGCAGTCGAATGCCTTCAGACGGCGGAGGACACGCTCTCCGATACGGCCAACGGCAACGGTACCGACGACCTTGTTCTCGAGATCGTACTCGTTCTTGGCGACGGCGGCGACGTTCCAGTCACCGGCGGCAATCTGCTCGTGGGCAGGGACGAAGTTGCGGACGAGGACAAGGATGGTCATGACGACGTGCTCGGCAACAGAGACGACGTTTGAGCCAGTGACCTCGGCAACAGTGATACCGCCGTTGGTCTTGTTGGCAGCATCCAAGTCAACGTGATCGGAACCAATACCAGCAGTGATGGCAATCTTGAGGTTCTTGGCCTTGGCCAGACGCTCCTTGGTCAGGTAACCGGGGTGGAAGGGGGTAGTGATGATAACCTCAGCATCAACGAGGTGCTGGTCAAACTTTGAGTTCTCACCCTCCTTGTCGGAAGTGGTGACGAGCTCGTGGCCCTGGTCCTCGATCCACTTGCGCAGACCGAGCTCGTTCTCGGTGGTACCGAGCAATTGGGGCTCTTCCTTAGCGTGCTCGAAGCCATCGTACAGGACCATCAAGACCTTGGCATCCTGGCGGGAAGTGGCCGATAGCGAGCGGATGGCACCAGCGGTTCTGAGGGGGGAGGAAAGAGAGGCCCCTGCAAGAGGAGAGGCACGCAGCGAAGCGGCAGCAGGGCGAACAGCGCGGGATACTGAGCGGAAGAAGACCATTGTGAGGATTGTGAGGTCAAAAAAGATATGAGAGGGAAGAAAGAAGAGCTGCAGGAAGAGAGGATGTGCGGCGGGTTATAAAGATGCGAGGAGGGGAGCTAAATTACTCGAGGAGGCCGCATCACTGCGGGTTGGTTAAATGTGGAGAAAGGTACTCTGATCCCTCGTCCGAAGTTCGGGCTCGATTGTTTCTCGATGCCCTGCTTCCGTATGCCCAAGTTCGGCATTTGGAATCGCTTTGCTGTGTTGAAGATCCATGAGGAGAGGGGTCAATCACGCCGTCACCTCAAACATATGTGTCGTGCTTTGGGCAAGAAGGACAGCTCGTTATGGCATCCATACCGGACATCAACCTCGCTCTTTCCCTATCTCTGCTCACTTCGCGCAATAGGTACAAACAGCACGCAAAGCTCGTTGGCTCTCTCTTGTGCCCTCCAGATGATCAAGCTACAAGAATCTCTACTAAGAGAAAGCTGCTTTGTCACGTCCATTGAGGAAAAACAGCAGCTGTTTCACTGATCCGCCAGTTGCTCCGCTTAGTTCACCTCTTGACCCCACATATCTGACATCTCCCGACGCGGGCAGCCCAGAAACTCGTCAGAAACTCGTCAGAACCACGCCATTCTTGCCAGCTTTATCAATTTACTTCCAACCTGCTTCTACTCAATCTCTTTCCAGCCATATATACGCCTATAACTCTACTATCTTTGTAGCTTACCGCATATTTCATGTTCTGCTCTTCAATGTCAATGCAATGGAATTGCAACAAGCATTCGCAAAAGAGGAGAAACGCGGGGGTGTTTTGGTTCGAACGGCAGCGGAAGTCAATGCTCGAGCTCTCTCCACAAATCCAAATCACCTTCGGCTTGCGTCCCCGAATCCGAGTCTCGTCCGCAGACAAGAGAGTCTCTTCTCTACTCTACAGTCTTGGTGACCAAGTAAGGAAGCCAAGAAGCAACACTGCTATTTCCAGACACTCGGAAACGGGTATTCGCGTATAGCAGTGGTCGCAAATGGCAGTCTTGAGAGCAAATGCCACAGCACCATGACCTTCACCATTCGGGGAAAAGGAATCCGGCCAGCCCTTGCAGCCTCTCCGGTCGAGATTCGGAGTTCTCGCACCGTCAGGCTCGAAATGAGGAGTTCAAGGGGGCGAGACTCGGAGAACAGGTCACGAGGAAGAGCACACAAGCGCCGCGACCTTCTGCTTTTGGGCATTCGAGAGCTGACGGTGGTTTGGAGCGTTCGTGGGCTAGAAGCACTGCTAGAAACGGCAATTCTGTCCTCTGCCGCGGCCGAGTCTCGCTGTAGCGTAAGGGCGATGTCGGATCCTGCATTGTTGTCGGCACTGAATGTGAATTGGGCAGATGTGTCCTACTTATGTTTTATACGCCCAATCCCTCAGACAAACCTGGAACAACATGCTGTGCTTGCTCAACTCCACAGTGACACCTTGATGAGAGCGGTGCGGGTCCAGTGGGGCATGACGATTGACTTTGCCGGAACAGCCGGCCGTGGAAGTAGTTCATCAGTGCGGCTCTTTCTCATCGACAAAATCTACAATACTACAACCTTGCTGCTCAGAGCGTGTCCATATATAATGCAATATTGCCGACAAAGCTACGACTACTTGACATCAGCAGCATCTAGATCACCGTAATGATCCACGACACCACCAGTCAAAAAATACTGAATAGGCGATAAGAAGTTCACGAAAATGACATTTTGGCTCGAGATCGAACAGCCCGCAATCTTCTGCGCCTCTGGTGACCAAGACAGCACTTCTTCTGCTGTGTTGGCCAGGTAGACATCCTCCTCCTGGCGCATGGAGCCGCGCGTGAAGAACAAACCGTGAACGACACGCCATTTGTCAGACGTGGTGTTTGCGCCGTCAGCATGGTAAACTCCACCAAGCATGACCCAGACTTCCCCGACGTCGTGTTCAGCGTAGACGACATCATCACCGGGTCTTGGGACGAGCTCTGAGCTCCATAGGTGACTGCCAGGGATTGCCAAAGTTTGCACGCGTCGTCTTTACTCCAGGGAAGAAGAATGACAGCTCCACGTCTGAACCTTTCTGATAACCTGTCTTGGTCTGATCGAGATGAGTCGCATGCCAGTTTTTGTCGTCGCGAAGCAGTCTCTGAGCAGCTCCTCTGGGTCGATACTGAATGACACGGAGATGGCACAAGAAGCCTCGCTGGTATAGGTGTGTCGCGTTTCGCCGTAGTAGTTGTGTGTGGTCTTGTCGATGAACTCCGCGTTCAATCTTCTGATCAAGGGATCTACCAACCATTCCTTGATTGCGGTCTTGCTACGACCGATCAGGTTTGAACATCTCCTTGTCTCTGGCGGGAACAGAGAGCCCTGTGCGGCCTCGTCAGACAAAGGTACTATCAAAGGGCAAAACGACGCAATGACTTACGATCCATGGCTTATCTGTTTCGCTGAATGGTTGGGTCTCTTTGTTGACCTTCTCCACTGTGTCTGGATGGGTGAAGTCTTGAATCATGCAGCAGCCGTCTTCCTCGATGGCACGAATGATACTTTCGACGTCAGATCTTGGAAGCCGCCTGACACTTGGATGACCTCACTCTAAATCCGAACGATAATCCCTATGGCTCCTTAATCTTAACAGGGGTTCAAAGTATTGACTCAAGCGCAATCTTTGAACAGATCTACTCAATATTCGTATCACTGTTCAAACTGATTGCACAAGCTACTGACGTCGCTCGCGAGATGGAAAAGTTACGCGAACATGGCCTTTCGTCAGACAACGATGTGGAAATCTTAAGGGCCGAAGTCAAGGCACTCGAAAATCACATTTGCGATTGGAAGAACCAGAACGAAGAGCATTTGTCAATCCAGACTGACGGTCTACCCAGAGAGGCTCTTCTGTACCATCTGGCAGAAGCAATTCATGCCGCTCTGATGATATTCTTCTATCGACGCGTGCGAGACATGCATTCTGGGGCGGTACAGGGTGGGTGAAGCAAACAGCAGATCATGTCCTCTCCGTCGAGAAACTCAAATCACAGTGTGCAGATCGATCTGCTAATCTCTGTTGGCCAGGATTTATAGCGGGCTGCGAAGCTACAGGAGCACAGATGCAATAGCGATGGTCGCAGTGGTTTGCTCGTTCTCATAGAGATAGTCATATCCGTATGTTTGATGTCGCGAGGGCGGCGGTCAGTCCACGATGGGCGCACCTGGACATCGCTCCCTCCATTCAAGAACGGCATCAAAGTAAATATTCCCGCTCCTGGAATCAATGTGCCTGAACTCACTGTATCCACAGGGCTTCCAAATTGCGCTCTTCTCGCCATCTGGGCGGTAGGCGACCAAGTCTTCATCGGCGTCATGGGGGGCGAAGCACACTATCCTCGCTGGTCTCTCTCCAGATCCGCAAACATGGTTTCTACCCGTCTGGGTTTCATCTACATCCTCTCCATCATCTTCATCGGTCTACTCGTTCCTTCAAATGACAACCGTCTCCTCAGTGGCTCCGGGATCACAGCCTCCCCAGCCGTTGTTGCGGTAGTGGATGCTGGCATTCCTGGTCTACCTTCTGTGATCAATATCTGCATGATCATTGGCGTTTTGGCAATCGCATTGGAGTGTATCTATCTGCCGTCCCGAATTCTGAGGACCATGGCTCTGCAAGTGTTTCTGCCCAGATATATCGCAAATGTCGATGCTAAAGGACGACCGAGATGGGCATTGGCGATTACAGCTGTGGTGGCTCTACTATGCACATACATCGGGCTTAGCAGTGAGTTTTTTCCTCGATCCATTTTTACAATTCCAGGGCGTCAGAAGCTGATCAAGTCTATGTCTCTAGGCACAGGTTGCATCGTCCTCAACTGGCTCGTCTCCATCACCAGCGCCTCTGTTTTCACAAACTGGGCTGTCATCGCACTGACCTCCTTCCGCTTCCACTCTGCCCTCCGCGCCCGACACCTGAAACTCTTTGCAGAACCGTACACTTGGTCCTCAACTCTATGGCCCCTGGCTTTCGCTGTCTCGCTAGCGGTATCACTGATGCTGCTTATCTGCCTTTTGATCTGCGCGATAGCACCTGTGGGTGCCACAATTACGGCTTTCGGCTTCTTCTCGTATACAATTGGATTACTGATCATTGGCATTTTCACTTTGGGGTACAAGGTTGCGTTCAAGATAAAGTAGATTGCTTTCTCAGATGCAAATCCGGTCACTGGGCGAAGAGAGTTGAGTGAGGAAAAGATGGCTTAGCTGAGAACATATTATGCTTCTCCTGTATGGAGAAGAGCGGTCAGCTATCTAAAGCTATAAACGTAGATTGCTATACATACCGCGGACATTGTTCTAATATCACACCGGGAGTTTGTGACATACAATGCTGTTCTACCTTGTCACCTACCGCGACACCGGCGGATATCTGCACCACGAGGCTTGTGTTCAGTAAGAGATTATCTCTAACTTTTTTGCATGACCGATGTTTATTTTCCAAATGCTATACAGACAAGAGAGCTTTAGTGAAGCACTGTGTCAGCACGATGTTTTGCAAAAACTCGAACATACGGGTTTTCTGAAAAAATCTGTGTCGTAAAACAGGCTCCCTCCACCACAAGATACAAAAGCTAACCATAGCATCGCTCCAAAACGATCGAAGAGGCTTTTATTTAGAGGTAAATTTCCTACGTTCATTCGCAGACATTGCGAACCATGTGTGCGAAAAACGCTGTGAAAGAAAAGCTACCTACACGCTCGCCGCCATCACCTTCGCACCTTTGCTACTCTTGGAACGAACAATCTCACAATCAACCTCGAAACACACCATCTTTATCTTTTTCCGCCTTCCACTGATCCTCCTCAATACCCCTGTGTCCCGTATGAAACAACACGACTTCCTCAGCAGCAACCTCAAACGTTGCTCGAACTGTCTGAATCCTTCTTCCACCTCCATCTTCTTCTTCTCCCTCTTCCTCTCCATCTCCATCTCCATCTCCATCTCCACCTCCATCTTCCTCTCCCACATCGCCAACATCCGTAACCAGCAACACAGTCCCATCCCTCTCACTCCTCTCGTCCAACACAATAACATACCAAACCATAATCTCTGACCCAGTGTCTTTGCAAAGTTTCACCAGCATCTCCCAGATCTCAGTGGGCGATTTACCCATAAATGGCGAACAAGGGTTGCTATCAGCGCTGACGGGGAAAGTTGAGGGGTTGGAGTAGTGGGTAGACATGTTATCGATGAAAACAAAATCTGCAGTATCGGTCGTATCGATCCCGCTGACGGATATAAAATGGTTCATAAGCTGAGAGAAGAGAGTTTCAAGTCAGGATAAGAATGCTGCAGCGGGTAGTGAGGTTTCGTATTCCACTTGCTTCTTTGCTCAGCGGAGCGGCGCAGACGATGGGGAATAGCATCTTTTGTATTTCGAAAATTATGGGGTTGAGAAGGTTTGATGGAGAGATAGAATGACGTGCGGTTCAAGATCGATGAGCTGTAGAGAGTTGGAGGTTTGGAGTGGCAAGTACCGACAAGATGAGATGCGTTTCTCAGATCAATGATTATCGTGCAGGAGTAGAGGTTGGTATGACAGTTCGGCACGCAAGATCCGAGTTAGACTGAACCTTATTGTTATTACAAAGATCAATTGTTGTTACAATCCAGCTTTTATTTCTTTTGATCTCTGTCTGATCTATCTTTTCATACTCATTACATGTCTGCTCGTAGCGTCTTGTGAATCACGGAAAAAAGAAAAACTGAGGACACCCAGTCCTGAAGATGTAAAGCGCAAGATACTCGGAACAAGGTCTTTTGAAAGCCGTGTGGGCCTTGTAAGAACAACATCAGTCGCCAGCGAGGACAGCAAAAATTCACCTCCAAGTGAAAGCAGTTCCGAATGCCAGTCATCAAGCTAGTGTATGCATCGAAGCACACTGTAATCACTTTGTATTGAGTGATCAAGCGCCGTCACCCTCGCGTTCGTAGGTAAAACGACGGGAGATAGGCGAGGTGGTGTAGTTGACGCTGCCTGTGTGCGAGTTTCTTCTTCTGATGGGAGTGGCGCGAGGCTGACGCGAGGACATGATCGAAGTTCTGGTATGAGTGACCCAATTGGCTGGGAAGATTGGAGTCTCGAAGGGAACATCGTGTGCAGCAGACGACAAGTCAGCTCCGACTTCCTGAGATACAGCAGCCGTAGAGGCAGGAGTGAGTCCGGTGCGGAGATTGTGGACCACGGCTGCAAGGTTGGGGTCGAGCTCGTCCACAGCAGAGGAGGACGATCCAGTAACGGGAGCAGCACTCGCATACGCACCTTGAGTCATCTCAGCCATGGCACCAGCTGAAGAACGAGCTTCCACGCCGATGATCGGAGGAGTATGAGCGGGCTGAGACTGATCGCGAATGGCCATGCCTGCGATAGTACCTGGTCTGGCGACGGTTGAAGCGATGAGATCGTTGTAAGAGGCGATGGCATGGTAACGAGGCATCAGAGGAGTTTCGTAGGCAGCCGTTGTGGCCTCGCTGTCGGACTCGTTGTCGGACTCACTGTCGGACTCATTGTCGGACTCTTCCTCTGGCATGTGACCGTACTGACGTGGTCCCCATGGGAGGTGGTTGTAGTTTCTGGGGGCGTTGATGGCCTCAAGAGTGTTGGATGCAGGGAAGGGACCATCGGCTGGGTCGTAGTGGTTGTAGTAGAGGGCAAACATGATATCGGCTTCGATGGCGTGGAGCTCGTTGATATCTATACCATCAGGGAGTGGCTCGCTCCAGTCGGCACTGTCAAGATCTGGTCAGTCACAAAGATGAAGAAAGCCAGAACACAATCACTCACTCATACTCGGAACCGAGAGTAACATCGCTGTATGGACCATGCGTATCCAGCAGTCTGATCTGTGTCTCGACTTGGTCCAACTGAAAAGCGAAAGCAGTGTCTTCGAACCGATTAGTCTGGTCGTGACGAGCATTGAGATTGCCGTAGACAGGGTCAACAGGAGCTGGATGGAACTGAGGAGGAAGACCTGGATGGTTCTGGGGGCCGATGAAGGGAGTCGATCTAGCCGTGGCGACAGTGCTGGCGCTTCCACTCGAGCTGCCTCCGTCAGAGCCAGCCTCGTTGACTGAAGACGCAGCCGAAGCAGAACGACGATGGGTGAACTCGGTGTTGATGGCCATATGTGACAGACGATGTAGAAAGACAGATGAAGATGGGAATGGTTGTAGACGAAAAGGGGACGAAGAAGGTGAGAGACAAGTGTCTGTTATGAGGCGAAAGTGGCGATGTTGACGGTGCAGAAAGAGCGAACGAAGACTACGCGCATGACCAAGAGTGAAGGAAACTGCTGACGAATGGTGAGCAAACTGTCTGTCACAACGTTGGCGGACCGAGGGCAGGCTCGACATGTTTGCACCTGCCATATCTCGTTGACCGTCGCCCGCCAAGTCAAGGCACTGCGATCTTGCTCTCGAAACTTCGCCGTCGCTTCTTTCAGACACAAGCCGATGATCAGAGCGCAGGAAAGCAAGAAATGAAATCGGTAGTAGGAAGGATCTTCGTCGTCGCTGTCTATATCGGAATTCAGACCAAAGGACAAACTCCTTTACATTTGTATGCCAAACTCCCCCACGCTCGCTGTGCATGAACAAACGCTGCGAACAAATCACGTAGTTTAGGGTAAATGATAACTCAAAAGAAAGAATAGCATGATTTTCCTCAGACGCCCTGGACTTTTCGATAACTCGGCGGTTTGACTGCTCGTCGAATCAACTTGCCAGCATACACTGGCACCAGAGACACTGCCGAGATGGCGGCAACCCTCCAAACGAAACCAACGCTCGCCACGAACTTCAGATCAAAATAGCCTGAGAGGAATGGTATGCTACCGAAGTATAGACATCCAGTTGCGAGGATGGAAATAATGTTCGCAGGATGCCATGTCGTGATCTCCGCAGCGACCATAATTAGCTCGTTTATCACCAGGACAGTGAACGACACGCTAACCATACGTGCGAAAGCAGCAGCAGTGTCGGCGTTTCCTGTACTGTGTTCTGCGAACTTTGGAACCAACAGCTGACTGCCTCCTTGAATGATTATGCCCTGATAGACCGAGATAGCGACCCAGACGAAGAAGGTACGGTAACTCAAGCTCTTACCTAGAGTCAACTCCTTGTATAACTCCGGATATAAGTTTGCAAGGTTCTCATCGACGTCGCGATCGAGCGTGAGTGAGAACACCGGCGCCATGGTATATAGAGTCGCATAGCCTACCAACAACCAATCTCGGTACAGAGCGATGGGCTGGTAAGCTGAAGCAACGGAGAACACAGTCTGGCATACACTGATGATCAAACCGCGATGGATGACAAACTGCGCGAGTTTTGCCGATCGCTTGTAGCTATTGCGTCCATGCCAGACAAGGAGTTTGGTCAGATGGCTGAATTGAGTGATGCTGAAGTCGGCAGCAAGTGAGGCTTGGCGACCTTCTTTGCCTACGATACCAACACCGACGTCGGCAGCTTGGATCATACTGACATCGTTGCCGCCATCACCAATACAGGCTATGCGTTTGCGAGTGTGATTACGGATCAGTTTTGCGACGTCTGCCTTCTGAGTTGGGGAACAGCGACAAGCAATCACGGCAGGAAGACGGACTGCCAGAGTGATGAATGCGTCTCTGTGATGAGTTAAATACAGAGATAAGGATTCTCCGTCAATCAGCAATGCGGCATTTGGACGTGAATGCAGGAGAGAAAGTGCATCCAGAGCCAAGTCTTTGCGCTTGAGCCCTGCAATGGTGTGTATGTACTGGCCTCTGGAGACAAGTTTTGAGGACACGGCTACGCATCGTGCGGTCTCGACCTTATCTCCTGTCAACATCCAGATCTTGATGCCAGCGTTGCGGAGGAGTTCAAGAGATGGCTTGATGTGGGCTTGGAGTTTGTCTTCCACACCTGTTACACCTAGGAGCTCGAGATTGTTTTCGAGATGCTGTTTGACAACTCGCGCCATGCTGTTATCACGGTCGTGAAGACTCAACGATGCTTCTGCGTAGGCTGAGGAGAATGCGGCATACTGTTGTGCTGACATGGCTTTTCTACCAATCACCAATGTGCGCAAACCTTCGCGAGCCATGTTTGCTGTCTCCTCGTCCAGCCAATCGTTGGCAGCGACGATCGAAGTCATGACGGTATCTGCGCCCTTTTGGAAAAAGTACAGCTCGCTGACATCACCTTCAGCTCCACCTTCTTGCACAAACTTGACAACGATGCCCATGCGCTTGCTATCGGAGGTAAATGGGAAGATGTTGAGGATCTGCACGCGAACCACGATCTTGCTATTATCCACAAACTGCAAGGTAATCGACTTACGATCACGATGCAACAGACGCAGACCAACTTGTTCTGTCCAAGCTACGATAGCAATTTCATCTGGTGAAGAGGCCTGGTATGATGTGACTGTGGAGCCGTCGACTTCTTCGGTCGTGGGAGTGACATTGTGACACAGTGCCAATGCTAAAACCAGATCACGAACTCGTAGACCGATCTCCCTCCGAGAGCGCGTACCCGAAGCAAGTCCGCCTGTCACATTGGAAGAGGGCAGAAAGAAACCCTGCAAATCTGAGAAGGCTGATTTCACGTAGCCAGTGACCTCGTCCATCGCCTCGTTTGCGTACGAGACTGTACCGACATGAATCTTCTTCAGCTCCATTTCATTCTGGGTCAGCGTGCCGGTTTTATCGCTGAGCAAGTACTCGATGCGACCGAGGTCCTCCGGGATAGTACTGGTACGCACAACAGTCCCAGGAATACCTTGATCGCGCTCGATGAACCAAGCATACATCGATTTGCCCATATCCAGATTGACGCGCAGACTGATGGGTACAATGGTGGAGAACAGGATGAGGAAGCGCATGACTGAGACATACCACTCCTGACCTTTCTCAGCTTTGAAGCCCTTCAGGGCAACCAGAAGGAAAGATAGAGCAAGAGTCAAGAAACACAAGATCTTGGTCAGAGAGTTGATCTCGTTTTCAAGAAGACCGGTCTTTGAGCGAGAAGCTGAAGTAGAGAGAGCGGCGCGTGTCTCTGGACCAGTATAGATGACCACGGCATAGACAGTAGTGCTTGAGGCAAGTACGGTGTTGGCCCAAGCAGTGTTGTCGATTGATAAAGGAATTGATTTTGTTCCAGGGACTTCGGCAGCAGGCGCCTCGGACTCGTAGGGATCATATGCTTGACGTCCATCAGGCAGCAGATCTAGGGTACCAGCAAAGTCGTTTACTCGCTTGTCAGGCTTGCCAGCTGTCAAACGCAGTCTTGTGTATTCACGAGCCGGCAAGTCTTGTGTCAGTGGAGAGGCCAGTCTGAGTTTCCAGTCTGTTTCACCATCGAGTTGATCTGTGCGGATGAAAGCTTCGCCACCAGCGCTGGGATCTTCAGAGGTGGTCTGGTTGGCCAAAGGCAGCTCTGGCACTATTGCAGCTGTGGTCCCGAACAAATCGGCCTCTTCTGGTTCTGGCAAAGGTTCAGGCTGAGCAGAGGACTCTTGGGAGAAACTCTTGAGGATAGCGACATCTGCGGGAAAGCGCTGGTCCTTGGTCATGACCAAGACATCGCCGACTTTCAGCAAGCGCGAAGGCTTGGATGTCTCTCGCACTGACTCATTCAACAGACCATCAGCATCTGGGTTCGCGTTCCGACGTCTCGTTGTGTTGGTGGTGTCGTTGTCTCCAAATTGCAAGACGGTATATCTTTCAGAATTGGCCTCTTGATCTCTTCTCCTTCGGTGTATGTCGTCCATGGCCTCCTTTCCAAGAGTGATGGCCAAGACGAAGAGCAGTGGAAAAATGTAGGTGCTTAAGTAGCCAATACGCAGTTGAGGGATGATTTGCGACAAAGCGACGAGGAGAAAGTACATGTTGAAGAAGAAGGAGAATTCATTGTAGAGCGTTCGAGGAAGGAAGGAGACTGGAGTGTATTTCGCGTTCGAGACGGCGTTAGGAGGGTATTTGGCGTCCTGGCGGTCTCCTACGACGATTGTTCGGTTCGAGGCGGGATCGTGTTCATCTTCGGGCTCATCGTCGTCGTCTTGGGCGTGCAGCGGACTTGAGCGAGAGAACGGGTTCAGGCGGGCTCTAAACTTGGCCAGAGCGGACTGCGACTTATCGGATAGGCGACGCAGGCGCGAAGCGTGTGAGGAGGGTGGTTGAAGGGTATGCGACTCTCTTTCATGTGCTTGGCTGTCTCTCCCCACCAAGGCTTCCAAGTCTTCGGCATCTGCGTCGTCGTCGACATAGCGGTCTGGTCTCCTGAAAGCTCTCCTTCCTCCGAGTCGCAGGTTCTTGAGTGCGATGTTCTTGCTAGAGTCGTTGGAGCGGTTGTTGGTTGTGATGGTCTGGGGATCGAGTTCGTCCAGGTCTAGATCTAGATCCAGATCCGAGTCGGCATCAGGGATCAGAGAGGCCGACGCGGTCGAGTCGCCGTGCCGATGTGACATGCCTCATCTGTGTCTTAGAGCGAGAAGGGCAGTAAGGTTGTGACTTGTTTGTCTCGCGGTGGATCAAGCATGAATAGCAACAATTACGTTGCTGTCTGCCAAGCACTCTAGGCTTCCGGCATTTGACTCGCGTCATCCCGGCCCGGCTTGCCGCACGAGTCAAAGTCCGGGGGATTCGACAGACGATTGGTTGTGAGCAGTCACACTTGGCTGATGTCGTGAACGGCCAACTCGCAACACCGAGCACCTCCTTACGACTTGGTCCCATCCACCGGATCGCCGGCCAGCTGCTTGTACTATTAACTTATCCAATGTCTTGACCAGCCCGCCTTTGCTTCGCCTTATTTGTTTTTGGTAAGTCACAAAGCTCCACCACGACCGAGACGCGGTCGAATGGTCACGTCGCCCGGGTTTATTGCTTTCTAGATGCTGAAACATGTCCAAAGCAGCTCTTATACACAATACCTCGCCATGTCAGACGACACCCACCACTCTTCATGGCATCCTGCTTTGAGGTCTCACAACAGCACAAACGATATTCCGATAGCCCAACCGCAACAAGAACCTCCTGCTGTCCACCATGATGCCGACTTTTTCGACAACCTTCCCCCACATCAATCGCGATCCCTCGCCGCAGATCCTGTGCCTGAAAATCATGCCGGGGAAACACATGTCGACCCCGCGCCACTTGCATTCGAGGAGCCCATCGCTGCGACAGAAAGCGTCGAGGGCTTGGGTCCTGTCGGAGAAGATCAAGTATCAGAGGACACGCAGCTTGAAGAGACAGCCCACGCCGAGTCACCGAACTTTATACCCGAGCCAACTCACGATTTGCTCGAGAAAGCTTTCCACCCCCCGGAGCCAGAGGTCCATCAATCTGGTGACCCACCTGTTACTGAGTCAGAACAGGTCACATCGCAAGAATCAAATCGCTCTGCTGTTGAAGAAGCCTTTGGCACTTTGGACAAGGAAGAGGAGGACCATGTCCGAGAAAGATACGAGTACCAAGGCCAGAGTACCGCAGCTGATGATGCTGTCGACGAGAGCGACGATGCGCCTCTGATGCAGGATGAAGAGAATCTACCCACTCCTGGTTTCGCTACGGATGCCCCTGCCGTCAATGCCCACGACGTTCCTTTCGAGTCCTTCCATCAGGATCCCTCAGCTGTCACCGCTGCCGCAGAACACGTTTACGAAATGTCGACTGAGGAGCCGTCATTTGCAGCTCAAGACAGCGACGCGTTCGACCCAGAGTCGCAGACACACGACGACCAGTTCGCTGAAGTATCGACGACCTCCGAGCCTTCGCGAGCATTAGACGAGGCCAACGAGACCCTGAGGCTGGTGGCCGAGGAGCCAATCGAAGAGCCGGTTCAGATGCAATCTCAGACATCCGCTGCTTTTGAGTGGGGAGACGACGACCAAACTGAAGATTTCGGAGCCGTGGTAGGAATTGTTCCACCGGAAGAGAACAGCGTCGAATCGGAGAACATGGCGGCGGGCAGTGGACTTGTCGCCTCCCAGGCGACCGCCCTGACCCAAGCTTTGCAAGAACAACAAGCTCAAGAAGACGCTCCTGCCGAAGGTGAAAAATCCGAGGAAGACCTGGCTGCCATGTGGTCGGCTGCTCTGGATGACGATGATTTCCTCGACGACAATGCTGTGGATCCGAGTGGCTTCTTCGTTGAGGATGATGGTGAAGGCTTTTTGGATGACTTCGACACGGCTCCAGCTCACCCAGACCAGATCCTGAGTCCTGAGCAAGCTCTCAGCCCTGGAATTGCTCCCGTCTTGGACGCTCAAGGGAACACGGTTGGCTTTACAAAACTCGGCGGCCCACAGGAACAGATCAACGCTCCTGCAAATCCATATTCGCCAGCAGCTCAGCAGTCGAACCCCTACCTGACCCCTGCTCTACCATCTGTACCTTTGTATAATCAGCAACAGCAACCCGTCCGACCAGCCTTGAACAATGCTCAAAGCTTTGCCGACAAGTCCAAAGGAGGCTACTCCTCCCCCTACGACTTGCCCGAAGATATTGTTCAGCCTCGTAGACGTGCTCTTGCAGCTGCCGCTCCTACTCAATCCAGTGCCCCACCTCCACCCCCAAGAAGCAGCAGTATGCAATCTGTTCCACCGAATGCTCCTCCACCTTTCTCGCGTTCGGCAACCGCTGCTCCCTCAGCAACTGTTGCCTCGCCTCCCATGAACCAATCTCCCAGCGTTGCAACTTTACCACCCAAGCCCGCAACCGCATCAGGTGGTAACAGATCTGCTTCTGGTTTCTTCGAGGAGCTGCCCATGGTACCGAAGCCTCGCAACAGACCATACACCCCTGCTGTCACTGCGCCTTCTCCTGCTCAAGCACCAGCTCAAACCCCTCCACAAGGACCTCCGATCCGCCCTCCATCTCGTCCCGTGATGCCTCCCTCGGCTGCTTCTTCTGGCTATGGCCTTGCGGATTTCAGACAGCCTGAAAAGCTACCTTTGTTGCCTGACATGCAAGCCGCTCCTCAGCAGCTTGAGCCACCTCAAACTTCAGGCCCTCCAGCGAGCTCAAGGTACTCGCCTGCAGCTCAACAGGCTCCTTCGGCGGTAGCACCTCCAGCGACCGGCCGCTTCTCGCCGATGCCGCCGCCTGCGCCAGCAGCAAATTCGCGCTATTCTCCTGCTCCACAAGCTCAGGCTCAGAATCAAGCACAGAACAAGTATGCCACTATGCCTGCCTCAACGCCTGTCTCAAGACCAGTTCAGCCATTCGCCCCTCGAACCTCGAGTCCGCTAGCTTTTCACGAGAAGCCTACTGCTGCTGAGATGCCCCCACCGCCTGTCCGTGCAGTTTCGTACCAGCCTCCACCTCCAGTCCGCCAGATGTCTGGTCTTGCTGATGGTTTCGAGACCCCGCCGAGACGAGACAGCAATACGCTAGACCACACCCTTTCTCAATCTTATGCCTCGCCTCCTCGCAACAATTCATATGCACCCATGACTTCTTCTCCAGAGTCACGTGTCTCTCATCCATATGCTAACGCTAACGCGCCTGCTCCAAGCGACACCTTCTCACCACCAAGAAGATCCAAGACTCAATCCCCTGGAACTGTTATGAAGGGACCACTGAGAGCCATGACCCAGATCGACAGACCCACTTCTGCTGCTGGTAACATTAGCTCCCCGACACTGCTACAACGTCAAGATGTGAGAGCTGCTCTACCTCCTGCACGACAGCAGTTTTCTTCGGATCTCAGCTTTACTGTTCCTCAAGATGAACGAGCTCAAGATCCGTTGGAGAGATACAAGGGTTGTCCTGTGTTCAAGTGGGGCCCGAGTGGCTCTTTAGTAAGCACTTTCCCTAAGCAAGCCCCTTTCTACGCTGCCGGTCATGCAATCCCGACTATCAAATGTACACCCGGCGAGATTACTATCCATGATACGAAGGTGACTTACCCCTTGGCGGAGCGTGATGCCAAATTCCCCGGACCCTTGAACAAGGGCAAGTCCAAGAAGAAAGAAGTTCTTATATGGATCACTGGCAAGATTGAGGACCTTGAGAAGGCCAACGAAGGTAATCTTCATGAGTTCGACATGCCTGTGCAAGCAAAGAAGCGCGTCGAAGAAAAGGTCGTCCTTTGGAAGATGGTTAAACTCTTACTTGAGCACGACAATAAGATCGACGGCAATGCTTCTGCAGAGGATGCTGCTCGAAAGATTCTTTTACCTAACTTCACACAATCAGAAGAACTTGCTGAAGACATCGCTGATGAAAAATCATCCGGACCATCTACTGAGCCTGTCAATGCGAAGGCTATGGCGCAGATTCGCAGACATCTTCTCTCGGGTGATCGTGAGAAGGCCGTTTGGTATGCAACTGAACAAAAGCTGTGGTCGCATGCGTTGCTCATCGCATCGGTTGCTGGTCCCGAGATCTGGAAGCAGGTCGTCCAAGAGTATGTCAGGTCTCAAGTCAAGGATGCTGGAGAAAACTCTCAATCACTAGCAGCTCTGTACGAAGTCTTTGCCGGCAACTGGGAAGAGAGTATCGACGAGCTGGTTCCGCCATCTGCGCGTGCTGGCTTCCAGATGATCAGCAAGTCAGGACCAAGTGCGAAGAATCCTCTCGAGGGTCTTGATCAGTGGCGTGAAACATTGTGTCTCATTATCAGCAACAGAAGTAACAACGATGTTCAAGCAATCTCGGCTCTGGGCAAACTTCTCTCCAGTTATGGTCGTAGCGAGGCAGCGCACACTTGCTACCTCTTCGCCAAAGCTTCTGCTCATCTTGGTGGTGCTGACGATGAGAAGTCTGACTTTGTGCTGCTCGGCGCCGACCACAAGAACCAGTCTCAAGAGCTTTCCGACTTGGATGCAATCCTTCTTACCGAGGTCTACGAGCTTTGTGTGTCTCTCGCACCCACCCCTGGGACTTCACCTACTCTTCACCACCTCCAAGCATCCAAATACCAACATGCTCAGATACTCACAGAGCATGGCCTGCGTAGTGAAGCCTTGGCGTACTGTGATGCGATTATGGCTTCCTTCAAGGCGTCTACCCGCCTTTCGCCATACTACAGCCCTGCACTGTTGAGCAGTGTAGATGACTTGCACAGGTGCCTTTCGCAAGCACCTCAAGCCAGCGCCTCTGGAGGCTGGATCCCGAAACCGTCTATGGACAAGGTATCTGGCAGTATGTGGAAGCGCTTCAACACCTTTGTTGCTGGTGACGATGACAACGAGTCAAAGTCACACGGTCCGACTGGTGGTGAAGGCGCTCCTGCAGGGCCCTTCGGCGGTATCACTGGTGAGACACCTACAATCAGCAGAACAGCTTCCACAACAGACTTGTATGGAGCGATGTCGTTGGGTGGTAGTATGCCGTCTGCATCCGGCGCCGGAGCATCGAACCGATACGCACCTCCTACGCAACTTGGTGGTGCCTCTGCTGCACGTTATGCTCCAGGCAGCTCAAGTGCATATGCACCAAGCAGAGGTTCAATGGAGTCATCTCGTTCCTACGAACAAGAAAGACCTGGTACGGGCTACAGCAGCCTTGTGTCTCCGACGTCAGCCGCACCTCCGCCAGTTCAGCGTGCTAGTAGCACGCCGTTTGGAGCGTACTTGCCGCAACAGGCTGGAGAGAACCAACAAGCACAGTCATCACTGGGTGTTCCTCGACCAGAAGCGTCCCGCGCTGTCTCGGACTACCGTGTGCAATACAGTCAACCTCCTTCGAGACGCGAGTCTGTTCAATCTGGTTACGGCTCTGAGCCTCGATCAAGTCTTGATCAAGGTAGACCAACATATGGGTATCAATTTGACAGTTCGAGGCAATCTCCCTATCAGCCTAATTCATACACTCCACTCTCACCGATCTACGGAGACAACGGTGCTGAGACGGAGACTGAACAGCCTTCGTATGAACCTCACACAGCATCGACGTATGAGCCTTCCGAGCCTACTCCTGTGCAAGAGCCTCAGTCCTCTGGATACACACCCACGGCTCATCCTGAAGAAATGACGAGCTTCGGATATGAGCCTCCGTCATCTTATGAGCCACCGTCGTATGATCCTGAATCTTCCTACGAGCCTCCGTCTTCGTATGAGCCACCTTCAGATGAGCCCCAAATTCCCGATGAGCCACGAACAGCTTCCTACGCCCCTCTTTCGTACGACCCGCCCTCATCTTACGAGCCCCCGAATGGCCAGTCGGGCTACGAGCCCCCCACATCCAGCTATCAACCATATGAGCCGGAACCCGATCCGGAAGGCGGCGATGAACAGCTCCAAGAACAGCCAAAGAAGAAGAACTTCATGGACGACGAGGATGATGACGAGATCATTCGTCGTGCTGCCGCTCTGAAGAAGTCAGCGGACGACAAAGCAGCAGACGAGGCTTTCCGTAAAGCTGCAGAAGAAGACGCAAAGCGCGATGAAAAGACAGGCGCAGTTGGAGACAAGAAAGGCTGGTTTGGCGGCTGGTTCGGCAAAAAAGACCCCAATGCTCAACCGGGACCCATCAGAGCCAAACTTGGTGAGCAGAGTTCGTTCTACTATGATCCCGATCTCAAGAAGTGGGTCAACAAGAAGGGAGGCGCTGAAGCTGCCTCCCCATCTGCTGCTACACCTCCGCCACCCAAGGGACCGAGTAGAAGCGCCAGTGGTGCTGCTGGGCCTCCAGCTGGCCCACAGATGTCTGGTCCACCCTCTCGCGCCATGACACCTGCAAGTGGTCCACCCTCTGGCCCACCATCAATGGCTGCCTCACCCGCTACACCACAGACTGGCTTCCCATCTGCCTCTGCACCCCCACCAATGGGCGGTATGGCTGGAGGACCGCCTGCATCCGCGCCTCCCAGCCGTCCTGCAACGAGTATGAGCAACGCGAGTAGTATCGATGATTTGCTCGGTGCGCCTGGGCCGAGAAAGGGGGGTACTGCCAAGTCCAAGAAGAGGGGAGGAAGATATGTTGATGTGATGGCTAAACCTTGATTGGTAGTTCGTTCTTGTAAAGCGCTTGGTCAATTACCTGTATGAGTATGATATGTAACAACGCATTAGGCGTTGATCATTTTTGTATGACTATGTTTATTCCTTTCTTGATTGTTTCGATCACTCTATAAAAGTCGAAGAAGATGGAACGAATACTTGCTCTGGCTGCTCGACTTTAGATTAATGCCCTATCCCAGATCCGAAGATGGTCCGTAAGTATAAGGCCATCACCCCCTTCGCTAGCCAAACTCTTCCCCTGCTCACGACGTTGGACGCATCGATCAGATTCTCAAAGCACTAAATCAACCACAACGGACCCGAACGTTCACACTAAGCTCATGTCCCCCTACCTACCGCAAGAGATTTTGTCCCTCATCGCCCAACATCTGGTCGAAGAGGATGATCATAAACTAACACCGTACACACTGGTCAACAAATCCTGGCAGGCCGCTTTTGAGAGACAAATATACGCTTCTGTGATTGTTTTGAGTCCCTCTGACGTGACAATCGTGACGATCGAATCCCCAGAGCGAGAGGAAGACCGACACGTAGAGCGACTCGAAAAGCGAGGTTTGAGTCTCGCCAGACTCGCCGAGATCACTACCGGCCCACAGCGCTGGCGACGAGCAAGACGCACATACATTCAACGCATCTTATACAGAGTGGCCGTGCTCTACTGGATAGATCCGATACGATATGATGGTGCTCATGAAACCAATTGGGATAGCGCGTGGCGCCGTGAGAACAACAGAGCCTTCACGGAAGGTATACGCAGTTTATTCGATCACCTCTCCAAGTGGACGGACCACGGCGTTGCTCTGGACATTGCTCTGCAAGCAGAGATAGCATACGTCAATGACTGCGACATCGATGATCCCAACTGCCCGGATCATTGTGGCCGCCACGAGCCAGAGAGTATGCGGGTCGAAACTGAATTCGACACGCTGGTACCACCTTACAGTGCGGAACTCTTGCCTGACACTCACTTGCCCAAAGCAAAGTGTGTGACATCTCTGAACTTTCCCAGAATCTACCTTCCCGGCATGATCCCTGGACCTGGTGTCGACGAAGACGGTTGTCGCAACAACCCTGAGAATGGGGTGTTGTTGCCTACAGTCGTCCAGATCGCATCAGCTTGTGGTGCACTGCGAAGGATAAAACTCGATGGTGAGTATGGAATCTCATATGCAAGTCATGTCCTGCGCATGCAAGTCCGGGATAGAACTGCAGCTGCTCTGGCCCAGCTACCTCTAAGCATCCAACACGTCGAGTTCGTCGGCGATTGGCCCTGGCATTCCTACGGCTGCGATGGTCCACTCCACGAGCCGACTTTTCACACGCTGGATACTCTGTGCATTGCTTTCCGCGACATCTCGACACGTTTGACATCCTTGCACATCAAGGATGAAGCAATCTTCTCCGAGCTCTTTTGTCTGGATGGCACACCGGCACTGCTGAGCGACGAGTTGCATTGGCCATACCTGGAAACCCTGCATCTAGAATGCGCCTGGAAACTCCAAGACTGTTTCGTAGACATGCAGAGATATGCGGATGATGATGGCAGAGATGACAGTCCATCTACACGCTACATCGAAGACTTAATCGAAAGTCTTGGATCTGCGGTTCAGAGGATGCCGAGGCTGAAAAGTGCGGTTTTGAAATCACATTTTCTTGAGAGGTACCAGCCACATGGCCTTAACCTTTGTTTTCGCAACGATGGGGGATGTATGTTATCGTTGAGTGTGTACGAGGATGGCGTTTATGAGCCTTCGATGCGTGTTCTTGAGGCTTGGAAGATTGATAGGCAGGATTTGCAATTCCGCACTGGTATCGTTCCAAAAGGTATTGATGGGACAGGCATTGGGAGAAAGTATTGGGAAGCTACGTATTCATCGTGGCCACCTCCATGACCTTGATAGAAATCAATGTAACGCTTCCTTATTCACCCATCTCCCATATGATCGCTTGATCAGAGCAGAGGAACGAGATGTTAGCGGGCAATGGTGGGACTCAGTAGACATGGCTTGGCTCAGAACTGAGTCAGCCAGTGAACACATTATGGATCCGGACAGGACTGGACATCTACGGAATCCACAAACTAATCGTCAGGCGTACCTCTCACAAGCATAGCGAGGACGAATTGCAGTCAGCTGGAGATGATACAACAGCTTGAATGCGTAAACTCGATCTCAAACTTGTGATTCCACAATCGAAAACACCTGAAGCTAGATAGCACCAACAAGACTCGTCTTTGTATAGATTCATGAATCGACTGGAATACAAGAATGATTTGCTCTATGGAAACATACATCACTCAGCCCCCTCACTGATGAGTGTAAGTAACCCCAGTGAGCTGATCAACCACAAACTTAGTACCCATATTCTGCACATTAGCATCATTGGGGTAAGAAAGATGTTCCTCATCAATGCCTGCACCATTATTAGTGCACACACCATCGCCCTGTGATCAGAAAAAAACGTCAGTCATGATTCCTCTCGTCGCCGCCACCAGACGAAAAAAAAAGACTCACAGGAGCACAAACGTCCAGGGATCTGGATACAAAGCCAGAGGGAATACTGTTGCTGCCGTAGTATTCGGAAATACCATTGTCGTTGCGAGTGGTGATGCCACCATTGCTGTCTACATTACAGCTCAACCCTGCTTTATGCAGTGGGTCGCCAATGAGAAACACGCCCTTTACAGCAGTATTTTCCGCTGCAGTCAACTGTACCAGAGCATTAACAGTCGCAGCAGCACCCTGCGAGTATCCCTCTAGGATAAAGCATTCATTGGGATTACTGCTCAGAGTTGTCTTGATCTTGTTGATGATGTCTTGCGTCCCCGAAGCAGAGTTTTGGGAGTAGTCGGCTGGGTAGACGGTGTTGTAGACGACGCCGCCGGGGACTTGGGAGAGAATGTTGCGGTTCATGGTCAGGAAGCCGGCGGAGGGGCCTTGTTGCTCGCCGGTGCCTCTCGTGTCAATGATGGCTGGAGTGATTGAAGTCAGTTATTGAGGGAGAGGCAGCAGAAGGGAGAAGGTGATTACTGTAGCTGGAGCATTTTTTGGATGCAGTGCTTGTGCGAGCAGCGAGGGGGGAACCGGTAGCCGTGCTGAGCACAGAGGCGCCGATGAGAAGGAGGTCGGTGAAATGCATGATCGTGTGAGGAGAAAAGTAGCTGATGGGTGATGAGATGATATGTTGACCTTACGTGGAATTCTCAAGGCGTTTATATACCTACAGTCCGTTGTCGATCTATCTTCACAGTTTTCCAAATTCCATAGTTCACATGATCTGCTGGTCATGTTGTGCTGCAGTTCTAGCGTCAAACCTTGGTTAAGCTAATCGCTGTGTGTCTCAAGCAGTTTAAGCGCAGCTTGGATGAATCCATCTCCTGGATATACAGGTTGCTAACCACGAGAAGCATAGATTAACAAGCAGAGTAGAAAGTATACAAGAGCCGAAATCAGACACACAAATACCGAGAGGAGTTTTCAGCATGGATTAAGCTTTCTTACCAAGCTTTTGAGTGGTGGTGCTTATTTCCTCTTGGCTAAATTCTAGTGTCTCCCTCAAAGCCTCGGTATCTATCGTTGCCCTCCACCCGTTGGGCCGAGGGAACAGTGGCTGCGATATTGCGGTTATGCATCTCTATCTTAGAGAACATTAGAGAGGCTCTTGGGAAGTAAAAAAATCAACCCCTGTCAAGCGACTGAGCCTGTCATCACTGTCATGTTAAGCTATATCCTTGAGCGCCTTCCCCTTACTGGTCCTAAGTACCACCTTCGACATTTAGCCAAGCTCAACCGGCACGTTGCGAACAAGTGCAATAGCTATCATCTTGATAATGGGTATAGTGTATAGTGACCCCGGAAAGGATTCCACCAGTCCGTTTATCTATCAATATAGCCATATAGTATGTTAAAGCTCAGGCCAAGACAAATCAGTTCTAATCTGAGGAGGAGGCCCACGAAGATTTTCTCTCCAACCGGGTATGGATTGACTGAACGACGATCTACCGAAACTGAACTTACTTACATTGCTTCGCACCCTGATATTGTCCTGTCAGCCGCGGGAGACGGAATACATTAAGATGGCGAGAAGCGACAGAAATGATCACAATTAGCCCTTTTTTTTCCATACTGACTACTAAGAAGTTATTCAATCTCAAGAACCACAAAGCGATGTTCGAATGTAGGAAGTCTATTTAAACTTGCGAAAGAGGCCAAAGTGTAAACGAAAAATAGATGATCGAAATGGATGTATATAGTAATAAGTCCGAGGCATATACAAAAGATTGATGAGATCCAAAAATGTATAGACAGAAGCAAAATATGTAAAGTATAGAAAGTGAGAAGGGAAGCTAATTAATGAGAATGAATAGTCTATGGTCGTCAAAGAAGAAAAATGTCGTAAATGTGCTTTTGCTTGTGGCATCTCCTCATGCTTTTCTCGTCGATGTGGTAGAAATTGGTTTCTTGGTGCTGCTCGAGGAAGAACTGCGTTTGGTAGTGCTGGTCTTCAAAGTGGAGCTTGGCTTTTTGGTGCTGTTGGTTGAAGTAGCTCTCTTCGATGAACTCGTTGAAGCGACCTTCTTGGACGAGCTGGTGGTGGTGATCTTCTTCGAGGAGCTTGTCGAGCTAACTTTCTTGCTGCTACTGCTCGAGGTAGCTTTCTTGACCAAGCTCGCCGTCGAACTCTTCTTTGAAGAAGAGCTTGTGGAAGTCACTTTCTTTGAAGAACTGGTCGAAGTCACTTTTTTGCTGCTGCTACTCGAGGACGTAACCTTCTTCGAGGAAGAAGTTGCGGAAGTCGCTGGCTTTGAGACTTCGGCCCGCTTTGAGCTTATCGCCACTGAGGGCTTGACGCTCGAACTGCTCGTGCTGATTTTGCGTGACGATGACGAAGAGGTTGTAGGTTTGCTGAATGTCGTGGGCTTCGAGCTAGTCGTGGGCTTGGTGGACGAGGAAGAAGAAACGGGTTTTGTCGATGATGTTGTGGGTTTGGTGCTTGACGAGCTTGTAGTCGGCTTTGTGCTTGTGGTGGGCTTTGTGCTTGTGGAAGTTGTAGTCGGCTTTGTGCTTGACGAGCTGGCGGTGAGCTTGCTGCTCGATGAACTCGTAGTAGGTTTGCTGCTGGTGGTGCTGGTCGTGCTAGTCGAAGGTCTGAGAGAAGAGGATGAAGAGCTTGAGCGGCTAGTGCTCAAAATCACCGAAGTCGATGACGATGTTGAACTCGAGCGAGAGAGAACCGACGAAGAAGATGTCGTCGAGGGGCGAACACTGCTGGAAGACGAGGTTGACAGGCTCGACGACGAGGATGTAGACGAAGTCGAACTCCTTATCGAACTCGAACTCGAGGTAACCGGATCCGCAATAACAGTCTCCGAAAACACCTTGATGTAGTTGACTTCCCAATAAGCCTCCTTGAAAGCACCAGGATTGCCAGCCACATACGCAACACACCCATTCCCACCATCACCAGCCATAGGACAAGAGGTAGCAGAATACACACTTCCCGCCCAATCGCCACAGAACGTAGTGTCGAAGATCATGCGATGGTTGATAAAGTGAGAGTCAATATCGCAGCTTGAACCATCGAAATTGCCGACGGGAGTGCCAAAGTCAAGGGCTGGCGAAGGGGAGCCAGAGGAGATGGAGGCAGGGATGGCGTTGCGAGGGAAGAACCACACTTTCATGAATTCGGAGGTCCACTGCATTGCATATACACCGCCGCCGTTGGCATTGAAGCCGTCGCCATAGCCGGTTTGGTCATTGGTACCCGTAGCGCAACCAGCTGCTCCTCCGGTGCTGACAGCGCAATCGTTTCCATTGACCCAACCAGTCTGGTTTTGAAACTTCATTGTGCAGTTTGGGGCAGTGTGGGCGGCGATTTGGTTGGTGGTGAAGGTGTTGACGCCTTCGATGATATCGAGCTCGCCGTGAGCGGGCCAATTGGAGTCACCGAGAGTCCAGAAGGCAGGCCATACTCCGCAGATGGATCCGGGCATGTGTTTGATATCTGCAAGGAAGAGACCGTGGTTGTAGTTGACGTTGCCTTCGAGGCGTACTGATTGACGGCCGATGGAAGAATTGGTGTAGAGCACTGTGCTGTCATCTACACCCCACTTGGCAGTGTTGCCTGCACCATAGCCAAGGATACCGCTGCTGATGGCTGTGGGCTTGTCTACGTATTGAACGAAACCATGAGTCGGGTCCGGGTCGGTGAAGAAGTTGAAGCCGTCGTAGAAGTTGGTGCCAGCATACGTATCTTGCAGTGTGTAGTTGTACGAAACAGCGGAGACCGTCAAGGGAAGCAGAGCGACCAAAAGGGTGGTAGGCCCAGCAAGCCTTGGAGAAGGCATTCTCTTGTGATGAAAGAAAGAAAGACTGATATCGAAACGAATGAATGAAGATGCCCAAGGAAACAGGCAAAGCGAGAGTGATGAAAAAGCCAACCTACAAGGAAAATATCCAGGGACAACGTGTGCGTTTTGTAAATCGCCCATCACTCACACAAAGTGTATTGATCCCACCGGTGGAAACGGGCGGTTTGCACACAGGTCTCAGAACTGCTGGGCCGTCGACCATGTACACACTCAGCTGCTCGGTCATAAGCGGAGTACCTACCTCGAAAAGCGCCACAAACAGAGTGTGGGCCAGTCAATCATAATTCACGGTATAACCACCAGATCGTAGAAGGGCAGCCATGTATGCACCTTGCATGGAAGAGGGTGTGGTGGAAAGGGGAAGAGGTGCAAGATTGAAGTTTGACCGTTGTACCTGGACGACGCCGTTGCCGAAAGTGTTCGGAGATGCCGTTTTTGGCTGAGGACTGGCTGAACAGAGAACCGAGATAGGCTTGGCCCTGTCTAGATTTCAGCTTTCAATCAAGCCCCGATCTCAGATCGAGTCAAGTGTGGAAAGGATAAGAGCCTCATTCAGCTCTATTCGCTTGTACGCAGACGGGAAATGGTGTACCAGGTGTGCTTGTCTTGCGGCTCCGCTACGGAGTAGTCTTTTCCACATCTTGGAAGCGGTCGAGGCTCTTCCAGCTGGAGGCGTGCAGCAGCTGAATGACTGAGTCGCATGGTCGGTTCAATCACCCACGTGTGATTTCCCCTCTCTCTCTGCCGAAGACAAAACATCGGACTTCGGTTGGGTGTATGCGAAACAGAGATGGAAGAGATGGAAGGTTGGGAGGGAGAATGGACGCATGTGCAGAAGATGTAGACATGTCGTTCTTCTGCATATGCACGCGGCAAAATGGTTCACCACGGTTGGGTGCATGCGAGTCGGGAGGTCACGATTGCTTTGTCCAAGCGAAGAACACCAGGTCATTTGATTCGGTGTCACCATGTCACTCGCGGCATGCTTCGTGCTTGACCGAGGAGTCTAGAATTATAATGTCACAAGTCGGACGCGCGTTCTGCGGTCTGCTGGCAGCTGCACAAGCGGGTCAAGATGGATAAGTGGTCTGAAGACTCATCTATTCGAATGTAATATAGGTCTATACTCTAGACAAGATGCAACGCAATCATTAGGCAAAACTGCAAACAACGCTAGAACGCTCGACGAGAACAGAAAATCTCTCCAATGCATCAGGGGCAGAAGTGGCGACTTTGATACAACCTCAGCCAACCAGGAAAAAGACGTGGGTGCAGATAATCGATGGTAAAGCCTGATGGCTCAAACCTTTGCGTATCGACAATCCGGACTGCTGCAAGCTTCATGCCTCTGGTTCAACCAGTCATAAACATGCCTGTGATCCCCCTCTTTCTCCCACGAGCCCAGCAGCACAAGCAACGGCTCATCGCCCTCATACTGATATCCCGGAGCTTTGCGCTGTCTCGCGACCTCAAGCGTCTCATGAATGGTATCCCACACAAAGCCCGCCGTCAATGGCTTTCCATCTTGTGACTCGCAACGGATCAGGTAACTCCAATAGTACAGCTCAATACGCGTTGGTGCTGGGTTCGAAAAGTACATGTTGCGCCAGCTTGCGTCGGGCGCAGAGCGTTCGCCGAGGAGGTAGAAAGGATCGTTTTCGGAGATTTTGAAGGCGAGCATGTGCTTCTTTTGGCGGTCTTGGAGATCGCGGAAGAGGACTGGGTGGCTGAAGTAGTCGTCTGGGGATTGATTGGTGGTTTCGAGGTGGCGGGAGAGGGATTGTTGGTCGGCGCGAGCTTGTTTTGCGGCTTGTTGCTTCTGTCGTCGTTGGTCGCAGGAGAAAGAATTGTGCAGGATGTGTTTCTTGAGTGTTGGTGTGATGAAGGGGTTTGTCTCTGCGCCGCAGGTGCGCTCCTCTTCTTGATGACCACAAAAACAGGGTCGCTTTTGCTCCGAGTCGCGTGCCAGGAACAAACGCTTCTGCAGGCGAGCAGATGCATCGATCATGCCTTTGAAGCTGCGGCACGTCCTTGATGTTGTCATGATAGTGCGGATGCTGTCTCGTTGCATAGCAGCCTCATCGCCGGACCAAGGCAATTGCATCAAGATGTGTTCGAAAAGGTCAAAGTTGTTCAATGTCTTGGATGCAGCAGATTCGGTGGTCTCGGCGGAGAGGATGTTGGCAGTCTCTGTGGGTCGTCGTTTGAGCTGTGCTTCGGGAGCAATGACACTGCTTCGTCGTCGTGACAATTCTTTGCGGATGCTCGACGAGATTTCGCTTCGCACGTCTTCGGCGGCGGCGTGGCCTAGGCTCATCGACACCTTGGAGATGCGTCGCCTCTTGCCTTTGTAGGCGGTCTGGTAGTCGTGGTCATCGTGACCCTCGGGAATAGTACTGATCATGTTTGGGCGAGTGATAGGAATGATTGTGAGTGTGAAGGCCGTGTCGTGGTCAGGTATAAGGCAAAACAAACAGTGAAGCAAGGGATAGGTATAGTGGGAGGGATAAGAGAAGAAGAAAAGAAAGATCAATCGAAACAACAAAACCCCTACCCTTCACGTCCGGAATATCCGTTTGCTACGCCTCTCTGGGCCATGACCGGCTGCCTACCCCATGCAAAACCATCACGGTGAACCCGAGCGGGCAAAAAAAGACGATGGGGGAAGCTCCAACGGTCGATCATGTTATGGGGGCGCCACGTCGAGACCACCAACAAACACGCGCGTCCGAGCGTCTGTTTCCCTTCGGCACCGGATCTTGCTTCCATAAACAGTATATGACCAAATCGATCATATTCCCACCTTACATCTCGAAAGACAGCAGCTTTGTACATACAGGCACCACAATTGCATTGGCTGTCAATCTCATGATAAGGAGACAGAAACACCAAGCACCAGCCAAAAGTGGTATGGCTTGCTGCAGACAGTCACGTCATGGTATCTGTGTCAATTCCGTTGGAATCCTTCTGGAAGATCACAAAAAGGCACACGACAAGCACATGTCATGATAGACACATGCATGTGGCAAAGGCATAAACGAGACGAAAAGAGTATACGAACTAAGATAAACTTCCCTCCAATCGTATCTTTTGCAGACCAATTGCACTCTTTCTCCTCAACTCTGCTTTTCCGTCGCGTGCAGCGACGTGAACGAGAAGGCAGAACGGTCGGTGAGCACAAGAGACGATATACAGACTTGCATCGCCTGGCTGGCCTGTTTGCTGGCGTCGGCGGCGGCGGCGGCGGTGTCGGCAAAACCGGGCTTGGTAGATCTCTCCCAGGGTCTGGTCTCGAATAGACTTTTCGACTCTTCGATCAGCGCAAAAGTCTCCTTGTACAGCAGTTGATTCGAACGATCATCAGGTCCGGTGAGACCCCTTTCTTGTTGATCTACCTCTTGCGTTCAATGGTGCAACTCGCCTGTTTCTGTTGATCTTCCGCGAGGAGGTGAGTGATGATGAATTGTTGGCTGATGTCATTATCCGGGCTTGCCTATCTGCGGTATGTACTATGCAGTAGGAGATACAGGTATTAAGCTACGAGACAAGTGCATTGCGATATTGCAGAAATGTTATGTAGATGTCTTCAAGGTGATGACCAGCCTCTTCTCAACCTCCTGTCAGATTCGCATCTTCGGAGGCAGTACGAGCACATTGAGGCTCTTGTAGGTAGCTGCGACAGCTGAGTGAGGCTGGTATACCATCCTTGGATGCAGCCTTATCTAATGGCTTGGTATCAGACCCTGTGATGCCCTGAGCCACTCGTCGAAATGACTATACCGCACTCTGGGAAACGAGCTCGTGAGCTCGACAATTACTCGCCCGAGGACTTCTCAGCCATTGTTCGCTTCATTGAAGCCTTGGAGCGGCGATGCATCGCCGTGCGTAAGCTTGGGCGTGCAACAGCACGCTCCCCATCTGTACCCCTTGTAGGCCTGGTGTATACCCTACTCTTTATACCCTCTGTTTCCCTATTCAACTCTGATTTCATCTCCCATGCCCATCATCCTCACTCTCCCTAGGCGCAACCACAGTCCCCCTCCACAACCTCCCCCTGTCCTCCTCATAATTCAGCATCCCTGACTCTTCGTCTTCCTCTCCCTCCTCCTCATCCCAATGCTCTTCCTTTCTAAACCTTTTCGCTATCTTCCAGACTCCCATCTTGACGTTGTTTTTTGCCCGTCGCGCGAGATCGGAGACTGTATCGATGGGGAGGTTTTGTTGTTGAGAGCGCCAGAAGGGGAGGATGAGGTAGCTGATGCTGAGGTAGAGGGTGAGGGATATCGAGAAGGGGAGGAGGAGGGGCTGTGAGGAGCGTTAGTGGAGAGGAGTGAAGAAAGAGGCCAAGGGAGCTTACGAGAATTGTCGAGTGCAGGGGTGATGATGATGATGACGGTGACATGGTGGTGTTTCTGGATCTCTCGCCTGTTGCTTCTTGCGACTTGTAGTTTCTCGTTGTCGCTCGCGAAGCGTGTATCCTTGAAATCGCTCGAGCTTGGATAGCGGTGGCAAAGGGTCCAAGTCTGAGCAGTATCGCACGTCCGAATTCCTCAAGTCCGCTCAAAGTCCAGTCAAAGTGGTGTCCAAAAAATGTCGCAAGTAGTCTCGCAGACCAAGCAAAAAGCCAAGGGTGACGAACACGCGGCTCTCTAATGATATAATCGAACCCTCCCGTCTGTATCCGAGCACGCTGAGCGAAAACGGCTATAAAGGCAACGAAACGTGGGGAAAATGAATAGATACAGTGACGACGACGACTCTGCGGAAAAAGCAAGACACAAAAGTCACAGGAAACGAGATGGAGGCAAGAAAAGTCAAGGGGGATAGAGAAAGGTCGAGAGCTTTGACGAGACTCCAAAACCCTACTCATCTCAGCTCACGCTCATCTCACTTTCAAGGTCAGTCGCGTCTTCTACCTAGCTGAGATGAGATGCAAAAGGCGCCACTACGGATAACGGACCTGCCGACGCGGCGCGGCAGGCGGTAAGCGGCAAGCAGGAGCAAAGCTCGTTCGGCAGACCTGCCCGTTCCAAGATCTTTTGAGATCCAGGGTCTCGACCGACTCTTGACACGCCCAACATGAATCTGCGCGTGTCCATACGCTATGGATCCACGAAAGCTATCCTTCATATCAGCTCTCGTGGCGTCCCCTGAGTGTCTCTCTTATCATTTTCACGGGCTCTCAATAGGTGCAAGATCAAATGTGTGTTGTAGGTGCAAGTGGCAGCTATTACTGACCTTATCTTGCTTGTGTTATTTCACGATGCGCCCTGATATATGGGCCATATCCCAGCCGGACTGAGTCTTCCTACCATAGGAAGAGCCAAAGAGGTTTGTTCGCGTCCTTTGACAGCGATCCGATATGTGAGATCCTCTGTACTGTACTAGACACGCTTGACTCTGCGCCAGTCAACCACAGCAGTACCATCCGCCAACTTCACATGCTCGGCTTCAAGGCTATACCTTCCAATCCACGGCAGCAACACACGCCAAACAACCCAATAGAGGACGGATACCGTCAGCACAACGATGCCAACAACAGGATACAACCAATACGGCAGACTCGTATCTCCCTTTCCACCCGGCGGCCTCAAGAATGGCGCAACCATCAAAAAGGCCTGCACAACCATGTAGAATGCAGCGACAGGCAGCCAACAGCGGAAAGGGCGTGGAATATCGGGCTCGGAATAACGAAGCCAGAAGAATCCAACCACGACCAGGAAATTGACGATTGAGCCTGGGTAGCCTTCGACGTCCAGAATAAAGTTGTAGGCATCTCCAAAGGGGATCGCCACGATCACAATCGCACTCGGGATCCAATGAAGCAGCAAGCCTGCGCCGGGCGCCCCTGACGGCCATCCAGACGCCCAGAACCTCGGGAATGGAATCACACCTTCTTTGGCGAGTTCTTGGTTCACTCTAGCTTGGGCAAAAGTGACGGTCATGACGTTTCCAAACGCCGAGAAGGCAATAAGCACGCTGATTGCTCTTTCGGCCGCGAGACCAAAAACTTGGTGCATGAAGAAGCCGGCTACAGTCAGTCCGCTCTTGGCCACTTGTTTCGGTGTGCCGGCGGCAAAGTAAGAGATGTTTGCCATCATGTAGAGTATACCGCAGACGGTCAAACTCAGGGGTCCAGCAATCTTCAGCGTGCGAACGGGGTTTTTGACTTCGTTGAGGACGTAAGCCGCGTTGCTCCATCCAGCATACGAGTTCAAGACCTTGAACAGCGCAGTCGCCCAGAGATAGCCACTGGACGTCGTTCCAGCAAAGGCATCCTGGAAGCTTGCAGTCGGATGCGGGATACGGCCTTTGGTGGCTCCACCCAGCACAGCCCACCCAGCGACAACGATGAACACCAGGACTCCGACCTTGATGACGACCAGTGCATTCATACCCCTCACAGCCCATCGTGGGATGACAGTATGAGCAGCACAAATCACCGTAACCACCGCCAGCGCAATCCCCCTCTTCTCCCACTCGCTCGCCGTCTTACCCGCAGCTTTGATCACATACGTCGCAAACACAATACACCCTGACGCTGTAAAGCCCAACAGAATAGCCTGCCAAGCAAAGAACGTGGTAGCCAGGAGTTTGGGTCTTCGGTACGCAGCTTCCAGGTATACTTTTTCGCCGCCGGAGCGCGGGATCATGCAGCCGAGTTCGAGCCAGATGAAGAGACCGGACATACATGACGCGAGGCCCAGCAGCCAGAGCATGAATGCTGCGCCCACGCTGCCGACGCTGGAAACTACCGAGGATGGGGTGGAGAAGATGCCGGTGCCGATGATGCGGCCGATGCTGGAGGCATGTCAGCGAAAAGGGAATCAAGCGATGGTTGAGTCTATTACATCAAAGCCACCGTCGACCATAATCCCAGATGACGGCCTAGACCACCTGCTTCTGCTTCGCCAGGAAAGAGTTCGCCGACTTTGGGCTCGGTATCACTGCCGCGCAGGTCTTGGTCTGACGGCGACCGAGCAGCTGCCGTGTTGGTGTGGAACTCGCCCTTGAGTTCGGCCATGGCTTCTGTATGGTGGGCGTTTACGAAAGAGGAGACACAACAAGCTTCCGAGGACAAGAGCAAACACACAAGCTTCGAAAAAATGCTTGGAAAGGATAAAAGGCTTGGTGCATCTATGCAGGGTCAGGCCAAGAACAGCATCTTATATACTCCTTGCATATGGTGTTCATCGCCAGGGCTTGCATCCTTCTGAAGCTTGTGTTGATAGTCTGGCATGATGCCATAGCGAAACACAGAGTCGTTATTGGATGTGCCCTTGCAACTACAGGGCAATCATTGGTTTAGACTCGAGAGTTTTCGGCGTGAGGATTATAGTACGCGTATACATGCTCATACCTCGCATGTGTGTGCCACTCTGACGAACAACGCCGCAGATATGGCGCAATATTGCGATTGTTGGTAAAAGCCTTTCCCTTCACAATCGATAAACGACTGTAGACACACATCCGGGAATAAACAATATCGAAAGTATAAGAAAGGATAGATACAAGGATAGCGGTATATCAAAGCCGTGGTAAAAATTGCATGCATGGTAGCTAATGATGCTTCTTACCTCCTTCCTGTATGCAAATGGTTCGTAACGCGTATAGTTCTTAATAAGACGCCTATTTAGGAAGTTAAGACACGTTAGATTGTTCTCACTCACATACGTCTTCTTTGCTGATGAGAGAAGATCTCGCGTTGTCAAATTGATAAAATGTCCGCTTTGATACCCTTTCGTAGCTACAGTATGTGGTGGAAGCCAACAACTTTCCAGGCCGCATAGAGAGGCTGCTTGGAGATGAAAGAGAGACCAGACTAGCCCTGATTCGGAAAATGCTTGAATGTGGTGGGGAACACCCTGACTCTGCAAACTCAAGGCATCGTTTTCCTGCTATGCAGCACTTCTATGAACTCAAAGTAATTCACATCACATACTTGATAATCATCTAGATATATCCGAAGCACTTACGAATGATTTAAGTGTCTGCTGTGCATGTTGTCGCTTGTCGACGAGGGAACTCGAGTCTATGACATGAAACTTCACCGTCCAAGCGAGCATGTCAAGCTTGAGTCAAACTTGCGACAAAGTCACAAGAAGACAAATGATTGCGCAAAGGATACACAAAATCTACATTCATCTTTCCTAACCATCCTGGCTCGTTCCATCGCCTTCACAACTACATCCTGTACAGATTTCATACAGAATACATCCACCTATATCAAAACTCCACACACAATGCATCTTCTCCCCCCTCTAATCATCGTCCTGGCCAACACGTCTATACTTTCCACTACCCCCTGCATCTCCATCCTTGCCCTTCTTCACAAGCCCAGATATCCAACCTCCCAGACCTTCAGAGTCACTCTCTTTGCGGCTAAACATGGGTTTGCCGTTCTGCACATCCACAGCAGGGGGATCAATATCCAAGTCGGGGATGTTGGAGTCTTGGGGTGCGTCGCCGTCGCGGTCGAGATGCATGGAAGGTGCAGGACTGCGGCTGAAAAGCGATTCGGCTTCGGCGAGAGTTTGGGGTGAGGGGGCGATGGTGGAAGCGTCGCCGAAGATGCTGTTCATGTCTTCGAGGCGTACATTAGCTGTCTCTGGGAAACAGAAATACACCACAACGAATGAGACGGCGCAGAAGAATGCATGCATCAAGTACAGACGCCATTGAATGAGGTCCTGTAGGATGGGAGTGAGCTCTCCGACCAGCCAGTTGAAAGCCCAGTTGGACGCAGTAGACAGAGATGCACCCTTGGCACGGATGCTCAGAGGAAGAATCTCGGGTGGGTAGAGCCATGGAATGGGTCCCCACGAGGCACCGAATGCTGCGTTGTACAGTACGACGAAGATAACGACCATGCGCGGCGTGAGGTGTATATCGATGTAGATGAAGTACGAGATGGCCGAGAGGGAGATGATCATGGCCACAGCGCCCCACATGAGGATGGGACGACGGCCGAGGCGATCAACTAGGTACCATGGAGGGATTGTGGAGGCCAGGTAGGTAAGACCGTTGATACCAGTCATGAGAATAGCATCGCGTCCAACCCATCCAGCTTGCTCAAAGACCAGAGGAGCGTAGTAGGAGATGACGTTGATGCCGTTGAGTTGGGCGAGCGCTTGGGCAGACATGGCGATAAAGACACGCTTGTAGTAGCGCTTGAACATGTCCTTGTAGCTGCGCTCGCCCTCTTGACGCTGCAGCAGCACGTTCATCTTGATTTCGCGGTACTCGTCGCGCGCTTTTTGGTTGTGGATGTCGCCCTTGCCGTAGAGGTTGGCAATAACGACAATGCCCTCCTCGTCGTGGTCGTTATCGAGCAGCCATCTTCACGAGACTGTCAGTATTGGTCACAGATAGCACGAAGAGCGAGACTTGCCTGGGAGATTCGCAGATCAAGAAAGAACCGAGGATGAGCAACGAGCCCATGACACACTGCATGAACAAAGGAAGTCTCCAACTCCAGTCATTGTGGATGAATGAGCAGAAGTAGTCAACCCAGACACTCGACGCATAACCAACAATGTTGCCCGAAAACTCGATACACGCGAGCTTTCCACGGTTGTGAGGCGGTGAAATTTCAGACTGGTACACAGGCACAATGGTCGAAAGCGCACCAACACCCAGACCGGCAATGATACGACCGAGCATCATCATAGGCATGCCAGTTGCAAATGTCTGGAAAGCACCGCCAATGACAAAAATGACAGCTCCGTAGAGAATGGTGCGCCTACGACCAAGGATGTCGCCAATACGACCAACTCCCAGAGAAGATATGAAAGCGCCGACCTCGAGAATAGCAACCATAGTGCCAATCTCTGCTCTTGTTGGCTGGTTGAAGTAGCTCTTGAAGTAGGTACCGGTGATGATACCGCTCATGACACCTTGGTCGTAACCAAACAGGAAGACACCTAACGAGACAAAGACCGAGGTGAAGTAGATGAGCTTCTTGCCGTGAAGGCCATGCATGCGCGAGGGACCGTCATTGGGAGCCATGATGAAGGCGATGATGCGTTCGGCTTGGGAGATTTGGCGCGGTGGGGGATTGGGGATGGGAATGTCGTTCTTGCTGATTGCTCCCTCTTTGGTGCCGCTCTGATAGCGTACGTGCTTGTTCTTATTACGGCGACTACTGGGGCTCTGGTGCTGGGGGTTGAGAGCGGCGCGTAGGGGGTCGTCTTCGTTGTCGAACTGGTCAACCAAGTCACCCGTGTCGCTCCAGAGACTAAAGTCGCTATGGGCAGAGTCGGACGAGCGCCGGTGCCGGTGACCGTCAGAGTATCGCTTCTCGTCAAAGGAATCAGCGCTGCGAGTGTTGGCCAAGTGCCGTGATGACGACGAAAGAGTGTGCAATGGAATGTTAGCTGGTTTTGAAATTTTGGCGGTGATGGGGTCGCTCGATCTCTCCCTGCCTAGCGGTCGAGGCAGGAGGAAGAACGAGGAAGATGTTCAAAGGGTGCTAGGACGAATTGAGGCCCACACGTGCGGATACCACAAGACTTGCTCGATAGCTCCGTCTACCAAGTTTGACACGAGTATCGACAGCTTTGCCCAACAGACGACGGGCGAATCGGCTCAAAGACTGATAAGGAACCAATGACGTCGCTGAGATCAACAGAAAACCTGCAGCTCACGATGGCTGGATATAGTAAGCGAAAGAAATCAGGCCGGAAAATGGCGGTAAGAGGATAGGACGACGTATGATTTGATCCGGGTAGAGGAGCGAGACAGAAAGCGTTCCTTTTGCGTGTCCTCAGTTGGTTCAATCATCCTTTGCCATGCGTCGCGGCTCCCCCTTGAACCTGGACGATTGTCGATCCCTCTCCCTGATTATCCGGTGCCGACCATTTTCTACCCTGCCATCGACCCCGTTTCTGCATGCTGTAAAAGACGAGAAACACCACTCATTCTCTGCCTTACTGTTCCCTCTACCACTCCAGACTTTCGAAGAACAGAAAGACAGTCCACAAGCCATCAATGTCCTCGAGTCGGAATGAGCTTGGTCCCTGGCGCCTCCGCAACCTGAAGCGAGAACCCGTCAACTGACACGCCCGTGCGTCCGTCTCTGACTCCATCCCCCACGTCTCAGAGGCTTGGGACAGGGCACCAGGGGAGATAGAACGAGCTTCGAGTTTGAACAAGAGTCACATGCTTGTAATCTCAACTGACTGCCTTGCTAGCATGAAACCTGACAGCTCCGTTGACTGACATGTATCTCTGTGCCAACATCGGAGGAAGCGGGCAATGTCATCTGCTCGCTGCCATCTGACTGACCGCCAAGTGGGCTTCAACCATTGCGACAACAATGACAATGAAGAGACCATAGTGTCAATATGTACAACATTCCCATGACCGCGACTATGCTAAACGAATAAAAGTAAACAAATGGAAATAAAAGAAGCATATCGAATACAGTGAGAAAACGCCCATGTTCGCCGGTCTTTGGAGGGCTATGTTTGTGAATAGAAAACCCCCTCTCGTCTTTCCTTTATGCAGAGAACCCTCTCTCCTTAGTGACAATCCTGCTTTCTTCTTCTGCCTCAGCCACTTCGGGTATATCCTCGGATTCTCGGGTATATCCCTCTTCCAGATTCTTCGTCCCCCACCACTCCGGACTCGGCTTTGTGTGTTCGTAAGAGCTCCGTCTTTGTGTAATTATCATCTACAGCAAAAGTGGTCGTGGCTTATGCGCTGGCGACAGCGTTGGGTCCGTAGTGTACTTGAGCATCGGGCTCACCGGGAGCCATGAAGTTGGTCTTTGCGTTGCCCTGAGCCTTTGATGCTGAGCAACGAGCCATGGTAGGTGAAGATCTTGAGATGGCGTTGGTGAAGAAGAAGTCGGCGATGGGCTTCTTGAGGGCGGTGCCGGTGACCTTGGCACCCTGGTTGGCCTCAACAAGCTGGACCTTGGAGAGAGCGGCGACTTCTTGCGAAGTAGGCTCGGCAACATCGTAGGCGGAAAGGGCAGGCGAGATCTCGTTCATGCGGTCGCGGAGCATCTCAATGTCGTCGTAGGGGAGAGTGACGTTGAGAGCCTCAGAAACAGCACGGAGAATCTTCCAGTCCACACGAGCGGCACCGTAGACACCACAGGCGGCGCGGCCCATCTGGGTACGGCCTTCGGTGTTGACGTAAGTTCCGCTCTTCTCTGTGTAAGTGGCACCAGGGAGAATGACATCGGCAAGCTGAGCACCTTTGTCACCATGCGAACCCTGGTAAATGACGAAGGCGTCCTTGGGAATGTCGGCAGCCTCAATCTCGTCGGCACCAAGAAGCCAGACCATCTTGGGGTGGACCTCGGCGGTGGCGGGGTTGGGGACACCCCAGCCAATCTCGTAGGCACCAGTACGGGCAGCAGCACGCTGGAGAACGTTGTATCCGTTCCACTCTTTGGTGGCAAAGTTGGCCTTGTTCTCCCCAATGAACTTACCAACAGTCTCGAAGATGGCCTTGGCGTCAGCGTGTTCAGCGACAGCGCTACCAACAATGATCATGGGGCGCTCAGCGTTCTTTAGCTTCTCGGCGAAAGGTCCAGATAGAGCAGACTTGAGGGCGTTGGCATCGGCACCCAGGTTCTCGTACTCGAAGGTGGACTCAAAGTCCTCACCAACAAGACCGACCTCAAGGTCAGAGCGGATCCATTGCTTGCGAATGCGAGCGTTCAAGACAGCAGCCTCGTGGCGGGGGTTGGTTCCGACAAGGAGGATGGCGTCTGCCTCTTCGACACCGGTGATCTTGGAGTTGAAGACGAAGTTGGCACGGACGTCAACACCGTGAGCCAGAGGAGAGCTGCCCTGGGGCTGGTCAAGGGCCAAGTTCTCGGAGCCGAGGCGGTTGGCCAGGTCCTTTGCGGCGACAAGCGACTCAGTGTCCATGGTGTGGCCAGCAACAATCTTGAACTCGTCACCCTTGGGCTGGAGCTGCTTGAACTTCTCCGAGATCTCGACCAGGACGTTCTCCCAGGTGGCGGGCTTGAAGGTGGAACCCTCGCGGATGAGGGGGGTGGTAAGACGCTGGGTGCTGAGACCATCACAAGCGAAACGGGATCTGTCGTCAATCCATTCCTCGTTGACGTCGTCGTTCAGACGGGGGACAATGCGCATGACCTGGAGACCTCTGCTGTCAACACGGATGTTGGAACCCAGACCGTCCATGACATCAACAGTCTCGGTGTGCTTGAGCTCCCAAGGACGGGCACGGAAGGCGTAGGGCTTGGAGGTGAGGGCACCGACGGGGCAGAGATCGATGACGTTTCCAGACAATTCGGTGTCGAGGGCGGTCTCGAGGTAAGTGCCAATCTGCATGTCGTTGCCACGGCCAGTAGAACCAAGTTCGGGGGCACCAGCGACGTCGTTGGCGAAACGGATGCAGCGAGTACAGTGAATGCAGCGGTTCATCGAAGTCTGGAGGAAGCTGGTCAGCGGATGCCAGACTTATTGCAGATATGGGCATGTTTAGGCACCTTGACGAGAGGACCAATGTTCTTGTCCTCGACGGCACGCTTGCCACCGAGCTCGTGGAAGCGGCCACGGTCGCCGCCGTATCTCATGCTCTGGTCCTGGAGATCACACTCGCCACCCTGGTCGCAGATGGGGCAGTCCAGGGGGTGGTTGGCCAGCAGGAATTCCATGACACCCTCACGGGCCTTGTGGACGAGAGGAGAGTCGGTCTTGACGACCATACCGGGCTGGACAGGCCATGCGCAAGAGGCAACGGGCTTGGGGGCGCGCTCGACCTCGACGAGACACATACGACAGTTACCGGCGATCATGAGCTTCTCGTGGTAGCAGTAGCGGGGGACGGTGGAGCCGGCCTTCTCGCAGGCCTGGATGAGGGCGGAGCCGGCTGGGAGGAGTGTGTCAGACGGGGCGACCATGTAAGGCGAGAACTGGTGGAGGCATACCTTCTATTGAGACCTTCTTGCCATCTGGATGCGCGTGTCAGTCAATTGCTATCGGAGAGAGCTGCAGGTGGTAGGTGATACCGATTGTGAGCTCGACCTCGGCGGGACGAGGGGCGGACGAGGTGAAGGCGCGGGTGGCATTGATCGAGGCCAACCTCTGGGAGCGCGGCAGACTGCGCAATAGTTGTTGGCGCATCATGTTGTGTGGTGCCGTGTGGTGTGGATGGTATCGAGCAGAGAGGGCGAGTGTCGACAGCGACTTCGCATCGAGCGGCGTCAAGTTTCCGTTCCGCTGACAGCATCGCCTCTGATTGGCTCCGCGTTGGTAAGCGGGGATTGCCGATGCATTTCCATCCTTATTTCTTTTTATTTTTCTCTCGATTGTACTGATTAGATGCAAGAGACTTGGCGCGCGGGGAGGTGTATAAACAGTGAGCTCGGACGTTCTCATTGTTGATTGCAGCCAAAGTTTTGTCGCCTGCTCGTTGCATCTACCACTTTTCGGCCTCTTCATTCCTTTTCCTTTGGCTCAGCGACCATCTTGACCATGTCGGCCGATCTCTCAACGATCGCCAACCTGCTGCAGGCCAGTCTTGATCCCCGCCAGAACAAGCAAGGCAAGTCTCTTTCAAAAACACTCATCATCATCGTCATGAACTGACCAGACCCAACAGCCGAACAGGCCATTCGCCAGGAAGAGGCAAAGCCTCAGTTCTCCCTCGCCCTGCTCCAGATTGTCGCCTCAGACTCATATCCCAACACGACACGGTTGGCGGCCGCTCTCTTCTTCAAAAACTTCATCCGCCGCAGCTGGACCGACGAGGATGGCAACTACAAGCTCCCCCAGGACGAGGTCACGGCCATCAAGCGTGAGGTTATTGGCCTCATGATCTCGGTGCCCAACACCATCCAGACTCAGCTGGGCGAGGCCATCAGCGTCATCGCAGATTCAGACTTCTGGGAGCGCTGGGACACGCTGGTCGACGACCTTGTGTCCCGCTTCACCCCCGACAACCCAAAGGTCAACAATGGTGTCCTGCAGGTCGCACACTCCATCTTCCGCCGCTGGCGCCCGCTCTTCCGCACAGATGACCTCTTCACCGAGATCAACCACGTCTTGTCAAAGTTCTGCGAGCCCTACCTCGCCCTGCTGCAGGTAAGACCCCTCTGCACATCGAGTCTTGGAATCACACTGACACCCTTCGCAGAGCACAGATCAGCAAATCGCCGCAAACCAGAACAACAAGGAGCTCCTCACCCAGCACTTCACCACGCTCAACCTCAGCGTCAAGCTGTTCAACGACCTTTCCTGCCAAGATCTGCCCCCGGTCTTCGAAGACAACCTTGGCTCCATCAGTGCTCTGCTCATGAAGTATTTGAGCTACGACAACCCTCTCCTCCACACCGACGACGAGTCTGAGGCTGGTCTCCTAGAGTACAACAAGGCTGCCATCTTCGAGGCATTGATTCTCTACGTTCAGAAATATGAGGATGCTTTCGGACCATATCTGGGCCAGTTCGTCGAGAGCTCATGGACCCTCTTGACCACTATCGGTCCTGAGACCAAGTACGACATCCTGGTCAGCAAGGCTCTGCAGTTCTTGACTTCGGTCACCAAGATCAACCAATACGCCCAGAGCTTCAGCAACCAAGAAATCTTGGGCCAGGTCGTCGAGAAGGTCATTCTGCCAAACTTGTCTCTGCGCGAGTCGGATGTTGAAATGTTTGAGGACGAGCCGATCGAGTTCATCCGCCGTGATCTGGAAGGATCTGACAGCGACACGCGCAGAAGAGCGGCCACCGACTTCCTCCGCCAGCTGGTCGAGCAGTTCGAGAAGCTCGTCACCGACGTTGTTTCGCAGTACATTTCGCACTATCTGGCCGACTATGAAAAGAGCAAGAGCGATAACTGGAAGTCGAAGGATACTGCCGTCTACCTCTTCACCTCGATCGCTGCCAAGGGCGTGCCCACCGCTGCTCGTGGTGTTCAGACAACAAACCCCAACGTCGACGTTATCGACTTCTTCCAAAAGAACATCGCCGTCGATCTCACCTCGGCCGACACTGAGGCCATTCTCAAGGTTGACGCCATCAAGTATCTCTACCTGTTCCGCAGTCAGCTTACCCAGGATCAATGGCAAGCTGCCTTCCCTCTCCTGGTCCAGTGTCTTGGCAACGAGAACTACGTCGTACATTCTTATGCCGCCATTGCTGTTGAGCGTGTTCTCTACATGACCGATGACAAGCGCCAGCCTATCATCCCCAGAGAGACCCTCCAGTCACTCAGCAAGGACCTTCTTCAACATCTTTTCCTTCTCATGACCAAGGACTCCAAGGCTGAGAAGATTCAGGAAAACGAGTTCTTGATCAAGTGTGTGATGCGTGTTCTTATCGTTATTCGTGAGGGTGTCTTGCCCATCCTCGACATGGTACTCACCAACCTCATCAACATTGTCAAGGTCATTCGCCACAACCCCAGCAACCCTCGCTTCTACTACTACCACTTTGAGAGCATTGGTGCTCTTGTTCGCTTCGCCGCCCCTACACAGTCTGCCAAGCTTGAGGCCGCTCTTTACGATCCCTTCGCTGAGATTCTGGCCAACGATGTCCAGGAATTCCAGCCCTACGTTTTCCAGGTCTTCGCTGCACTCCTCGAGGCAAACCCCTCGGGTACATTGCCCGACTACTACCAGAGCTTGCTTGGCCCTATCCTTACCCTCGACATGTACAACTCTCGCGGCAACGTCCCGGCTCTTGTCCGTCTCCTCTCATCCATGATTCCCCGCGCCGCCGAGCAAATCGCTGCCAACAACCAGATCGAGCCGATTCTGGTCATCTTCCAGAAGCTCATCTCTTCAAAGGCAAACGAGTCACTGGGCTTCGACTTGCTCGAGGCCATCTGTGGCAGCCTTCCTGTCGCTGCTCTGCAAAACTACCTGACTACCATCGTCCAGCTGCTCATGACTCGTCTATCCAACTCCAAGACCGAGAACTTCACCATCCGCTTTGTTCGCTTCTACCACTTCTTCTCAGCACGCGATGACAAGGGTCTTGGTCCCGATCTTTTCATCAACGTCACCGACCAGGTTCAGCAAAATGTCTTCACTCCCATGTACCTGCAGATCATCCTCCCTGATACACAGAAGTTGTCACGACCGTTCGACCGCAAGACTGCTGTCGTTTCGCTCACTCACACCCTCGCTAACAGCCAGGCCTTTGTTGATCGTTACGGCAAGAAGGGCTGGGGTTTCACATGCGAAGCATTGCTCAAGCTTCTCATCAACCCTCCGCTTCCGCAATCTGCTGATGACCTGATCATTGAAGACCGCGATGTGGAAGACGTTGGCTTTGGTGTTGGCTTCACCGCCTTGAACACTTGCAAGCCTGTTCCTAGAGATCCTTTCCCCGAGGTTCAAGACGTCAAGCAGTGGGTCGGTCAGTACCTTCGCGAAGCCGACACCAAGACTGGTGGCCGTATCGCAGCTGCTGTGTCTGAGAAGCTTGGTCCCGACGCTCAGGCAGCCCTGAGCAGTGTTATGCAAGGATAGGAACCTCTACCAGCAGGTGATATTTAATCTCCGCCACAGTCAACAAACAAGCGCAATGCTCTGGAGGCTTTTGGCGCAGTACTTGAACCACATTAGGACTCTGGGACAGACTCTTCCAGCCCTGAGAGGTTTTCAGGTTCTCCGAGCGGCGACGAAACGTAGGATCGACCAAATGCCTACTACCGTCACCGGATTCAGCAGTCTGACACCTGTGACGCTGGGTATGTTTGCAGGTATTCTGGTCCGTGCGGAGATATCGGAGTGATAAGGTCAACTTTCGTTCCAGCTCGCAGAAAGGAAGAAAAAAGCTTAGAAGCATCTCCCCCATTGCACCTCCCCTCGTTTATGCATTTAGCTACATAAACGCCCTTTTCGTATTGTATCTCTATCTTATCGTCAAAAATCAATCTGATGTCTAAAATCGAACTTCTTGCCTGCCTCTCATCATAGCCACAAGTGTACTTTGGGCAGTCAATGTTCATACACTGGGTAGGGATGTAGGGATATTGCATTACGACGTGATACAGGTCTGTACAAGTCTCGAGATACAATCCTCCGAGTTGCGGTCGTCCCGCAGCCACGACTATTGGCCATGTCCGACTGGCAAAAGCAAAGATCGCGTTCACCTTTGTTCTCTCTACATCAAACCGTGTCACACTCGATCTTTCTCGGTATCGCACACAACAGCTGTGGTTTTGAATAGTGCCCTAGCTTCATCAGTGTGTAACGACACACAGAAGGAGCGTAACCGATCAAATCGCAAGCTCGCGAACACGCGGCGGGTCGTGTCGCCAAAAAGCTTGCTTTGGCGATCCTGCAATGTAGATCGTTCACAGACCACGAGGTGTGCTCACCGCATACAGCACGACCTCCCTTGACCAATTGTCTCGACGCGTGCCTGACTATCAAAGCCGTCGAGTTCTTGCCTTCCTGAATGGAATAAGCCACCTTTCTGACACTCCAGTGCTTGGCCTTGTAAGTGACATGTGTGTAAGTCCGTAGCCCTAGGTCTGTATATTGTGAGGGGTAGAACGATATTGGTTTCGATTGTACACTTGGCGAGCCCTATACTCGAAGTCCAATCGAGCCCATCGCGAAACAATATAAAGGTAGACATGGAGACGATACAAATACCTCCGAACCGTCATTCTTCATTCCTGCAGTCGCTCGTTCTTGAAAGCACACAGCAATAATGCCTCTGTCTCTCGTTTCCACCGCTCTCGCTTTGCTCTCCATCACACCCGCTCTCGCAGCACCAACCAACAACCTCTTCAAACGTGCTGCCCTTCCAGCTTACGCACTAACCTACGCACCTTACACCTACCTCCAAAGCGGCGAAGCATGGTTTCCCTCCGACGTCTCCACTCACCTCAAACACATGTCGGTCGAATCCAACTTCAAAAATGTATCTACAACCGTCTCGCTGAAAACTCTCAACACCTTCCCATCCTCGGATTACCTCACCAGCTACGATAATGTGGAGACCAATCCTGCTTGGTTGACCAGTGGATATGGCAAGCCAAACTCGAAGGGATATAGTGCTGCTCCTGCTACCATCATTGCTGTTGAAAAGAATGGCTTTGTGGATGTGTTCTATTTCTACTTTTACAGCTATAACCATGGCAGTCTGGTTTTGGGCAGCAGGGTCGACAACCACGTTGGAGATTGGGAACACAGTATGGTAATTAAAATCCCCTGCTTCCATCAGCTCCGAAGACGTGCAAAGCTGACGAGGAGAAACCAGATCCGTTTCTCCACCGCAGGCGTGCCTCAAAACGTCTACTACTCAGCCCACAGCAGCGGCACCGCATACACCTACTCTGCCGTCCAAAAAGTTGGCGTCAGACCAGTGGTCTACTCAGCAGCTGGCAGTCATGCCAATTACGCTACCGCGGGCACCCAAGAGATATATCCCATCATTGGTGATATCGTCACTGACACCACTGATGCGGGAACCTACTGGGATGTGACTCAGAACTACCGCGGTTACTATTACACCAATGCCACTGGCGTTGTCACTAATGCAGGTGGTGTGGATGTGGGTGGTATTGAGCAGGCTTCCGAAACTGTGGATTGGTTGTACTGGAGCGGTATGTGGGGTGATGAACAGTATCCTACCAGTGACAGCCGTCAGAACTGTGCGCTTGGTGTAAGTTTTGCTTCGAGAGCGAGAAATGAGGGGAAGACTACTTGCTGATGATTGAACAGATTGACGATCTTTGCCACTATCAATCCGGTCCCACTGGCCCTTTGACCAAGAATCTGGGACGTACGGCTGTTTGCCAGAAGGAAGATGGATGTACGGTCAAGACTTCGCTTTGAAGCATGCCATTCAACATTCTTCTGGCGAGGGACACAGTCACTGATCGCCACATCACTGACGCACGACTCTTTCTTTCTCGGGTCCCCATTCCAATTCGTCTTTCTTCAAAGCCAGAACATGCTTCTACTGTTTTCCCAAGCTGCCTTTGCCACTTCCTCAACTTTGCACCCCTTTAGCCCAGCAACGATGAATGCAACCTGAGCAATACAACAACTCTCGTTCCTCTCCTTGATCATATACCCTTCCTGCCACTTATCCTTCTTTTTGCTGCCTGGCAGAGCTGGCGCATTGACCAGATACCTCTTCGCTACTTCGGAATTTGCTTGTATGATTCCCCATGGCGCATCGGTCTCCAGTTGTAGTCTGTCCAGAGGAACAGCAGCGACCATCTCGAGGGATCCGCGGTCTTTGAAGCTGAACCCGTTGACTGAGATGTCCAATCCCAGAGAAACCAGTTTTTGCATCTGTTGCGTGGTGCCCACAAATGAGTGCACCAAGCCCCCTTTCGGCAACCTTTCAGCATACTCCTCGATGACAGCCACGAAATCGTCAAAAGCAGCTCTACAGTGCAAGAACAGAGGTAATTCCCACTGCTGCTCGACATACAGATCAAGCTGGTCTTTGAAACAGCGGAGTTGTGTTTCTTTGTCCGCCAGTTCGCAATGGTCGTAATCCAGCCCTAGCTCTCCATACGCGGCTACCAATCCTTTATCAGATTGCGTCAACTCATTTATTCGCTTTGTCATTGCTGCGAAATACTCTTGACCATTACTTCCTTCTGCGTAAGGCTCCGAGGCATGATAAGGGTGCACTCCGATGGTTGTACTGCATTGTTGCGATCTGGACCTCGCAATCTCGGCATTGGAAGAAATATCCGTACTTGACATGCCCGTAAGCAAAACTTTGTTGACGGAAGCAGAGGTAGCGCGATCGAGTGTGGAGGTGAAATCAGGAGTGTGGTATTGTTTGTTGCGGTAGATGCCTGCGAATTCTTCTGCTGTGGCTGTTACGGCGACCTGTTGGCAGCCGATGTAAGTTTATGATTTGAAGATGATAGGAAGATGGAGTGAATGGATGTAGGAGGATATTAATATAGAACTGGGCTTACATCTGCATATATCAAGTCTTCTGTTGGTTTTGGAGGAGCGGCTTGGGGGAAGCCTTGGAGTAGAGAGTCTCCCATAATTTTGAATTTTTGTGTCTTCTTTGGCTATTGGGGATTTTCGAGGTATGCAAGGCCAGATTCTTATATAGCGCGACTGCAGCAGTCGATGTATCACAAGTCAGTGGTAGGGCGTGGAGGAAGAAGAAGGAAAGTCGTATGGCTCAATCCGATGGCGGATAGAAGCTGGAAGAGGTTCGGGCCGAAGTCGGATGAAGCTGAGAGTGGCACTGCCGCTTTGGCTCCGACTTTGAGCTTCATCTTCTTGGGACTGAACGACTGACTAGACTTTCTGGAAGTACCGAGAAAAATGCTGGTGAACAGAAGGGTTTGGAAAGGTTTCTTTCGACAAGACTAGGAGATAAATTTTGGAAGACTATCAAGAAAGGTAAAATTGAACGAAGTGAAAGCGCAAACACTGCCATTATCCTGCCTTTGGCAAAGGCTGAAAGTTCATCTGGTCATAATCTTCATTGGCCACCCTTCCTTCAGAGCGGCTTTCCAACATCTTACCGTACTCGATCTATGCGATTGGTCATTGCTCACACGTCCTGGCCAGCGGTGGCAACAATGGCACCGACGGGGGGAGCAAGACCACCAAGACCGAGAGAGGTAAGGAGAGCAGCAACCTCAGGAGAGAGATCCTCGAGGAGACCGGGAGCCTGACGCTTCTTGAGGTCCTCGCCAAGGGTGTCGACGACATCAGATTCCGGCGGTGGTAAGGATGCCGCCAACAGGAGGAGCCAGGCCACCAAGATCCAGGGATGTGAGGAGTGCAACAGAGCAAAGATGTGAGTGGCACCGTGGTATGTGCAAAGGAGCAATATTTGATCTGTTAGTAACACATATGTCCTGATAATCAACGTGTTTGTAACGTCTCTCCCACCACAATCGGCAACACGCATCGGAAGACTCACCGGGGAACACTTCCGAAATTATAGTCGTCAGGCTCATGGTAGTAACACAAACAGTTATCGATATCGACTCCTGCTCCTTTTCTTGTGACTTCTCTAGAACTCGTGGCTGTCATCTCTGGTAACAACTCGATCGGTTGCGGTCCCATCATACCACGCTTCGCTGCGTTGAGTTGTACGGTTCGCGCACAGAATCAATTTTTCGAAACGCAAAAGCTCCGCAATCCAGCTGTACGCAGCACTTCATTACCTATAGTGAGATACAAGAATCAAGGTACGAATGGACGCCAATTTCAATGTTTTCGTATCTCTAAGTATGCTCTGACTATATCGTGCAACTTTGCCGAAAACGTTCCTGTGGCAAGCGATGTTAGGAGGGATGATTGGAGGCTCGAGATTCTCATTTCCCCAGCGCTTCGCACGTCTGGATCACAGAGGCAATAAAACCATGTCGTGGATGTTGTCCCTAGACGCGTAACAGCGAATGCTTGCGACGATTGGAACATCCGAGATTGTTCATAATATGGTTGGTTGTTCTTGAAGCTCGATGATGTTACGCGTCAATTGATCTGGCCCGTTGTTGCAGCCTTCGGTTCGTAGGACAGCATTCCACGTCCCGGCAGTGACTATTGACTCGATTGGCATCACCTTGCGCGTTCATTCACGTAATGGAGACAGCAGGTGTCCGAATGATGGTATCGAAATCGTCATTCGACAGATGGCATGTGCGATTAGCTGGCGCAATCGTTGGGCAGTCTGTCGCATCGAGCTCCAAGTGGCCTGGACTAGTACCAATGTGGACAGTGGTGTCTTTCAATAGGCTCGCGGCACAGGGCCGATCGCACTTGCAGGCGTTGGTATCTCGGCTATCATTGCTCCTCATGCCGACAAAACGACAGCTATAGGCGGTCAAGACCGTAATCCTTCGTCAAGTCTTGAACTTTCCCACCTATCTTGGGCTTTGAGGCTTGTCTGTGGCGGTCATTAGGCTGGATATGACAAGCTTGCGCTCCCGCAGGCAATCCTGCATACCAGGAATGGGAATACAAAGCGACTGCTCTTAGGGTCAGCTTCCCCAGCTCGGTCAGCTTTGTCTTGTTCTGCTTCAGCTCTACGCACCCTCATCTGTACCTCGACTAGATCCAGGTACCATTCCTCAGCTCTACCTGGCACTGCGTAACAAGCCGGTCTAGTCAGGATACCCCGCCATTTTGCGATCGGTTGGCAGAATCGCACGACTCGAAAGTACTAGCTGCCGGATGCGCTGGCGTCGAATCGCGCACCATGGTCAACGCCGGAAGGTCCCATGCCTGCATCACCTGCAAGAGACGGAAAATCAAATGCGACGAAACAAAACCCACTTGCTCACGATGTATCAAAGCATCGCTCCACTGCATATGGGTAAAGCCTGTCAAGGCACCCGACATCCGATTTGTAGACATGACACAGACGGTTGCTGCGCATCATGTAGGCGCCGAATTGCAGCGCAAGTTACGGGTCGCGACAGCACCGCCCAAGCCCCTGGTAGTGGACAGGGAAACTCAAGCAGTCAACTTCTTCCACCGTCACTACATGATAGACCCAAAACAAGACGGCGCACCCAATGCTGGACTCTTCGGCCTTTTCATGCCAGCATTCTCGACTGAATCCCAAGACTCGTCCGCTGCCATGGCCGTCTCTGCGCTCGCCATGTCAGTATACTCAAGATGGCGCATGGGTGGCATGACAGAAAAGAGAGTAGCAAAAGTCCTAGGCCAGGCCATCTGGAAGTTATCCAACGATATCCAGGTGGAAGATAAAAGAAAGAACGACATCACTCTGTTGGCGACCCTCACCCTGCAGTTCCACTCTAGCTTTGAATCGTTGTTTGATTCGAGCAAAGCCACTATCGTGCATCATCTGGGCGCTCTGGCGTTGGTGAGAGGTTTCGGTCCTCCAGAATCTTGGTCGCATCTGGCCAACCAATTCGTGGCGTACATACTTCATGTTGAGGTCGCAGCAGCCATTCGTGAGCATCGTAGAGTCAATGCTGAGCTATGTTACTGGAGCTCCGCCATCAACCCTGCATCCATGGAGGCCGATATCCAGTTCGATATCCTTGGTATCAGAGTCGCAGACGTCCAGTTCCGAGCGGACTGCATTCTGGGGACGCCTGAAATTAATTCTGATCTGGCATTACCATCTCCAGCGCTAACAACCCTATTAAGTGATATTCAGGAGCTCGATGCATGTCTTGTGCTTTGGGAAGACCGGGTCTCCCAGTCCTGGGGTCCATATAGCTGGACATCACAAGAGGTAGCATCTCCTCCAATACAAACATTCGAAGGAGCTTGCCATGTGTACACCTCGATTCGTTCTGCCAGGCTCATCAACATCTGGCGAAGTTATAGGTTGACTCTTTCATTGCTGGCTCTGCAGTTGATCAATCGACACGGAGAGCGATCCATCCTTGATGGCAATCAGTCAGAAACGACCAAAGACATGCTTGCGAAGCGTATTCAATGGCTCATTGACGGCTTTTGCGCGTCTGTGCCATTCTTCCTCGGCAACAGGACCAAGATCGGCACAGTGCTGGATTTTGACGACCCAAGCTGCAAATTTCCTACCTGTCATGACGCCCGCGAATTGAACGACATGAGACATCGAAAAGCTGATCTGAAAGGACTCGAGGCGAGCGCCGATCATGCCAGTCATGCCATCGCTCAAGGCGTTTGGCTCATCATGGGCAATTTGACACAGCTGGTAGCTTTCTTCCTGTTCACGGCGGGTCTCACGTCCGAGCTATCACTGAGGACGGGGCAACTTTCTTGGATATGTCAGCAGTATCTGCGGAATCTTTCATTACTTTCCCTAGACTGGACAACGGACAGGGGCCTGGAGCAAAAAGTTCTCACTGGCATAGGCCTACCACCAGAGGAGGTCCTGATTTCAGAGGCAAGAAGATGTGTCGAACGAGTCATGCAGGGTCTTAGAATGGTCGGGGATTGAGTTGAGATCACACTTGACCGCAGCAACTACGAGCCCAAGCTCAATGCGGCTTGTATTCACGAGGCTGATTGTTGAATCTCGACGAGACTAAGGTTTTCACTCTCACATTGCGGATCTGACATTGTTTTATCTTCTGGAGCCTTTCTTTCCCATCAAGAGGATATCGAAACAGCGCGTGTCACACGGATTCAGCTAGTTTCGAACGTCTACCTGCGGCCTTTCGTACGTACCACGAGATCGAGGCACGATACAATGTATGCAACTTTCTCTTGGTAACTCTTCATGTACTCAGTATCGGGTTGGCATCAAGCTGACATGCACCATGGCCATTCCATGGACATACACGGCTGTCAAGCATGTAGATATGGTATTGATCTCTTTACATACCCACCTGTTCGCGCTCAAACCTCATCAGCGGACATGCTGGTCTGTATCTCAATCAGTGATCGTCTACATCAGATAGGCAAAGGGAAATAATATCTGTTCCAAGATATACCACTGCTGTCTTGGTGTTAGAAGCCGGATCAACTCGCCTTACAACGCCTGACGCATGCCTTTGATCTGGAAGCTCAAAGTCCTGAGATTGTCCTTCCACGCGTTAGACAACTGGTCATCATCAATCACAATCCCTACGATGCGGGTTTTAAAAGCAGCAGGAGTCGAGATATGAGTTTGGGTCGGATCATGAGCGCAAACTTGCAGAACAACTGCTATCGTTTGTACAGATGTAATACATCGATCCAACAAGTGATATTTCCAAAAGCCACACATTCTGCACCCTTCAAACTAGCGAGTCGCCAGAAATGGGAAGGTAATTATAGTTCAAGTCGAGGTTGTTGAATATCTTACTCTTGACTTTAGTCATCCCCGGCAGAGTCCAAAGTCGGCCATCTACATCTCGGTATATGCCAGCACCCAGTATGATGGCGTTCAGGCGCAATCAAGGAGGACCACGACCACTTCTCCTATCACTTTAGCTTCAAGGACCGGCTAATCATCGCCTGCGATGCTCCGGATTACGGAGAGACCACCAGCGAAGATGTCTCACACCCAATTCCATCGAGTTCCAAGTAGCGCTCGCGGTGGTCATACTGCAGCACTTCAAGGTCGGAACCATCTAGCTTCAAGGTCATGTTACGAAAGGATTTGATTGCACTCCCTCTCGCTTACTGCGACCCATCGATGACCCTCAGTTTCGTCAACATAAAAGGCGTTTTGGCGCCTGAAGATTGCGTTCCAGTCGCCAAATGGTGCTGTATCCTTCGAAAGAGCTCGAAATCCTCTTCTCTACTTTTGTGCAGCGTACGCGATCCTCGCCTTACCATGGTGGCGCCTTGAATGCGACCAGCTGTGAGGCCGATTCCTGAGTTTTTGATCGAGCCTTCTGATGATGAAAGGCTCGATACGGGGTTCCTCACCATCCTTTGTCCTGCTGTGAATATGTGCGGCTCGCAGGACTCAGGTCTCACGTTTTTGGAGTATATTGACGAGCACATGGTCGGTTTGGCAGTGATGCCCAGGATCTCTAAACCTGAGCAAGATTAGCATAGGACGTCTTGGTTAAGCGCTGCTCGAAGACTGGTTGGGAGATCACTGTGCTCGATTGATAGGCCATTGAGAAGTGATACATTGGTGCTCACAGCTGAGGCCGAGAAAAAGAGACGTGCACGATTATGTACCTTACTTTGTCATGCAGAATTACGACTGATAAGTGGTTGTGTGGCGAAGATTTCCTGTCAAAGCAGTCCATTGGTGTTCGACTCAGACAACATTTAGCAACGTTGTCGTGATAAGCAATTACTGAAAAGGGCTGTTTTACTCTAACGTATTGTCTCAAAGAAACCGAACAATTACATAGGCTGATCGTCACCAGACATGCCATCCGCCATAGCTCGCGCTTGTAACTCTTCTCCCCTCTGCAATGCATCGACTTTCAATGCTTGACCTTCGCTCCAAAGCTCTTGGATTTTCGAATCCATCAAGTGTTGCAATCGGAACTCTTCTGACTCATCGCCCTGCTGCTCACCCGCGCGAAGTATTTCCATCTGTTGTTTGAGCAGCTCGATCTGCTCTTGGATGGAGAACCATCTCCTCTGCTTTCCGACAGACTCGAAACAGATTCCGTAGACTTCGCAGTAGCATGAATACTCGTTCGGACAACTCACATGTTGTCCTGTGAAGATGTAATGCCAAAGATATTCCCACGTTCGTCCAGTGTCATGATCGCTTCCCGAAAGCCCCAAGAGCCAGTCGCGATAGAAGATGTATTGGTCCAGCGAGGTTTCTCTGATGCGCTCGCGCGACACAGCAAATTGTGCACAGCACGGCTGCGACATCTGCTTGGGTAAAGGCTGTTCTGGATTGAGTTCTTGCAAGAAATCAACGATGGCTGATTTCCAAATCTTATCCTCTCCGAAAATCCCATGATATGCCAATATCGAAGGGCAGCCAGGATCCAGATTGCATCTCATGTTCACGTAGCCGTCGCGTATAACCTTTGCGCTACTGAGGTTACGTATCATGGCAGCGGCGTCGTGGTCTAGTATCGCATTGTTGTGATGGCTGTATCGATGCGCATGCATGAATATGCTTATCTCTGGCAAAGCATCGTAAGAGTCGATGACGTAAGTCAGGTACACCATAGCTTCGTGACCCTTGTTCTGCGGGACACGCAGCGATGCCTCAGGATCGTCTACCACGTAGATGTACTGTTCGAGATCAAGATCCTCTTCATCTACCCAGCTGGTATCTTCATGTTTCATACGCGCAATGGTGAGGCCTCTTGTGTAGTTGGAGCCTGGAGGTTTCGCAGATCCGCGTGAAAAAGTCGGAATGGTCCAGGACGATGTTCTCTCGTTTGTGTCCTCGGTATGCTGCATCGGGTCGATGGTCCAGTCGATCTGATCCCAGCGCAATTTGTCGAATACAGAAGACAAATGGATGACTGTGCCGAAACCGAGGACGAGTCCGACAAGAGCTATTGGGCGTACCCATCGCGGTATGAGCATCGTGTGAACGATCTAGAAGTTTGTGTTTTGTATAAACAGGTTGCGTGTGAGACAAAGATAACGATCGCAAGACTTTAGATCGGTCGAGCGTGATGGGGCAGGTCTTCGAAGGGCATGGACAACCGTAGATGGATACTCTGATCGTTGATAGGGGGTGTCCACTGACTACGGAATTGTGCGTGCTGACCCCATCGATAGCTCATGCCGTCTACACACAGTACATTCACGACGATGTGCAGGACTGCAAAGCTGAGCCAGGCCACATGTCCCATCATGTGTCAACATGAATAGCTTATCGGATGGTACTTACGAGAGTGTGTTGAGGTACTCACCTTCCATCTCAAGTTAGGCAATATGTTTGCGAGGTTAACTAATTATCCAACGTATCTTGACAAAACCAGCATGTCGCAAGGTACGTATAAAACGTGTGTTGAGTTACACGACATCCGTCTCAAAGTAAACAATCTATCTTTGGTGTTATCTGAAGCTAGTTCAAATCCTCTCCCATGTCTTGAAAAGCTTATGATAGCATCATAGGTACACAGATACAGTACGTATTGTTCGCACGGGAATGACGGGTTAGCCATGCGGGATGTGCAGGAACGCTACCCCGCGGCCGATCTGACACCTGCGTTAGTAAAAGGTACATGCTCAATATGTCTGCATGCAACATCGATTTGATCCGAAGTAATTTTCAAGTACCATGTTTCGGCTTGCTGTGCCGCCCCTAGCTGTCTGGACATGAGACGCGTACCACAGTCGAAAGAGTTGAGAACTTATTATTACTTTTCCTTGACTTGCGCAGCTACACTATGATGTAGAAGAAAGAAGCACGAGCTACAGCTGCAGCTTATCAGAACTGTTAAACTCCTGTTGGTACCGGCACCTGTTTACAGGGTCTTCATCACGATCAGAGTCTAGTCTCCGGCCACGATCGCAAGACCTCAGCTTCCTTGTCAGAACTCAGTTGCTAGATTTTGCAGCTTTGTCGGCTTTGGCAGGGTCTCAGTGGACTCTGGTTTCCCGTCGCCAACCTTCTCTTGCGACCGCTTGCATCTCACGTCTCGGCCTCTCAGTGACATGAGTACGATCGAACACTAACCCATGATATCCTTTGTACACTCGCTTGGACTACTGCGCCTGCATTTGGCAGTCTTGCGCTGGATGCACAAACTTACCGGTCATGCCCCATTACGGGATCCGGAACCCCAAATGTCTGACCGGACCCGCTGGAGCTGATGGTCTGATAGGTTTGCACTTGACGGTCACCTTTGCAAGAGCCGTTCGTACAGTGTGTCAACTCAGAACCGAGAAGTGACACCTCGGCCTCTGTACTCCCGAACAAAGTCAGCTGGGCGTATCACAACAACTATCTGATAAGACAGAGGAGACTAGTGAACATGAAAATTCGTAGGCAATCCTCTTTTACACTCTTCTCACTGTAGTAGGCGCAACAGCATCGATCCATCGCTACCTCAGTGAATGCCAATGCCTCTCAGTTTGCCATCATCCAGGGGACAACATCGAACGCGGGTCTTTCAACCCAAATTCAGGAGGACGGATGTCTGCACCGTAATTGCTGCCGCTTCTGGTATCGTCTGTGTGTTACTGCTTGCCCTCCGTGGAAGCTGGCCAATCACAGATGAATCCTCTCTGCAATTTCCGTATCTCTCGACGACTTCTGCTTTGAAGCCATCCGCAGGCAATATGTATGATGTCTACAATGATACGCTTGGTGTAAGTCTATTCAGCACAAACCTCTTCGGACGTGATCGCTCATAGACCAAAGTTTGAGAAGATTTTCCTGGTCTCCTTGCCCGAACGTACAGATAGGAGAGACTCGTTTGCAGTACAAGCAAGGCTGTCCAACATGAGCTTTACTGCAGTCGACGGCGTGGATGGGAGGACAGTGTCAGCGAAAGCACTACCTTATGTAAGTCTGCCATGGTGTTGGCGTTGTCGATACCTGCCTTCTGACGATACGCCAGACAATGGATCTCAGACCTGCTCAAATTGGCGCTTGGCGCGCTCATCTGAACATCATGCAGAAGTAAGTACAACAGCTGCCTGGCTGTTCTTGGATCAGCCTCGGACTTATCTTGCGTGTTAGTATCGTCGCAAATAATATCGCGACCGCACTGATCTTCGAGGACGACGCAGACTGGGATGTGGGCATCAGAGCCCAGATGAGAGAGCTTGCCAAGGGCGCTCGATGGTTAGGCAATGCGTCTGGATCGGAAACAGATCTGCACTCGCCTTATGGGGATGACTGGGATATTATGTGGATAGGGCACTGCTCTATCAAGTCTTCCACCTACGATCCTCGACGATGGGTGATACCACACGACCCGACTGTAGTGCCTCCGGAACGCCGCACCGAATTTGACAAAGCACACATGCGACAATGGGAGACTGGCCCCAATGCCGACAATCAGACTCGTATCGTCTTCGTTCCGACCTGGGGATACTGTTTGGCAGCATATGCAGTGTCTCTTCGAGGTGCAATGAAGATACTGTATCACGAAAGCATGTCAAAGTACAACGATCCCGTCGATACAGGGTTGGGCTGGATGTGTGCGAATCCTCAATCCTGGTCCGAATTCCACTGCATAGCACCATACCCAACCATAGTCGGAATTTCTCGACCTGCCGGAAACACCGACAAGTTCAGCGATATCGATCCTGACAAATTTACCGAGATTCAAGTCAGTGAGGAATCTCACTCGGAGCATCTTGTGTTCCCCCTTCGCCAAAACATAGATCGCTTGTTGGCTGGTCAGGTGGATTTTCAGAGTCAGTTTCCTGATAGCACGGGTGAAACCATGCACATTGATGATATCATGGCTGCGACTGGTCACGGCGAGATACTCGATCTGTCACTTGATGATGAGCTGTAAGAAGAGTGTACCATGACCATTCACCACAGCTTCTCTATCGAGTCATCGATTTACATATCTCTTCCTGTATTACATCATGTTCTTATTAATCCGTGTTCCATATATCGTGCTGACTTCATGGAAGAACGATTTTACGGTGCCGAAGTAGTCAACAGATCCCAGAGCCTACTGAGCATGATACAGAAGTCGTGACATTGTCTACCTTGACGTGGCATGTACCTGCTCTACTATTCATGAACTCAATCGCCCGAAGACAGTGCTACTGAGACAGGCATCAATGATCTGACGCATCGTGATACTGCTTCTTATCTGTATCGTGTAGGTTGACAAGCCTGGAAGGCTTGCATGTTGTTCAAAATCGAAAGCCATGGCCAGAGATAGCTTGACAAGAAGGCATGACGTACGTACCCAGGCTTTCAAAAGCGTCGTGCTCGGCCTCTTCTTCCCTGTGAGCCCCTTTACTTTTGTTGAAGGCTTACTGTACTTAGGATAGGGGCGGTGTCACAACGTCTGGGAATTGAGTGTATCTTTATCCACGCCCTGCGCCCCTATACACGCCCTCGCCGACAAAAAAGGGGACACGACGATGGCGAAAACGAACAATTTCGACAAACAATCTGGGACCGTCGCCTCGCATAAGAAGCCGGCATCTCGCACTCGCAATGTTCTGTGTATCTGTTTTGGATTCTGCTATAACCTTGCATCTCGTCTGGTACTTCATCTGACTCCACATTCTTTGACGGTATCGCCATTCGCTCACATCATATCTGTTGCTTTCATCTTGACGATGATTTTCCTGTCGCTTTTGGCTGTTATCGTCGTTCCAATCGTCATCGCTTGCAGTCCACAATCGAGGACGGCCCAACAATTACCCGATAACGAGACTTTCTCGCGCCAAAACGGCACCAAATGGCACATTCAATATGTTGGAAACATCGAATTCACTGGGCCAATGGCAGAGCACAAACTCGGAGGCGACAAATGTCGATCCAGCTTCCTTGGCGGTAGACATATCTGGAACTGTGGTGACATGATGTGCTCTCCAGACATCGACACATGTGGTTTCGCCATGGGTCCTGCATTCTATGGGACCAAGAATGTCTCAGTCATCGACGCGGTAGCACACTCCAACGTCGGGGCCTACGAACTTGCTTTGCCATGGCATGGAGATCCCAAGCCAGTTGCACCCCAATCGCAATACGGCATGGACACTTCGAATATTGCAGCCATAAACGACACTACCGGGATTGCTTACGTGTGGGAGATTACTCGTGGAGGACCAGATGGAAGCTTTGTCGACCAAGGTGCTGGCATCGTTGCAGTAACGCTGGGCAAGACTCAGCCCATTGCAAAAAGGCTCGGACCACTACTCACAGGTCCAGAATCAGTCCAGCTGGGTCTCTTTGCCACCTTGAGATCCAAAGGCTACATCTACAACTATAATCAACAGGGTCCGTTTGGGAACATAATCGTGGGTCGGGTGAAAGCTAACGATGCGGCATTCGACGCCCGCAAATACGAGTACCTTCTGTTCTCTGCTGACGGCGACGCTACACCAGTCTGGAGACGTGGTATCCCAGCCGCGAGAGATGCCACTCGGTACGGTATGCGGACGGCTGAGATTGGTGGTCGCTTCGCGTGTAGTCAATATGGCAGCGTATTCTGGAGCTCCTACTTCCAACGCTACATTTTGATGTGCAACCTTTACCTCGACTATAGTTTCTTCTATCTGGCAGAGAGACCTTGGGGACCTTGGACCCGCGCATATATGGTTCTATCTGGTGACTCTGGTTGGAATGGTTATGGTATCTCGGCCCATCCAGGATGGTCATCCAAACCGAATGAGCTATACTTTTCGCAAGGTCCCAATGGACCACTCAACATGTTCAAGCTCACGTTCGAATACTAGCTGCTTCTCTTTTCGAGAACCACGTATGCAACATCTGGCAGGAGACGTACATGGAATAGATTCCGATAGTCAGTTCTTAGAGGCGGATGGACATGCCTCACATGCAAGGATCCTGTAAACTTCCGAGGACACCATACAGTTCTTTGCTGGATGGTGTTATTCGACAATGGAAATTGTGACCGTGGGGAAGGCCACAGCGAAGACGGCCAAGTTTGTATGGCGCGGGGCAGCGGCACGACCGGTACATAATGTGAAACCATGTCGAGTCCCAACTTGAATATTATTAGCTTTAGACATCCCAAACTTAATCGTGACGATCGTTGCTGAACCTGTGGGGACGGCTCGGCAGGTCCCAAGTCGTCGACCCCTGGACAGCGGGAGCTAGGATGTGAAGGTGGATCCAAGCCATAATCCTGATCAGCTCGCAGACCTCGCTTAGGAGGGTTGCAGACGAAAAAGCTTCTTGAGGTACAGTACATAGCGTGTTGTATCATCACTGTCCTCTACATGCCCAATCATGACTAATCCACATAAGTCTGTCGCTGGACCTATCGTCTACACTTGCAACGTTCCTAGTCTGCTCGATAGACTGATTAGCTGCGCGAGCTGTATCTGAAGTGATCCCTCGGCTCAATGGCATGCACTGCGGCATAGAGTGATTCCTTTGTCAAGCCCCCTAATTTCCCACCAGTCTTCGATCCACGTACTTGAGGTTTTCTGGACCAGCCAGTTGAAGTTTGTCAAGAGACACAATGCTGTTGAAACGCTCCCAAAGGCGCACAAACATAGGTCTCATATCAATTGCTGCAGGAATCTTGATTTTCTGCTTCCTCCTATTCGCTCCCAAAGATTCCACCGAGCCAGTGGTAGGACCCAATAACGAAAAGACCGTTCCCCAGCTCCTAGGCAACGATCTGATCGTATCTTCCTCCAATTCAGCCAAAGACGAGAACCTAAGTGTACTCCTTGGTGCCAATCAAGCTGAAGACGACGACTATCTCGAGAGTATCTACGCTCAGGACTTTCACGAAGACGAGATCAGGAAGACTCCCAGCGATTCTGTTGTTCATGAGACGTCACCCAAATCAACTGCCAACATCACAGCTACCTCAACCGATGATATAGATGACCAGGACGAGGAATATAGCCCTCTCCCCGATGGCACCGATTATCGCGAGCTGTTCTCACTGTCGACTTCAAACAGAAAATTCAGTTCCATATTCACCGGCGGCGGCGTCAACGTCTACAATCCGAACATCATACCACATCCCACAGATCACAATCTATGGATCATGATTGCCCAACACGAACAAAGCGGGCAGGATATATCTGTTTCAGAAGAGATGACATGCAACGTCGGTCTGTTGGACGGAACTATGGTCTGCACAGCTGAGCCGACCGTTCTTCCCATCGAGCCCTCGATTGCAGGAAACTGCACAGAAGAATTCGCATACTTCAACTTCCGATCGGGACCAAGAGATGCCCGTATGTACTACGGTCCCGATGCACCATACATCATGTATGGCTCGCAGTCGTCTCACTCTTGCATCGGTATCTGGATGGAAGATGCTCGTATGTTGCTTGACGACTTCAATGCCGAGAGATCCGTTGTACCAAAGCTTTTCACTCATGCTACAGAAGTTCAAAGACCGCCACCCGTGCGTGGCATGGAGAAGAACTTCTTTCTCTTCTGGGACGGCGAGAACAAAGCATACGCGCACCATGACATATTTCCACACAGAGTGTTTGCCCAGCTATCGTTTGACGGCTCTGTTGGGCCAGACCTTGCTGTCAATTCGGCTAGCAAGGATGATGTGTGTCTGACTACGTATATGCCACCCTTGACTCCGACGGACGAGTCCATCCACCAGGCAACAAACTCACTGTCTATCACACTCTGCAAGCGCGCGGACGTTGGGTGCATTCCGAACGACTCGAATACTTTCATCTTTACGATCTTCCACCACAAGTCCTATCACGACTGGCATGGAGTCTATGAGCCCTATGTGATGGCTTTCCAACGTAATGCGCCTTTTGCCATCTATGCGATCTCGCAACGGCCCCTGTGGATCCACGGGCGTGCCGCTTTGACCAAGGACACGCATTCGCTACTGTACGAGAATGACCCCAGCAAAGAGATTCCCGATGGGCACACTGAGATGTTCTACGTGACTAGCATCAGTTGGAAGACACACGGACAGAAGTATCACGGATATCTAGACGATCCTTTGTTCCTGGCGTTTGGTATTGAGGATACTAGAGCGGGATTGATTGATGTTTTGGCTGAAGACCTGTTCCAGGATCTAGGCCTCTGCCCTTGGGTGCAAGGTTGAGTCCTGGACCGTCGCCATGGTGATATAGCCTGGATAATCATCTATCTAGAGATGATCGTGCACTCAACCAGTGCATTATCTATGAAATAGCGATTGATACAGTCATCGTTGGCGAAAACTCTCCAGCGTCAGAGAAGGGAAGGCTGCTTGGTGCTACCACCGAAGAATCTCAGACACTATAGATAGACGTCTTCATTGGTCTCAGCGGATCTCGGCGTCCGCAGGGGTCTGTCTAAGCGACGATAGAGCCTTAAGGCATAGCGATTCGTCTCCAATATCTGGACCACTGCATGGAATCCAATATTCTTATCTCACAAGCATTCGTCAAGGACTACATACACAGCAATGAACATACACTCCAGGTAAGCGATGGCATTTACTGCCTGCGTACGTGCGGCCACATCAGACGGGAGCTGGAAATCCAGATCAGGCTTAGGTTGCGAAAGTAACTTATGCGGGGAGATTAGACTGGTATAGCCATGCAGTGAACGCTTGGAACTCAACATGCGCTGCCGTGGGATGGTGCGCTACAGACCGTGATGGTAGGGCAGGAGAAACTGCAGGAACAATGTGACTCAACCAAGATGGCTACGGGAAACTCTGCCTGGAATGGCGCAATTACTTCTCGTATGGTATCTATGTACTTATTGGATACCGCGACAAATCATGTAATCACAACGTACATGGATCACAGGATCCGCATCCCGCTCGTTGACAAGATAAGCTTTTCGTTCATGGCTTGTACCATGAGTCGGAATTGAGTGCATCCGCCGACGCTTAGAGGGTGGTTTCACATGTCAAGCCCGGGTGTTAGCCCCCCGCTTATGGCCAGAGGAACTGTGTTCGCGTCCTGCGTGTCTCTAGCCTCCAGGTGTATTTCTTCTGCCGTCTCCAGTTCGGCTGGGGCACCGGGACCCATAGGCGGTAAGCTGTCGACTTGTGGGTCCTTCATCTCTGCTTCTCGTAACTCATGCGAGCCTGAGTTCAATGCCATCGCCGAAGGATTGTCAGGCTCAGACGTATCAAAGTGATCAGAGAGTGGTTCTCCTGATGACTCTTCGGACCCATCCTCAACGAAAATCTGCAGTGGGAATCGCTCCTGAATGCGAATCTCAACTGGCAAGTCTTGTCTGTCACCGGCTCTGTCGTGTACGATGGGGGGGTTGGGCACATCAGAGTGCTTCTTGTCCTTGATGTTGATGATCTCCAGCCGTTCCTCTTCTGGAAGATTGTCGAAGAAAGCCGTGTTGGCATCCCACAGCTTGACGCATTCGAGATCCCAATTGCACTTCTCAACCTCGCCATAGACGGGGTGTTTGAAGCGCGGGTGCTTAGAAGGCCAGGATGAGGCGTGAAAGTGGTGCTTGACCATAGCGCCCTTGCCCTTGTGGTTGCCCGAGTCAGAGTGCCCAGTCCCGGCTGCGAACGCCTCAACTGGGAGAACTAACACTCCGCCGACGAGCTTAGCTTCAGTGAGACCGGTGAACCTGTTCCACCGTACAGGGTTGCCGGTTGTCTTTGACATCTCTGCAAGGATCGCGATGGTGAATGCTGATGGACCAGTGCCGGTCAAGACTTCATTGAAGTCAAGGTATAGCTCAGATATCGGCTTTCCTTGCTTGATTGACAGATCATGAAGCCATCTCATGATGTTCTCAATCAAACGCATCATGACGGGTAGTCTGGGTTTGCACATGAAGGTCCATTGGCAGAAGGATTGAGCTTTTGATCCCAGGACTGGATGGGCTGCAAAACTCGGCTCGTCAACCTCGATGCCGATCACCATGTCCACCTCTGCTTCGTCATATATCTTGGGGAGGAAGCGCTTGATGGGTCTGATTGCTTCCACGTCGATGTCGGCGTAGACTCCACCCTCAACGTACATGATCAGATATCGCAGCAGATCTGACTTGATGATTCTGGCGTTGAGGGACTTGTACGTGTTGACAATATCCGGTCTGTTGAGTCCCAGTGGTCCGTAATGGTGCTCGACGTAGTAATCAGCATTGTCATCCGTCAAGACTTCATATCGATGACCAGGATTCTTGACAGTCCAAGTCCTAGCTCGCTCAATGTCTCTGCTCTCGAATCGTGTGGGATCGACTTTCCAAGATTGCCAGATCTTGCGAGGGAATCTCTTCGACTCGATGACAAGCTCCGATGGTGCGCTCGTGAGCATATGGAGCGAAACGCAGATGATGGAACATATGATGATGAGAATGAAAAGCTGCTGTATCTGCATGGCAAAAAAAGCGCGGAGCGATGTTTTGCGGCTTCGATGGAGACCATTCATGATCGATGCAAAACGAATCCAGATAGACCAATAATTAACGAGATAGAAAGCTTCCGTAAGGAACTTTGTTATGAGTTCGAGAGCGTGTTTTTCGTACTTTTGCCGATAGAATCCGGGAGGACATCTCTGTATCACACTCGCCACCTGATTGATGCTCGAGCACAGATGTTCAACCTGACACTCAACAGAACGCTATCTCTCAAACATGGTGGGGTAGCGGGGTGTGCAGAACTAAACTTGTTGGGAAGATACTTCAGATACTATCGCTACAAACAGAAGCAGGTCCCGTCCTCGCTTTCAGCCGTGCTACATGTACCGTCAGCTTGTTTCCGACAACTAGACCATTAAGTGCAAAGAACGAACGCACTGGCTGAAACTCTGTTCGGGATCCATGACCGATATCCAAGATTAGAAACAGACAGGGATGTGGGTCGCAAACATCATCTGTGATCTATCAATATGTTATGTTCATCTCATATTTGACCGCGGGATACATGCTTCGAGTGTTTCCAGTGGTACAGGCGTGCGCATGTACCTTCAGTGCTGTCCGAAATCATTGACCTCTTCCGTTATTGGCCAATGATGAGCTCCTGTTCAAGTGAAAGCTGGGCCGGGTTCAGCGTGCTTGAGCGACTATCACGATCTAGACTAGTACGACCAAAGCTGATGACCCCATAGGGTGGTAACGATCTCGTGCAGCACTGCCGTGCTGACGCCTCCGATTCAATCTGTTCAAGGTGGGTTCCATGCTGGCCAATCCAACTCCGCTCGAGCGGCCGATCTTTGAGAGACATCCAGATAACGGACGAGCTTGCGACAAATAATCAGAACCTTGTAAGACTCTTTTAGGGGTCCAGCAGGCTTCTGGGAAAAGTCCACGCCATCAGATATGATGGTCACGGATGTCCTCTGATATGATTGCGATCTGCTGCTATCGGATTACCTCTCGTCACACGGTTCCCAGAAACTCCATCCTTACAATGTCTGACACACCTCGCAACATCATGTCAGTCGAGGAAAACCTCCATGAGATAGAAGCGATGCTTGGCAACCATGGTCCACAATCTCAGAAACGCCAAGTGAGAAGGACGTGGTCCATGCCATTCGCCTCTGGAGTCAATCGTCCAGATGTCCATGAGAAAGACAAACCTTGCAAACTAGAGCTGCATCAAACAGCATACCTCGACGGCCTACGCGGCTTTGCAGCACTCTTGGTCTTCAGTCTGCATCACCAAGTCTGGGGGCACTCCGGGACCGGCGGTGAATTCATCCTCGAGAATGCGTTCGGCTGGGACGGAGTGTATCAGATTATCTGCTTCCCAGGCATTCGCATACTCTTCTCAGGAGGCCACCTCGCAGTCGCCGTCTTCTTTGTGATCTCAGGCTACGTCTTGTCTATGAAGCCTCTCAGCTTGATACAAGCAGGAGATGCAACCAGGATGTCAGAGAACTTGGCGTCTGCGTTGTTTCGCAGATGGCTTCGACTCTACATTCCGGTCGCGGGCACGACTTTCCTCTGGATGACTTCGTGGCACCTCTTCAAGATCAGGTCGAGCAACCCCATTGCTCAGATGCCAGAGTCTACATATCTTGGTGAGCTCTGGAAATGGTATTGCGATTTCAAGAATTACAGCTTCGTCTTCCAAGGCGAAGCTTGGAACGCATACAATGATCACACGTGGTCGATACCGATGGAGTTCCGAGGATCGATCGTGGTCTACACTTCATTGTTGGCGCTGTCTGGCTGTGGCAGAAATTCCCGATTGCTCTGCGAGTTCGTCCTCCTGTATTACTTCCTCTACGTCGTGGACGGCTGGTACTGTGGTTTGTTTGTCGCAGGGATGATCATCTGCGATTTTGATCATCTCTCAGCACGAGGACATCTACCACGTCGACTGCATGCACTCAAGAAGCACAAGACTTGGATTGCGTATCTGATATTCGTGATCGGTCTATATCTTGGCGGCGTTCCTTCCATCTCTAATGATATTTACCATCTCAGGAAGTCTCCTGGGTGGTACTACCTCTCGTATCTCAAGCCACAAGCTTTCTGGGACTTTAGATGGTTTTTCCGGTTCTGGGCGGCAGTTTGCGTTGTCACCTCCACACCCCATATTATCTGGCTCAAAAGGTTTTTCGAGAATTCATTCTGTCAGTATCTTGGTCGTGTTTCGTTCGGTTTCTATCTTGTTCATGGCCCCGTGCTATGGACTCTGGGCGATAGGCTGTACGCAGCCAGCGGGAGGATCAGAGAAGGACACATTGGGGTCATTCCTGACTGGATCAATCTACTGCCATTACCAGCAGTAGGGCCCTTCGGTCTTGAGATCAACTATCTGGTCCCTCAGTTCATCTTGTTGGCATTCACATTATGGCTAGCGGAGATAGTCACCAGATGTCTCGACAAGCTCAGTGTGGAAGTTTCCCAGTGGCTCTACAAGAAAACACTGATCCAGAGTGAGAGCTCGGGATCTCACTTTAGTTGGAAACGCGAGATCAAGGATTGAGGATGTATTGTTTTGAGTTACCACACAGCAATAGAGATATAGCATTCTTTGTACTGCGTCACTCGAGATGTTCTCTTCTTACTCATTTCCTGCTCTTCTCTCAGCACAGAATCCATCTTCGAATATGGAACACAAATGAAAGGGTCGTTTGGAAGATTCTTTGGGCAGCTCATGTCTAGCATCGGACTGAGTTGTTGAGATGACCAGATTAGAACTTGACAGCACCTGTACTCTGTATGGATCCGAAAGACACGGCAGGCACGGCATGCACCTGAGAGAATACGGACTCTAGGAACAACCCTGAAACCAATAGCGTCTCAATAGTCCAATGCTTAAGTATACTAGTGAATGGTGAATGGGGAATGTGTCCTGCGATCCAGAAACTCTCCAGAGACAAGCTGAAAAGAGCATTAGGTCAGATGTACCATGTCGCTCACTCTAGCGAGTCCGCATGCATGTGTCTTGCATGGGATTCTGCTCCCCATTCCACGGATGTCAATCTGTACCCGATGAAGGTTTGTCCTGTGCATCGCTCGATGCACAAAGGGGTGTTGAGTAAGTCTCTAACCTGACATGAACTCCCACATAGGTTTATCGTCATCGCAAAGAGATAGAGATGCAGCAAGCCACTTCATCAACGTGACCATGGCTTTGTCGGATCTATCTTTGGTACTCGAATCAGACGAGCGTTCTCATGGCCGACAGCAGCTGTGTTTTTCACGACATGGCTTGGAACACGGCACACAGCGGACCTAAGGTTGACCCAAGGTCTGTTTCTCAACGGTCTGATGGCCCTCCCAACATAGTCTAGGAATATATAGCGAGTGACGCCGTCGCACAAGTAGGGCTACCGCGCAACGAGCATTCAACCATGAAGTTTTTCGCGTTTCTGCTGATCACCTGGGCCGCTGGCTCATGGGCCGCGATTATCGCTTCCTGTGGAGTAGGAGCTCTGGGGCTATCTGAAACACAAGTCACACACTGATCTCACACAGAGTACCTGCATTGCTCGAGCGATCAAAAAGACGGGCTGCGCACCAAGCGACAGCAAGTGTATCTGCACATCGGAACATTACTCGGGATATCTGAACTACTGTATTGCCAAGAGATGCAGCGCGTCAGAGAAGGATGGTGAGGATTTTTGAATGGAACTGTTACCCAAATCCGGTCGCTGATGCAGTAAAGCTGAGATCAAGAGTGCTACAACCATCTGCAGCGTCGTTGGAGCAGCTCAACTCGAACAGGATGACTCAGATGCGAGTTTTGTGATCCAAAAGCGCGAGTCATCTATAAAGCGTAACGAGAAGGACCGCGATCGTGATAGTCATCATCGTGGTTCTGGGGACCATCATGGATCTGGTTGGAATCAACCACTGCCTGCGCATGATCATCAACCCGCTCCCCAACCTCCATCCTCTGCCCCTACAGGACCTGCAAGAGACCTCCCAGACCAACCTGGCCCTCCTGGTAACCCTCCTGGCCCTCCAAAATCTCCCGGTCTACCTCCTGGCCATTCTCGTCCTCCACCTGGGCCACCACCTCCCCCTCCATCTTCGACCACGTGGTTCACGCCGACTCACACTCATACAGTCCTTTCTTGGAACTAGAGTTGGCTTCAGATCAGGTAGCCTTCGTCCAATGCCACCTATGATCTTTTCCTAACCTCGCGCTTATAGTAAACCACCTTTTCTGGCCTAGCGAAAAACTGCATCTTGACGCACATGACCACTAGGCACTTGGATCGTGTTCTTCTCGTTCCATTCATGTTCTTTTGTTTCCTTGCTATTTAAGGTCTTTGTTCTTAACGATATTCCAATTTATTCTCAAACGTAGTATATAATCCATTTGATCTTTTCTCTCTGCTATACTTGAACCCTAAACCCTGACCGTCGCACTAACTTCAATCGTCAATCGATCCAAAAGTGGTCTTCGTTTTTCAGTACCAACACTGTTAGTTGACCACATAAAGATACGTGAAACCGCAACTCGCTGACTGGAATGATGCTCTAGCTTGGATTTACTCTGCTTCTTGACTTTATTACTATGGAGCCCAAGCAAAACGAGGTTTCCCACGAGATTGGGTTCGATTCCAAACTGTCTTCGATATGTAGAATCAGCCATCATCTCCGCCTTGCATCTCCACGTGGTCTTCCTTACAGGCTATAGACCAACTTCAGCCTGGAAGACGCACATCCGAATCTGCTGTATAGCATGGGCAGACGTGTCGAATCTAATGAACGTGGTACTCACGATGGCATGAGGTGGCAAGCAGCTATTCTTTGCACCACTGACTCCAACTAGAAGGCATAGCCGAAAATGAAGAATTGGGCCAGACTGCCAACACTTCGGAGGACGTCGGCGTCAGCGCCCTTCCAAAGAGACTTCAAGCCTCCCGTAGCAAGGATCTGACCGCTAGCATCGATGAAGGAATCGTCCTTGATAGCCTAGAGTATGCAGGTCAGTGTTCGAAGGTTCTGAGCACAGACATGCAATTTCATGACTTACCTCACCGGATCTGATCATCAGACGAGAGCGGATAGTGTCAAGCGGGTAAGTGGCGAGACTGACAATCGTGGCGACGGTCCAGCTGAAGAGAAAAGAGGCAAGGAAGTTGCCCTCGAGGGCACCGGTGAGGACAAGAGGCTTGATGATGTCCATTATGCCGAGCCAGAGGCCACGGTAGAGAATAATACCAATGACGGACGGCAAAAAGCCACGGTAGAGACCAGCGATACCGTCAGAGGCGATGGTCTTCTCAACGACGTCCATGAGGCCATTATATTGACGCTCGCTACTAGTGGCGTCCTTGATGTCGTTGGCAAGACGAACACGGACGTAGTCCAGCGGGTAGAGAAAGAGGAGTCTGGTTGCACCAGCAGCAGCACCAGAGGCAATATTACCGGCCATCCACAACCAGTAACCATCTCGCCCCTTCTCAAAGGCGAACATAGATCTGTAGGTATCGCGGAAAGCGTAGTCCAGGGCCTGAGCTGGGAAGTAGCGGATGATACCCGCGGTATTGCCGCGCCAGAGGGATGCGATACCCTCCTCAGTGATGATGCGCTTGAGGCACTCGTAGATGCCGGCGTAAGGCTTGGTGAGACGACCAAAGCGGAGCAACTCGTCCTGTTCAATAACGTCAGGTGATCCTCGTCGCTAGCAGCTCAGGGGCAAACTAGCTGGAAATGCAAACCTGATTTTGGATGAGCAGCTTGATACGCTCCAGAGGAGCGGCACCCGTCTTGACGATGATGTGGGGAATACTTGATACTATAGTCCAACGCTTTCAGTCCGTTCCTCATGATAAGCTCCATTGTGTGCACCAGCACTGTTAATTGTAGGCAAGTGATAGGACGTACTCAAAAAGGCAATAACGGGCCCGGGCATCGGGCTCTGGCTACAACTGATATCAGCATGCTGTGATCTAGACGGGACGTCTCATCGAGGCCATTCAAGTGTCTGCGCCATACTTTGTAGCCATAATCGATTCTAACTCCTATGAGAGAGCTGTGAAAGGTTGGGAATTGAGGTCAATGGATTTCGAATGGAGACTTTGCGCCGTCCCATCACGTGATATCCGCCAAGGCCTACTAAGTAGCTGCTAGATTCTGCTGTGAGATTCACTGCTCCCTGTCTATCCCGCGAATCATTCCATGGATGGCACGACGACCGATGCCTGGAACTCGGGTCTCGCGACACTCCGCACAGGACTTGACATGAACCGTGGAGTAATCCCTTTGGGTGTTCTTCGAGAGGCTTCCTAGTCACGCGAAGATTTGCGAGAAGTCAGGCATCTGGTGATGAGCGTCCAGTCTCCTCCAAAAGCATGTTTCCCGAAGGCGAGGGTAGAGGCAAGCCTTTTGCAGCAGAACAAAAAGGTATGCGACGTCCAACGGAGCATCTAGTCGCGGCGGGCGGTGCGGCGCTTTTCCACGTGCTCTCTCCGCAATCCCAGTGACATTCTCGCAGTGACATGCACCAAGTTGATGACGCGGCACTGCGACTAGGCTCGGACAGGCATGTGTAACGCGGCAATTGCTTATATCTGGGGCAGGAACTTGCTTGTTTTATCCTCATCCTATCCTTGTGTAGAGCTTGATTCACTATTTTATCAATAGCTACAGGGAAGATCTCAATACCTCGGTTGGCCTTCGATATGGGCAACAAGGCCCTTGATCCCACCTCGGAGGATCTCATTCGTCTTGATAGCTTCGTTGATACAGCGGACGACTCCAGCGAGTACGAAAATGATCGCGATGCTCGAAAGTCGAGACTGCGTTGTATTGAACGTGGCCATCACAGAGACATCGAGAGGTGTGCCTTCGCTCCCTCGCTACGTCCACGGTTCAGCGTCCGTGGTTGGGGATGTACAAGACTAGCACGACATGTTCTCGCAAGTGCCGTGGGCTTCTTCGTTGCCCTGTAAGAATGATATTCCAGACCCACTGCAATCATAGGCTAATTCGATGACAGGGCTCTTTTCCACGTTGTATTTTCGTCAACATTACCTTATGGAGAGATGCGTGACGACTTCGACGAGGTCTTCTCAGGCCCGTCGCATGTTTTTCCAGAGCCATTTCACCCTCAGCGCGAAGCTTTTCTACGCAATGTGATCCCCGTGCCGTGCCACTCGCACAACGACTACTGGCGTCGGACACCACTGTATGCTGCCTTGGCCTCCGGATGCATCAGCGTCGAGGCGGACGTGTGGCTCTTTGACGATGACCTTTTGGTGGGCCACGACATCGGCAGCTTGACCAGGGATGTGACACTCGAGTCGGTGTATCTTGAGCCGCTGCAACAAGTGCTGCGGGTCATGAATGCAAATTCACAGGTCGGCAATGTGAGTTCGGTCGGCAAGCACGGCGTATTCAACGTAGACCCGAATCAGACGCTTGTGCTGCTCGTTGATCTCAAGACTTCCGGCCATGAGACTTATGCAAAGCTAGACAGACAGCTGCAGGGCTTGCGAGACGCACAGTGGCTCACTCACTGGAACGGCACGCACCGCGTCGAGAAAGCTATCACCATCGTGGCTTCCGGCAATGCTCCATTTGACTTGATCGCTGCGAACGACAGCTACCGCGACATCTTCTTCGACGCTCCCCTGACCTCTCTGGCCTTTGACGGCGACCCTGCTGTCTCGACACCCACGTCTGGATTCCAAACAGCCCACGGCAATCTAGTCCGCCCTGACTCTGATCTTCTGCGCTTCAAGTACAATCCCAGTAACTCGTGGTACGCATCCACCAATTTTAAAGCCGGTGGCGGCATCCTATCGAATTTTGCCATCACAGCTGCACAACGCAAGAAACTTGCGGACCATGTGCGCATGGCCGAAGCTCGAGCTCTGGTCCCCAGATACTGGGGCACGCCTCGCTGGCCACGCAACTTGCGCGATCAGATCTGGGAGGTATTGCTGCAAGAGGGAGTGGGAATTTTGAATGTTGATGACTTGAGGGCCGTGAGGAAAGGGTCTTGGGGTAGGTGGAGGAAACGTGGCAGAGAATCGTAGATACAATGTCTTTTGGTAGATAATGAAAGCATATCTTGTTGTATTGTGATGGGAATCATTTATATCAAAACAAAACCAAAGCGAGAAGAAGTGTATGAAAACATGTCATGTCTGCCTGCCCATATTCTACTCATTGTCGCCATCCCAAATGCATAACACCCTCGTCGCATACACTTGCCGGCTTCCTCACCGAGAACATCAGAGTAGCTCAGTAGTTGGCGCCACAACTACCAACCGCGTTTGATCTCGCAAAGCCATAACTGAAGGAGTACGTATACGCGTTCCCTGCACTATCGATCTGTGTCTTTGCTGTAGCCCTGCTCGACTTGAATTGTTGGCTGTATAGATAACACATCTGTCCCAGAGCCTGTTTGCCCTTGTTGAGGATAAACGTGTTGAAGTAGTTGCACAGTACAGGGTTGGTGGTACCAGCAGCCGTGGCATTGGCTTGGGCTTGAGCAGAGTAGGCATCACAGGCTGCTGCACATCTAGATGCAGAGAACGGAGTGCCGTCGTTGTAGAGCTGCCAGGCAAGAGTGGGGTTGTTGGAAGAGCAGTCGGTGGTTGGAGGCACGACGATGCTGTTGCCGTAGTAGGCGGCTGATTTGTAGTTGGGGATCGGGGCAATGGCGTTGTTGACGTAGCCTAGGTGGTGTGGTGTCAGTTTAAGTGGTTCAGGATCTCGAGAGAAAGTGTGGAACGAAGAAAGCAAGACGATGAAGGGCAATGAGACATGAGTTAGGATGTGGAAGAATGAAAGGTGAGAGATGCCGTGAAAAACTTACCATTGGATCCGGCGATAACGATCTGGAAGTTTTTGCGCCACTGTCCAGTGTTCACTGCGTTCTCCTTGGTCACTGGGCCACCCCAGAACGAACATTTGATATTGGTAGTGCTAGGAGGATTGTCGCAGTTGTCTCCACTGCCTGGCTCTACCTTTGGATCGCGCTCGAAGTAGATGTTGAAGGCTTGGCAGCCGACGATGAAATCGCACTTTTTGGAGCAGCTGGCGACATCATAGGTAGGAAGAGTAGTGTACCCAAGGTAGCCATTCGCGTTGTTCGATGCTTGTTGGTTGACGAATGTCTGTTGATAGCCGGATGGGGTTTCGGCTTTATTGGCAGCGCTGGCAAAGTCACCCAATGCAAGAAAGTTGGCAGGCGTGTCGGGATATGGCACAGGCCCTTGTCCAGCAGGAAGCAGCTTGCATACTTTTCCAGGGCAGGTACCGGTCTTGACCACGTTCAAAGTGATATTGGTGTATCGCTGAGGATCGAATCCGCCACTGGGATAATATTGTAGCTCCGAGACGCAACTTTGGTCTCGCAAGAGGACAAAGTCAGGGTACGGCGGGTCGATCGCATAGCCATTTTCGAGAGTGTTTGTCGAACTGATGGTCACCGGCACCGTGCTCCAGCCCCAAGGAAGGGTGGTGTCACTGGGTGTGAACAAAAGACATTCAGATGTGAAAAAGTTCTGCACGCCGGTGTACTTCATGGTGGCAAGATCCGCGGAATAGAGAAGCCCGTTAAGATCTCTGAAGAACGTTGCTGCTTGAGATCTGGCCACAGGCTGAACCAAACCTCCGACTTGTCCGGATGGTGTATCCGCAAGTCACATCCACTGGCTGTCCCAGGTAGAATTTCCACTGGCCGAATACTGGATGCTGAAAGCTGTGGAAGGGTCACACACCGTGGATGGCGAGGGGATGGAGATACGGCCGCCCATGATCACTTAGGTTTGTCCGGCTATTTGGCGACAATAACGGTGTTGTCCGAGTCAGCAGCGTTGGTGATATCTGCGGCGGCGGCAGATGCTGCAGAGGCAGTGTTGAAGGCAACGATCTCTGAGGTGACTGCTAGATCGAGTGTGGGTGTTGGCGGAGGTGGACCAAGAGCGTCAATCGCCGCGAGGTCTAAGAAGTCGGGAGTTGGAAGAGGTTCAGCCGATGCGATGCAGGAGAAAGCAAGGCTGACCAGCAAAGCAGAGAAGAGCATAAGGTCTATGAACCGAGATTAGTCTGGTGAAGAGAGGTTGTAGGCTTGAGTGAGTCGACTGTCAGCTGGTCTGGAGAGAAGACTGCTGGGGACGGAGGACGGACTTTGGATCTTTTATAGATCATCTTCACAGAAGCAGACCCACACTCCACAACATTGTAGAATCGGGGATCCGGGTCTGGATGTCTGGGAGAACAGCTGAACAGGAGCTGAGCATGGTGGTAATTGGAACCGAAGTCGGAGAGCCAAGATGGCGATGCGAAGACTCCAGCTGTCCGAAAGGGACTGAGGGCGTTCGGAGAGGCCGAGTGGTAGTCTTGGAAGGCGTCTGGGGACGTCGTAGGGGCGTCGGGACAGCAATGTGTTTAGTTCCAGCATATACCACCACTTTTCACCAGATAGCAATGACCTCAAAGAACAGAGCGCTGTGAAGCCGAGTCTATAGGGTTTGTTGACAAGTAGTCGCATTCGACGTGGTAGACATCGTTGGTACCTGACTATCACGAAATCTGCCCCATGATATTGATCTCCTGGATGGAGAGAAGTCGGCAAAGTTTAAATCAGCCCAGCTGAAGTTGGCTCGTGTTCGCCGTTCCTTGCAGCTGTGCCAAGATTCGAACAACCACGTGGTGTATTCTGGATTATGTTAGCCGGCAAGCTACCCAAATTCTCCAAGCTTCCAGCTGGAGCATGCGTGCAAGGGTCTCTGATGTGCGATGTTATGAAAGTAACTAGTCAAGGCATCCTTTCAGCACGCTTCAGAAGTCAGTCCGTTGTGAGTGCGGCTCTTCCACCAACTTCGTAGCGTCAGCTGGAGTCATGGGACCTACTGCCATACCGATCCCCAAGACCCAGGCAGACCGTTGCCGCCAGTTCAAGGCGCAAGAGATGTGCTGGCCTGTTCAATTCCAGATCTGAAGAGGGCCCTGCAGATAGATCTGGGATAGTATCACGTTTCCACCACTGCTATAGATCTATAGATACCACAAGCACTATTGTTCGCGTAAGAGGGCGTCCTCTGAGTCAACTCGCGACGAGGCATGGTGCATCTTCAGGGTCACGAAGCGCGGTACATGCTTCACGCAATTCTGCTTCCGGTCAAATACAACCTCTGCACTTGGCTGGAGCAGAATTCAGCATACTGATTCACCCAGATGACCGACCACATGGACCTCCTGGGATTGTCGCACAATGTGGCAGATGTTCTATACATGTGGTCTACCCTACAGGCCTTTAGCAAAAGGGGAGGACATGAAGTTCAATAAGGAGCCGGTCCTTGTTCATCGTTGCTATAGAGCTATGTAGTCGTCTACACTCTCAAAGTGTTCATTCCTTACAAACAGGTCTTCTGTCTACAATCAGATCTTCTCAATGTTGGAGACCTCCATCTTTGACATATCGCTAGAGTCGCGGGACATCGACTTCTCGTTTCCAGGCAAGACGCCTGCTCTGCGAGCGGCAATGTCGCGCTCCAATCTCTCGCGGACCTCGGGGGAACGAGCGAACAGGGCGTCAATCTCTTCAAGAGTCTTGCCGGTAGCTAACAAAAGCATTTAGTATCAAGTCATGAATATGCTGAAACTGTGTTGGTAGGACTTACTCTCAGGGCACAAGAAGTAGACGTAGGCGGCAGCGAGGAAGCAGCACAACAGGGGCCAGATGAAGATCTTGGGGCCGACGGCGTTAATACCGGTGCCACCACCGAAGACCATGACGAAGGTCGAAAACCATTCACCTGCAGCTCCGAGACTGCCAGCAACGTGACGATATTTTAGAGGTGCAATCTCGGGACCGTAGATCCAGCAGGTACCGAGCCAGCCGAAGGCGAAAACAATCTCGTAGAGAATGATGATGGCGACAGCACCCCAGTTCGTACCGGCCGACTGCATGTGAGCTGGAAGGGTCGTGAGGACCACGTAGATGAGCATGCAGACACCGCAACCGAGTGCAGACCTGGCAAGTATCAGTATTGGTTCATTCGAGCAGAAGGTAGATTGTTGCAGGTACTCACCAGATCATCATGGCACGACGACCGACTTTCTCAATGTACCAGATAGGAGGGTAGGACGCGATTGCGAAGGCAGTGTTCAGAACACCAGCGAGGATACCAGAGAGGAGAGGAGAGTAGTTGAGATTGCTGAAGATCTGAGTCGAGAAGTACACCAACATGTTGATACCGAGGAACTGTTGAGCCTGACGACTTGTTAGTTTGGAAAAGCAAAAGATTCGAGACATATACGTACCCAGTTGATCAGGAATGATGTGCGTAGACGGCGGCCAAACTGCAACTCGGTGTTGTCCCAGAACAGGGAGACGATGCTGATCTTGCCGGTCTCATCTTCCTCCTCCATGGAAGCCATGATGTCGGCTTTGACGGCTTGAACATTCTGGTGTTCGACTGGCAGCCCGTGAAGACGCGCCAGCACCCTGTCGCCCTTGGCCTCCTTGCCGCGGGCATAGTACCAACGCGGGGTATCAGGCAACATGAACAAGAGTACAGCGGAGAAGATTGCGAAGCAGCTTTGGAGTGCCAACGGAATGCGCCACAGCCAGGGGTGTCTATCGAGCCCTTGAACGAAGCCAAGATCGATCCAGTACGCCAGAGCCACACCAGTGATGAGAAGGGCAAGCTGATACGAGACCTCAGGTCCTCTCTCCTTGGCCTCAAGGGACATTTCGGCCTTGCAGACTGGTCAGCAGATGTCGTAATGCGGTTTGGGACTAGCCTGATATGACATACCATGTAAGTAGGAACGGCCGCAGCGATATTCCCGATCCCAGCTCCAGTTACAATACGACCGACTATGATCTGTCCAACGCTGTAGGTACTCGCTTGAAGAAGGGCACCGATGCAAATGAGCAGACAACCCAGAAGGATGGTGCCCTTTCTGCCGATTTGCATTCCGTAGAAACTGACGCAAAGTGACATGACTCCGGCCGCGAGATTGTAGATGGCGGCGATGATAGGGATAATCTGAGAAGGGTCAATCGCATGCTTCGAGTTATTGTCTCAGTGAGGTGCGTACGAATGCTCCCTGAGGGTCGCCGATTGCAGCGCGGAACTCCTTGGTCTCCTGAATACCACCAAGAACACCGGCGTCCCAACCGTAAAGCATAAAAGCAGAACCACAAGCTGCACTCATGATTTTGTAGAGCGTCTTGCCCTGGATGCCATCGAGATAGCCCACCATGGTTGATTAAATTGTAGGGTGTTGATGGAAAATTGATTCAGATTGAGATGTGTCTCTGAGAAAGCGACGACTGCTGTATATATAACGATCGCTGCTGCGATCCCGCGTGGCCGTTCACAGTACGGAAGGCGAATAAGGTTCTTCCCCAGAACGTGGCCTAGTTCTCGATGTATGAGAGTCGTCGTCCAAGACACGGCGAAGGATACAGTCCGTACGCGCTACAAAGGGCGGGGTATGGGGATCCTGGGGTTGTCGATGAGCCAGAACCGGCGCGACAGACGACAAGTCTCCTGTACACGAAGAGTGCAATCGGTACAGCGAGTATTGTCCGAGTCTTCGTTATCCATACAGGCCACAACGAGCGAGTATGGTCGCCACAGTTGCTCCGAAATTCGAACCGTGGCAAATGCTTTTGTAAAGCTTCTCCGGAAACCGCAATCCAGAGCGCCAGCGGGACGAAACGTGCGGAAAGCTCCTGCGTAGGTGGCTTGAGTTTTGGAATTTCAGCGACCTCGTGGTTTCCGAAGCGCTTTCCGGACACATTCAAGCGCTGGTCCCTACCCATTACGATGCAGACGCAAACAGCAGTTGAAACATGGCGACAGGGTGGAGACAATCGATGCGGGGTGGTGCGGAGAGAAGGGTGAAGCCGTTCAAGGGCGGGGGCTCCGGTGACAGCAAAGTGCATTGTTTGCAAACAGTTGATCTGAGCTCGACTTTCTCTTCCCTTAATACCACTACAGACTGATCAGAACCACCACATACTCTTTTCCAAAAATGTCCTCTGAGATTCGGCCATTCAAGATCAACATACCCGACGCCGAAGTCGAGCGTTACTATCGCAAAATCAAAGATACCAGGGTTCCCACTCAGGATATCGTCGAAGGCGCAGGAGCCGAATACGGCTTCACCACAGAATGGGCAACTGAGTTGTACAAAGTCTGGACCGACAAATACGACTGGCGAGAGCAAGAGAAGGAAATTAACCAGTGGAATCATTTCACCACTGACATTGAAGACTTCAACATCCACTTCATACACCACAGATCCGAGAATCCAGATGCAATTCCTCTGCTCCTCGTTCATGGTTGGCCGGGTTCGTTCTACGAATTTAGTCAAGTCATCAACAAATTGAGCTCGAGTTCTGCATCGCCGTCTTTCCACTGTGTTGTGCCGAGTCTGCCTGGGTTCGGATGGTCCAGTAGACCTCCAAAGGGGTGGAAGCTACAACAGACTGCTCGGCTCTTCCACACACTGATGCAACGCCTCGGATACGCCAAGTTTTGTGTCCAGACCGGTGACTGGGGCCATTGGATTGGTCGCGAGCTTGGTGCAAATTACTCCGACACTTGCAAAGTCGTGCATTTCAACTTCGCGCCTGCACCTCTGCCAGAGAACGTCAACTTGACAGATCGAGAAAAGATAGTACAAGGTCGTGTTGACGATTGGCTCGAGAACCACATGGGCTACGCAATCATGATGCGAACACGACCACACACCATCGGCTGGATGCTGCAAGACAATCCCGTCGGCATCATGGTCTGGCTTGGAGAGAAGTACAACGAAGCTGCTGATCCAGAGAAACAGAAGTCAGAGGAGTGGAAAAAGCACATCTTGACGACCGTCTCGATATACTACTTCAGCAACTGCATCATGACCTCAAGCTTGCCGTACTACGAGAATGTAAGACACGAGAACTTTGCGGCTTTTGCCATGGAGCCGGGGAACAGGATCAAGGCTCCATTCGGCTACACGAGCTTCTGGTGGGACACTGAGCCCAGTTCGAAGAGGGCTGTGGAGCGGACCGGAAACATGGTCTTCTATCGTGAAAGGGATGATGGAGGCCACTTTGCTTGTCTCGAGTGTCCGGACGGCATTGTGGAAGACGTGAGAGAGATCGTGAGCAAGCACTGGAATGCAGGATGATGTACAGCCTTCTTGCAGATCACCACTTGGTATGACCTTTTTCTTCCGATCAACAGATCAAATCTTTTGCTCGAAGTCGTTGACGAATGCACGAAGTCCTTTTACGCGTGAACCGGCACATGCAAGATCGCGATATTGAGACACTTAGACCACGTAGGCGGTACGCGGTCATCCACCGTGTTGCTATAAATTCACGATGTTGCTGTGAAGGATCGCCTCCTGAGAATACATTGTACCAGCGCCAGATGCACCATCTCCAGGTGGATTGGGCTCAGCGATACGACACGGCTCAGCTGTGTAGGACGCGATACTCAGAGATGCATGCACAGCCAGACCGTGAAACAAGTTCCGGATCGTCGTCGCGCAGAACGTCACGATCGAAGGCCGAAAGTCCTTCGGAGAAAACGAGGGACGAAGTTTAAGCCGGCAGGCGCTGAGTATTTCCATTTTGAAGAAAGCCGTTGCAGCCACATCTGCGACAAAAGTCAGCGCTGAAGCTCTCCGATGCTCGGCTGCCCCGCACTCAGTCGACCCCTCCAGTTGGTCTGACAATTACCCTGATGGACAATCCCCGCAGACCATGTCATTGTTAGTGCGTCGATATTGTGTATATGTTTGCTCTTGCCTGCAAACACAGATGGTCCCAACATCCCTCTCCCCCATTCTAATTCGGAACTTCCTCTAGGAACATGCCTTCTCTCAATCCCACACAAATTGACGACGAGCGGTGGCAGCATGGCTTTACCTTCGTCGACGATGCGAATGAAGTCAGGATCCATTACATCGACTGCCCTCCCAAATCACAATCCAAGGGCACTGTTCTGCTGATCCATGGCTACCCAAACACTTCATACCAGTGGCGACACGTCATCACTCCCATCTCAGACGCTGGTTACAGAGTCATCGCTCCAGACTACCGCGGCGCCGGCGACAACAACCACCCTAGGTCTGGCTACGACAAGGTCACCGTAGCCGATGATCTTTACAAAGTCGTCCATGACCATCTCGGTATGCCCTGCTCGAATTACGCCCGACCCGTCAACGACTGACAATTCCGTAGGCATCAAGGACAAAATCCACGTCGTCGGACAAGATATCGGCGGTATGATTGCTCACGCCTACGCCGCGACTCACGCAGACCACACCCGCTCCGTCATGTTTGGCGAGTGCCCACTCCCCGGCTCCACACCATACGAATCAGGATTCAAGACGTCACCAGGAATGTGGCACTTCACCTTCCAGCAACAACTCGACCTGCCCGAGCTCCTCACACAGGGCAAAGAAAAGATATACATCAAACACTTCTACGACAGACTTTGCTTCAATCCCGCGGGCATCGGTCCCAGAGATGTGGATCATTACGGTGCAAGCTTCTGTCAGCCTGGTGCGATGAGAGCTGGCTTCGATTTGTACCGTGCCTTCCCGCATGATGCAAAGGACAACCAGGCGATGTTGAAGCGAGACGGCAAGCTCAAGATGCCTTCGGCCGCATTGAGTGGTGAGATGAGTCTGCTCAGACAGGTTGCCATGGACCAGACGCACGAGTTTTACGACGACGTTTCCGAGGTCATTGTAGCGAGAAGTGGACATTGGACAGCCGAGGAGAATCCGGCCAGTTTTGTGGATGGTGTTGTCTCGTTCATCAAGAAGCACGATTAGTACATATGAAGCATCGCATCGAATCGGATTGTTGTACAATTTCGTTTCTATCCATTGTTGTGGTCTAGTCTTGTGAAGCAAAGCACAGAGTGTCTACGCAATTTTCTAACCACCTCTCATTTTTTGTATGAATGCAGCCGACTCGGCAGCGAACTTACACTTTTCGCGAATCTTGGGGCCAAACTTATAGAATAAGAACTGTCTTTGAGTCAGTGATAGTTGAGCCGAGCGTGTCGAGATAAATACTGACCGGCATAGGTACACACATGAGCGAAAGAAAGGCCGGGATAGTGCTGGCCCAATGGATGCCCAGATTGGCATACATGTAAGAGGTGAACAGCGGAAACGCCATACCGAACAGGCTTCTCAACACTGAATTCGCAGCAAGAGCGCTGGCCGCATAGATGGTATAGGCGTCGATGAGATAGTTCATCACACCGAGGAAGACCAGAATCATGCCGAAGCCAAAGGGCGCGCCTGCGGCTATTGAAGCCATCCAGTGGATACTGGGGCTGTTGGTCCATGCGAACCAGAAGAGACCGATTGGGAGTGCGCAAGCTCCTACCATAGACATGGGCAGACGGGCTTCAGGGGGAGCAAACCCGCCGCACGAAGCTGCGACTCGCTTGTATCGTTTGTTGTCCCATAGGCAGTAGACGATGGCCATCAGCATGCCTACCGCGACACCTAAGAACGCAAGACCACCAATGCCTGGAGACCATCCGCGCTTCTGTTGGTAGACGATGGGAAACGCGGCGAAGAGCAAGTAAAGTGTTCCGTAGATGATTGCCCTGGAAACACGAAGCTTGTTAGACGTCTGAGCCGTGGAGGTAGTGTGAAAGGCTTACATGTAAATGCTGAGAAGGAGAACGATCGGCTCCCCGAACAACAGTTTCCAAGGTCGGATGAGTGCGGTGCTGAAGACTTTCGAAAATTGAGTCGGCCCAGATGTGATCTCGGCTCTAGATTTGTACACTTTTCCTGGGTTGGCCTTCTCAAGAGCGCGTGCTCGCTTGCGGAGGAGGACCGGAGCATATGTCTCAGGGATGAGTAGAGACCCGGCAACCCAAAGAACGCCGGTAAAGATTGCCATGATGCCTTCTACCCAACGCCAGCCAATAGTCTCTCCGGCAAAACCGCCGACGATGGGACCAATCACGGGGCCCAGAAAAGGTGCTGAAGCAAAAAAGGTCATGGCCAAACCACGCTGGTCGGCGTCGAACATGTCTGCGATGATACCACCGGCATTCTATTATGGTTAGAGAAGAGAACAGAGCTCAAAACGAGAATTCGATTGCTTACAGTCAACGGCGACGAACCGAAAGAACCCGCAAAGAATCGCATGAGCAGAAGCGTCGTGATATTCTGCGCTCCTGCAGCTCCGGCGTTGAAAGCCGTGAGAGCAGCATACGTTCCAATGAACAGTACTTGTCGGCCAAAGATTTCGGACATGGGCGCCCACATCAAAGGGCCAATTGCGAAACCGAGGACGAAAAGCGACACGCCCAGAGTCACAATCAACTCGCTCGTGTGGAATCGCGCGATGACCTCGCTGAGACCTCCAGTATAGGCACTCGACACGAACGCTACGGCCAGAGTGGCGATCGAAACCAGAGCGACGAGGCACCACTTGTTCCAATCTGCCCATGTCATCGGATTGCGAGGATCGTTGTCTATCCAAACGACGACATAAGGATCTTCTTCGGTGCCGGAACCTGCATATGGCCAGTTCAGAACGGCGGGAGTGATCAGAGCCTGATCGCGTACCAGGCGGAACCAAGACACAGATTGGGAGGTGTCGTACTGTGGTTGGGTATCAACGCCATTCTCCAGATCCGATTGTGTCGACTTCTCAGACATGACGGTGAAGGGTTATTATGAGTTCCTCAAGAAATTTAGTTGGATAGGACATGGTGAGAATGAGAGGGGTCGATGGGTTTTGTAGGTTAGCATGACGGGTGTAGATATGCCCGAGCATTTCATAAGACCGAGTACATCGAACCCGACAAAGAGTGATGCCGATCATCCCTTGCGAACCTTTGCAGATAGGCGGCAGCCCTAGTCTTGACCTGTTCATCCTAATGGTTGGAGGATGCTTATGGAAGCTGTGGTGTGTTGTCAACGGAGCTCTGTGAAGCCGAGGGGAGTTTATGAAAGCTTTGTGCAGCGATCAATCTCTCGGCTTGCTGAAGGCGCCGAATCCGTCGCACAACCACGCACCTTCCTCTCGCATTCTGGAGCACTGCACCATTCGGAAGTCGCTGTAAGCCATGTCCGAGAAAGTTCAATACTTGTTGAGGCGACCTTTGAATGTCACAAGAGCGGCAGTCTGCTTGCGAGAATAATGTATACAAGGATGCACAAATAGACTTTCCGGAAGAGCTTGGAACCGCTTGAGCGAAGATTGGCAGTTGGCATCATAACAGTCAATCAGGTCTCAGCCCGTCGAGGATTGGCGATAGGTAGGTGTTTCTCATCGTCTGTTTGCATGCTTCTTGTCCATCGGTCACAGCGACTCGAGGGTTGCTACACCCAACGAACAGCAGGTCGACCGCGCCGTCCAGTCCGCCGCGACCGCTACAGCTATAGTACCTGCGTGCCTGAGACGTCGCAAGCATCGACAATGTCATCTGGACGCGAGCGCAGTGGCTCAACCATGTCAGTCGAACGACAGCCCAGCGCCTCGACACAGGAGAAAGAGTCGCACAATGGCAACTCGCCAACGCTGCAAAAGACCAACACAACCGCGACGAAGAAGAGGAAACTGCCGCCGTTTCTGGACCACTTCAATACGCGCGACCTCAAGATTCTCTTCCGCTGCTCGGTCGCCTTCTGGGTCACCTCGCTACTCATCGTCATCGAGCCCACGTTGCAGACTTTCGGCAATGCCACCTTCTTTGGCTGTATCGTCGTCGTCTTCTTGCCTCCTTCTGGAGTCGTGCTCGTCTTCCTCCTGGGCGCCTTTACCATGATTCTGGGCATGGGTCTAGCATGGGCATGGGGTGTTGTCGCCATGAAAGCCGCCCAAGCGACCAGACCACAAGCCGAGACCCTAGCCCGTTTGCAGGCCTTGGGCATACAAGCCGCGAAGAATACGGGCGCGACCACATACTCTCCTGCCAGTGTCTTGGTCTACAATGGCTTCATGCTCGACACCAGAGTTACCGTCACCTTCTTCTGCATGTTGTCTCTCTTCATCTACTTCATGGCCAGACTCCGCATCAAAGCGCCCAAATTCGCCCTCACTGCCATCTTTGCTTGGATTGTCACCGACGTCTTCCTAACCATCGGTCCTCTGCTTCCTTCGTTCCAGGGCACGATCCCTCAAGTTTTGATCAAACCCGCCGCCGCTGCCATCGCCATCAGTCTTGCTTGTTCGATGCTCATCTTCCCTGAGTCGACTTCCCACATGACCTTGTTCGGCATGCACAAGCTTGTCACATCCATGGCCAGCTCTCTCGACCTCACCAGGAGCTTCCTCAACAACTACCCTGACACATCCCACCTGGAATCAATGCAGGCCCTGAGAGCTGGAGTGCTCGGAGGTTGGGCTGCTCTCGAGCCGGCATTCGGCTTCCTATCCTTTGACCTCTCCTTCGGCCACTGGAGTGCTCAAGACATTGCCTCGCTGCGGGAGCCTGTCCGTCGTGTCATGATCGGCTCCATGAGTCTGCTTGCTTTTGAGATTCTCCAAGGGCGATCGCGGGACAGGATGAAGCAGCTTGCATCCAACGACATCAGAACTCAAGAGCTGGCAGGAAAGGAAGACAAACAGAAGAAGCACACATACGGGAGACACCAAGTCATGCAGAGTCTAAATCTCGTCGATGCGCTCCGCGAACCAGAAGCTGTTCAGTCAGTTTCTGACTCGTACCAAGCATTATCACGAGCGAGTGATCCGCTACTCGAAGCTTGCAAGAGCGCGTTCCAAGCCATGGCACATAGCATCCACGAGAACAACAGCAGAAGATGGTTTGGCAGGATGTCTGCTGAGCAATTCGCAGAGATGAGGCAGTCACATGTTGATGTGCTCGAACACTTGCGTGAGGAGAGGGCCAAGTTTCCTGACGTCGCCAACGAAGCGCTGTTCGCGTCTCACCAACATCTGTTCGACGAGAATGGCAGGTTCCACGGACAGACTTCGGAGAGGCGCAAGCTGGGTGGCATGTTCTTCGGCTTCAACTTCGAAGACCGCCTCCTGATCTTGGCTGCGGCGCTTGAGCGAGCTCTGGAACAAATCACCCTTCTTGAAAAAGAGCGTACCAAAGTGAGGATCTGGTTTCCGACAGGTCTACGCAAGTTCGGGGCCTGGGCATTCGGTGGCTCGCGTGCACCAGCAATCGGTGCTTCGTCGATCGATGACATGCCTCAAGCAGACAAGGCGACCATCGAAGAACTGCAGCAAAGTTTCAAACGAGTACACAAGCCGACAAGAAAGCGCAACAAGATCTCCTCGGTGATTCTCGGCTTTGGACAATGGTTGAGAAACGATGAGGGCATCTTTGCTTTGCGAGTACTTGTTGCCACTCTTGCAGCAGCTATACCTGCAGTGTGTACCACATCGGCTGGTTTCTACTATCGCGAGAAGGGACTATGGGCCCTGATCATGGCACAAACCGGCACGGCTTCTTTCTCAGCCGAGTTCAACTTCGCATTCACGACCAGAATCTTCGGCACCATCACAGGAGGTGTGCTAGGCATGCTTGGATGGTAAGTTTCGATCTCTTCCACAAATATCAGACGCTGACAAACCAAGGTATATTGGAAGCGGCAGTGGTACTGGAAATCCTTATGGCTTGGGGGCTGTTCTCGCTGTCTATGCTGTGATACTGATGTGGTTCCGCCTCTATACCCCACCTCAGCTACTCCAGGCAGTGATGATTGGTGGTGCTACGGTCATTCTGGTCATCGGATATGGCTACATTGACACCCACATTCCTACTTACGGCAACCCAGGATGGGGCTATGAAGTCTTCTGGCGGCGTACAGTCCTCGTCCTCGTCGGATTCGCCATCTCGTTCATCGTGACTTTACTTCCCTGGCCTTCGTCACTCTCAAGGAACATTGCCCACAAGCTTTCTGGTGTACTCGACAACGAGGCCGATCACTATGCCGCACTACTGTCTTCGTGGTCTGATCTCGATTCTCACGATAAACATACTGTTGCTGTCGAGGCAGTGACCATCCAGCTCGCCGGACAACTGAATGCCTTGAGCGGTCCCATCGGAAGTCTCAAGTTCGAGCTGTCGTCCAGTGTTTTTGACTCGACGACCTGCGGGCGCATCAAGTCAATCGCAGAGTTTATCAACTACCAACTCGCGCATTTACACATTCGCGCCGCCACACTGACACCCGAGCTGCGTCACCGCTTCACCAACGCATCTGGAATCCTCGATCACCGTTCCATTGCAGATGTCATGGTTGTGATGAGTATCGTTGCCCAGAGCTTGAAGACCGGCGATCCTTTGCCTGCGCGACTGCCGACGCCACTGCTGAAGAAGTGTCTGGAGCATGGACATGGCACAGCTGTCGAGAACTTGACCATCGATGTATTGAAGAAGGAGGGTGTCAGAGGATATACTGTTTGCATGAGCGCGTACCTCGGGTTTCTGTCGGGTATCGACGAGCTCGTACTCGCGCTCAAAGAGGCAGTTGGTGAAGCACACCATATTCCTGATGATCTGAAACTTGCTTGATAGAACCAGTACCGTACTAATATCATCACTTCTGACACTTCCAGAATCTATCTAACCCGGTTGTGATTGACTTGTCTCCAGGTTCAACATCGAATATCTACTGCCAAAAGTTATAGAGAGCGTAGCCGCCATCCTTCTCCAACATATCCCGAAAAGCCTTGTATCTGCTACTCTTGCCATCCTCGGGGTGAACATAGTACTCTTCGATCCACTCAAGCCACTCAGGACCTAGTAATGGGAGATCCGTCCATAGTTCAATGTCTCTGTTCCAGATATGCAATGTCTGCACTTTTAGATTGCGCAATTCGACTATCCAGTCGACCAATCGTTGCATAGCGGAGTGATCGGCGGGACTTTGCTTGATGAAATTGAACAATTCGGACCAGACTGTACAGAGAGCGGCGTACGAATGTTGTTCTGCCCGTTGTGGGGATGCATCGGAGGTCACGGATTGAAAGAGAGCGTTCGTGGCTTGTGCGGCTGATGCGGCAGATTTGTTACGACTCTGATGATTGTAATCAGTTTTCCAACCTACCGAAACATGATCTAGGCACATTCGTACATAGTCTTCGACTGGTACGTCAAGTAACGTGACCAGTATATGGAACATTGCTGTCTCGTGCGCTGAAGCTTCATCATCTGCCGAATGCACCGAGATGGGTGGTGTTCCACATTTTGCTGTCAGAGAGGCGTTTGACATGTCAAATTTGGGCACCCGGCGTCGCATCCGCTCTCCTAGACTTTCGTTCTCTTGGAAAAGACTTTCATCTAGATGAAGAAGATCATTCATGGCTCGTACACGGATTCTTTGCGTTGTGTGCGATGCGAAAAAGATGGTGCCGTGAGAGGCAGGGTCGGTATCGTAGCGAAGAGCCAAGATTTGGGATCCTTCCGCGGAGGCGTTGCCATCAAGCCGATGTTGGAGACGTTTCGATACATACATGTTCTCAACTCACGACACCACGGCCAAAAATCAAGGGAGACAAGCATTTGCCTTGGCGGTCTGTGAATAGTTTCTCAAGCTCGTTGCCTCGTTACAAATGCTCTCACGCCTTTGCATCCCTTGTATGGCTGCCCATTGAAACAGTCCCGGACTATTGTAAAGTCCCTTTGACTTGTCTTGTACGAATCAAAATCGAAGCGACGGAAGACTTTTGCGATGACGAGATAAGCTTGTGCATGTGCAAGACTGCGATTATCGTTAGCAGATAGGATCGCTTGCTAATATTCTGATGAGCTTACTTCATGCCGACACATCCTCGACTACCCTTTGAAAAAGGCACGAGGAATTCTTTGTCGCCCTATGGTGTGTACGTTCCATCATCTGTCCATCTGCCTGGAAGGAACTCCAGTGGTCCTGGCCAAAGAAAAGGATCCAAATAAGTGAGAAGTCGTCGATACAGGAGTCTAGAGACCGAATTAGTACTGGTAGTTTGAACGTTCGGACTCTGGTTCTGACTCCGGGAGGAATATCGAACGACTCATATCGAAGCATATCATTTGGCGCTACACGTGGTAACTGAGTCGTGAAAATGGCAGATATCCAAAGACCCTCTTGTATGACGGCAGTCTGGTGTTCGCAGTCGAGCAGTCCAAACGATCAAGATGGTTCGGTCTTCCCAGATATGGCAGCTTCTCTAGCTCACACCAGGTGATCTCTCTGTCTAGAGTCGGCATGGCCACATCAAGCTTTTCTCGCAATTTTGCGAGAACGTACGGATTTGCGATCAGATGATAGGAGACGATGATGAGAAGCTGAGTTATGGCTTCACCACCAGCGATCATGAATATGTTTGCTTCATCGGTTAATCGTCGTGGCTGTTTCTCTGCTGGAGGTAATTTGCCACCTGTCAATTCCGAAAAGATGGTAATGTCATCTGAACATTTCATATTCTTCTCGCTGGCCAAGAAGCTCAGGACGTGTCCTTTGATCAGCTGCGATCTTACATCGGCAAGAGAATTTTAGTCGATGGTTTGCCTCACTCGCTGTATAGCTCTTGAAGTACACACCCATTGGCCGATGGACCAACGAAACCCACCGATATGGTATCATTTTGAGAGGAGTCAAGAGCCATGGTATGTATCGTATCAGAGTTGCGTTTTCGAAGGAGCTAATGACGGCTTCTTTCCAATCAGCCGACCTTTGACTAACGATGAAGCCTGCAGGATACTGTGCGGCTATAGGAGGGGTGTTGGCAGGATATCGCCCGCCGATTGTTTCCTCGGTCGAAGTGACGCCCGACAACTTTCCCGACAGCCGTTGTAATTGCGGGCTGCGGTAGCCATCTGAGCAAGGTTTGGGTAGGTCAGTTGCTGCGTTGGCTTAAGTCACCACCGTATTGCAGGCTCAATGCATAGATGTATATTGTCATAAGACCGGCAATGGCTGTTGGAGATTTTCATATATTCAGTCCATTGAGGTCCTTGATCAGGTCATCGACCCTACCTCCTTGGTAACCGACATCGGATGTACTTGGGTCGACTACCCAGGCGGCACTCATCTTGTCTTTGGCTTTGTCTAGCGCGATCTCCAGCTCTAAAGACGCGAAGATCGCTTCCGCTTCGTAAGGTATCGACGTGCACATTTGGGAAGCCGCCTGTTTGATGCTAAGAGCACCATATTTGATTACAGGAACCAACTTCCACGCTCGCTGCAGTAGTCGTAGAATCATGATCAGATTCTGGCTAGCAGAAGGCAGGAAGAACGGACTTGAAATCGACACACTTGGCAAAAGAGCAAAGGCCACGCCTAGTGAGAACTGGGAAAACAAGGTCGGAATCTGCATGTTAGGATAATCCCTGGTGAATTGCCCAAGAACCTCGCAAAGCCTGGCTATAGCTGCTGATATGGCTGGAAGTGCGGGTTTGGTGGGTAGACTGGCGGCCAGCAGAGGCGCGGCGTGAGCACATGGAGTTTCGGGAGTCATTGTGAAGGGTCGAAAAAGCTCCACAATCGCATAGTTATACATGCAGCTGCACGCCATCATGTCAGTTATTTGTTCAGCTGTTTAGGCAAGCGATTGGCATGAAATCTTACTGCAGGGCTAACAGCTGTGGTGTTGCATGGCGCATATCGTAGAGAACAGGGTCCATGGTTTCCCATCGGGCGCGCAGCCTTTCAAATATGCTGAAAGATGCTTCAAGACGAGCACGAGAGATACCACCGCCTTGATAGCGTTGGTGCAATGGACAGATCTCGTTGAGTATTGGAAACAAAGCCCACTGACCACGTAAAATCTTGGCGTCAGAGACAGCGGCACTATCGACTGGTCTGATCACAGGCCAAGGCCATGCGATCCAAGTAGAGATTTGAGGATCTTGACTAAGAAGAGGATAGTTAACAGGTGGTGGGTAAGGCAGAGCAAGAGTCTCCCGGAAGGAAAACTCTAAGAAGCTTGATCGTGGAATTAGCAAAGTGTAGCAAGAATTCACGTCACTGTCATTACCAAAGGTAGCAGAAGAAGCCCCAGGCGAATTTGATCCTGGCCCTGGTTCTTTGAGGGTGAGCAGAATCGTACACGTGCGATACTAAGCCTGTCTGGTAAAGACCAGTATTCAGAGCTGTATGCCGTGCACGGAGTAGATAAGAAAGGCCAGTCTTATCCAATCCCTGGCAGCCGAGCGTAGAATAGAACAAACATCCAGCCACCGCAGTTGCGATATCGGTTCCCAGATGGCTTTCTTCATCAAGCAGTCTACGAGTTTCTGCCATAGCGGTATGGCAGACCATGCGGGCGGTATCTGGATCGAGCAGGTTATAGTTCATCTTGTTGGTTGGTCAGCACAAGAAAGCAAGAAACGTAAAACAAGTCGATCTTACTGCGCCGAAAGCGAGAACAGAATGGACAAGGGTTTTCGAACATGATTCTGTGGACTGACCGAGTAGTCCGTCAAGGAAGTCATCTTCGTCAAACAGACGCATCCAGGTATGGTCCCATGTCAGATACGAGCATATGATATTGCGAAAGACTGTGTCATCACAATACCACACATCCCAATCTAAAGCCCGAACATGACTGAGCCGTGCATCGTGTTGCCATTGAGGTATACTGCCATGAGGTCGCGAAACATACGAGTGCTGGACACTGCTGGGTGTTGTTGTTAGACTTCGATTTTTTGGTGTTGCGTCTGGATCGCTCTCGATCGAAGCACTGAACCCTGAAGTCAGTCCATGTCATGAGGGGAGCAAACTTTGCAAGCCATCGAATACTCACAGCAAAGTTCTGAAGGACGGTAAGGCGCTGGCAGATCCATCAGCCCCTACATTGGATCCTGAGCTGCTAATGGTATTGTTAGCAACGCTCCCACATGATGGGCCCGCCGATGTAACTCTGGCGGAGTCGGCTAGGTCTTGAAGCTTTCGCGAGCCTCTGGCCGGATTTCGATGAAGGTCATGATCTGGTAGATCCTTCAGTCCCTGAGCGAGTTGCAAAACCGCATCGATGTCTTCGCCTGCGCGAAGCAAGCCTAGCATGCGCTGGGCGTCGCGGTCAGAGACAGATTTGAGGCGACTAATTACCTCATGTTCGCCCAAACTTTGACGCTTTAATGCTTCGTGTTTGCGTTTGAGTGCGACGATCGGAGGTGCATCTGGTTCGGCGGCATATATGCAGGCGAGTCCTCGTGTGCAACACTGTTGGCAGGATGGGCGGCTGCCATTGCACTGAAGCATGAAGCTCTCAGTATGAGCATGATCAAAGCTCTGCTGTCGGATGCTTACCTTGGTCTTCCGATTTCGACACGCATCACAAGCTACCTTTGAAAATTTTAACACGACGACGACTTGGGGGGACACGTGCCGTCGACTCAGCTCACTGTGGTTTGTGTTCGTGTCTTGGACTTGGCCGTCGATGGACCAGGTTCGTGTTTGTTCATGATCGCTAAGCTGCGGATAATATGGATTGAGCAGTGCGAGTTTCGTGGCAAATTGTCGTCATAAACTTGATTCAGGACGAGCACATGTCATCTATATGCGATGGCGCCTACGTCAAGAGAGACGAGAGTGTGTGACAGCTTGAGAAACCCAGCCGGCTTGGAAGGGCACGGGCACGGGCTTGGTCGCCACCACTGCAGAATTCGTTGCTCAAGCGACACTCTGGCCTCGGGCCACAAAGCTTCGACAGATGGTCACTCGGCTACTCGTATCTGCCACTGCCACACCACACTCACGCTATATCGCCTTATCACTTGAACAAGACTGTCGATTTCAAGTGCTGCGCGTACGCTCCGAAACGCACAAAGTCAATTAGAGGCCTCTGTGGCGAACAGTACAGCTGCCAGCGCTGCGACAGTGCCCGAGGCTGATCTGATCCCGAGCTTCCATGACCACCACCCTTTGCGACAGCAACACGACCGGCTCCACACAGTCCCAAGCCCGTGTGATGGCAACAAGACCATACCGAACACTTCTCCCAAAGACCATGTCGATCCACGCGCCGTGGCGCCCCTGAACGCCTTGCAGACGTCGTCGAAGCTAGGATCTTGACGCCAGTTCGGGCAGCGTCAAATCGCAAATCGTCCACCCAATCACCACAACCACCTTCAAAAAGTCAGCGAATGGCAGGGAAGCACTTCCCATTGCTGCGAACACGATGCGAAAAGAACGCCATCACATAGAGCGAATGTGGTGGAGGAACAGCCATCTGTAGCTCTGAAGCCACCCACTCATGATGGCATGCAGAAGTCACCTCGATGGAGCTCGACGACAAAAACGACATCTCGCGAATCACTCTGCGTAGCGGCGACATCATTTCCGTGGGTACAATTGTCAATGCCGACGGAACTCGCGCGTCGAACATCTCCGGGATGGTGAACGTCAAACTTCCCATTGAAGCTTGACGTCGCTATACATACATATTCTCTGTCGGCCAACCGCTTGAGAAAAACTTACCCCTCACGGTCGATCCCACTGTTAATCACGTACGCTCCTTTGGAGAAGATACTTATTTGGCTGGATGTCCTCCTCTTGGCCATGACGAAAGAGTTGATGCGGATGACTTTTCATATGCTGAAGATGCATGGACTAGGAGAATCCTCCCAACCATTTTCAGACGGGTCCCCCAGTTCAAAGCTGCCAAGGTCATTAATTCGTGGGTAGGGCATTAGTTCGATCACAACGCTATACTAGGCTACCATATAGATATCTATACCTAAAAAAGGGTACAAGGTTAGAGCATTTTAAGCTACTTTTTTCTAATTTTTTTTCTATCTAAATCTATAGGTGTAAAAGAACCTCCTATTAAATTTATATCCTATAATATATAGTATAGCGTATATAATAAGGCTATAAACATTATACTTTTTATAGAGATCTTAAATCTATACTAAGAGCGTAATAACTTATATCTAAATCTAGATAGCGTAATAATTCCTTCTTTATACGTCTATTCTCCTCTAATTTCTATAATATAGCTATCTAATAATATTACTTAAAGGTATTTTAAGAGAAATTTCTAAGATACTATTATTATAGCTAACTATTCTAGGGAGAATAACTAGTTATAGGGTTAGACTCGTAAAGCGGAGTATTAAGCGTAGTAAAGTAGGTATAGGTAGTAGTATATACTAAAGGGACTATTAGAATAACTAATTAAGTTAAACGTAGGACTTCCTAGTAAAGACCTACCTACCTATATACCTAATAGATAATAAGTATATATACGTTACTCTATATGCTCTATAGTGCTCTATAGAGTAGAGTAGTAGAGTAGAGTAGAGTATATAGCGTTTTCATATAAGGTACTCTATTATACTAAGGTATAGAGAATAATAGAGTAGGCTATACGACCCTATTATTAGTAGGATCGTAATAACTATTTAGAATTTTTTAAATATTTCTATATAAGTTATAATAATAAACTTAGTTTACTTAGTTACTAAAAGCTTAAAAGATTTTTATATCTATAATTATACTTTTTTATAGCTTTAGAATACCCTTATAAGTTAAACTAGCTTAATAAGAGTCTTATAAAAGTAATAGTATAAAAGAAATAAATCTAGTTACTTAGAAATAAATACTTAATATAAGCTTTACTAAAAAGCTATAGCTTACTATATACCTAACTAAGGACTTACTATTAGTTATATAAAGCTAAAGAGTTAAGAATATCTAATAATATATATTACTTTACTAGTTAAAAAGAATATATCTTACTAATAAAAACATTTTATTATAAAAGATTTTTAGATTTATATCTTACTTATTAAGCTTTTAAATAAACTTTAAATACTTTTACTAAAAAGAGAGGATAAGATATACTAAAAGATAAGTATACTATACTTAACTAAAAATCTAGCTACTCTAAAATAAATACTTATAGTTATTACTAGTTAAATAGTTTTAGGATTCTAATTAAAGAAACTTTAGCTAATAGGATAACCCTACTCTTAGAGAAATATCTTAGTTATAGCTATAATCTCTAAGTTCTATAAATAGATATTTATATTATAAGTAAGTATATAGTTAAAAGCTATAGTTAAAAATACTAGTAAGCTTAAAGTCTTAGTTTAAACTAAGCTTAACTAGTCTTTATAACTATATACTTTTTTAGGTCTACCTCTAGTTTTAACCTTTTTAGCTCTACCTCTAGCCCTTTTTTTTTAGAAGTAGTATCTAAAGCCTTATAACTAGTAGTACTAGAACTAGAGCTAGAACTAGCTTAACTAGAGTTATAATTAGAGTTTATATCCTCTATATCTAGTATAGGTCTAGAACTAGTAGAGAGATCTAATATAGGCTTAGAACTAGTAGATAAATCTAAGATAGGTCTAAATCTAGATTTATTAGAGCTAGATTTACTAGAGCTATAAGTAACTAGTTTTAAAGACTTATTAAAGCTATTACTAGTAGAATCTTTAGATTTAGACCTAGACTTAGATTTAGACTTTAAAGGACTATAACCTTCTCTAATTTTACTATCTATATCTTCTTCTAAAGTAGGAATATCTAGATTATAATCTATAGAGCTAGAGTTATTATAAGCTAAGTTTAAGTCTTTAGTAGTAAATATATTACTAGTATCTTTATTAATAGATTTAGCTTTATCTTTTAATATAGATTCTAAACTACTATTAGAGTTACTTAAGAAAGTATCTTCTATATTATAAGAAAAATTACTAATATAAGGTAATAAGTTTATTTTAGGACTTATAGTAGTTTCCTTTTCTAGTCTTAGTAAATTTCTTTTATTTAATCTAGTTTTAGGACTTTTAGAATTAGATATATTATTTTTAGAGCTATTAATAAAGTCTTTAGGTCTTATAAGTCTAGTACTAGGACTTACTATAGTAGATTTATAAGAACTAGAACTACTATTACTAGATATAGATAAAGGTTTTATAATCTTAGTACTAGTAGCTAAATAAGAACTAGTACTTAATTTAGGACTAGTTCCTACTATAGAACTATTATATATAGTAGATATAGCTTTACTAGATTTAGATTTATTACTTAAAGTATCTTTAGCTTTAGAGTTATTAGAAGTATTAAAGTTACTAATACTATCTTTACTACTAGAATGTTATAGCTAACTATTCTCTTAGAAAGAATAACTAGTTATAGAATTAGACTTATAAAGAGGAGTATTAAGTAAGTAAGTAAAGTAAGTAGTATAATATATAGTAGTATATACTAAAGAGACTATTAGAATAACTAATTAAGTTAAATATAGAACTACCTATAGTTATTCTACCTTCCTATATACTTAGACTATCTAGTAAGGAATATATAGTGCTCTATATACTCTATATGCTCTTAACTTTCTAAGAGATTATAAAGAGTAAAGAAAGTAAAGTATATAAGGTAGCTACCTATATATAGAGTACTCTCTACTTTTTTGCTATTTAGTAGAAATTCTAAGAGTAGGATTCTAAAGAGGTAGTAATTAGCATCGTACGTGCTATAGACTAGTACGCTTAACTTAGCTTATAATAGCTATTATATACCTTAGTAACGTCTTTTACTATAAAATTGTAAGAATTACTTATTAAACATTTACTACTTATAATTATGCTCTTATATATCTATAAACCTTATTTAATTAGAATACCATGACACGGTTTACAGATTCGAACCCGCGACCTTCGGCTTATCTCCGGTCATCGCCGAAGCTAGCGCTAAGACCGAGGCTCGCACGCATGGCTTGTTAGCGACTCGAGCCTCGCGCTCCTCTTACTCTAGTGCTCGATAGTCTATGAATCGAACTGCTGTATCAGACCTTCTCATACCACGTTCTAATCATTAAAAGAGTATGATTTAGCCTAGCTACCGGTGTTAGAGACTTCCCGCCTATATTGAGTATAGATCGAAATCGAATTGGTCATCTGACAACCAAAATGCCTGAGAAATCGGTCCGTCGTAAGCGGCACCAAGATTGTCGTATATATCCATGGACCAAGGAAACAGTTCAGTACTTGCTGACTCGGCGACTAACCTGTCGTAGCCATTGAAGTCTCCACTCAATCCCTGCATGGGACCTGATTCCGTCTCAGGTGAGCCTGGATGCTTTTGAAGTGCCGGTCTACGGCGGACCGTGACGATGCCTAGCATGGGAATTCTTAAAGTCAGACTTTCCTGGCTCAGATCCTCATTACACATATAAGAATTGAGAGAGCAAAGAGCGATTGCTGCTTTATGGGCGAAGTCACCGCCTGGTCTGTCTGATGCGGTCTTCATGGCTGGCAGGAGTTGGTTGAACAGATCGGCAGATCTGATTTGCTGAGGCAGTTTCGTGGTCACCACTTGGGCGCTTGTCTCGCTATAGGTCCACAAGATAAACATGGCAGCTGTCATTACTTGAAAGTCCAGCACTCTACATAGAGAGATACCAGATGGTATCAGTGGTCGCAAAGTGACGTAGCGCCATATCATGCTTCGGCATGCATCAATGCAGGCATTATAGTGGTGTCCATATCGACCTGCGTCGTCATGTTGCAGTGCAAAGCACAAATGCGTTCGCACGACTAGGTATTGATGCCAGAATTGCAACATGTGATCCGCTGAGAGATAGCTGGTCAGGGAGGCGAACCATCCTTCAGGTGTGGACAAAGCGAGATCCTCGAGTGCTTTATGGATCTCATGTACTTGCGCCAGCTTGCTGATGTCTGATTTTCCGGCGGCGCTAGACTCGTCCAACGTCTGTATCTGGAGGGCCATGTCGGTCAGGTAGCGAAGGTAGACCTGGGGTACAACTTTGCCATCGCGTAAGAGAGGTTTTGGAGGTGATAGCCGGTACGACCCTGTTCCTGTGGGGAGACCAAACATTGTGCCAGCGAAGCGATCAAGCATGCAGATGCCCTCCCAAAGGTCTGATGCTATCTGGTAGCGACGAAGCTGTTCAAGACTAGTGTTTGTAATGTCTAGATGGGCTACAGTGCGGGGCAGGCCGATCATTTCGGCAAGGGCGACGATGCGTCTTAGCTGTAGCCATGTCCTCTTGATGTTGACACATGCGAGCGACCTAGACTAAGTTCAGTATGGTCGGGGTCAGAAACGTACGCGAGCGTGAGCTAAGAGCGACTTGCAGAGACCTGAATGGTCCTGACAAGTTGAATATTCTTGCGGGGACGCTGATGCAGAAAAGCCATGGGGAATGCTTTGTCACTTACAGTCTGATGAACAGTAGACTAGTCTCGATACCTTCTAGTGTTGCGGCAAGTGCGTCCTCAACAAGCACAACTCGATGTACTGCTACGGAGATTGTCTCAGGGAAAGCAGCGGGAGAACACATGCTCAACCCGAGTGATTCGAGATCTTCGGCTGGTATCTGACGAACAGTGAGAGCCAACGACAGCAGTAAATTCGCGACGGATCTGGCATCGATGTCGGGCTTGCAAGCTTCGTTATAATGGTCTAGCATATCTTCAGCTGAAGCTGTCATCTGGACACCAGGGAACAAGCTAGTGTAGACGCGCGACCAAACGAAAGAATGCGCTGAAAGGGCCACAACGTCACTCCTTGCCGGCAGAAGAGGCTGCAGATCCCGTCTTGCAGAGTGGTTGAGTGCCTCGAGGTCGACGAGCGATGTCTGATCCTCAGTTTCCTGCCAAGTTTTTTCTGTGCCTTGCGAGTCCAGGATGTGGGTATCAAGAAGCTGGTGAAGATGGCACCGCGGGTGAGCATGACTCAGATTGTTTTCTCTGGACGTGTGGTCAGACTGCTCGACGGGCGCTTCCGAACGATTGTGCTCGCTTATCGGCAGTGATACTGCCACATCGTGGTCCTGTTGATTGATTGGCGATTTGAGGGCAATATGGTTGGTGGTAGCTCTGTCGTCACCGGATTGCGCTCGTGCGCAGCTTGTGAGCGTTGCCTCAAGACTGCGAACTGCAGCCCACAGTAGATTGACCTCATCTTCTAAGACGCGGGTCCGCTGTGACTCGCTTACTGAAAGATTGCTGTCCGTTGATGGGATGAGGGTCTGCGGACTACACGGATGGTCTCGGATTTGACAATTGCTGCAAACTTGGGTCGTATCGGCAGGCCAGACGCAGCGCACCTTGCGTCGTTTGCCTGTACGTGTCAGATTGATAAAGCATAGCAGACGCAGTGCAAATACTCACACTCAGCACAACTCTTCGTGCCCTTGCGCAGATGACGGACTCGCGGCCCCTTTGGCATGCTCGAGGTGTTCGGGTAGGTGTGTTGACGTAACGGAACTTTTCGGTCGAAAGCAATTTTGTAATTCGGCCGAACGTTGTTCCAAGACGTCCAAGAACGGAGCTCTGGATCAATGCCGCGAGCATCCGCACAATTATCTACTACAAGCGGTCTAAACGCCGTACATAAAAGTGTCTCGTGACGTAAGCCGCTCAGTCTAACCATGTTCTAGGTCGCTTGGCTTCAACGCACAAAGGCAATCCTTCGCCCGTCCCATGCTCCTCGGCCGAAAATTGCGAAGAACGTGAGTGATATTTAATAGTGTCTCGCTGGATTCAACCCACCTCGCTTTCCCACTTCACATCACACCGCGCCGATCCAATCATTCATCTTGTTCATCAAGCAACAATCGCTGTATTCCCTACCATGGCATCCCCAACTGTCATCGTCTTTGGCCCCACTGGCAATGTGGCTCGCGTCGCGGCCATCACAGCTCGCAAGCACGGCGCTCAAGTTGTCCTCGCCATGCGAGACCCGAGCAAGGAGATTAACGGGATCAGACATGAGGAAAATGGCTACGAGAGAGTGCAAGCCGATTTGACCAAGCCTGACACTATCCGCGAGGCAGTTCTGAAGACTGGCGCGAAGAAAGCTTTCATCTACCAAGTGCACTCCTCCGACCACCTGAAATCCAGCATTGAAGCACTCAAAGAGGCTGGCATTGACTTTGTGGTTTTCATGAGCAGCTTCACCATCGTCGATGCTGGCGGCGATCTGGAAGCCATCTCTCCAAAAGAACACATTCCATACTCGCATGCTCGCGTCGAACTCAGTCTCCTTGAGGTCTTTGGACGTGAGCACTTCGTTCCCATCAGGTCAGGATCTTTGGCGACGAACCTCATGATGTTCAATGGACAAGCTGTCAGGAACGGCCACGTCAGCTTGTGGGCGCCTGAGTCCACATCCGACTGCATCTCCGCGGATGACCTCGGTGAAGTTGCAGGCACAGTCCTCGTTAATGGTTCCGACAAGAAGATAATTTATCTTTTCGGACCTGAGCCACTGTCACAGCAGAAACAGATCGAAACAGTCGCACGTGTTCTGCAGAAAGATATCAAGATCGATACGATCTCTACAGAAGCAGAGGCGGTGGAGGCATACAAAGCTAAAGGCCTCCCAGAGGCGGTTGCCCGGTTGATCGCTGCCAACCTGGCGCAAAACACTAAGAGCTTCGCGGCTCGCGAGCCCCAGATTTACCGTGAAGGTGTTAGCAATGTTAAGGAGATCACAGGTCACCCCTCGACTAGTTTCCAGGACTTTGTGTCATCGAACAGTCACTTGTTCCAGTAGATAGATAGTCTTCTCCTTTGTAAAACCACTTAGACTTAGCGTTAGAAAGTCCTAACACTAGAAGACAAAAAACTTGAGTCGAGTTGTTTGAATTTTGGTACAAATTTAGGGTTTAGGGTTTAGATGAATGAGTCGAGTTTTTTGCTTTAGGTTAGGGTTAGGCAACATTCCATTCCTTTCTATATAGCTACATTCTGCTCTTAAATTAAGGTATACACATAAGATAAGGAAAAGTAGGTAAGGAAAAACCTCTAGAAATATATATAAGAGATGTATTATAAGGCTAGGTTATTAGTTAATGCTATAGCCTATCTAGTTTCTTACTCGGAGGCGGATAAGGAGGACTAAGATGTATTTATCTAGCCATTTAGCAGTGCTAGGAGTAAAGGACCTCTATAACTCCTTATAGGTCTATAAGGTATCTTTTCTAAGTAGTCCGCCTTAGCTAAGGATAAATGGCTTAAATGCCTAGCTAAGTACTCGGTATTTATTCCTTTTAACTTATTCTTCTGTTATAAGGGTTATATATAGATCTGCCTTTACTTATTCCTTTATAAGAGAGATTATTAATATATCTAGGTATAGGGTTCCTTTTAGATTATTAATCCTAATGTCTATACGGATGTCTCTATAGTCGCCTCTTAGTTTAAGGAAGACTTTATTATCTAGGTTAGTCCGTAGGGCTATTATAAGGGCTTAGCAGATCTTGTTATATTTTACTACCGTTTGTCTTGTCCTTATACGGCATACATCCTTATGTCTAAAAGTGTAGGCTCTATTATAGTGTCTATAAATGTCCTATTCCTCTTCTAGAGTAGTTAGTAGGCGGATATAGAGGGCGGCCGCGACGTCTATATCCGCTAGGAGTAGGGGCTACGAAGTTAGGAGGGCTATAAGCCATTATCGGCCTAGCTAATAGGTAGGGGGACCTTTCGCTAAAAGGTCTCCCGGATTAGGTATAGCGGGGAAGCTTAGCAGGCCTAAACAGGAAATTTCGACGCGAAAGATCTTCCGAAAGACCCATTTTGTAACTTATATAAATCTTGCTAAACATTCCTAGAAAAGAAGATAAGTTATAATTTAGGCAGTGCGGCATTAATTACACTATTTAGAATATTAATACAAGTGCTAGCTAATTATATATCGTCGCCTAAACTTAGTAGTAACGAATTCTAAAGTTCGCTAAGGCTTACGCCCGTACCTAGTAGTAAGTAAGGTCACCCTAACACCACATATAAATGACAGTATAAAGATATAAATAAGAGAGTGTATTACATTTCGAAACTATATAGCAATCTCTTCATTTTCTCTATCCGAAGAATTATGGACTACTCGGAGTAATCGATTAAATGCGCGCTTATAAGAAGAATGCTAACTAATCGACTTATTTTACGCTTAGCTAGTAATAAGTTCCTACTCGCCAAATTTATGCTATCTAACTTCTTTAAGGCTAGCGATAGTAGGAATAAGGTCTGCTTTTAAATATGCTAGTGCCCGTAAAGTAAAGCTATAATAAGAGTCGTAACAGTTACGAACTAGGTAGCTAGATAAGGTGCTATACTTTTCGAAGTACTCGTATATCTCTATAAATTTAGTAAATAACCGTATAAACTTAGGCCTATTGTAGGCTGCCACACTAGAGTCCGTCTGCTAGGAGCGTGGTGCTTTAGGGTCTATACTACTTAATAGTATGTTATCTAAAAGCTAGGATAGCCCGGTAGTAGGAGAACTATAAGGCGGTGTAATAGGCTCTATAATACGATATCTACGAACTTTCTTTATGCGATAATTACCGGTCTAATGTACCACTAAGGGCTTAGTACTAGCATCATTAGACTTACTAGATTCACTATTAGACTTAATAATAATAGCTTCGCTATTTTTGCTATGTTGCTTCTATCTTTTAGGATCTAGTTCTCTACTAGTAGCAGTGTTATATTATGCCGTAAGCTTTCTCTTATTTAAGACAGCTAGAGTAGACTTTAGAACTGCTAGAACTAGTAGCTTTATCTTAAGACGATCTTATTTAATGCCGGTTACATAGGCGTTTACGCTCTTATTATAGGACTTAAAATTATTAAGTACTAATTTCGAGGTTTTTTTCTAACGCGTGCTAGGCTTACGCTAGGTGGGGTCGATTCTTTTATTAATTGTAGCTTACTAGCCGGTAATAGCTTCTATAATGTCTGCCACATTAGCGTAGGTAATAGCAATATAGGTCGTTATCCGTTTCGAGAGATCTTTTACCGACTTAATAGGTCGTATAGACACCGGAATCTGGTTAAACTAATCTTCGCCCTAGTGCTTTATAATCTAATTAAGATGTGTTTTCTTAGTCCACTACGCTAATAAACTAACGACGACTATAACCCGGACGATATCGCCATTACTAACGTTAGCTAAAAAGGCTTTTTCACTCTATATACTAGGATCGGGATAGGTGTTCTATAGGCTGTTAATCTACACCCACCGCTATACGTACGCCGCATTAACACTAGCATTTTCGGCTACATCGGCAGAAGTAGACAAAATTTCGCTTATAGCTTATATAGGTAAGATGTTTCTACTAGGATTATTAAGATAATCCTATAACGATACGTTCGCTTTGTCTTATAACTTCCGTGTACGTAGCTCTGTCTCGACTTCGTTAGGAGACATCATTTAGAGCCGGGCATTTACATCTCCCGCTTTAGCTCGGCTATAGAGCGATTAACCGGACCGCTTTTATTATTACGATACAGTTAGTGGGTTAGAACTAAGCATCATCTTAAGACTTAGAGGCGGTAGCACATTCTTAGTAGTAGTAGGAACTAGAGGTTACAAATACTATAGCTATAGTTATAGCTAAGGCTAGGGTAGGGGTAGAGGCTAGACGACGGCGTTATTACTACTAGACTTAGCTAACGCATTTAAAGTGCTAGGGTCGAAGCGATATAGCGTATAAGCGCGGACGTGTTTAATACGCGCCATTCCTAAAACGCGTAGCGAATAGTAGTAGAGAGAGAGAGAGGGAGAAAGAGAGATAAAAGAATAAGAGGGAAAAAGGTAGATATTATAAGCGGGGAGTAGGGAAACAAGTGTAGGTTTTAATAGAGCAATTAATCGGATGAGTAAGATAAGGTATGCGATATAGAAGGAGGGACGGAGTAATTAGAGAAAAGGGTAAGAGATAAGGGAAATTAGCGCCGAAGCTACGTAGCTTAGACCCGATAAGGATCTATATCTAGAAAGCTAGGGAAAATCCTACACTTAGCTAATATAACACCATCCTATTAGGTTAAGACATGCGTAAAGCTAAGGTAAGTAAACGTATTATAAGTAGAAACTAAGGAAAAACTAACTAGGATCACGCGTAGGAGACGCGTTAGAGTTCTAAGGTTATATAGTGTTATCTCTCGGTACTTACTCTAGGTAAAGGGTAGAGAACGTATATCCACTGCGATAGGAATCTCGGACTCTTTACATCTCTCTACTTATTCGTTCTAACCATCTCCTAATTTATAACATAGCTAGTAAGACAGATCCGACAATCGCTAATAATGGAGTTTATATTCCGAGTTTTAAATAACGCTTTAACCGGCTCCTAGACCCTAGCTAGTCCGACTGCGTTAGCAATCGATTAGGACAACGCGTCTAACACCGAGTAACGCGTCTAAGAAGCTATCTCGACATTTGTCTATCTACTAATATACCGAGCACTTATCTATAAAGAGCATAGATACGCTATAGATGCTGTTAGTGGCTATCTCTAGAGATCCTATAAGGACATTAAAGGCAGAATTAAGATAGCTGTCGTATAACACTTTATCGGTTACGATCTTATATAGGTAGATGACATCATACTTCCCGAGGCCGGACGAGTAGTAATCGATTGTCTCGACGCTACGATTATAGGCTATAGCTACGAGCATAAGATCTAGTAGGAGGGTAATAGCATAAGCGACGAGTCCGAGACAGCTATCGAACCTAGCGTCTACCTATAATTCCACGAATAAAGAAGGCTCCCCTACCCACAATTCCACGAATAAAGAAGGCTTATTTATTTAAAAGTCCTATATAAAGTTATGCCAAGAAAAATCCACGAGAGGTCAATTTATTTAAAAGTTGTAGGACAGTTTTTTTAACGAAAATCATATTAAATAAGCCTAAAAAAATCACAGTTTATAGACAGAATTTTGAATAATATTTTGGCGTTAGAGTTAAGTAGAAAATCAGTATGTTTGTAGCAGACTAGAGCCGGTCCTAATAGTGATGTTCCTAGCAAGCGAGGTTAAGACAGCGTTACGCCCGCAGGGCATAAGCCTAACCCTATAGGTTATAGGGTCAAGTTGGCCTAAGCCTACCAAACGCGTCCCATTCCACGCGCGTAACGCGCTATGCTATTAAACACATCATTGGCGATATCCATTATAACCATACAGATAGGGACAGAGTTATAGCAGCAACGACATAAGCATAGACGAAAACGCAGCAGAGCAGGGTTTCTAACAGTTATTCACCGTACGAGTAGAGTATAAGATTATATAGTGCATCCTATGCTAATACGCGATTAGCCTAGCAAACATACATGGGCATTTGAAGGACAAGCACCTAAAGGCCGTCGATCAGAAGTGCCGGAAAGGCATAGCCAGGTATGTCGCCGAAAAGATAGACGGTGTCGTATGGGACAAAGAACAGGTGATATACCTAGAGCCGAATTCACCGCTAGTTAAAGGGTTTCCCATATACCGTAATGGATATCGTTGCGTATTAACCCAAAATACTAGCAACGAGTGTGGATACATATGCCGTTCGATTCTAGGGATACAGGACCATTGTAAAACCAAGCACGGATAGAAGAATAAGCAGAAACCCGGCGGCAATGTATACAAAAAGACCACACAGTCACCCAACCGTTTGTGGGACGAGGGTTAAGCATGTCAAACGTTTTTCGCGCAGCGAGCATGGCAGGTGTATTTCGCAGTTAAGCTAGCAGATCCCGTCTAGCCAATACCAGCCGGCTAACGCACATAGAAGGAAAAAGTCCACGCAACGATGCAGGCAAAGTTAGCAGCCGAAGCAGAAGAGAGAGCAGCAAACCGCGACACCATCCGAGACGACGACAGCCGATTCGTGACCAACCCGTTTTTAAAAGCATTAAATTGCGCAACGATTTTACACGGCTAGGACCGGGAACGAATGATTATGGACAAAACCCCGATCGAAGCACGATTAAGACACCAATCTAGGCAACCCAGACCCCGATACGAGGACGAGCATTTGCCCGACAGCGATTTCGGGTTAGAACGTGCGTGTGTAGGTACGAAGCGATTAATCAGACGGTCGTTACAGTGTTGCAAGCAGCACATCGTCGGTAGGGCGGCATTGTTTTTAATCAACCAAAAGCATAGCGGTGGTACCGGGCCTAAGAAGAAGTTCGAAAGTAACCACAGCGTTAAGACAGTACGCAAGTACAGTGAGTGGTGGATCATGATATTGTGTATTTTGTGGCGTACCTAACACAGAGAGATCCGACCGCAATATGTGTTAATAGAGGCCCAGACCGATGCGTTGTTGTATTTGAAGCGATTGTGCTACAACTAGGTGTCGGAAGACACGCCCGCCAACACATAGCAGGAAGACATAGCGAAGCAAATCGAGCACGCGTGCATGGCATTTTGGTTAGCCATGTTAGATTACGACATCGGGGATAGCGAGTACAGCAACGGAATCATCAGCGCATTAGCGGTATTAGCCATCGACGAACGGAACAAGGGATGGAAGCCAGCCACGTTATACACGCCCATATTGTCCGCCATGATCACTATTTCGCGATCGATGGTCGTTTATAAGGCATACGACAATCGAAATGCCATAGTGAAACGAATGATGAGAGCAGAGTTGATAAGCGAAGCCTAAGCCAGGCAGGCGGCACCGAGCATTTTCGATTAGGTCTAGGAGATGAGCAATAAGTTTATGATGTTAGCCGACAAGGACCACAAGCCTACGCCAATAGATTAGATGTTGCACATTAGAACGTTAGGTATGCGCATCAGATACACCACTAACGTACTAGGCACCGTCGAATGGCAAGGGAACGAGATCACCATCGGTTAGGCATCATTCCGATTGGCAGATTTGAGATCGACCATACAAGGGTTATATAACAGCACACGCATCCAGTTGTTCTAGAAGGTGATCATGTTAGACGTAGACGACCACGGCCGACCACGATCAGGATTAGGAAGCTAATTGCCCGAGTTGAACATAGACGACATTAAAGACAATCCAAGCGATACGTGGTCAGACAAATTCAATTTTTTAGAGTATACCATCAACAAGTGGAGTGTAGATGGCAAGAATTGGTTATTAGACCGGGTGATAGAGGACGACAAGTTAATTAGGCAATTCGTACGCACCACGGATGCATTACCCGCCAGCGAAGACGACAGCAACACCGCCATTCCATGGAACGAAGCCGGCATTAGCAAATATTTTAAGGCGGTCGAGAAGTTTAAAGAACAGTTATTCGTTTTGGTCCATTTAACAGCCGGCGCCCCCGCCCGCGGTATAGAGAGTGTCACCGTAGCATATAAGAACGGCGTAGACGACTGCGGATACTGAGGAGTATTCGTCGACAACGGATTGGTGTCATTCGTCACATTATACAACAAGACCGGTATTAAGGTCATTCACAGATTCGTGCTAAGGGAGGTGTTAGAATTAGTCGTTTATTATTTGTGGTTAGTCCAGCCATTCGTTAGAGCGTTACAGAAGATGGTATTCGACTAGAAAGAGTACCGAGCGTTCATTTAGGAGCCGAAGCCCGAAGAGCAGTGGCGAGACTAAGAAGACGAGGATTAGGATGAGATCGAGGCCGAGGAAGAGCGAGTAGACGCCGATTCATACCTAGATAACGCTAGCGATGACCGAGACCACGACCCCGACGACCCAGATCACGACACCGACAGTGACGATGATAGCGAAGATTTCGTCGAGGAAGGGGAGAGTGCAGAAGATGACACACCCTAGAAGCCAGCATTCACGCCTAGCAACCCGGATGGAGTGTACAGCACAGACAGATGCCGTCGATTGTTACAGGAAGTGACACGACACGGCATAGGTGCGCGCATCGGATTAGCCGCATAGCGAGAGGTTTATCTAGCAATCCACCGTTAGTTAGCGGAAGATGACAGCATTAGGCGAACATTAGACACCGCATTCGGTAGCAGCAAAGAGAAACGAAAGGACTAAGCGGCACAGGCAGAAGAAGCTAACACCGAGGAAGCCGTCAGAGCTAATTAAGCCGGACATTCGTTAAGTATCGAAGACAGCATGTACGGTCGAATGACTAGAGAGTCACCGTAGATAACGATGCGCGAAAAGGATGCATTCCGGAAAGTTAGCATCGATTAGCACCGCATTATAGGATTCTAACCAGTCCAGACCGAAGGACGCAACACAGCCAAATCGTTAGTAGACATGGAAAAGCAAGCGGAAGCGGACAAGTTCCAGCGATGGAGAGCATTCCGGCAAGCCGACATGTTAGATGCGTTTAAGAGAATGATGGGCCTAGATGCCGAGTTTAGGGGTGTACAATTCGCCATTTTACGGGCGTTGCAGGAAGGGCATAAGAATGTTTTAGGCATCATGCCCACCGGCGGCGGTAAGAGTTTGACATTCATGTTGCTAGCCCGTTGTTCGCCTAGCGGAGTTACCATCGTCGTGGTGCCGTTAACGGCGTTAGAGGGCGACATGGTTAGACGTTGCAAGGAGAGCGACATTAAGTGTGCAGTATGGGACGCCGCCCGGCCGCCCGAATAGGCAAGCATCGTATTCGTCACACCAGAGGCAGCGGTCGGACAAGCGTTCAAGCGGTTCATGCAACAGAAGAAGTTAACAGGCCAGTTAGACCGATTGGTGATCGACGAGTGCCACGTCGTGTTAGATTCTAGGCGGAAGACAGCCGACAAAGACGCATGGCGACCGGAGATTTTAGAGTTATATAAGACAATCGAGCAGTTAGTGCAGACGTTGTTTTTAACAGCAACATTGCCGCCACGGAACGAGTTGGAGTTTTACGACAAGATGAACATCAACAAGCACGAAATCGTTAAGATCCGGGACAGCACGACACGTAAGGAGATTAAGTACCAGGTTGTCGATTACGAGGAAGAGGAGGAAGAAGAGGCATTACAACGCATGGTTGACGACAAGAAGAGATAATACCCCGGTAAGCAGATTGTTGTTTATTGTTCGAAGATCTAGGACGGCCAGCGATACGCCAAAACATTAGGTTGCCAGTTGTTCCATCGCGAGATGGGCACCGAGGCCGAAAAGCGAGAAGTGGTTCGACGATTGACGACAGGGCAACAAGATGTGTTCGTAGCGACGAACGCGTTAGGTTTGGGCATCGACGCGCCAACGATCCGAGTGGTCATCCACATAGGAGTGCGAAGATCGATGCGAGATTTCGTGCAAGAAAGCGGCCGAGCCGGGAGAGACAGACAGTGGAGCGAATCGATCATCATGAGATGGAAACGCACGCAGTCAGATGGCAGCATTATCCGAGATAAGATGTGGGGAGCGGAAGAGGCGATGAAAACATTTGTCGAAGGCGAGTGTTGCCGACGGGTCACAATAGACAAAGAAATGGATGGCAACAGCGAGAGAATGGCGTGCGAGGTAGACGAGCAGAGATGCGACGTGTGT